CGATAGGCTGTACAGAAACCCATTTACACGTCATCATGATTTTTTTTATTGTTCTAATTTCTTCATTAACCATTTCTGTTCTACTCTCTAACTGCAGAAGATGAACCAGTCGTTGAAATCCAAAACGACAAGTCCAACCACACCTTGTCAGAAAGAACAATATTCGACCACATACGTGAAAAGGCCAAGAACTTCCCTATCATCAACACTTCAGAAGCCTTTCTTCTCCAAAGTGAAGAACAACAAAGGGGCCTTAATGAAACTGAACTCCAGCTCGGCAGAAGGCTGGATGCTAAAGAACACTCTATCATAGATCTTACCATAGACCCCAGCTGGTTAGAACAAGAAGGTGAAGATATTATTCTCAACAGCCATAGTTCCGCCATTGAAGGTGGAAGAAGTTTTGTCGAAGACAGGGAAGGTGCTAGCGGTGGTGGCATTGCTCCCGAACCTGAGAAAGTTTTGTGCGGGGAAGCAATATTCGATCACATAAGGAGAAAAGCTGAGGAGTTCCCGTTTCTGCCTTCAACCCTGCGCTGGATGAATGAACCGTCTCTGGAACCGTCCAAGGTTGGACCGAGACCAGAATGCTTCCGAAAGGGTGACGTTGTCCTTTCGGATTCCCATCCTGGAGGGCAGAAGGTAAAAGTGGACGCATTCTCTCCAAGTCCCGGCAGGAAATTTACCGGTCTGAGTCTGCCTTCGAAGAGTCTGCCAGCCTCTAAAGTAGATCGTCCACCTCGTGGAGAAATGTTATCGTTTGATATTTCCATGATGAAGGGTAGTACTAATAATTGCAACAGCGGCAGCAAGAGGAAAGAGCAGCAGAAGGAATTGCCTCCGAGCAGTGGATCGAAACGCCAGCGTTGTGGTCTGGCAATGCCGGTGCAGACGGGACAAGCAGATTCGTTCATGGGGTTCCAGAGCGTGTTCTCATTTCTGTGATGCTTCATGCTTCCTCTCTCTATCTCCATCGTTGAAGCATAAATGAGGTTAGTTCAACCTGACTTCTTCGTATTATCTTTTCTTGTCCTGCACGTTTCCAGTTGTTCTTTTCCATTTCATATTAGCTGAATAAGTATCATGTTTTGATTTACCCTAATGGAACATAGTTTTCTATTCCACTTAGTGGCCATAGAACAATTATTAGAAAAACGAACTCACTCACAAGTCATAAGTCAGAATTCTTCCCAAAATGAAAAGTTCCAAGAATAAGCAGCAAGAAACCATAACTGCAAGATCAATGAGCATCTATATGATAAATCATTTTCCGTCAACAAATATATATCATAACTGATACAACATAGCTCCCGTCAAGAATAATAACAAACAAATTTGTACAAACAAACATAACTCTATTTATCAAACTTGTACCATTCATCAGACACCCCTATTATTGCAGAGGGGTATGATAATGCTGATTCAACGCTGGTCTGCCGCCGAGGCAATGAGTACTGGTTGAACGATTCGAACCCGAACCTGAGCCTGAGCCTGAACCAGATCCCCTTTTAGAGGGCATTGGATTGTCCTTGATCGCCTGTATCTTCACCAAATCATCCACTACCTCTTTCATGGAAGGGCGGGATTTGGGGTCTGGTTCGAGGCATTTGAGTGTAACCTGTGCAGCTTGCAACATTGCCTTGGACGAGTATTGCCCTTCCATTCTAGCATCCATGATGTTCTTCATCTTCCTCTTTTGCGATAGGGTCGGTCTCAGCCAATCCACTAGGTTCTGCCGCCCGTTAGGTCGGTGCTTGTCCATAGCTCTCAGCCCTGTCATTAACTCCAACAACACCACTCCAAAACCGTACACATCGCTCTTCACGTACAAATGACCTAAAACAAATTGAGTAGCCAAAGGTTTAACCAACACTACTTCGTAACAGTCATCGTTCAGCATAGACAGAGGATTCGGACTGATGATTCATACTTGTTATAATGTACCTGTGGCAATGTACTCAGGGGCAACATAACCGTATGTTCCCATGATTCTTGTCGTCACGTGAGATGCACCACCTGCAGGGCCTATCTTTGCCAACCCGAAATCTGAAATTTTTGCATTGTAGCTCTGGAGTTTGAAATTTGAGGTTAGCAGTAGTGTTAAGAGAATGAATAACTGAATAAAGGAATTGGATCGACCAAGTCAAAGACGAACCATGTCAAGCAGTATATTGGAGGCCTTGAAGTCGCGGTAGATGACCTGCTTATCGGATGCGTGTAAGAATGCTAGGCCGCGAGCTGCTCCAATGGCTATTCTGAGTCTAAGATCCCAAGGTAGTGGCTCAACCATAGCATTCCCTTCAATAGGCGAGAAAGTGTTAGAGAAAATGTGTCTTCAGTTTATGATCAACCTAGTTAGTATATAGCGTTTCCCCCTTACTTCGGAAGAGATGATTCTCCAAGCTTCCCTTTTGGACGAATTCATAGACGAGAAGCAGTTCTTTATCCTCCCAACAGTATCCCAACAGCTTAACCAAGTTTGGATGCGATAGCCTTCCTAAAAAATTTATCTCTGACTGCATTACAATCCAAGAAAGAAGTGACATTAAGAAAACAAAGAAAATTGTAAATGAAACAAAAAGGAGGAAAGAATCAATAATATGCTTATGGATAATAAACATGAATTAAACTATTAGGTTAGTAAATAGTAACATATTGGTCTTCCGACTTTAATTCTTTACTAGATAATAATTGAAATTTAGATTATTAATGTAATTTTTTTTTTGTAGTACATCTTGTTTAGGTCCTCTCTACATATTATTAGCTATCTAGTGATGCCTCATTGGATTGCTAATTTGTTAAATATACTTACTATTTTTTTTATAATGATGATATTTGATCTCAAAATTCAAATCTAGGTTGTAAATGATGTCGTCATTCTTAAATTATTATTAGTCCAACTTCAAAATTTCAAATTTACCTTCTAAGGTAATTCAAACTAGACGTGAAATCTACCCAACTCCAACTTGACCGTCTCCGCATTTCAACTTACATTTGACTTGGTCTTCATCAGTAATTTGGATGAGTTATCTAAATAATTTGAACAGAAAAATAAAGGGATGGAGTATTACGTCAATTAGTATAAACCGGATCACAAAAGTTAACTTCTATCATCTTTATAAAAAAAACTTTAATTGACAAATTCTCTAACAACATAAAAAATTGAGTGATTGACCTAGTAGTACTCCTAAAGTTCATGACCCTCTCTGTAATTAAACTCCATAAATCTGTGTCTTGTCTAGGACTGTTAATGAACCAAGCCGCTCATGAACGGCTCGGCGTCCGACTCGAAAAAAACTCGATTCGTCTTAATCAAGCCGGTTCGCGAACAAGCTCGTTAACTAAACGAGCCGAACACGAGCCATACCATGTTCAGCTCGAAAGCTCGTGAACAAGCTCATTTAACATTTTGGCATAAGAAAGGATCAGAATTCATGGATTTTATGTATTGAAATTGGGATAAATATTGTGTTTTATTTTGCTAGACTTACTACAGGTTTGAATGTAATTTTGTGCCCAGTTCTAGGTCAATCTTGAGTTATTATGAACATTTTTTATGAGCTTAACTCGATTTTGGGCTCGTTAACCTTATTTAACGAGCCGAGCTCGAGCTTTCCTTTTCATAAACGAGTCAAGCTCGAGCTTGCATATTATAGCTCGTGACGAACACGAGCCGAGTTCGAGCTTGGAAATATATTAACGAACCGAACCCGAACTATGACAAAACTCGACTCGGCGCAGCTCATTAACAGCCCTAGACTTGTCACAAATGGCAAAAATGTGTATGTACTATGTAGCCGTCCACACACGGCTTGGTAAACAAATAATAGCATGTAGGCCCCCATCATATATCACAATCGTTGAACTCATTCCCCATTTCACACCAAGTTTTTTTTTTCCCCCATAATTTCACACCAAGCTTTACTTCCGGCCTAATCTACCAAATTCCATTCTCTCTCTTTTTTTTTTTTTTTTTTGGTATAAAATACCATTCTCAAACATGAAAACCATAACAGAATGATCATCGATTATGAAATTCCAGTAATAATCACTGACAGATCGAAATCAGTAGAGGAAGAAGGAATTAGTAAAATTAGCTGTAACTTGTAAGTAGAGTGGTACCTGCCACTCCTCGAAGCCCTGTACACTTTCGTCGTTCAATTTCTTGATGGCGACGGCGATGCCAGTCCCGGGCTTACACGGCGCCAGAGTCCTCTCGTCGACCCATCCTCTGTAGACCTTCCCGAACCCGCCTTCCCCGAGCAGTGTGTCGGATTTGAAGTTCTTGGTCGCCGACTTCAGATCGCTGAAGGCGAACTCCTTCAACCTCGGGGACTCCAGAATCCGGCCGCCCTCGACCGGCGGCGGGAGGGGGTCGCTCTCGTCGCCGGTGGAGGCAGTGGTGCCGGATAACAACTGGCTTCCGGCCGCTTCCGTACTGGTGGCGGTGGTGGTGGGTTGGGGTGTGGAGGAAGAGTAATTGGCATCGGAGGAGGTGAAAGTGGTGGGGGTGATGTTGGAAGAGTGGAAGCAAGAGAACCATGAGGTCAGGCAATTCCCCATGGTTTCCTGTTGTTGGAGGTGGAGATACCAGGACGACGACGACCATTTTTTCCCCCTTTCTAATTTGCTGGAAATCAGACTCCCTTCAGTATGCTAGTTGCTTGCTAGTGGGCTTTAGCTTTGTAGTTTGTACAAAGCTCCACAGGCTGGATGACTTTTTAGTCATAAATTAATTATTTTCTATAAACTTATTTACTGATTTATTTTTCTTTGTTTTGGTGCTTTTTCCACGATATTTCTTATTTTTTGTTTTTTCCTTATGAAATTCAATGTTTTATTGTTTGTTACTTGGTTTGCTTTGACTAATCAAAGGATACAAGAAAAGTATGCATGTGGATCAAAATTACACTAATGCTTGCAGGTGGTTTAGAAGTATTTATAAAAGGGTTAGACCATCTTCATTCCTAATTTTTAGCAATTCTTAAAGTGAAGTGGAGGCAAAATTGTAGCAATTATTAGCTGATGGAGGAGTTATTGCTATTTAGCAAGATTTCTAATTTGGAAAGTACTCTAGCCATTTCACATGTGTAATCGTTTTATTTTTTATTTTCTTAGTTAGACCATCTCTTCAATTGTAAAGTGTTTGGTATATTCAAATAGCAGGTGGGACCCACATTAGAAATCTCCTAACTAAACCAGTTTTCTTTAGCTGGGTACCCATTACACTCTATTTGGATGTGAAGGTTAATTAGTTGGTTTCATATAATTTTTTATTAGTAAATGCGACATTTGGTCACTGAGAAATGAGAGTGTGTTCACATAGGGAATATCACTAGAGGTTAACACCCCAAAAAGTATCATCCAGATTCCAGGAGGAAACAAACAGAGTAGGCAGAAGGAAAAAGAGAATAGGATATAAATAAACTTAAAAGCTTACAACCCTCCTAATCCATCACGTAACTACCCGTTCAGGGTTCGGACCGGAACCGGAACCTCTTCTCGGAAGCATTGGTTTGTCCTTGATCGCCTGTATCTTTACCAAATCCTCCACTATTTCTTTCATGGAAGGGCGGGCTTTACGGTCTGGTTCTAGGCATTTGAGTACAACCCGTGCTGCATGCAACATTGCCTTGCACGAGTATTGCCCTTCCATTCTAGCATCCATGATGTTCTTCAGCCTTCTCTTCCGCAATAGGGTTGGCCTCTTCCGCGATAGGGTCGGTCTCAGCCAATCGACTAGGTTATGCTGCTCGTCTCGCCGTTTCGAGTCCACGGCTCTCAATCCCGTCATTAGCTCCAGCAGTATCACTCCGAAGCTATACACGTCGCTCTTTGCATACAAATAACCTAAAACATCACGAATGATGTACGTTCAGTTAGCAAAGCACTACTTCGTAGTATGCGTGTGGTTCCTTGGAGACAAGTACATGGAAATGCACGGATGATTCTAATGCTTGTTACAGTGTACCTGTTGCAATGTACTCAGGAGCAGTGTACTCCGGTGTTCCCATGACATCGCTCGTCCCACGCGGTTCACCATTTGTGGGGTCTAACTTCACCATCTCAATATCATAAATCTTTGCATTGTAATTCTGAAAATTGGAGGTTTCTATGTAAATTAGCAATGCTATGAGAATGAATGACTAAAAGAATGAACGAACGAGTGATAAATGAGTCGATCGAGTGAAGAACTAACATTGTCGAGTAGAATACTGGAGGTCTTGAAGTCGTGGCAGATGACCTGCTCATCGGATGTGTGTAAGAAAGCTAGGGCACGAGCTGCCCCAGTAGCTATCTTGAGTCTTAGGTCCCAAGGCAGTGGCTTATCCGTAGCATTCTCTACAATAAAGCCAGAAAATTGCAACAACATTATGGCATGTGCCTCAAATTTTATGATCAATCTTGTTATATGTGTTGTTCTAGTTTCCCCCCTTACTTCTGAAGAGTTGATTCTTCAAGCTTCCCTTTTGGACGAATTCATACACTAGATAAAGCTGTTTATACTCCCAACAGTATCCCAACAACTTGACCAAGTTTGGATGCGATAGCCTGCCCAAAAAGTTAAGCTTTGACTGCATTTTACATCCCTAAAAAAGAAGAGACGAAGAATAAATGTCAAAACAATGGACTCGAAAAGGAAAGAAATTCACATGGTACGTACTCATGAATAATAGAAGAATGAAACTTTTGTGTCAATAACAACTAGTGCACTCAAGTTTGTGAGTTTATGAAATAACTATCAAATATTTGGACTAGTTAACGTAATTGTTTATCCCTTTCATTTATATTTAATATCCTCTCCATATTAGCTATACCGCCTATACAGCCTTACTCAAATCATCTATAATATAAATTCTAATTTCTTTTAAGAGAATAATAATTGGCCACAAAATTTGAATCTAGAATTTAGTGAATGTTATTGCGTCCATATTACAATTAACCCAACCTCTTGCGATTCTATCTAATGCCTTCTAGTTAGTTTAGAGGATTGGGCCGACTCAAACAAAATCTGAATTCTTCCCAACTCCGATCGGCCCTCCAATTTCAAACTTATCTTTGTCATACCAACTTATGTTGACTTTATTTCCATTAGTTATTAGATGAGTGATCAATCTAAGCTAGATTATTTGGACATACAATCTAGCAGAAACTAATGGATTAATTACTATGTTAAATTAATTACTTTCTCTAAAAAGACAACAACAAAAAAAAATGGAGTGATTAACCTTATTGGTGAAAATAGCTCTACAACCTTTCTTTATGACGAAGAAACCCTATTTCGTAACTTTGGAGTTGCTCGACCTTTGGTCAGGGTGTTTAATGGATGATAAGGGTGCTATCAGAAAAGGAACACAAGCATATCGTTGAGGAGATTTAAAGCTGGGAGTAAAATAATCTTATCGCACTAGCTACAAACATTTTTCATGGATAACCTTTTTTTTGTCACGTTTATGAGCCCGTCAATTCAAAGCTGGGAGTAAAATAATAGCATGTGGCGCCCATCACAACCATTCCCATTTCCCACCAAGCTTTACTTTCTGCCTAAGCTATCAAATTGCATTCTCGAGCAATCAAAACCAGCCGAGCTTGAGCTAAGCCTTGTTCGGCTCGCGAAGCTCATGAGATAGCTCGACTCGATGGCTTGTTGAGCTCAACTTGTGAGCTGACTCATTTAGAGCTCATAAGATGTCTTAACATTATGGTTAGAGAGGCAACACATCTACCAACTTATCAACAAATCGATCTGTTATGCTTTGAATTTTGATAATTTGTAGGTTTGTTAAACTATATATTTCACTCTATATGGTGTTGAGATATTAAGTATGTGAGCAAATATGCAAATGAGTCTTTTAATTATGAAACGAAAATATGTTTCATAGATTGATTCGATACTATAAATAACAAGATTTGGACAAGTTAATATATATTAACTAAATAGTTTGATACTAAAAGGTAGAACATGAGATTAGTTAATTTTGAACGTTTGACTATTATTATTTTCCTACAGTACATCTATCACATTTATCATACATAACATACAAACCGAATCAAGATTTTTGTAAACAAGCCTAGCTCGAGTTCGAATCGACCCGGCTCGTTAAAAATGAGCTCGAGTTCGACTCGATTACTAACAAGTCAAAGTAAAACTCAATTCGAATCGGCTCATTAGCAGCCCTACTCGTAGCCTTCCTAAAACCACCAATAATGTCGCTATGCGCGAACACAGGTCGTAGCGAAATTCACCATAGTTTCTTGTTGGGATTTCCTCAAAATCGTACGTACGTGTTGCCACCGTCGTCCCACTCCCCACCTATTCCCTTGTTGGGTGAGGTTCTATATATTCTTCGGAGCTTCCAAAAAAGGGATGTTTACACACAGACGCAGCAGAAATAGGGACCGGCAAAGAAGGCGGCAAGCATATGATGATGACTGAGACAAGAAAAAGAAGTCATGGTGTATCGGTGTACTAGTTTTATCTATTCTTCAGTAGCATTCCCAACGAGCGGAGTAGTACACCAAGTCAAAATGGAATTCAAATTGCCGGTTCGCATCATTTGAGTTTTACACAATCCGTTCACACACGTCAATGGAATTGGAGTAAACAATAATAAATAGCAGCATGTAGGGCCGCATCATAAATATGTAATCCAAGCCATTGTCCCCCCATTCCCATTTCCCACCAAGCTTTACTTTCTTCTCCCAAATCTATCAAATCCCATTCTTCAAACGTCGTACACGTCGGAATCCAGTCCCAAATCGATCATTTTCCGGAATTCCAGTAATAGACAGCAACGGATTTTGAAATCAACAGAGAGAAAGGAAAAAAAATAGTAACAGATTAGCGCCTTGTAATAAGCCCGTGGCCGTCAAGAAATTGAACGACGAAAGTATTCACCTGCGCTTCAAGCACTGGCAGAAAGCCAGAAAGTATATATTAATTGCTACTACGAGCTCTTGGCGTGCTTAATCACAAAATTGATCCATGTGGTCACCGTTTTAGTTATGTAAGTACTTGTTGATACATTTCAAACCTAGTGCAAAACCAACAAGATAAAACTATACTTCGATTACAAAATCCTATTTTAGAAGGAACTAGCGTACTCATCGCTGCGATTCGAATAAAGGACTTTCATATTAAATCAACGAGGCTTTTTTCATATACAAAGAAACGTAATTGCGGATGTCGGTCGATTTTGGTTCATTCATATGGACTCAAACTAGAAAGAATGAGGATTATAATCATATCAAACGCGCATTTTCTCTAATTCAATTGTAGGTCTCAAGATTCAAACTTATGATGTAGTGAATGTTCTCACATCCCACATTACCACTACGTCAACTCCTTTATATTTGTAGGAATCTTTTTCTTTATACCTTCTGCACAAAAGAGCTGAGCAACGTGATCGATTGCCTGATTGGATTGAGAAATTTCCCGGCGTTCGCCATCTGCTGTTGTTGTTGTTCTTCTTCTTCAACGGTGGCCACGCTTTCATTTCTTCGCCGACGGCACCGGCGTCAGTGAGACTTTTTAAAAGGGAGGACGGCTAAAGCAGACGACGGTTTTCGAGGCTACGAATTAAAATTTGGCAGAGAAACGATGCCGGTCCATAAACTTAAAGGTTTGTCAAACCGGTTAAAGTCGTTAAACCATTCAATCAGGTAGTTTGAGATTTAATGGTTTGATCGAGATTCAATTCGTTTGAACCATATTATATATTTTCTAAATATATATACAAATAAGGTAATAATTTAAAATTTTAATAACTGAAATGAAATTTCTTTCACATGTATATATTAGAAACTCACCTCTCATTAAAAAAACTTACCTAATCCCCATTACCCTCCAACTATCCTCTTTTCTCTCCCCCCGTCCTCCCTTCCCTCGGCCTTTCTAGTGGTCAGGACTCGAGCCACTAATTTTTTGGAGACCGTTTTGTAGACCAACTCATAGCGAGTGCGACTAGTCGATCTGTAGAAGTTTAACAACCTTGGTTAAAAGCACTCGTATCGTTGCGCCTCTTTCTATGAAAAGTTCCTGTATATGTTTATTTGCTTTTTTTATACTAGTTTAGTATCAACGTTCATACTAAGACAAAACTAGAAAAATAATATGAGAAATAGTTTGACATGACCAGTTATGAGAAATTGAGACAAAAAGATATGCGAATAACATTGAAAAATAGATTTTTGGGATGCGTTTTCTGAATTAGAGAGGGAAAATGTAGAAAGTAGGTCTAGTAAGATTTAACACATAATGAAATTATTCATACAATTGATACGATCCTACAAAAAAGAGCAATGAAGTAACTTAAAATGATTTCACTTATTTCAACGGTTTTACATTGTGTTGTCAACTCTTATTGCTACAATAACATATGAAAACATAACTTATCTTTTTTCGTATATATATTCACAGATAAAAATAGAAAATAGAAACTGAAAAATTAAATAAAGTAGCGTTTAAATATTATTTTTATAGATTGACGCAAATCAACTCTATTCTTGATTCAATAGTAGGATGCTATGACAAAACAAACCATTTCAGAGATTGAAAATAATAAGGTATAAGGATAAGAAGATTTTACATAAAACATAATTGGTTTGACCAATAGGTGGTTTAATGCATTGAAGTAATCTTCTCCGCAAAGAATCATCCACTAAGCAAACAATGCACTTATTCGATCTTCAAGCCTTGAATATAAGTACAGATATTTATCACTCTCTAATTATATACACTTTTCAATTTAATGTGCATTCATACTCTATGTAATTTAGGGTAGATGAGAGTTATTTTGAAATCACAAGAAAGTGTGGTTGACTCTGATTAATCTCCTTCTCAAACAAAAATAAGTTTCATACCGATATGACAATCCACAATTACTCTTATAGATTTAAAATAAATCCATTACTATTAGTTATTTGACATCATGAAATTACTATTTGCCATCTTACACGTCATAAATGAATTCAAATAAGTCAAAGCAGGATTTAAGGGTTGATCCCATTAAAATTCAAGGGTCCAATGCATAATCCTTGCTTATTTACCACAATTCACGAGCTGGATTTCTCCTTTTAGAAAAAGAAATCCAAAAGTTTTATCAATTTTTACAAGACACACACGCGAAGTTGAGTCCAAAACTCCAAATTAAATTAGGAGAATGTAAGAAATAGATTGCTAATGAATCAACAATAATGAGCAACTCTTGGATGCTTATTACAGAAATGAAATTGCAGCTTTTTGTGACAAGTGATAGAAAGAAGCTCATGATCTGCTTTCTTTTGGCTGCTGATGGGGTCTTTTGACTCATATTGTTATGTTGCTCGCTTTTGAGAGCTAAGATGTCTGATTGCTTAACATTTTTTTCTTTAATTCATGTTTGGTGCTGCTTTTGTTCTTAGCGCCATCTCTGCTTTCTTTTTGGTTGAACTTTGTAAACATTTTCTTTTTTCCTTAATAAAATTATATCATCTATATATAAAAAGAATCCTACCTCTATACGTACTAGTCTACTATTTATAAATTAGGAGAGAGAGAAATTACCCAAAAAAAATCGAGATACACAAACTCTCGTTCGCTGACCTGATTTCTCTATGCACAGTCCGTCACAATTCACCGTAGTCTCCTCTACCGTCTGGCCGTCTCCTCTATCGTTCGGCCAGTCTCCTCTTTGGAATCCTCTTCTTCATCTGCTCTGAGCGTCTATAGGTATGCCTGTTACATTTTGAACCCTCCAATTGCATGAAATTTAGGATTGTACAATGAGTATGAAATTTTCTTTCAATCTAGTATTTTGGGTTCGAAATAACTGTAATTCTTTGCTAAACCTGTTTTTTATTCCTTCCATTTAGATAGTAATTGGAAAACACATCTTCAATCCCTCCTTTGGAAGAGGAGCTTGCTTGTCTTAAGAAGACATTGAAACTAGAATCAGCAGGGAAGGAAGACCTCAGTGAAGCACTCAAGCTTGCAATGGAGAGTCTGTCAATTTTTTAGTTAGTCTCAAATTAGGAGAATCATAAACTGGAATCCCAAATTGCTATGTTGAATGGTGAAATTGAAACTGAGAAGATATAAAAAAAAGCTTTGGAGATTGCTCTGACCGCAACAAAAGAGAAGACCAGAGAGGTGAAATTAAAAAAGGACAGAGAATTCTATTGAGAATGAAGAGAAAACATCAAAGTTGGGAGAACGACTTACTGATATGGAGGGCCTCTTTGCGACTAAGGATCGTGATTTTCAAAAGCTTCTCAAGTTATCTTATGTAAATGGCAAGGTTGAAGCTAATTTACAACATGAAATTTCTGTGTTGAGGAGCAAGAACGAGGCTTTGCAATCAATGAATGCTCAATTTTCTAAGATGTTTGAAGAAGCGACTATCACTTCAAAGGGAAAAGAAGCAACGATTGCAATACATAAGGTTGAAAGAGTAGCCCTTGAAAGTCAAGTGAAGAACTGACAAAAAGAATGAAAATAGCAGTTGAAAGAACCAAGGAGTTGGAAGAGAAAGTGACAGATCATAATGAAGAGATCAAATATTCAAAAAGGAAGAAAGATGAAGAGGTTACAGAGTTGGTGGATGGCCTTGAGACAATAATCATGGTGTGGAAGACGAAGCAGCTGGAAATGAATGCTTGAAACTGGTGAATGGATGACGGAAGACAACATTTTAATTTCTTGTGTTGCAAAAGAATGGTGATATATTTTGTGCTGCAAAAGAATGATCCTGTTTTTAAGTTTTTCCTTGTGTATTTGCTTATTTATTCATGTTTCTAATGAATGCTTGAAACGGGTGAACGGATGACGGAAGACAACTTTTAATTTCTTGTGTTGCAAAAGAAAGGTGATGTATTTTGTGCTGCAAAAGAATGGTCATATTTCTGTTTTTAGGTTTTTTTCTTGTGTAGTTGCTTATTCATTCATGTTTTCAAGAGGCAACGAACTTGGAACATTTGATAATGCTTCCTATGTTGGAAACAGAAGGTTGAATTGGACTAAATAGTGATTTCGACTGTTTCTCCAACTATTATTTGCCAATACTGTGACAAACCCGAACATTCAGTGAGACAGTTCTTTCGACTGTTTCCCCAAGTCCGCCAATCATTTCATCAGACCCGCAATGGGCACATTAATTATACATCTACTAGGGCCCTTATCCATCATCTGGGTTATGGCTTGTGGACTCAGCAGCCTCACATAATGTCACTTCTAATCTGGACCACCTCTCTATTTATTCAGATTATTCAGGCCCGGATGAGATCCTAGTTGGTGATGGATCAGGTTTGGCTATGTCCCATATATATTGGCTCCTTTGCTGTTTCTATTGGTTCTCGCTCATTAAATTTGCAAGACATTTTATCTATTCCCAGCATTAAGCTACATCTCATCTCTGTCACTAAATTATGTCAAATTAATTTGGTGTTTGTGGAATTTTTTGCCACTCATTTATTATGAACGATCTTCGCACGGGGGCGCATCTACTTAGGAGGGGGGGGGGGGGACGGTGATGTCTACAAGCTTCCTTGTAAGGTGGAGCATGTACGAATGGCCTTGATGACAACTCGCACATTTGCCTCCTTCTGGCACGCTCGTCTTGGTCATCCTTCCCACCAATCTCTTATTAGCCTTATTCGGTCCAACTCTCTTCCACTTACTTCAAAAGTCACTTGTTCTGCTTGTGATGCTTGTCTTTTTAATAAGAGCCATAAACTCCCATTTTTTGTTTCTTCTTTATCAAGTGAACGACCTTTTGATTTGTTATATACTGATGTTTGGGGCCCTGCTCCAGTATCTTCTATCGATGGATATCGTTATTATTTGATTATTATTGAGCATTTTACTCGATATACCTGGTGTTATCCTCTTCGCCACAAATTTGATGTTCTTCAAGTCTTTCTTAATTTTTGGAAAATGGTTGAAAATTATTTTTTCACCACTATTCGTCGACTTTACACGAATGGTGTGTGGGGGGGGGGGGGGATTCCAAAAACTACGCTCTACTCTTCTTAATAACGACATCAATCATCTCCTTACCCCACCCCACACACCTAAACACAATGGCCTTGGAGAACGAAAACAACGTCATTTGGTTGAAATTGGTCCGACCCTTCTTCATCATGCTAAACTTCCTACTTCTTTTTGGTCGTTTGCTTTTTCCACCGCTATCTATCTCATCAATCGCCTTCCCTCCTCCGCTCTCCGTGGTAACATTCCTTACACCCTTCTTATCAACTTATCTCATAATTAGCATAAACTTCACATTTTTTGTTGTCTTTTCTATCCTTGGCTCCATCCATACATACTCTGCTCATAAACTTGCCCCCCGTTCTAGCCCCTGTCTTTTTCTCGGATATTGCCCGCAACGTAGTGCCTATCATTGCTTTGATCCCACCACTGACCGTCTCTTCCTATCTCGCCATGTCACTTTTCTTGAGAGTGGTTTTCCAAGTTATACTGATTCACGTCCCACCGAGCCTCTCTCGGTGGTTTCCTGGCTACACGATGATTCACCCACTATCCTCCACTTGTCGGGACATTCTACACCACCTCCGTCCTTGCCAGGGCCATCCCAGGCCCTCTTCCCTTTAATCGTCTCGCAGCTTGTGCGAAATCAATCACCAACTCGGCCGCTCTCTCCACCGGCCTCCACAGTAGCGCCACCTGGTGACCAATTAGTCACTCCTCCGTACGACCCCCAGCCCATCACCAATCCTCCTCCTCTCATTTGCACCCATATTATGCGAACTCGGGCCCAGGATGGAATTTTCCATCCCAAGAAACGCCTTTTTTACACCACTCTCGTCTCTGGGCCGCCCCCATTAGCTCCTGTGAGTGTTAAAGAAGCCCTACGTTATGCTGAATGGGTCGATGCACTCAAGGCTGAAAATACTGCTCTCATGGCCAATCATACATGGGACTTGGTTACTCGTCTTCCCCATTATAATGTTCTCGGTAATTGATGGATTTTTCGTATTAACTATCTCTCTGATGGCTCTATTGAACGCTTCAAGACACGACGAGTGGCCAAAGGCTATCATCAGCGTCCTGGGCTCGACTTCACTAATACTTTTAGTCTGATCGTCAAACCGGTCTTCATACTGTTTTCACCTAGGCTCTCTCTCATGGTTGGTCTATCTCGCAGTTTGATGTTAATAATGCGTTTCTCCAAGGTCATTTACATGAAGAGGTGTGTATGGTTCAACCCCCAGGTTTCGTCGATCCTGACCACCCCGGCCATGTTTGTCGCCTTCATCGGGAACACTATAGGCTCCATCAAGCTCCGCGTGCATGGTACAACGCCTTAAGTCAGTTTCTTCTCGAGTTTAGATTCATCAAGACCCATTTGGATGCCTCTCTGTTTGTCTATTCTTGTGGTCCAGTCCATCTCTACTTTCTGGTCTACGTTGATGATCTTCTACTCACTGCAATGATCCTACCACTCTCCATCTCTTTCAAGAGGCTCTCTTTGGTCGATTTTCTCTCAAAGCACTCGGTGATGTTAATTACTTCCTCGGCGTCAAAGTCATCCCCACCGCCACTGGTTACATCCTTTCTCAACATAAGTACATTGTGGATGTTCTGAATCGTTTTTTCATGCTCCACGCCAAGCTTGTTGACACGCCTAAGACTGCCTCCACACTGCCAGGCTTTAGGTACTCTTTTGTACCTCGTCTATACACGGCCGAACATCACCTACTCTGTCATTAAGCTCTATCAGTATACGCATGCACAACGGCTTCTTCTCTATGGTCTCCGGCACTATCACATATGGTCTCTTTTTGTGTTTGCTGACTCTGATTGGGTTGGAAATCAGGACGACCAATCTTCTACTTTCGGCTATCTTATCTACTTTGGCTCCACTCTTGTTTCCTGGTGCTCTCACAAATAACGAACTGTAGCCCGCTCCAGCACTGAAGCTGAATACCGTGTTATTGCTCATGCCACTACGGAACTGGAATGGCTTCAAAATCTTCTCCATGAGCTCCATCAACCACTACTTTCCGCTCCTTATCTCTACTCCAACAATCTAGGGGCCACCTACTTCAGCTCCAACCCCGTTTTTCACTCTCGTATGAAGTATCTCGCATTAGACTACCACTTCATATGACAACTTGTCCAGGATGGTCAGCTACATGAGTCATACATCCCTACCTCCCACCAACTCGCTGATGCCCTTAACAAGCCTTTACCGGCGGCTTGATATCTTCTTTTGCAGTCCAAGATCGGATCGTTGATACCCCCTCCGTCTTGCGGAGGCGTATTAGAGAAACTAAATAAAAGTATTTTTATTTTTGTTTCTTTATTCCTTTATGTTCCTATTCTAGAGGAACGTGTCTAACTGGGAAACATTCAGTTGTTGGAAATACTCCCTTGTACATGTATATTTACGTTGTCTCTCAAACAATGGAAATTCTATTGGTTTTCCTCACAACAACATTCTATTCTATAGTCTTTAAACAATCACGACATCTTGTTACTACTCTGTATATTCTCTTACCGAGCTAACCTACTAGTTAACAAACCCATTTTCGATATAGAGCAAATCTATCGATGCAGAAGTTCAAGTTTCCAGTAGTTATAGTAGTAACCATATCCCACCTTCTGACGTTACAACAATGTTGCCATGCGCATGCCCCTCAATATCATCCTCCATCACCCACTTCGAAACGGTGTCGTCCCGATGAGAGTGATGCACTGGTCCAGTTCAAGAACTTCTTCACTATCATCGGAGATGGCCATGATAGGACGACATCGTGGAAGGGAGGAGTGGATTGTTGCTAATGGGAAGGTGTTACTTGTAACCCCTTAACTGGTCATGTCACGGGCCTCGACCTTAGTTGTGAGCAAGTAGCCGACCTACCTTACCATATTCCTCAATATAGCTTACTTCTGGACTCTATTTCCTACACGGCTAAGTGTCATCGACTTCAGGGAACTCTACAAGCAAACAACTCCATTGCCCACTTGAGATTCCTTCGAAGCCTCAATCTAGCACACAATGACATCCATGGCTCCATAATTTCATCTTCCTTCACCAAGTTAACAAGCCTTAGTCATCTCGACCTCTCCAACACTCGGCTTGCAGGTCGAATCCCATCAGGGTTCAGCCATCTTGACAAACTTGTGTTGCTTGATCTTCCTTTAACCATGTCTCTTTTGGAAAAGCTGAAGATTACTCTAAGTTGCTAGCAAACGCCACAAAACTAAGTGAGTTGTGGCTTCAGAGAGTGAATATGTCAGATATAAAACCTTCCTCCTTCTCCAACTTATCACGCTACTTGAAATATCTTGATTTCTCCAGTTGTGGATTAGTTGGAAGTTTCCAGAGACCGTCCTCCGCTTGCCAAATTCGGAATTGATATGTCTCAAACTTAACCAAGAGCTCTTGGTTCAATTTCCACAATCAAATTGTTCAGCGGCCCACCTCAAGGTATTAGACATTTCCATGACTAATTGTTCTGGACAAATCTTGCCCAATTCAACCGGGAATCTCAAGTCCTTGAGCGTTTTGAGTCTAGCTATGACTAGGACAAGTCCCATCTTCTTTTTGGAACCTCACCTCGTTAACATATATGAACCTGTCATTCAACAAGTTTTCAGGGAGTTTTTCTCATACGCTTTCTAATCTAGTTCAACTAGAAATTTTAGATATCAACGATAATAGCTTTTTTTATCGTTTCCTGTGATTTCGGGTAATCTTACCCAAGGAATAATAGATTTTTCTATACATAGTAACCTTTTTAGTGGATATATTACAAACTTCAATGGTTGGATTGTGCACGTAATCAGTTTGTTGATCCACTTCTAAGCGAGGTAGACAATATTAGCTTAAATAATTTAAATTTGGTCAACTTGTGTCATAACCGTATAAATGGAACTATTACATCTTGGTTGATAGCCCTTCCATCCTTGGAAATATTGAGCCTTTTTTATAACCAGCTAACTGGGGAAACCCCAAAATTCCAATCGCGTTCCTTAGTAGCTATTTTCCTGGGTTACAATCAATTACATGGCCTTGTACCAAACTCAATCTTCCAGAATAGAAATATCTCCAGGATGGGCCTCAATTCAAACAAGTTGATCAGGAGTATAACGTACCACATTTGTCACCTCACTTCCCTTCGAGTTATTAATTTGTCAAACGACACCGTCGGTGACACCATCCTAGAGTGTTTGGTCAATCTTACGCGGTTGACAATCTTGAGCCTGAGACAAATAACTTTCATGGTCCAGTTCCATCAATATTTGGTCATATGAGCAACCTGACATTGCTATACTTGAATGGGAACACACTAGAAAGGCCATTACCACAATCCCTAGAGGCATGCAAGATGCTGGAGGATTGTGTGAGATATCATTATCCAAGAAGTGTGAAGGTGATGACGATGATGATCATGAGGTTTTTTAACCTGAATTCGAATCCGATGGAGCATTGTTTGACTGGGTTTTCGCAGGGATTGGATACGCATGCGGACTAGTAATTGGGATATCGATGGCCTACATTATGTTCACTATTGGAAAGCCACAATGATTGTTGGAGATGGTGGAGAATTGGACTTGGCAACACCATACTAGACGATGGAGGCGGCCAATAAGCTTTTAAGTGTAGTCAACCATCTGAAGTTGGTTTTGCTTTGTCAGTTTTTGTTTTCTTCCCCTGTTTTGTTTATGAGCACTTCTACTATGCTATAAAGTATGGGTGCTTTAATGTACAACTCGGAGTTGTACCATAACGTTATATGTATAAGTTTAGGTTGTACCATAAAGGAATTTGTACATTTATGTTATGGTACAACTTTACAACTTAAAGTTGTACCATCACATAAATGTACAAGTTCAAGTTGTACCATGAAAGAATTTGTACAAAATAGTATAGGTACAATCTAAAGTTGTACCATAACATTAAAGGTATAACTTCAAGTTATACCATAAAATTAAAAAACCTATAGCACCAATGTTATCGACATTGATAAACTGATCTTATGGCTCCAACCACCGGAGAAGATCTTCTTTTATCTTTTTATTTTGCCAAGCTTTTTATTAGTAAAAATCGAGCTACCAATTGAACGACAGTTGGCCCGGGTAAAGATCTCGTTCCCGCGCCCCACAAATAGGTCCCGCCGACGGCTATGCCGTGCACTCTTCTTGCGAGACGGAGAGAGTGAGTATCCAAAATATCTTCAGATTCACAATATCTTGAATCTTACACAAATGTGCTTCTGCCTTGTGTTGGAATGAACAAACCAACATCTGCAATAGAGAACTCCAATGGCGATTCTCCCCATCGATCAGTTCTCGGTTCTGAAACCCACCAGAATTCAAACCAGCTTCTTCAGTTCAAGCAACAACACCTCAAGGTGAAGGAAACCAACTCTCGATGCCTTTCTTTTATCTGAGTTACCATATCTAAAAACAAATCTATTTTACGATTGAATCTCTTTGAATTAGGTGGAAGCGGCAGAGAATCTCCACAACCGTGATCAGGAGCTGTGGTAACCAAAGTGCGGCAGGGACGGAGAAGAATCACTACGAGCTGTTGGGGGTTTCTGTCGATTCGAGTTCCCAGCAGATCAAAGATGCTTACAGGAAGTTGCAGAAGATCTACCATCCTGATATTGTTGGCCAAAAGGTTAGCCTGTAAGTCTTTGTCAATCGATTTCCTCCCTTAGATTGAACAACTTGAAGAAAACGATTCCATTTTTTTATGGTTGTTAGGGCCATGAGTTCACATTGAGGCTGAATCAGGCTTACACGGTGCTGATGAAGGAGGATCTGAGGAGACAATATGATACGTCGATTGGAGAGTTCAGGATTGGGTTCCAGAGAACTGGTCGTGATGTTGAGAGTTGCAGCTCGTGGAATGGGCCGTTGAGACCCCATACTTTGTTCGTCGATGAAACTGCATGCATCTTTTCAATCACAGGATAAAAAGAGTGGAAGCATCCATGCTTTCAAGCTTTTTAAGATCTTGATGAGAAATGAGATTTGCAGGGTGTGGGGAATGTGCTTATCACGCGAGCAACACGTTTGAAATGGATGAGGCACTTGGATGTGCGAGAGTGAAAGTGCAGTACGGAGATGATGCAGAAAAGATTGAGGTACAAGTAACCTGATCTATTGAAAGAGAGTTGAGTGATGGCAGGGAAACTAGAAGGTAATTTAGTGACCTTTGCTCAGGTCTCAGTTGATTCGTGTCCTGTGAACTGCATCCACTGGATTGATAGCGAAGACTTGGGGTTGCTCGAGTCATTGATTCGACCTAAACCGAAGGAAGGGTTTGGTGTGTTTGGACAAGGTTGGGAGAGACCAGCAAATGTTTTCAAAGCAACTGAGACATTTAAAAAGCAGGTGGCAAAGCAGGCAAAAGATTATCAGGGCAATTGTAAGACTTCTCAGCAAGCAAGAGAATCAGGTTACAGTATATCATATTAATCAATTGTACTGATGACTAGCGGTTGAACTGCAGGGAGAGAACCTCCTGAAGAAGAAACATCGGCTCAAGCTGCGGCACGAGCTGATGCTAACTTGAATCTCAGGAAGGAGAGGTCCTTGTCAATTTGGAATATGATCAAAGAAACCTTTGGCTGAAACTTGTTATACAGAAGAAGGAAACTCTTGAAGAGCATCAAAGGAATTGATCAGAAAGACAAGTGCAGATAAAGATAGGAACTTTATTGCTCATGACTGTGTACATAAATACAGCATAGACCCATCAGAGGTTGAGCATGTAAACCTGCTAAAGCTTATACAATATGTTCTAGTTTTCCCTCAGGAGTGGACTATACAAATGAGCTAGTTGAAAACCTTCGAGTACTGTGAGTCAATATGCCATTCCTACTCATTGGCTAGTGAACTTGCATTTGTTTGAACCGACACAAACTTCACATTCCTTGACATCTCCGGCTACATGACTCAAACAGCAATTGATCCTATCATTCACCACATCCTGCCACAAAAGACCAGCCAAAATTTCAGAAGATGGGAGCCGACAGTTCAACTAAACATAGTTAGATACTGTCTAAAGAAAGCTACAAGAGAAATTGAACATTCATAAAAGAGAGCAATGCTAGACTACATACCAGCAGCATCTCATGCAAGCCAAGAGGTGCAGTTACGAGATATGATACACTAGGGTGTCCTTTTGCAGCTTCAACAGTTAATGAAGGAACGTCCTTTTAAATGGAAGCATGAAGAGTTCTTAGCTACTGCACGAAAACTTGCACCAAACATATCAATGACCAGCTTACTTTAGTTGCAGAGATATATAACCTGGTGCCAATGGCGTCCTGGGAAAAGGAAGAATGGGTTGACAACAACATGCTTCGCACCTTGTTGAACGCAAATGTCAAACGCGTCTTTGATCAATGGATCCGCCAGCTCCTATTCGCATTGACAACTAAAAATTTATTATAAAGCACCCTCGACACTACCTTTGGCTACTCTAGCTTAAAATCTTCCTTTTGTGCGCATGTTTATGGCACATGCAAAGATAAATATGCAGTCTTTTTGCAAGGAACTGCGCTATGAAGGCATTAAAGCTTTTTCGGAATGGAAGACAGAACTTACCATGTGAGCCGGCTCCACAATTGCGTATCCTGTTTTATCCTTGAACATAGCAACGAACTCATATGAAATCACACACAAGTAATGGAGATTGGAGATTAGAGATTATAAGTCGATGTCAAAAAATCAATTATGAATCCCCTGAGCTAGCGGAAGAAGTCAATCACAGCTTACTTAGCATGAGATTAGATTCTTTCCTCCGCGACCCATGGTCGACGATGATCACGCCATCGTTCTCTCTATCCCATGTGGGTTCTTCTTCCCTATCCCAGTATCTCGCCATTAGAAGTACCCGAGCTCATCCTCACAGCTAAAGAGTTGATTTTGGAACGACCCAGTGGAAGTTTCGAGATTTTGGGAACTGGGTTTCTTCCAGCTCCACTCCCTGCCACCATTAAACAGCTGAAAAATCGAACCGAAAACGTCGAGAAGAATTCGGATTTCAGATTACCTTTGCAGGGCGTTCGGATGAGGTAGGGACAGCGACTCTAACGACATCCTCCTTTCCCTTTTTGTGGTGATTTACCGGCGAGGTTGAGAGCGGCATTGCGGTCTCGTGTGCTGCTGTAAAACTTTCTGTAACTATGACGCTAAAGGGGAACCGTCGGCAGCCACCGCGGCGACGGGACGATGAATCTAAACGGATTAAGCCCAATGAAAATGGGCCTACCGGTGGCACCTCGTGACTGGACCTACGGGCCCAACCCGAGATTTGCATGATTGGCGAGATACATGTGGTTGGCGACAAACAATATCCTTGGTTATTACCAAACTCATTAGTTGATGCGTTTCTTTCAATTCAAAGGAAAAATAGCAAACACAACTGCTTTCAACAGCAGCATTATTTGGCTTAGCAGTATTTGCAAAAACTTCAACTTACAAGATATCTGGCTTGCACTTGGGAATCGGATGAAGTAATACTCAGAAAGTAATTCACATATTTTACTTCATTACTACAAAATGAATAAAATAAACGGAGTTAAACGAATCATATTAAAATTATATGTCAAACCATCTACCCCGCCAAATGATTAATCGTAACAAAATTATATGAATCGCATTAAAATTATATTATATGTCAAATCATCTACCCACCAAATGGTTAATGGTAACAAAATTATAATTTATGGTTATTGGTTAGAATTTGTGGCAAGTGAGGAAAATAACGAAGCATGCCGGAAAAAAAACAGAATTTTAAGGGAGAATTAGTTCTTAAAGTAAAAACTGAGTGGTTAATGTTGTGATAATTACCGTATTAGGCTTGCCAAAGGTAACATAGTCTAGACCAATTGAGCTCTGGATGTGGGAGGTCATGAGTTCGATTCCCAGTGGCGCCACTTGAACGTTCCCGGCGGCACCCTTGGTATCGGAGGCGAAACCTCCCCAATGTTAATAGCAGAAAGCCCCGATTGGTATGTAGGTACCCCAGTAATTCAGTAGGCCCCACCGTCACTCAAGCGACACTAGGGCTGAGGTTCTTTTGATTATCAAATAATTTTTTTTTTACCGTATTAGGCTTGATTTCGAAGGATACGACAGCGCAGCAGTCACAAGGAAAAGGAAAGTCTCCACTCCAGTGAAGTCAGATGCACTTCAAGTCTTCCCTTCCCTTTCCACTTTCGTCCTTGCACCGTTTCCGCTTCATATCTTTGATCTTTCCCACTCAAATCTCTCTGAGCGACCTTCCAGAGAGATATCCATCCTCTCAACATAAATCTTCACCAGGATTATCCCGTGACTCCCGTGAATTGCTCCAGTATCTCCAATTGGCGAAGCCTATACTCTCCCGTGCCGACCTCCGGCTCCCGACTGTCAGCTGGATCGAGCTTAGAGAACATTTCATCCTCCGCCATTGATTAGCTTGTTTTGAGCTTCGATATGGTGGCGGAGGATTGATGGTCTAAGGAAAGCGATATTGGGGGTTTAATGAAGCAGAGGAAGGCGGCGGCGGCGACGCAGATGCAGCAGCAGCAGCTCAAGTCCTACTACAAATGGAGGAGAAAAATGTTTGCTATGGTGCTGCTAGGGTTGTGCTTATGCAGTTTGGTTCTGATGCAGACTCAGTACAGTCAAATCATGGCGCTCAGTGCGCGGTTCCGTCACGAGCAGCAGCTGCCGCCGAGGATCGCCTTCTTGTTCATCGCTCGGAATCGGCTCCCTCTCGAAGTAGTATGGGATGCGTTTTTCAAGGTAAGAAAGGATCTGCTTCGATTTTTATGCTATGCGCTTAAGTAACAGCAGCGAATTGCTACGGGCTGAGTAATTAAATGTTTGCTGTTCATATTGACTCAGAATTTGAGAATTTTGATGGCTTTGCTATTTTAGAGTTTGATTCCTCTGTTAATGCAGAAAGTACTGGTTTATGCATCATCTTAGGGCTAGTGAGTGGTTATGGATGAAGCATTTTTGTGTTAATTGCAGGGTGAGGAGTCGAGATTTTCAGTTTTTGTTCATTCCAGGCCTGGATTTCTATTCAACGAGGCAACAACGAGGTCGGAGTATTTCCTGGATCGTCAAGTTAACAATAGCATTCAGGTTGTTGTTTCTTCCATCGAATGTGGTTTCTTTTCAACTGCAAACATTTGGTTTATTTACAGCTAGCTTTGTAGCATAACGATGGTGTGCATTTTGAACAGTATAACATTAAAAAAAAACTGCCTTGAAATTATGATTGCTTGCATTTGTGCACATTGGTCAACATATTAGCTCTGTAAAAGAGAATAAATCGTTGTGGAACCTGTGAACCAAATATATGATAGCTTCAATAAATGTTTCTCAGCAGTCAGCCTTGATTGTTGTGGCAAAGCAATGGTTTTGGTTTAACATATTACAGTATGCGGAATGTCACTGGCTTCGCAACTTATTATTCCAGGTAGATTGGGGAGAAGCTAGTATGATTGAGGCAGAGCGTATATTACTTCGACATGCACTTGAGGATCCCTCGAACAGGCGCTTTGTTTTCCTCTCAGACAGGTGTGTGACTCAGCATCTCAGGCATCCTATCGTGATTTCTTCATGTCTTATTGTTACTTATTAGGACCTCAGTCATCTGTGGTCCGAGCTTAATTTTTTTGGGTTGCTATTGGCTAACAAGATTTCAGTTGCATGATCTCTTCTCAGCTGCATACCTCTTTACAACTTCAGCTACACATATGACTATATCATGTCAACATCAACCAGTTTTGTAGACAGGTTAGTCCAGAGGTCCTTTAGCTTCGAAATAATAAGTCATGCTTGTATTTTCCGTGAAAAATTGTGGTTAGGGATGGTAGTCTGAGTGCTTCATGGCAATCCTATGAGTATTCCTCTTTTTAGCTGTTACTCTCATTTTCTGTTACGTCTGCTGTATTTGCTTACAACACATAACGGTATTTGCTGTGTGTGAGAACAGTTCATGCAGCATTAGAATTGCATGTCTGGTTTTGCTGATATTAGCACTATTGTTTAACCTAAAATCTGCATGCAGCTTTGCTGATACAAAAGATGGTCGCTACAATCCAAAGATGGACCCAGTGATCCCTGTAGATAACTGGAGGAAAGGATCTCAGGTGGTCGGCTACTTTCATTGCATGATTACTCCTGTGGCTAACAAAAAGTTTTTTAAAGCTTACATGGTGAAATCCAACTGTGTGATAGTCCTGCAGATTCCCTAATCTGTATTTTTCCTTCTTGTAGTGGGTTGTTCTGACCAGACAGCATGCTGGGGTTGTAGTGCAGGACAGTACTGTCTTTCCTGCTTTCCAAAAGCATTGCAGGGTAAGTTTGTATTCTTTGTTCATTTATTCTTGAAGTGCAGAATCAGTTTCCTCGTTTTATAGAAAAAAGGAATTCCATCTAATGGCTTGGCAGTTTCTTGATTCTCCATTAGCTGTATTCTCTTTCTATTCTCTTAATTGGATTTTGACTGTTGCTGCTATTGACATACAGCGGAAATCGCTACCTGAGTTCTGGAGGGATCAACCCTTTGTAAGTACTACTACGTTTATACAATGATATTCAAAGTCATGCTCTAAGTTCAGCTTCATGCATGACCCCTATTCAATGTTATGAGATTGTGATGCATTCTGATCCCCCATCTTCTTCGAATTTCTGTGATTGCAGCCTACTGATCCATCTAAGGAGCACAATTGTATACCTGATGAACATTATGTCCAAACATTATTAGCTGTAAGTTACTTTCTCATTCATCTTCCCTACATATCAGCAAATATCCTGCAAGCCTTTCTTTAACTTGCCAAACCCCCTCTCTGTTTTTTTCCTTGCGCCATCATTTAACTTTGTTGAAACCCTTTATCATTCTTCCTTTTTTGAAACCAGCAAAAGGGCCTCGAGAAAGAAATTACTCGAAGATCACTGACTCACAGTTCATGGGACGTTTCATCTTCTAAAGATCCAAAACGCCGAGGATGGCATCCTGTTTCCTACAAGTTTTCGGATGCTACTCCCATGCTAATACAGTCTATCAAGGTACTATTAAAATAAAACGATTACACTCAGTTCCTTTTCTATGATAATTTCTTCTCCAGTGGAGTGACAATGTGACATAATGATGGTGATGCGTTTGCAGGATATTGATAACATTTACTACGAGACAGAGTACAGACGAGAATGGTGCACCAGCAAAGGGAAACCCTCGACATGTTTCCTATTTGCTCGAAAATTCACACGACCTGCTGCCCTCCGCCTCCTCAATATGGTAAAGGTTTCAGACTTTACATGACTTCTTTATGAAGCTGGAATCACTTTCAAATTGCAAAGAAAGCGTGCGTCTTTCAAGTGTATAAATTATTTTGCGTATTACTTGCCTGGCGCCTCATGTTCTCACTTCATTTTGTTTTCTCAGCAGTCTGAGCTTGGTGTGTTTAAAGATAAAGCAACAAACGACCCCTGATCCTCAGGCGATAGAAGGTAATCGAACAAAACTAGCCTTCTAACCCCACAATGATAAAGATCAAGGAAGAACGTATATAAAAGTGGAGTTTAACGTGAAACTGAAGAGAGAGGTGTAAATTAGAGTCACTACAATGCAGTTGGTCAGAAAAGGTCATATATAGCCTAAATATAACGTGTGTTGTTGTATCTTGTTCTTCATAGTGATTAGTGTGCATGCTATAAGAGGCAAGACTATTGTTGATTTGTTTCTAGTCCATTTTTCGTCAGCCAAGTTCATGACTTGTATATTTGTGTTGTGTGTAGAAGGCGTTTTCAATTGATAGCTCCAGAATAAAAGATTGATATGTAGATAGTACACAGATACTAATTGGCTTAATTGCAAGTTTGGTCACTCGAATTGCTAAAAAATTTCACGTTTGCCACTCAAATTAATTTATTCCATTTATAGTCACTCGAATTAGTTGAACAGTTCAAGTTCGGTCACTCTCCGTTAATCTCCGTTAACTTTGACTGATGTGGCGGTCAACTCTGACAGTTGACCGTTAAATGTGTGACATGGCAAATAAAAAATAATATATTAAAAAAAATAATTATTTAAAATTTACACCTCATTTTTACATACATTAATCTTTAAGCGATAAAAAATCTTTCTTTTCTTCTCTTCTTCACGTATTCCAATTTCCGAAATTCTCTGGCCTCGGATATCTCTTCTGAGGAACTTCCGTCAACGTTCCAGGTGGGGAATTGGATAAAAAAATGCAGCGCTAGCCCCCGCCGCAAGCAGGCGCAGCCAAGCTCCAGCAAAGCCAAAGCCGCTGCCACCGTCGAGACTGTCCGTCATACTACTCGACCAAGGAATGTTGACAGTTTACAAACGGCTGTTCACAGTTTGCTTAACACTCAACATCCTCGCTTTAGTCCTCGCCGCCACCGGAGACTTCCCTTACGCGAGAAACAGAGCTGCTCTGTTTCCAATAGCCAACATCTTCGCTCTAACTCTCTGCCGGAGCGAGGCCTTTCTCCGGATCGTATTCTGGCTCGCCGTGAAACTTCTGGGGAGATCATTTATTCTGGCTCGTCTATGCTCTGTTTCTCACCCTGAAAAACAGAGCCGACACTTCCTCTGAAATCATAGCGAAAGCATCCGCCATTCTTTTCCTTCTTGGATTCTCGTGCTTAGCAGCTTTCCCACTCGTCCGCCATCTCCACCACAATTTCTTCGATCGAGTCCATCGATTCACCGGCTGGACGTCGCTCTGCCTTCTCTGGGCGTCTGTCACTCTCACAATCACGTACGACAGAGCAACCAAATCTTACATCAACGAATTGGGTTCGAAATTAATCAAACACCAGGAGTTTAGGTTCACGATTGTGATTTCTATTCTAATCATCATCCCTTGGCTGACCGTGAGACGGGTTCCGGTCAAGATCTCGTTGGGCCACGCCTCGTTGATCAAATTCGAAGGCAGGGTTAAACCAGGGATACTGGGGAGAATCAACCCGTCCCCGTTGTCGGAGTGGCACGCGTTTGGGATAATTTCCGTTGTCGGAGTGGCTTGCGGAGGAGGTGTACAGGAAGCAGTCGTCGTGGGTGATGCTAAACTCGAGGTTGAGAGACGAGATCAAGATCTCGGTGGCGAGGAAAATCGGCCAGGAGGTTTTACGAGCGGCATCGGTGGAGAGGAACGATCTGGCGGTAGAAAATAATAACTAAAAAAATTAGAATTTTTTTAATTTATAATAATTAGCTGGAAAATAAAAATAAAAAATAATATTATTTTGTTATTTTTTAATTGCCACGTCACACATTTAACGGTCAACTGTCAGAGTTGACCGCCACGTCAGTCAAAGTTAACGGAGAGTGACCGAACTTGAACTGTTCAACTAATTCGAGTGACTATAAATGGAATAAATTAATTTGAGTGGCAAACATGAAATTTTTTAGCAATTCGAGTGACCAAACTTGCAATTAAGCCGATACTAATTGGATGTTGTATTGCATATTAGTATTCCCTATCTACACGCTACAGGATGCAAATATTGCTTGTTCGAGTCCATGAAATGGTTTGGGCCTGAACGTGGGCCTCCGGGTGTTCAGTGCAATCCAAACGAGGAGGAGGCTGTGAAAATTGAGCCCAAACTGTCCGATTAATAAGAAAACACGTGACCACGTGGCTGAATTTCTGTCTAAGATGGAACCCCGAGACCACCGTCCACCGACACGTATTAAAATTAGTTGGTGAAACAAACAAACCAAACTAAACACAAAAAGAACCCGGTCAAAAAGATTTAGTGGGGGTTTGGATAATGAATTTTAGTTGATCAATTTGTTCCAATTGTTCAGGTCAAATTGATTTGTTTGGTAGCACAAAATTTAGATGAAGCAAATCTATCCGAATAATTTCAAATTGACTCATTTTGAGATAATTATAATTGTTTAAAGTGGGGTAGACCATTTGAATTGACTCATTTTAAATGTTTTATTTTGTAAAATGAGACAATCGACCAAATTATCTCATTTTTCAATTGATCAATCCAAACTACCCGGAATTTAAACAGACTAGACTCTTTTTTTTCCCACCGATGTGAAGACTGCCAACCGTCAGTAAGACGGGGACACCGTAATCCAATGTCGTCGGTCCACCGGCAGAACGATCGCACTATCTTTTCAGTCAGCAGATACATTAAATAACCTTATCTTACTCCCGATTGTCGGCAACCATTCCCGGCACGTACGATTTGGTCTTGTATAGTAAAAGAATGGGACGCCTTCTCGCGCGACTATGGCGTCCAGGTGCCATGCAGCATTGTCACGTTGGTCAGTTAGTCGTTAGTCACTAATCCGCCTGTTGCTTTTTCAACTCATAGAAGTAACCACCTCGGTTGACCAGTTAATAACTACCAGCCTAGTATCTTAAGACGCGTTTATCTGCTGTACGTGGCGGTTTTGTGTTGGTTGGAATTTGTTAGTTGAACGGTTGGCAAGCCGTTAGTAATATTAATATTATTATCCCTTACCTTTTTCTTCTCTGCCTTTTTCGGTTAGGAATTATGAATCGTTAGCTCCGGTCACTGATTTGTTACTTGCTAGAGAAGTACTCGACGTGGCTCCATCTGGAGAACCCGCGTGTTCAGGTTATCCAGTCCGGAAATGTATGGGCCGGTGGGTAATGGGCCCCGGGGCCTCCTTCACCAAAACGCCATCATCGCCGCATGTGTCTCGTTCTCGTATCACGCCGATGTTTCAATTCAGTGATTCGTGTTTGCTTTTCCAATTTAGTTCTCTCTTTGGAATCTTTGGTTAATGGGATTATTCTTTTCTTTTCCTTGTCTCCCGGTAGGCTCAACTTCTTGGCATGAGGAGCTAGAGGCTGAAGTTCTTTAAGGCCCCACGTGTCTCGGAGCCCATGAAGAAAGAAGAGAATTTTTCAAAACCCAACCACCATTCGTTCTAATGAGAATCCTTTTGCTTTCACTTTGATTTCTTTTGAAAATGAAAAATGGAGTATGCTGTACTATAGGCATGGATACGTTTAAGGTGTTGGGTTATTATGGGTAAAACAAATTAATTAGTAGAATAAAATACAAAATTAAATTAAATTACTGCACTAATGAGGCTCAATACTTTGGGCTTTTATGGGCCTCGTTATTTGATTTTTTTTATCTTATTAAATTTGTTTTGAAATTTTTAGATCAGCCATTGTATTGCATGTAATGATATGGTTTACAAGATTGTCACTCATGCACATTAGACGATTAAAATATAATAAAGGTATGTAGCTATCCAACAATATTAACATGTATATAGCTATATTTTCTGTTCATCATTGCACTAAAATCCTAGTTTAAGGATTAAGGGTGATCTTTGACTGTTAACTTCATTCCCCATCTCGGGTTGGTGGCCGTTGCCGTCGCCCGTCAGTGTCGGTTTTGGGCCGTGGCCGTCCACTTCCTTAGTGGGCCCTCATCAAATATTTGGCGGTCTCATCTCAGTGCCTCGCACCTCGCCATTCCCCTGAATAATGTCCCCCAAAGTCAAAGAGTCTTCATTGCCACACCTCTCTAGTAACATCAACGAGAAAAACGACCACTAATCAACTCGGATAATCCTATAATAATATCTAAACCAACGTCGACCGATTTTCCAAACCAACGCCACCGACCTCCTCTAAACTTCCCCTTCCACTATTAATTAAATCAACAGGACCACGAAGCTACCCTATAAGTATGGCCAGTTCTTCACTCCAAATGAAGGTTAAAAAAAACAACCCACTCCATCACATTTGCTTACCCACAACACCAGCCCTTCATTCCATTACAAAGACACAGAGAATCGAAAACCTTCCCACCAATAATAGAAGCACATAGAAGAAAAATCTAATAAGTCTTCTCGTTCCTTCTCCTTATTTCTAGAATATACCTCCCCACAAACCGAATCTCATCCCCCTTTTCTCCCCTTCCAGTCCCATCACTCCCCATTTCTCCACTCTCTTCCTTGCCGCAATTGAATCCAGCCCTCCATACCTTCTTCCCAGTTTCCTCCTCCGGCAGCATCAATGGCTCCAAGCGCCCCCAAATTGAGCGCCAAAATCAACGACCTAATGGAATCCCACGCCAACCAGCTCCTCAACCCCTCCCCCGCCGCCTGCGCCATCTCCCTCGACGGATCAACCCTCAAATCCAACGGCCACGCCTTCCTCACCGACGTCCCAGCCAACATCACCCTCACCGCCTCCGCCGACAAATCCGGAGCCTTCCTCGGATTCAACGCCGCAGAACCCGACCACCGCCACGTGTCGCCCATCGGGAAGCTCAAGAACCTACGGTTCATGAGCATCTTCCGGTTCAAAGTCTGGTGGACCACCCACTGGGTTGGATCCAACGGCCGCGACCTCGAACACGAGACCCAACTCCTCCTCCTCGACACGTCACCGACTGGCGGTGGGCCCTACGTCCTCATCGTCCCAATTCTTGAAGGGCAGTTTCGGGCTTCCCTCCAGCCCGGGCAAAACGACGACGTGGACGTCTGCGTGGAGAGCGGGTCAACGCAAGTCAAGGCCTCGAGCTTCAACAGCGTGGTGTACATTCACACGGGAGATGACCCTTTTACCCTCGTGAAAAACGGGATGGGAGTCGTCCGGGCCCACCTCGGGACTTTCAAGCTGCTCGACGAGAAGGACCCACCGGGGATCGTGGACAAATTCGGGTGGTGCACGTGGGACGCATTCTACCTTACGGTGAACCCGCAGGGAATCTGGGACGGAGTCAAGGGGCTCGCCGACGGCGGGTGCCCGCCGGGGCTGGTCCTGATCGACGACGGGTGGCAGTCGATCAGCCACGATGAGGATCCGGTGACGAAGGAAGGGATGAACCACACCGTCGCCGGGGAGCAGATGCCGTGCCGGCTGCTCAAGTTCCAGGAGAACTACAAGTTCCGGGATTACGTCAGCAGGAAGGAGGAAGTTACGGAAAAGGGCATGGGCGCGTTTGTGAGGGACTTGAAGGATGAGTTCGGGACGGTGGATTACGTCTATGTTTGGCACGCGCTGTGTGGGTATTGGGGCGGGATCCGGCCCAATGTTCCGGGCCTGCCGGAGAGCGTCGTCGTCAGGCCCAAGTTGTCTCCCGGGCTGGAGAAGACCATGGAGGATCTCGCCGTGGATAAGATCGTTAGTAACGGCATCGGGTTGGTCCCGCCGGAGCATGTGGACCAGATGTACGATGGCATCCACTCTCATCTCGAGAAAGCTGGAATCGACGGCGTTAAAGTCGACGTCATCCATGTAAGTTCTAGCCATTACTCGATGCTGTCTATTTAATTATTAATTTTATATTCTACAAAATTTATGGTTGTGAGGGACGTGGCAGTTGTTGGAAATGCTGTGTGAGAATTACGGAGGGAGAGTTGACCTGGCAAAGGCGTATTTCAAGGCGTTGACCGCCTCTGTTAACAAGCACTTCAACGGGAACGGAGTAATTGCGAGCATGGAGCATTGTAACGATTTCATGTTCCTTGGAACAGAAGCCATCTCTCTTGGACGTGTTGGTAAGTTTTCACTTTTCACGTCATTTACCTTGTTTGGACTTCTATCTATTGGGCTGGATTGGGATTGGAAGTTTGGACTAAATGGTGGTGTTGTTGGGCTTTGGGCTGAATCCAGGTGATGATTTTTGGTGCACGGATCCATCGGGCGACCCGAACGGCAAATTCTGGCTTCAGGGGTGTCACATGGTTCACTGTGCCTACAACAGTTTGTGGATGGGCAATTTCATCCACCCGGATTGGGACATGTTCCAGTCGACACACCCTTGTGCCGAGTTCCACGCTGCGTCTCGTGCCATCTCCGGTGGGCCGATCTACATCAGCGACACCGTGGGCAACCACAACTTCCCGTTGCTTAAGCGGTTGGCGATGCCGGACGGTTCGATCCTCCGGTGCGAGTACTATGCTCTTCCCACTAGGGACTGCCTCTTTGAGGATCCCCTCCATGATGGAAAAACCATGCTCAAGATTTGGAACTTGAACAAGGTACGTTGAAATGCCTAACTCTTAATTTGGGCCGTATAGGCCCGTTTTCGATGTTAAAGTAATGATTAATTATTTTATTTTTTTTAACAGTTTACCGGCGTTGTTGGGGCGTTTAACTGCCAAGGCGGAGGGTGGTCCAGAGAGACGAGACGCAACCAATGCTTCTCAGAATTCTCTCACAAGTTGACGGCCCAAACCAACCCAAAGGACATTGAATGGGCCAGGGGGAAAAGCCCAATCTCCATCGAAGGAGTCCAGGTATTCGTCATGTACATGTCGAAGGCCCAGAAGCTCGTCATGTCCAAGCCCACGGACAACATCGAGGTCTCGCTGGAGCCGTTCGAGTTTGAGCTGATCACGGTGTCGCCGGTGACCGTATTGGCCGGGAAGTCGGTTCAATTTGCGCCTATTGGCCTTGTGAACATGCTCAACTCCGGCGGGGCGATCCAGTCGGTGGATTACCGGGACGAATCGGTGGAAATTGGTGTTAAGGGTGCCGGAGAAATGGTGGCGTTTGCGTCGGAGAAGCCGGCAGGCTGCAAGGTGGATGGTGGGGAGGTTGAGTTCAAGTACGATGGTTGCTTGGTTACCGTCGAAGTTCCATGGTCCTCGGATTCGTCGGCTGTTTCACAGGTTGAATTCGCGTTTTGATTTATATCTCAAATGGCAATGGATGCCTGAGATTGGATTGCATGTTAATTTTTATTTGTCAGTGTGATTGAGAATGTAAGAAATGATGACTTGAGACCTTTTACGTAATTTTAATCGTAATGGTTTTCATAATCGCATGGGCTATAGAGGTTGAGGTCACAAACAAATTAGTCACTAAATTCAATTTTAAGAGACTTGTAATTGAAGTCATGAAAATTTTCAGCACGAGTATGTATTTTCGTCAATTTTTGTTACTAATTTTTCGTCTATATGATAAGAGATTAGCATGTCAACTTTGAGAGTAATAGTAAAAGCGGTACATAGATCTTGATTTAGTGGTTCGAAGGACTCATTTGATCCATACTTGATCCAAATCAAATCAACATTTTGGTTATTTTTAGTGAACTTTAACTCTCTTTTTCAGAAAACAACGTAATTTCTTCATATCTATTTAAAGCTACATAATTAGATAGTTTGCTTGATTTTCTCGTTACTAATTTGAGTAAGTTGATACACCAATATGGACAATCTCAATGCATACTTTGATGACAATGAGCGATGTATTCATGTGTCAATAGAGTGAAAAGTTTATTGGTATCCAAAAGTTCACTCTTGTGTCAAACTGAAAAAGCTATTCTAGGTTTTTTAAACTGATTTTAAGTGAATCAATGAGTCAATGAATATGAAACAAGTTTGTATATACATATAAGAAGTAAATTTTGTTACTATCCCTCATTGAAAATAAGACACACTACCAGACTTTGGAACATGTATTCTATAACCTACAACTGTCGAGTGCAAGCAGTGGTGTAAGCAAGATTCGGGTTTAGTGGGGTTCTAGTATAAAAAATTCTAAGACATTTTATTCAACTATGAAGTAAATTCTCTTCAAAATTCAGTCAAGTAGTCATTCATTAGATCATCAATTATTAGATTTGTATCTTGTATTTTGTGTAACTCATAGTTGAAAAGTGACATTTAGATACAGCTAAATAAATAGCTCCCAAGCCACAAAGATAATATAAAGTACATTTGATGACAAAGAAATTGTATATTAATAGAAAATTTGTTGAATTAAGGGCTTATTAGATATAGCCAGGATTTTTTTTTACATATTTAGTAGAATTAGATTTTTTTAATTAGAATTTATAAAATTGAGAATTTTCAATGTTATCTGATTGATACGTGCTAGTTTATTTGCGTGTTTCATAATACTATGACAATCAAAATTTTATACAAATGGGGTCCTCAATTCCGAAACTACCAAAACTAAACAAGAACATGCATATATGTAGCCATTTTTAATTTATCCAAGTGGGTCCTAAGACCCCACTCCTATCCACCTCCCTCCGCCACTTTGACAGTTCTAAAACACTAAAATATTATACCATAATAGCCATGATTGTTAAAACCAAGGATGTCAACCCAATTTAGCTCGTTGATCTGGTCGAGTAAGTGGGTTGAAGGTAATGGGTCGATGGCCTCTTTAGCTTAGATATATGGAAAATGTAATTATATTGTTCATATATATATAAATCATATCAAATTTCGTCTAACACATGAGTAATAACATATAAAATTACATTAAACTAGCATATCATACTGGGACCTAACATATAGTTAAAATTCACATTACTTATATAATATCAATATTCAAATGTTCAATTTAAAATTACAAATATATAATTAGGCGAAGAAGAAAACATGAAAAGAGGCATATTTCGTAAAACAAAAAGATAAACAATAACGTGTGTACCCGATAACGTGTCTATCCGTTGGTGTGTTTGGCCTTTTTCTCACCTGGTCATGGTCAAAACGGTTCAACCAGCAGTTCGACCCAGCTGTTGACAACCTTGTTAATTTCACGCCACTGTTTGCTTTTGCCCCATGGGCCGTAGTTTCGTCGCGCTCGCGTATAAGAAAGCAAAAGGGTAACTCGCGCGAAGGAAGGAACAACCCACAAACAATGCGGGTGGGTGCCGACTGCCGACTGACGAGCCGAACAACACCAGGGGAGCCCAGACTTTGCTCCCAAGTCCCATCCCATTTCTTCTTCTCTCTCTCTCTCTCTCTCTCTCTCTCTCTCTCTCTCTCTCTCCTTCTTCCAAGTCATTCTTTATTATTCTTCTCTCCTTGGTCCATCCCCTTCCTCTTCGGCATCGTGATTATCTCAGATGAATACGTCGCAGTATATGGACAAACAGATTATGGATTTGACCTCATCCCCCCAACCCCAAGGCTTATCATCATCCCCCACCCACCACTCCATCGGCGGCGGTAAGGACTTCATCGATCTGATGAATCACCATCCGCGGGACGACGAACACGATCAGCACGCCAATTACGCTGGGAACGATACCAGGAAGGAGGATGTCATGGTTCCCAGCTACGATTTCCACCCTATTCGCCCCGTTGCTGGAGGATTGGGAGGAGGAGGAGGAGATTCCACTACTGGTGCTAGGGCTTGGAGTTCAGTCGACGGCAAGTCCAGTTTCGTCAATTTCGCCATGGCCGATTCTCCAGTCCGGGTACTTCAAATTCAAACCCTCTTTTGTGGTTTAGTTCAGTTTTGATTTAGCCCTATTGTCTGATCTCGAATTGGGGCTCGCCATGTTGTTTTGACAATGGAATAGTGTCGAACACATTGATAGGATTGTTTAGATAGGAATCTTTACGATGATTTATTATTATGCTTTAGCTGGTGACGATTTGGCTGTGGATTATGTGTCAGAGCAGCAATTGAAGTGTTTTGTTCTTGTGGATTTCGTTGAGCTAGAGTAAAGCCTCAATGTAGACTTGGAAATAGAAATTTTTTTCACTTGTTATTTCCATTCCGTTCCTGGGTTAAGCTTGATGAGTGATTCATTTCTACTTGCATGTTAGATCTGATCCTTGTCTTTCTTTCTGACTTGAGCTATATATCCCAACTGTTGGATCAGGTATTAGTTTGATTAGGTGTGTGGAAAGGAGTTCTTGGTTGTGCATTTCTAATACAGTTTCGTGTGTGTTTCCGGTCTCGATATATGTTGTCTGTATTGCATTGTTGATGTTGTGGTACATTGTTTTGTCGACAGCACTATGGCTCGCTTGACTCGATGGAACCATCCAAAGACGTCTTGGACAAGGAACGAACCGTTTCTGATTCATCGATACTATCTGAGATCGACAGAACTATGAAGAGACACACAGATAACATGCTGATTATTTTAGAAGGTGTAAGTTCCAGACTGATCCAGTTGGAGAGCAGAACTCGCAACCTCGAGAGTTCTGTGGATGATTTGAAGGTTTCTGTTGGGAACAATCATGGAAGCACTGATGGGAAGATGAGACAGCTGGAGAATATCCTCCGAGAGGTAGGCTTCACCCCACATATAGAGTACTCTTCGTCCTCGCACTTAGCAAATCATTGCTGCCTCTTGCTTTAATTGCCTTGAATTTCTTATGTTTGTTTACGAGTTCTTATGATGTAGTTTACTTCGTCTTGCCACATTGCATTATGAAAGGTTTAGGTCCCTGCTCTGGGTTTTTCTTGTGAGTTGTTTTTGTTTGGACACCTGCTCACATAGTCAAGTTGCTTGTCTATCTTTGTAAATCACTATTTATTTGGTGCCTGATACGATCCTAATCGATCCTTTTTGTTGCAGGTACAAACTGGGGTGCAGGCTGTTAAGGATAAGCAACAACTACTTGAGTCACAGCTTCACCTTCAAAACCTTCACGTCTCTAATGTCAACCAACATCAACAAGAGCCACAAAACACCGGCCAGGCTGCGAATGCTGTGCAGCAACAAGCACCATCTGCCTCTGCTCCACCGCAATCCCATCATCAACATGCGTCTCCTCAATTAAAAAAGCTTCCCACAATCACTCCCTTCTGTGCCTGGTCCACCTCCTCCAACCGTCCCTCTCCCTCAGCCGCAAAGTCTGCCCCCTATCACTCCACTTCCAAACCAATTCACACCCCCTCCTTCAGTCCCTCAACGAGATCCATACTATGTGCCTGCTGGCCACACTCACGAACCACCTCCAAACCCACAGTACCAGGGGCCCCCACCACAGCAAGCATCTCCTGTTGCCACTCCTCCCCCTCCTCATCAACTGTATCAGTCTTCTCCACCACAATACCCGCAGCAACAACCCCAGATACCACAGCAACCTCAACAGCCAGCTGGCCACCACTCTGACGAGGCCTCTTATCTCGCCTCTCAAAGCTATCCACCACGACAACCGCCATCTCAGCTACCTGGTGGTGGTCGCTTCCCGCCCCAGCAGTACTACGACACTCCTCCTCCCTCTACTGGGTACAATCCTCCTCTATCCGGATCCATGGAAATGTACCCTTACAGTGGAGGCGGCAGCACAATGGTGAAACCACTGCAACTCCAATCTGTCTCTATGTCTCCTCATGGTGGAGGTGGGACTGGGTACCCTCAACTTCCGACGGCCCGTGTGCTGCAATAGGGTTCGCCCTCCAGGTCAGCGGCTGGTGGTGCTGGATCAGGTTTAGGCTCCGGAAACAGGGTTCCAATTGATGACGTGATTGACAAGGTGGCGACCATGGGGTTTTCGAGGGATCATGTTCGTGAAGCGGTTCAAAAACTCACAGAGTATGGGCAGTCGGTTGACTTGAACATCGTCCTGGATAAGCTGATGAATGACTCGGATTTCCAGCCGCCTAGTGGGTGGTTCGGCCGGTAGCTTTGCCTAATTGCCTCTTTGATTTGCATGTATAGAACTATCGTCTGTTTCCTGCCAGAAAAGTGCAACAGCGATTTGGTTTGTCTTCCATTTTCGCCCTCCTCATAGACGATCTTAATCCTTTGTTTGAGAGCGTTCTCATCCATGTTTGTCTTGTCTATAACTTCGAGCAGCTGCTGTTTCATTTGTCCATAAAATTCATCACATACTTTTTTCTCCATTCGTGACTGTGTCGGTTTCTATGAGATTCTTTTCTTGTAGCTTGCAACCTTCATCACTTGAGTTGTGCGTCAATCTGAGATGTTAAGTGATGGTTCGGACTTCGGACAAGATCTACTTTTGAAAGGCAAAAGGTTGCCTTTCAAGCTTTTGCTTCGTATAGGTTCATTTGGCAAACCTTTGGCATGGTGTGCTGAACAGGATGGAAAATATAGAGAAAAAAAAATGAAGATGAAAGTGTATTTGATTTGATTCACTTGGTTTGGTTTCGAATTCTGCATAGTTTTGCTAAAGAGGATGAGTTGAATCAGAGGGAAAAAAATCTTCAAATCGAGTTAACTTAATTATTCCTTTAATCTTGATATTAAGATTCATTCAATTATTTAACTTCCATTGAATTATGTATGCAATAGGCAAAAATCAATCCAGTACCGTTCTTTGTTCTTGTTATTATAGCACCTGTGTCGCTCAAGAGCATAGAATACAGCAACTTCTTTGCAGTACTTTATTTGACCATAAATCTATAACTAGATTTAAGAAAAATCATCTAAATCGATTGGAGCCAATAGAACATATAAAAAAAGTATTAAAATTAAAACTCGTCGTAATTTGAAATGAGCTGAAAGAGGAAAGTATACTGTACTACGAAGAAAGAATTGTTGTTCCTCTCGTTTTCATCCTCACATTATTTTATTTTGGCCTTTTAAGTCCACACCTTCCCCATCCCGTCTTTGTATTGTTCTGTTGGTTCTGTCATCTGTGATCATTTTGCCTTTCTTTCTTTTGTAGCTGTTGTTTGTTGTAATTCTCACAGCTCGTTTCCTTTCCCACTTCACCTCCAACACAAGAAAGCCTTCGTCCACAAAAATACACACAATCACTTCGCCCAAAACCCTTCCCTGCCAAATTCCCCTCAGAGCTCCCTCGCTCCACAATCCCTCCCGCCACTTATTTACGGTCCTGCCCTCTTTTCTCCCCGCAACTTGCCAAAACTCCTTGATATCCCCCGAAATGCCCTCCCGTCGCCGCCCTATTTACGCCGCCGTGACGGACTGATATCAATTCAGTTAGACGGCGAGCAAACGCCGCGGTTCCTCTTTCGCTCTCGATTCTGTAAGTCGATACACCTGCTTTAGTTTTGCCGGCCTATCTCTCTCTCCGACTGTCAATCCGTGTAGAGTTTTCTGTTGTTTTCGGTTGCGGGATGTATGTGAGTGATTTCTCTATGTGTTCCGGATGGTGATTTGTGATTGAATTCATTAAGGATGAATTTGATTTATCCGGAGGGCTTGAATTCCATATGCTTGTGCCTGTCTTTCGTTGGTTGGTTCGTCTCCTTTGATTAGGGTTTTACTGAATTGCTTCGCGAATGTGGTTTTCCTCCCCTTCCCTGGCTTCTGGTCCGGGTGAATCCTATGCTGGAAATGAGTGGTTTACTGGCTGAGTGTCGTTACGTCACCGTGGGAGTCCTGTCTGGGCGAAATCAGTTTGTGCAGAGTGAAATTCAGTTTGCGTTTGTTGCAGAACTAGGTTAGTACATTTGGTTTCGGTTGAAGTTAGCGGAGTTGGTGGTATAGTCTTATTGACGTGTGCTGGGCTGTAGAATCTCAGATTACCATTTTAGAGTGGATTGCAAATGTGGAGTCTAGTTGGCCTAAGAACTATCTGTTCCAAATCAAGACTACTTTGTTTCTGTGTTTATGGAAGTGGTAACGTTCGTTACCCTTTAATGCACTTTGCTCACCTAGTATCTGCCCGGGCGTGATAGGTATGTGTATTTGAGATCAAGCATCCGCAGCGTCTAGTTACAACACGTGGCTTTAAGTGACTGGAAGTTGCCATGTGTGTTTAGCTTTTTATTTTATTTTATTGTGACGATATGTTCGATTTTGTTTGGTTGCAATCATGGATGATCGAGTTGATGCTTTTTATTAATGTGAATAGAACTCGTCAGCTTGAAACCAGTTATGTCGAAATGCTGTCGTAATTTTTTTTGGTTGTGTTGTTGTTTACCTGAAATTGAAATCCTTTATGTCTGACAGGATGCTAACATGTAGTAGAACATATTTTGGCCTTCTTATTTTTGCTTTGTATCCATTTTAGAAACATATGCATGTCCGATGTATATGGAATGTGTTCACAAACTGAGATATATGAGGATGCAACGGTGTTTGCATTCCGATTTCTGGTACTTTGCTGTGTTTTTTAAAGTTATGATGTTGAATATGAGCACTAGCTGTTATGTATGGCCATTTTCCCCCAGCAGAACTAGTATTTCATGCTTTTTGTACATATTTCTTCATGCAATTAGTATATCATGTCATTATTAGTTTTTTCAACCCACTCTTTTGAAATGGAGTTCAAATTTATTTGTTGCTATCCTGCCTATCCTGTTTATTTCGTTGCATTTGAAGAGGAATTTAAACTTGTTTTCTGCCTAACTTACCTGCATAAGCATCCACATACTTTTTTATACGAAATGTCTGTAATTCAATGATCAATGTTGTTTGTATCCTCCCTATTGGGGACCTGTTTAGTGCCTTGCCCAACAAGTGTATTCCATGACAATCTTTTCTTGATTCACCTTCAGTTGCTTCCTCCTTTATTATCTGCAAAAATATGCTAGTTGCCTCAATTTCGAGATTTTCTCGGGATGATGAGTAATCAATTTCGGAAGTACTCCACTGGTCTTCACGTTCATCTTCAATGTGATATGTTTCCTAACATACCAATGTGATTTTAAGTTACTAAGGATATCACAAAAAACATCAAATGGTTTCTAACATTATTCTTTGTTCACCAGAACACTAAATAACGTACGAGTACACCAACAACCTCCATTTTCATCTTGCTCTTGAAACTTAGGCAGGGTAGTTACCTTGGACTTGGCAGATCATTTGCAAGTTATATTGGGAAGCAATCATCAGTAGCTGACGCAGTAGCTTTTCCTGGGAGGATTTCAGCTGCTGCATCTCCTCTATTTGGGTCTCAAACTTGTCCTCCTGGCTCTATATCTTTTCTTCATGAAGCAGTATCTTCTCATCCTGGCCTTTTAGCTGTTGCTCCCGACTTTGTATCCTCACCTCATACTCCTTGCTTTTTTCTCTATTTCAGCTCTTGCTGCCTCCAATTCTAGAAGCTGAGGAAAGCCCTAATCTATAATTATAATGAGACCATGTTTAACACATATATTCTTGGTTTCCCCCAACTCTTCTTGTGGTTCATAAAAGCCAGACCAAATTGTTACTTGGCTGCCAAAATCCAAATATAAAAAAATAAACAAGGCCACAAATTAGGGTCTGATAATAGCAAAATGAGTCAAAACAAACTTAGAACGCAGAGAAACAAAGAATATTTAGAAAGGTTCAGGGAGGAGGAAAATCCAAAACTTACTTTTGGAAACACACCTGTAGCTGGAAATGAGTCAGTCACTCAACCTCCAACGTACCTCTCGGCACTATCAATCCACAATGCAAAATCCAGAAATCCCGTTGAGGAACTTGATAACGATGTAATTGCACACATTTGCGCCCCTAGTTCTTATCCGTTTGAGGGGCATAGTCGTGTGCTTTTGGCCTATTTTACGCCGGGTTGTGTTATTTTGTCATATTTCAGGTCCCAGGCGTCAAAGGGAAGGCTAAGCACGAGTTTCGGGGCATTCGGAGGTCATTTCGTCAAACTGGAGACAAAACACGGGCAGGCCTAAAGCATTACACGGCCGTGTACTGGTGGCCGTGCTTTTACTGCCGAGAGCAAAGTCGAGCTGGGATAATTGTGGCTAAAAACACGGCCAGAAGCACGACCGTGTCCACAAAAGCACGGCCGTGTCCTATCCAAAACACGGCCGTGTTTATCCCAACTGCTGGTCGTGTAATTAACCCTGGCCGAGGCACGGGCGGGTTCAGGCAAAGCACGGCCGTGCCCTCGACCGTGCTTTGGCCCGTGATGCCCTTTTAAGCAGATTTTCAGCCAAACAGAAGGAGATTCGAGTTTTTGAGAGAAAGAACGATTCCTAGAGAGAGAAAGTGACGAACAAGAGTCTCCAAGTGCCATAGATTGATTTTCAACACCATTGGAGGCCAGTTTGAGTTTGGAGAAGTGCCGATCAACGTCCAGGAGCAGGAAATCATCCTTCACAGTATGAATTCCGCGTCTGATTCTGCTTTTGCTTCTTTCTCCATGGAGTAGTTCTCCCATTCATCTGGGTATGGAGAACCCTAGATTTGTATGTTAGGCTTTGATTGTATGAACCCAAGTACTGATTCTATGATTTGATTATATTCGATTGAGGTTTGAATGATTGAATGACTTGAATCCTGATCAAATTCCTGTTGTTTCTGCTTTAACCTAGAATGAGAATATCTGCCTAGGTTGATAGAGCATCCTTGATTGAAGGTAGGGAGTTGGTGACTTTAGTCGAGGAGCCAACTCACTATTCTGTACTGGATTTACTCCGGTAGTGGATGTTTTGTTTGTTAAGGTCTCAATCTGTCTACTCCGGTGGAGGTTAGTCGCCCGCTAGAGACTCAGATTGAGAGGGTCTGAAGACCTTTAGTCGAGACTTCAGGCTGTTTAAGAACCTTCCGCAGTATAACTATCATAGAAACTGAACTTGGTAATTACAATCCGGCTTAACTGCAGTCTAGGGGGAACCATATCCGGGTGACCTCTCTTAACTTGAATACAACCGTTTACTTGCTTTGTTAGTTTGATAGTTTAGACTTGCATTCCAGTTTCATTGCTAGATAACAAGAATTCACTGAGTAGTCATCAGATCTAGGACCCGGGTTGATAATTAAACCTAAGCCCGCTATACTACGCTTTAGGAAGTGGTTTCACTTGGCCAATTCCTGGAGTGACAGTAGAAGTGAGTCAAGTTTTTGGCGCCGTTGCCGGGGACGGCTAGGTTGTTGAAGAAAAGTGATTTCTGTTAATTTAGCTTTTCTTTTTGCTTTGTTTGCTTTGTCCCACTTGTGCCTTCACGGGTTTGTTTGCTTGAGTGTGTGCAGGTAGTGCATGACCCGTAGCCAGTCAGGAGGTTTATTGCCGTTGAATCCAGAGATTGACCGCACCTGTCGCCAGCTCAGGAGACAACAGCGAGCTAGACTGGCTACGGAAGAGCGCATAGACGGCCACCTGAGTAGCGATTCTGAAGAAGAGTACGGGATGGACGGAGACTACAATCAACACCAGGGGAATCCGCAGCAGGTTCCCCCGGTGAATCAGGTCCTGGGGAACAACCCCATACCCCAGGATCATGGAGTTCATCATCCACCGCAGCCGGGTCCCACCTTGGAGTACTACTACACTCCTCGGATTGCTGACATCCGCCCGATCATCCTCTACCCGCCTATTCCAGCAAACAACTTCGAGATCAAGCCATGCTCGATTCAACTCATTACATCCTCTATCCAGTTCCATGGCTTGAAGGATGAGGAGGCCAGGGTACATCTTTCCCGTTTTTTGCAGCTGACGAACGGGTTCAAGCTGAATGGTGTCCCGGATGATGCAATCCGCCTTCATCTCTTCCCCCATTCTCTGGCGGGGAATGCTAAGAGGTGGTTGGAGACCCAGCCCCCATTGTCCATCACCTCTTGGGACGATCTGGCTGACAAATTCGTGCACAGGTACTATCCGGCATCGAAGACTACCGAGATACAGCGGGAGATCACTCACTTCCACCAAGAGCCAGATGAGTCACTTCGTGATGCATGGGAGCGGTACATGGGCTATTTCTGGCAGTGTCCCCATCATGGCTTTAGTGATGCATTCACAGTGGGGAACTTCTACAGTGCTCTCTCTCCAGATAGCCAGAGGGTGATTGAGTCTCTATGCCCAGGAGGGGATGTTCTCACCAAGACTCCACCCGAGCTGAACCAGATGATCAGTACTTTGGCTGCCAGAGATCATTCTTGGGGACAGGGTAGCCGAGGCAGACAGTCCCGGGACCGTGGTGTGCACGCCATGGAGACCAGATCCGGGCTCGAGCAGCAGGTAGCTGAGCTAGTGCAGACATTGAAACAGCCCAACAGTCTGATTCCGTGCAGAGGTTTGGCTACACCTCCAGTAGCTCAATGTCAGTGGTGCGAGAGCTCCAATCACCTAGTGGAGGACTGCCAGGATCTGAGGGAGTCTACCACACCCTAAGAGCAGTTGGCCTTCATCGCCAATGCGCGGCGCCTCGATCCATACAGTAACACATATAATGAGGGGTGGCGCCAGCATCCCAACTTCGTCTGGAGCAACAACACCACTAAACCACCTGGTTTCCCAGCACAGGCAGGTGGTTTTCAGCAGAGGCAGCCCTTCCAGGCTCGCCAGGGGCCAGACCCACAGCAGCAGCCCTACCAGCCTAGGCAGGGGGCAGCCATTCCAGCAGCCCCATCGCTAGTTTGCCGAGCCAGCAGCAGCTCCGGCCCCAGATGACAGGATGACGAAGCTGAAAACACGGCCAGAAGCACGACCGTGTCCACAAAAGCACGGCCGTGTCCTATCCAAAACACGGCCGTGTTTATCCCAACTGCTGGTCGTGTAATTAACCCTGGCCGAGGCACGGGCGGGTTCAGGCAAAGCACGGCCGTGCCCTCGACCGTGCTTTGGCCCGTGATGCCCTTTTTTTCAGCCAAACAGAAGGAGATTCGAGTTTTTGAGAGAAAGAACGATTCCTAGAGAGAGAAAGTGACGAACAAGAGTCTCCAAGTGCCATAGATTGATTTTCAACACCATTGGAGGCCAGTTTGAGTTTGGAGAAGTGCCGATCAACGTCCAGGAGCAGGAAATCATCCTTCACAGTATGAAGTCCGCGTCTGATTCTGCTTTTGCTTCTTTCTCCATGGAGTAGTTCTCCCATTCATCTGGGTATGGAGAACCCTAGATTTGTATGTTAGGCTTTGATTGTATGAACCCAAGTACTGATTCTATGATTTGATTATATTCGATTGAGGTTTGAATGATTGAATGACTTGAATCCTGATCAAATTCCTGTTGTTTCTGCTTTAACCTAGAATGAGAATATCTGCCTAGGTTGATAGAGCATCCTTGATTGAAGGTAGGGAGTTGGTGACTTTAGTCGAGGAGCCAACTCACTATTCTGTACTGGATTTACTCCGGTAGTGGATGTTTTGTTTGTTAAGGTCTCAATCTGTCTACTCCGGTGGAGGTTAGTCGCCCGCTAGAGACTCAGATTGAGAGGGTCTGAAGACCTTTAGTCGAGACTTCAGGCTGTTTAAGAACCTTCCGCAGTATAACTATCATAGAAACTGAACTTGGTAATTACAATCCGACTTAACTGCAGTCTAGGGGAACCATATCCGGGTGACCTCTCTTAACTTGAATACAACCGTTTACTTGCTTTGTTAGTTTGATAGTTTAGACTTGCATTCCAGTTTCATTGCTAGATAACAAGAATTCACTGAGTAGTCATCAGATCTAGGACCCGGGTTGATAATTAAACCTAAGCCCGCTATACTACGCTTTAGGAAGTGGTTTCACTTGGCCAATTCCTGGAGTAACAGTAGAAGTGAGTCAGAACTCGAACAGAGTTTGCTAGCCTAACATTCACATCAATCCTCCTGAACGTAATTGAATTCCACTAGAAACCCATGGTGTGTAAACAAAAACCATAACTCGCCACCTGACATCATCTATCCTGTGTTGGGATCCAAACTTGACTTCACAATTTAATCAATATAGAATGGTTATTTCTAGGTAGCAAGAATTAGAAACATTATCTTATGATAATAACACATAAATGAATTAAACATTATAAGCACAATCAATTAAAACAAAAAAATCAAACAAACATATATAGTAATCAATTTTATGACAAATATATGCAAACACAGGTGGCACAGACAAACCCAAATTAATCAACTACGATGAAATCGATATACCTCAAATAATCAACATTACTTTAATATAATGAAAGAATCTATTCAAATCGATGGATTGCTAGTGTGATGGAATCGCTCAAAGGTAGCTGCCCCATCTGCAGTCGTTACCCAAGTAGCTTAAGCTGTGTGAGTAGTTTCATTCTAGATTGTGGGAATAGAATCCATTTCATTCATCTCAGTAGCTAATGAGAAAGAAAACCCTTCAAACTATATGAAATCCCAACAACCAAACAATCATGAGTAAACAAATCATTGAATAAGAGGAAATCGGTTCAAGACTCTAAACAGAGAGCGTATGAGGGCTTGAATTTCAACGCCAATTCCATTGTTGGTTTGATTAATTCCTTTGAGAAAATGGCAAAAGAGAGTGCTAAGAACTCACCAGTTAGCTGCACACCAGGTGAAAATTTTCCAACACAAAATTATCTTTAGCCAAACATCTTCAAGCATACCACCATGGATACAGATTACAATAGCCAAACAACTTCAAGCACCAAACTAAACCATGAAACCCATCTCCTTACAATCTACGTGAAGTACAGACCACCCACATTCTAAATCAAGCATCTTTATCAATCCCTAAAGAAACCAATTCCAAAAAGAATCAAACTTTGAACATAGCCATTACAAAAATACAAAAATCTCACAATTCCACAGCCATTACAGCTGTTAGCGGCAACAAATCTAGGGTTTACATTGTTGGCGATGGAGCCGAATTAGAGCTTGGTTATTGGCTCTCATGACGCCTTTTTGTCCATTGTAGTGATGAGAATGAAACCCCTACGAATATTTTGGACATTAGAGATAAATCGACCAGGCAAGTGCCAGGAATTAGAGGAATCATATTCTAGATCTAAAGGATGAATAGAAAGAAACCACTGAAATTCCAAACGAAGATCTATATGGATGCTTGAATAGTTCAAGTTAAATAGGGGCTCCGAATCACATACCTGAAATTGAGCTCTAGGATGAGATTTATTCTGTTGTTTAGGGTTTGCATGTGGTCAGCCTTCTCTGAGTGCAACTAACTCAGATCTGGTTTTCGATATCGTGCCAACTTCACCACCGCCGATGATTCTTCTCGCTCTAGTCCTCGTCACGACCGAAGCCACGCCGCTGCACTCCATTTTCCATCAGCTCCATCTCCATGAAGATCTATGTTGAGAGATACATTCGCCACCCACAAGTGCCCCGATGGCACAGGGTTACATTGCATACATTCACCGCCTCCGTATCGAGATGATTTATTTAAGAGAGAGAGAGAGAGCGGCATAGGAAGATTTTCTTTCTTGTCTCCAGATTTAGAACTAGTGTTCCTTCTGGAAACTACTTTTTCTCCAACTTTTTAGCTCCCGACCTTTTCATATTCCCCGAGAGAGGAGAAGAAAGCAAAAAAAAGTTCAATTTTGGTTTTGAACTTATGCCCGCTGCTTTTTCCATTTTCCCTCCAAATTGTAATTTTTGTCTAACAAAGGGAAGGAGAGGGTAATTTTCCCAACACTGAAAATTCGTCGGCCAAATTTTAATTTTCACCCACTAAAATGAAAAAGTATATGTTAATTGCGCGTATGATAACCTAATTTGACATAATAAAAAAATAACCAATATATTATGACGAACATACATTGTGCCAGCTCGCCGTGAGAATAATAATCTCTATTATGACAAAATGCTTTGTCGTTTAAATATTTTATGAGAGCATAATATGACGAACGCTACTTTGACGATTAACTTTGTCACTTTTGAGTCTAATATCCCGATTTGGGACGCCTATTTTGACAACATTATTTCTGACACAAAAAATTTATCACAGTACCAACCTATTATGACCAACTGTAAGGACAACACCTAACTTTGTCACATTAGGCATATCAAATAGGACAACATTGAGTTTTGTCATATTACATACCCTATTGTGACAACCTGGAAATGACAAAAAAAAGTTTTGTCATAGCAGGTCAAATTTGTTGTAGTGACTTCGAGGTCCCATGTTCGAATCTCTTAAGCGGTACGCCAGTACCTAAACAGCGAGCAGTAAACCTATCGAAGGGGTGGAAGCAGTTAGATGGGGAAGCCGAGAAGATATGAGAATTAGGGTTTCCCCTATCCTTCGTTTGATTTATATACGACATCGTTTTAAGATACGGGTCTGAGATGGGGTGGATACCACGGAGTTCGTCGCCACCCATCACCCGCTATTCACGAATTTCGGGAATACACAAATCTGCCAAATACCCACGTCGAACAGGTAATTTGGTCACCATCTGGGTGAATTTCGAGTGAGTACCCAGCGGGTCGGTCAGGGTTGCCAAGCCTACCAAGGATGGTTGGTAGGGGATGGGCGGGATCCGATTAGCGTGTTAGCTGTTAGCACTTAGCCCAATATATGATTTCTGATATCGAAATAGGTCTAGGTTCATTAGGCTTTGAGATCTTGGGCCTGATCCTAGAAGCCCAAAATTCCCCGAGAACTGGTGGCAGACCCGAGTCTGCTTTTTGTTGGCCATCTCATTCATCCTCCTTTTCTTCGATTCCCGACGACAACCCCTAATTGCCTGTTCACTTGCCATTCCGTTTTTTGTTTTTTAGTGCCACAGCATAAATCAGGAAATATAATTGAAAAAACGTGTTCACTCTCTTGTTTTGTTTTCGTTTAATAAAATGGGGAAGAATGAATGTGGAAACTGGCAAAAACTTTAAATAGTTTTTTCCTGGAATCAATGGTACTTGTTTCTCCCCGTTGCCTAGCGGAAAAACACTACAATTCATTAATGAGGTCGCCGGTTCGAATCTCAACCATTTTTTTGTGCATTTAGCCTGTTTGATTCAACACGCAGCCCTTGGCTGCCGTTTTGGCTGATTCTACACGCAGCCTTGGTTGCCGTTTTGGCATTGGAAGCCCTACTCCAAGCTCGATCAAACCTTGGCTCCATACAAACGCCACTCTTCCTGCTGCATCCCCGCGAGAAGCTCTGCCGCCACTCCATACAAACGCCGCTCTGCCGCCGCATCTCCTCCAGCGACCTCCATCGATCGACCTGCGGCTGCTCTCTCCGCATCTCTGCCGCTGCATCCCCGCATCCGACGAAGGCGTTTCGAGAACCTGCGGCTGCTCGAGAACCAGCGGCTGATCCGAAGCTCGGCCGCCGCATCTCCTCCATCGATCGACCTTCTCTCCACTCCACGAAGCCCGATCAAGTTCCTGGGGCTTCTCGGAAACAAACGGCCGCATCTCTTCAAGCTAGCTTCATCGATCGACCTCCCCTCCATTCGGCGGATCCCGATCAAGTTCCTGGGGCTTCTCGGAAAGAAACGGCAACCGCTCCCCAGCAGCAACCCCTTCATCGATCGACCTCCGCTCCCCAGCAGCATCTCCTCCATTCGGCCACCTATCAACCATTGCGCAGCAGCAGAGGCAACCCCTTCCCAGCAGCAAATCCTTCCCAACAACGGCCTTCTCTGTTCAGGTTAGTTGCTCTGCTTCTTTGTTGTTAATTGTTGTGTAATTATTTGTTTATTTAGCTGCTTATTATTGTTGTTAATTCTATGCAAGTATTGATGTCATGCTTGCTTGTGAACATAAATGCTTGCTTGTGAACATGAATGATATAGCATAAGGGCAGATTTGGTGATTGAGCTTGAGGGCAGATTTGGTGTATGCTTCTTTATAGTTTGTATGTATGGTAGTTGGTGTCATGCTTGAGGGCCGATTTATCGTAATTTTGAGCAGATTTGTGCATTTGATGCTTTCTTCTGAGAATGATCTTCTCGTATTGAATTGTAGCTTGGTAAACAATTCAGATTTTTCTGAGAACGAGTGAAGTCCAGATTTTTCTATTCTACCACATTTCCTCTTAACTGTGTCTGTTCATTAGTTTGGTAATTTGAATAACTATTTCTGGATCATCGCAGCACGAGTGAAGTCCAGATTTTTCTTTTAGACGAGTTCTGCAGCTGAAGCTTGCATTTTTGTAGAGTGTTTCATATGCGTCTGCAGACGAGATTGATCGTGCGAAATACAGTTTTTGTTTTTTTTTCTCTGCATTACTGGTTTATTGGATTACGGGTATCAATGATATCGTATCATCTGTTAAACTGATGCTTAAATACCTTGGCTGATTCATTCCTTTTGGAATGTTTGGGCGTAATGATGGGATACATTGTCTGTGAAGTAGTCCTTAAGTATTTTAGTTACGAGAGATAGGTTTCGATGTAGTTAATTTTCAGTTAGTTACTTGATTTCCTCAATTTTCTATTTGTTGTTAGAGTTGGAGTAGTGGTGGGTTTAGCTATGTCTGTAATGAGAAGGGATTTGTAACCCCATATCTTTATTGAGTTATTCCATAGGTTTAGCGACGATGTTGTTCGGCCACATTCCATTTCCTAGACTTGGGGGTAGGGTTTGGTAAAGAAAGGTAACAAACAAATTAAACAGAAGTGTGGTTTTGTTCTCACGCTGACAGGACCCTTGTGGTGGTATTGTAGAAAGAACGTAAAATAGTTGGTTTAGCCGAAACTCTGATTGAGATTTATCATGCTGCCAGCCCATTATTATTATTATCATCTACCCACAGGGCAGAGTTTAGTTTTATTCCAATCACACTGATGCCTAAATTGCGTTTCACTAATGTTACTCGTGTGGAAATTGCAATGAGTCTCTGTGTCATTGCTGGCCGAAATTGCTTAGAGAATGTTTTTGCTTCCAGAGTATTTGATGGTAGCAAATCAAAAAAACAGATGAGCTATTTTAACGTATTCTGAATTGATGCTCTAATGCTTTTGCCGACTGATATATGGGTCAATTGCTGACTGAGTTTCTGTAGAGATTGTATTTGCTTAGTAGTATTGATGGTTCTGCTTGTGTTATTGTTCTCGCGCGAAGGAAGGAACAACCCACAAACAACGCGGGTGGGTGCCGACTGACGAGCCGAACAACACCAGGGGAGCCCAGACTTTGCTCCCAAGTCCATCCCCTTCCTCTTCGGCATCGTGATTATCTCAGATGAATACGTCGCAGTATATGGACAAGCAGATTATGGATTTGACCTCATCTCCCCAACCCCAGGGCTTATCATCATCCCCCACCCACCACTCCACCGGCGGCGGTAAGGACTTCATCGATCTGATGAATCACCATTCGCGGGACGACGAACACGATCAGCACGCCAATTACGCTGGGAACGGTACCAAGAAGGAGGATGTCATGGTTCCCAGCTACGATTTCCATCCTATTCGCCCCGTTGCTGGAGGATTGGGAGGAGGAGGAGGAGATTCCACTGCTGGTGCTAGGGCTTGGAGTTCAGTCGACGGCAAGTCCAGTTCCGTCAATTTCGCCATGGCCGATTCTCCAGTCCGGGTACTTCAAATTCAAACCCTCTTTTTGTGGTTTAGTTCAGTTTTGGTTTAGCCCTATTGTCTGATCTCGAATTGGGGCTCGCCATGTTGTTTTGACAATGGAATAGTGTCGAACACATTGATATGGTTCATTGTTTAGATAGGAATCTTTACGATGATTTATTATTATGCTTTAGCTGGTGACGATTTGGTTGTGGATTATGTGTCAGAGCAGCAATTGAAGTGTTTTGTTCTTGTGGATTTCGTTGAGCTAGAGTAAAGCCTCAATGTAGACTTGGAAATAGAAAGTTTTTTCACTTGTTATTTCCATTCCGTTTCGGGGTTAAGCTTGATGAGTGATTCCTTTCTACTTGCATGTTAGACCTGATGCTTGTCTTTCTTTCTGACTTGAGCTATATATCCCAACTGTTGGATCAGGTATTAGTTTGATTAGATGTGCGGAAAGGAGTTCTTGGTTGTGCATTTCTAATACAGTTTCGTGTGTGTTTCCGGTCTCGATATATGTTGTCTGTATTGCATTGTTGATGTTGTGGTACATTGTTTTGTCGACAGCACTATGGCTCGCTTGACTCGATGGAACCATCCAAAGACGTCTTGGACAAGGAACAAACCGTTTCTGATTCAGCGATACTATCTGAGATCGACAGAACTATGAAGAGACACACAGATAACATGCTGATCATTTTAGAAGGTGTAAGTTCCAGACTCGTCCAGTTGGAGAGCAGAACTCGCAACCTCGAGAGTTCTGTTGACGATTTGAAGGTTTCTGTGGGGAACAATCACGGAAGCACTGATGGGAAGATGAGACAGCTGGAGAATATCCTCCGGGAGGTAGGCTATCAGTCCACATATAGAGTACTCTTGGTCCTCGCGCATAGGAAATCATTGCTGCCTTTTGCTTTTATTGCCTCTGATTTCTTATGTTTGTTCATGAGTTCTTATGATGTAGTTTACCATGTCTTGTCACACAAAATAACCAGAGATTTAGGTGCCTGCTCTGTTTTGTCTTGTGAGTTGTTTTTGTTTTGACACTTGGTCACATAGTCACGTTGGTGTTGTCCATCTTTGTAAATCACTATTTATTTGGTGCCCGATGACGATCCCAATTGATCCTTTTTCCTGCAGGTACAAACTGGAGTACGGGATGTGAAGGATAAGCAAGAACTACTTGAGTCACAGCTTCACCTTCAAAAACTTCACGTCTCTAATGTGAACCAGCATCAACAAGAGCCACAAAACACCGACCAGGCTGCAACTGCTGTGCAGCAACAAGCACCATCTGCCTCTGCCCCTGCCCCACCGCAATCCCATCATCAACATGCGCCTCCTCAATTAGCAAGCTTCCCACAATCACTCCCTTCTGTGCCCGGTCCACCTCCTCCAACCGTCCCTCTCCCTCAGCCGCAAAGTCTGCCCCCTGTCACTCCACTTCCAAACCAATTCACACCCCCTCCTTCAGTCCCTCAACGAGATCCATACTACGTGCCTGCTGGCCATGCTCACGAACCACCTCCGAACCCACAGTACCAGGTGCCCCCACCACAGCAACCATCTCCTGTTGCCGCTGCTCCACCTCCTCATCAACTATATCAGTCAGCTCTGCCACAATACCCGCAGCAACAACCCCAGATGCCACAGCAACCTCAACAGCCAGCTGGCCACCACTCTGACGAGGCCTCTTATCTCGCCTCTCAAAGCTATCCACCACGACAAGCTCCATCTCAGCTACTTGGTGGTGGTCCCTTCCCACCCCAGCAGTACTACGGTATTCCTCCCTCTACTGGGTACAATCCTCCTCAATCCGGATCCATGGAAATGTACCCTTACAGTGGAGGCGGCATCACGATGGTGAAACCACAACAACTCCAATCTGTCTCTATGCCTCCTCATGGTGGAGGTGGGACTGGGTATCCTCAACTTCCGACTGCCCGTGTGCTGCCACAGGGGTTGCCCTCCAGGTCAGTGGCTGGTGGGGCTGGATCTGGTTCAGGCTCTGGAAACACGGTTCCGATTGATGACGTGATTGACAAGGTGTCGACAATGGGGTTCCCGAGGGATCATGTTCGTGAAGCGGTTAGGAAACTCACGGAGAACGGGCAGTCGGTCGACTTGAACATCGTCCTGGATAAGCTGATGAACGACTCAGATTTCCAGCCGCCTAGAGGGTGGTTCGGCCGGTAGCTTGCCTAATTGGCTCTTTGATTTGCATGTATAGAACTATTCTCTGTTTCCTGCCAGAAAAGTGCAACAGCGATTTGGTTTGTCTTCCAGTTTTGTCCTGATAGTCGATCTTAATCCTTTGTTTGAGACTTGAGAGTGTTCTCATCCATGTTTGTCTTGTCTATATCTTCGAGCAACTGATGTTTCATTTGTTCATAAAATTCATCACATACGTTCTTCTCCGACCGTGGTTTAACCATAGTATCGTTAAATACAGCTTATCGATTTAGTCTCTAATACTGATATTTCGTGGTTGAACCGCCGGTACGGTACGATTTCATGAACACTGCATTCGTAACGATTTCCTGGTTTCTATGAGATGTTTTTGTTGTTGTCTGCAATCGAGATGTGAGATAGTTGCAAGAACTGGTTGTCTATTTGAGATATTAAGTGATGGTTCAGACTATATATACTTTTGAAAGACAAGAGGTTACCTTTCAGGCTATTGTTTAGTTTAAGAGGATGGGTCGAATCGAGGAAAAAAAATCGTCAAATCGAGTTAACTTAATTATTCCTATCATCTTGATATTAAGGCTCGTTCGGTTGCTTAACTTCCATCAAATTATGTATGCAATATGTAAAAGTCGTCGATTCGGTATGTTTTTCTTCTTGTTATTATAGCATCAGTATTTTCTAAGAACATACAGAATATAACTTCAATAGTTACAGATTATTGAAGTTAGTAAGGAGAACAATAAATGTATATGCTCATTGAGGGACTTTATTCAACCATAAATCTACAATTACATTTAAGAAAAATGATCTAGATCGATTGGAGCCAAGAATACATGCAAAAAATGCATTAGTACTCGTAGTAATTTGAAATTAGGCTGAAAGAGGAAGGAAACGGTATTGTACTAAGAAGAAATAATTGTTGTTGCTCTCGTTTTCATCCTCACACTATTTTATTTTGGCCTTTTCAGTCCACTCCTTCCCCATCCCGTCTTTGTGTTGTTCAGTTCTGTGATCATTTTGCCTTTCTCTCCTTTGTAGCTGTTGTTTGTTGTAATTCTCACAGGTCTCTTTCTTCCCCTCCAACACAAGAAAGCCTTCTTCCCCAAAAATACACGACAAACAAATCCTCACTGCCCCCAAAACCCTTCCCTCCCAAATTCCCCTCGGAGCTCCCTCGCTCCACAATCCCTCCCGCCACTTATTTACGATCCTGCCCTATTTTCTCCCTGCAACTTGCCAAAACTCATTCCCATCGCCGAAATGCCCTCCCGTCGCCGCCCTATTTACGCCGCCGCGACGGTCTGATACCAATTCCCAGCTACTCGGCGAGCAAACGCCGCGGTTCCTCTTTCGCTCCCGATTCTGTAAGTCGATACACCTGCTTTAGTTTAAACGGCCTGTCTCTCTCTCCCCGACTGCTAATCCGTGTAGAGTTTTCTGTTGTTTTCAGTTGCGGGATGTATGTGAGCGATTTCTCTATGTGTTCCGGATGGTGATTTGTAATTGAATTCATTCAGGTTGAATTTGATTTGTCCGGAGGGCTTGAATTCCAACCATTATGCTCGTGCCTGTCTTTCGTTGGTTGGTTCGTCTCCTTTGATTAGGGTTTTACTGAATTGCTTCGCGAATGTGGTTTTCCTCCCCTTCACAGGCTTCTGGTCTGGGCGAATCCTGTGCTGGAAATGAGTGGTTTACTGGCTGAGTATCGTTAGGTCACCGTGGGAGTCCTGTCTAGGCGAAATCAGTTTGTGCATAGTGAAATTCAGTTTGCGTTTGTTGCAGAACTAGGTTAGTTCATTTGGTTTCGGTTGAAGTTAGGGGAGTTGGTGGTGTAGTCTTATTGATGTGTGCTGGGCTGTAGAATCTCAGATTACCATTTTAGAGTGCATTGCAAATGTGGAGTCTAGTTGGCCTAAGAACTATCCGTTCCAAATCAAGAGTACTTTGTTTCTGTGTTTATTGAAGTGGTGACGTTCGTTACCCTTTTAATGCACTTTGCTCACCTAGTATCTGCCCGGGCGTGATAGGTATGTGTGTTTGAGATCAAGCATCCGCAACGTCTAGTTACAACACGTGGCTTTAAGTGACTGGAAGTTGCCATGTGTGTTTAGCTTTTTATTTTATTTTATTGTGACGATATGTTCAATTTTGTTTGGTTGCAATCATGGACGATCGAGTTGATGCTTTTTATTAATGTGAATAGAACTCGTCAGCTTGAAACCAGTTATGTCGAAACGATGTCGTCATTTTTTTTTGGTTGTGTTATTGTTTACCTGAAATTGAAATCCTTTATGTCTGACAGGATGCTAACATGTAGTAGAACATATTTTGGTTTTCTTATTTTTGCTTTGTATCCATTTCAGAAACATATGCATGTCCGATGTATATGGAATTTGTTCACAAACTGAGATATATGAGGATGCAACGGTGTTTGCATTCCGATTTCTGGTACTTTGCTGTGTTTTTTTAAAGTTATGACGTTGAATATGAGCACTAGCTGTTATGTATGGCCATTCCCCAACCCCCACAAGCAGAACTAGTATTTCATGCTTTTTGTACATATTTCTTCATGCAATTAGTATATCATGTCATTATTAGTTTTTTCAACCCACTCTTTTGAAATGGAGTTCAAATTTATTTGTTGGTATCCTGTTTATTTCGCTGCATTCGAAGAGGAATTTAAACTTGTTATCTGCCTAACTTACCTGCATAAGCATCCACATACTTTTTGATACAAAATGTTTGTAATTCAATGATTACTGTTGTTTGTATCCTCCCTATTGGGGACCTGTTTAGTGCCTTACACAACAAGTGTATTCCATGACAATCTTTTCTTGATTCCCCTTCCTCTTCGGCATCGTGATTATCTCAGATGAATACGTCGCAGTGTATGGACAAGCAGATTATGGATTTGACCTCATCCCCCCAACCCCAAGGCTTATCATCATCCCCCACCCACCACTCCACCGGCGGCGGTAAGGACTTCATCGATCTAATGAATCATCATCCGCGGGACGACGAACACGATCAACACGCCAATTACGATGGGAACGGTACCAGGAAGGAAGACGTCATGGTTCCTAGCTACGATTTCCACCCGATTAGCCCCGTTGCTGGAGGATTGGGAGGAGGAGGAGGAGGAGATTCCACTGCTGGTGCTAGGGCTTGGAATTCAGTCGACGGCAAGTCCAGTTCCGTCAATTTCGCCGTGGCCGATTCTCCTGTCCGGGTACTTCAAATTCAAACCCTCTTCTTTGTGGTTTAGTTCATTTTTGGTTTAGTTCTATTGTTTGATTTGGAATTTGGGCTCGCGATGTTGGTTTGACAATGGAATAGTGTTGAACACATTGATAGGGTTCATTGTCTAGATAGGAAGTTCCTTACGATGATTTATTATTATGCTTTAGCTGTTGACGATTTGGCTGTGGATTATGTCTCAGAGCAGCAATTGAAGTGTTTTGTTCTTGTGGATTTCGTTGAGCTAGAGTAAAGCCTCAATGTAGACTTGGAAATAGAAAGTTTTTTCACTTGTTATTTCCATTCCGTTTCGGGGTTAAGCTTGATGAGTGATTCCTTTCTACTTGCATGTTAGACCTGATGCTTGTCTTTCTTTCTGACTTGAGCTATATATCCCAACTGTTGGATCAGGTATTAGTTTGATTAGATGTGCGGAAAGGAGTTCTTGGTTGTGCATTTCTAATACAGTTTCGTGTGTGTTTCCGGTCTCGATAGTATGTTGTCTGTATTGCATTGTTGATGTTGTGGTACATTGTTTTGTCGACAACACTATGGCTCGCTTGACTCGATGGAACCATCCAAAGACGTCTTGGACAAGGAACGAACCGTTTCTGATTCAGCGATACTATCTGAGATCGACAGAACTATGAAGAGACACACAGATAACATGCTGATCATTTTAGAAGGTGTAAGTTCCAGACTGATCCAGTTGGAGAGCAGAACTCGTAACCTCGAGAGTTCTGTGGATGATTTGAAGGTTTCTGTTGGGAACAATCATGGAAGCACTGATGGGAAGATGAGACAGCTGGAGAATATCCTCCGAGAGGTAGGCTTCACCCCACATATAGAGTACTCTTGGTCCTCGCACTTAGCAAATCATTGCTGCCTCTTGCTTTAATTGCCTTGAATTTCTTATGTTTGTTTACGAGTTCTTATGATGTAGTTTACTTCGTCTTGCCACATTGCATTATGAAAGGTTTAGGTCCCTGCTCTGGGTTTTTCTTTTGAGTTGTTTTTGTTTGGACAGTTGCTCACATAGTCAAGTTGCTTGTCTATCTTTGTAAATCACTATTTATTTGGTGCCTGATACGATCCTAATCAATCCTTTTTGTTGTAGGTACAAACTGGGGTGCAGGCTGTTAAGGATAAGCAAGAACTACTTGAGTCACAGCTTCACCTTCAAAACCTTCACGTCTCTAATGTCAACCAGCATCAACAAGAGCCACAAAACACCGGCCAGGCTGCGAATGTTGTGCAGCAACAAGCACTATCTGCCTCTGCTCCACCGCAATCCCATCATCAACATGCGTCTCCTCAATTAACAAGCTTCCCACAATCACTCCCTTCTGTGCCCGGTCTACCTCCTCCAACCGTCCCTCTCCCTCAGCCGCAAAGTCTGCCCCCTGTCACTCCACTTCCATACTATGTGCCTGCTGGCCACACTCACGAACCACCACCAAACCCACAGTACCAGGGGGGCCCACCACAGCAAGCATCTCCTGTTGCCGCTCCTCCCCCTCCTCATCAACTGTATCAGTCTGCTCCACCACAATACCCGCAGCAACAACCCCAGATACCACAGCAACCTCAACAGCCAGCTGGCCACCACTTTGACGAGGCCTCTTATCTCGCCTCTCAAAGCTATCCACCCACGACAACCGCCATCTCAGCTATCTGGTGGTGGTCGCTTCCCGCCCCAGCAGTACTACGGCACTCCTCCTCCCTCTACTGGGTACAATCCTCCTCTATCCGGATCCATGGAGATGTACCCTTACAGTGGAGGCGGCAGCACAATGGTGAAACCACTGCAACTTCAATCTGTCTCTATGCCTCCTTGATAATTGTCGAAAATATATTGATTTTGCGTGCTTAATGTGATTATTTCATGATATGTTTGAGACCTATAATACTTGTTTGAGGTCCAACTAAGCCTGGAATGGTTATAAAACCATTACCATCAAGTGCCAAATGTTTTATATATTTCAGGTAAATGAAACGAGAAATTTGCATTGGTGGATAGAATAATTCAAGTGGACTGGATGTACATTGGACCGGAACTTACTGAGAAGTTGAACCGGGACTGGACTTTTGTGGGCTGGAACTCTCTTTGGACCTGGGCGGATGAAAGCACTTTTTGGGCCATGGGAATTATTTGGCCCAAAGAAAAGGACAAAGGAAGTCTTGGACGGAAGTCTTTTGGGAATTTGGCGAGACAGAATTGGCGGCGCAAGTGGAGTCGAGCGAAGAAGAGAAAGGTCGCGGACGAAAATTCTTTGGAAAGAAAGCGATGGCAGCAGCGCGAAGCATCAGTCGAGCAGCAATTGGCGATCGGTTTCTCCAAGGTTTGAGCTGAGTTCAACGAGAGCGATTAGTTGGTTGGATTCTCTGAACCGAACTAGTTGTGTATTGTTGATTTAGAACATGATGATCAAAACCCTAATGTTTTATCTTAATTTCGTCATGAACTAAACCCCAATTTCTGGGGGAAACACCATAGGATGTAGCTATTTCTTGATTTGATGGATTGATTCATGATTCTTTTCTTCCAATCTCTATTGCATGAAATTTCTTAATGCTTTGTGTTGACTGGCCACCAATACATTGATTTGTTGTTAATTAGGTTATTAGCGACAGTGAAACCCTAATAACTGAACATATTTCATGTGACATAGTAGCTTATCGAAGCGACAGTGGATTAAATAAGGTGCTATGCGGTCTTGAATAGGATATCGGGCATAAGGCTATATAATTAATTCATTGAGCTACAACAGTAGGATTTGAATTGATTATTTAGTACGTAGTAATTCCCGACAGGGATAGCTAGCACAGTAGTGATATCCTGGCTGTAGAGATATGGATTAAACTGATTGGAATATGTGAATTAATCTGGATAGGATAGGTGGTAAATCCCGATGTTTCTCCCAGAGATTTCTCCCATTGAATTTCTCCCGACCATTTTACGTTGCTTAATTTGTTTAGTTTATTTTGCTTTTAGATAATTAGTCTCATTACACCATTTTCACCTGTAGTTTGCTCTATAGAATCAATAAATCATTAGGTTGTACCAGTCTCTGAGAGACGATACCCGGACTTTCCGATTTTACTACAAGATAGGAATTGAAGCTATACGCTTTTGACCTATCAAGTTTTTGGCGCCGTTGCCGGGGACTGTCATACCTTATTTTTGTTGATTTTTGTGAGTGAACTATTTTGATCTGGGTGTTAGTGTGCAGGTGAATTTTTCAGGTTAATCCTCCTCGTGCATGCCAAGGAGGACGACTGGCAATTTACTGCCACTAGATCCCGAGATCGAGAGGACCTGCCGACAGAACAGGAAGCAGGTCAAGTTAGGGAAGCAGCCTACCACATCAACAACTCCTAGGTCTTCCCTAACTCAGAATCGTCAACCGAGAAGGCAGGTGACACCACCTGTCATCCCTACACCACCTACACCACCGTCGCGCGTCATCGAGCCTGTCATCATGGCTGAACAGGATCGTTCGATCAGGGCTCGTCTGAATCGGAGGACTGGAGCCCGAGCTTCATGTGTTGTCATTCCGGCTGGGGATGCAAACATGGAGATTGCCCCAGCCTTCATCAATATGATCACGAATGGGTACACCTTCTCAGGGACCAGCACCGAGGATCCTCATGAACATCTCTGTCGGTTTGCAAACATTTGTGACACAATGAAGAGCCCGGTTGTGTCTGATGATGCCATCCGTCTTCGGATGTTCTCATTTTCTCTGCTAGGGAATGCATCACACTGGTTCCAGAACTTGACACCCCGTTCCATCACAACATGGGGTCAGCTTGAGAAGACCTTTTTGGATAAGTACTTTCCTCCTGCCAAGGCAATGAAGAGGCAAGAGGAAATTGTCACTTTTAAACAAGCTGAGGATGAAAGTCTGACCGAGGCATGGGAGCGCTATAAGGAGCTTCTAATGAGATGCCCGAGCCACGGTCTTGAAGATTGGAACGTGATCTCCATTTTCTTCAACGGAATCAGAAGACAATTCCGAGGTGCTCTGAATAATGCTTCCCGGAATGGTTTCACAAGAATGGAAGGACGAGAAGCATATGAACTGGTGGAGAAGATATGCTCTGAAGATACTGAATGGGGTAGTGAGACCGACATTCGAAGGAGAGGAGGCTTGCATGAGATAGACAGAGTTGCAAGCTTAGAAGCAAAGATTGATGCTAAGCTGGATTCCAAGTTCGATGCACTCGAACGAAGGCTGGCTGAGTTGGCTCTTGGTAGACAGGAGGAGGTTGCTTATTGCGAATTATGTGAAGGTGCTCATCATAGGGATCTATGTCCACTGGTGGCTGATCAGATGGAAGATGTGCACTATATCAACAATCAGAGAAATCAAGGCCAGGGTGGTATGTCTTCGAAAACCTACAACCCACAATGGAGGAAGCATCCTAACTTTTCCTGGGACAACAACAACCCAAATGGTGCTCGCAACATTCCACCTCCAGGCATGCAGAAACAACAACCTCCACCTCAACCAGAGAAGAAACCACAACTTGAAGAATTGCTTCTGGCTCACATGCAGAAAACCGACAATAATCTGAAGGGCCTGGATCAATTTGTCACTCAACAGCCTGCCATCAACAATAATTTACAATCTTCTATGCTAGCTATGGAGAGGCAGATGGGACAGATGGCTCAAACTTTGGCAGATATGCAAGGCAGGATTCCTGGGACATTACCGGCTAATACCGAGAGGAATCCAAAGGATGCCATGGTTGTAGCAATCACTTTGAGGAGTGTATAGGCCTTGGAGGATCTAGAGAGTCCAAGGAAGTCGACAAAATCCGAAAAAGAAGGAGTTGTAGAGGTAGAGGATGAAGAAAGTGCAAAAGCTGAAAAATCTGACTTACACAGGCAAACTGCATGCAATCTGCCTGTGCAAAAGCAATCTGCCCGTGTACTTCAAAAAGTGGAAAAAATGAAGAATGAAGAGGTAAAGCCTTATGAACCTCCCGCGCCATTCCCTCAAAGGTTAATGAAGCCCATGGAAGACCCGAACTTCAAGAAATTTGTGAATATCTTCAAGCAACTTCATATCAATATACCGTTGGCGGAGGCACTTGAACAGATGCCTACATATGCTAAATTTTTAAAGGAGTTGCTGACTAAGAAGCGCAAATGGGCTGATCTGGAGAAGGTAACCCTTACTTCTAAATGTAGTGCCGTGATTCAGAATAAATTACCAGAAAAGAGGGATGATCCAGGAAGCTTCACCATTCCATGTGTCATTGGAGGTAGAGAGTTCGATAAATCACTTTGTGATCTTGGAGCAGGAATTAATTTGATGCCATACTCAGTCTACAAGAAATTGGGATTGGGAGATGTTCTTAAGCCTACTCGGATCACTCTCCAATTGGCTTATCGATCAGTGAAAATTCCAAAAGGAGTGGTGGAGAATGTATTGGTGAAGGTTGGGAAGTTTATTCTCCCAACAGATTTTGTGATTCTGGATATGGAAGAAGATCGGGGAGTGCCTCTCATTCTTGGGAGACCTTTGCTAGCAACTGGAGATGCACTCATCGATGTTGGGAGAGGCAAGTTGACATTCCGAGTAGGTAAGGAGGAGGAAATTTTTAATGTCTTTCAAGTTGTTCATAATCACGATGCATTTGATGACTTTGAAAGTGGAGCTCGAGAAAGGAAAAATTCATTCTCCTGGGATAGTGGACAACCTGAAGAACTATCACATGTCCTATCTGCTCAGATTCTGAAATCAAAGCAAGGACAGAAATCCTTGCCAGATCACCTCAAGTATAGATATTTGGGTAAGTATTTCAATCTTCATGTTATTATTCCTTCTTCACTGACATTGAAACAGGAAGAGTACCTGCTTGAGGCGCTGCAGTACCACCTACGCCTCACTAAAGGGTCCAACATGCAAGCTAAGAAGGTCATACCCAATTTTCGCACACCTGGCCCTGCTGAGGTGACTCATATGTTGGATGGAGGTTATGCATTCTATCATTGCTCGGGAGGGTATTCTGGATACCTTTCCATACCCATTGGTTGAAAGCTCCATAAACGTCAGGCTGAGGACGTTAAATAAGCGCTTCTTGGGAGGCAACCCAAGGTAAGTTTTCTTTTCTTGATTTTTCTTTTTAGTTGTGTCAAACCCGTGCATGTTTAGATTAGGAGTTGAACATTAGGGACAATGTTTCATCCCGAGTGTGGGATGGTGAGTCTTAGTGTTGTTTGTCCCTGTTGCATGTGGTAAAAAAAAAATCTGTCATTTGGCTATGCACAGCCAAACTGCATGCAGTTTGCTTATGCAAAAAGCAGGCTGCCTGTGCAAAGCTAATGGCTAAAAAACACCTAAAAATCAGAAAAATTAAAAACAAAACCTTGTACTCTTGTGGTAACATGATGTAAATGAGTGTGATGCGTGTGAAATGAGTTTGTGCTTGAATTGAATCATCGAAATCACCCCACTAGTGTTGAATTGCAAAGTTCTTCACAATGAGCTTAAATATTTTGACTGACTTGATATGCTTTGAATGAGAAAACTCTTTTAGCGACATTCTCTTTTGTGAGGATAGTGTAATGATTTTTGGTGAAATAGTTAGGTGGAGAACATTGACCATTCTATATGTTCGGATACCGTGCTTACTTGCATCAGTTGTGAGCTTTTGATTTTGCAACGATTCTCTCTGTTTTGATTGTTTTATGATGGGGTGAACTGTATCTTCATAAAAGAAAACACTACCTGACAAGTAAAATATAAGAAAGTTGCCATAACAATTAAGTGTGGGTAAAAATGCCAAAATCGTGTGAGGCAATCACTCATTGCACATGGGGATTAGGAAAGATTCAATTGAGAATCGGTTCGCGACCGTACGATGTTGCTTATCAAGTACGATCCCCAGTTGAGTGAACTGCCATTTGAGGATGCAATGACCCTCCACACGGACCGAGGAAAAGGAGTTGAAAGAAGCCCTTATGCGAGTGCTAAGAAGCATAAATTGCTCTTGCTCGTTCACCGATAGTAAGAAACAAATCCCACTTGTACTAAATACGACCTCTCGGCAAGCAAAAGCAGAAAGAGAGAAAGCCTCTCCTTGTCATAAAAGGTAGTGATGTGCTTAAAGTTAAAATCATGTTTGCGAAAGGCTTCCCCCATTAGTTTTTTAGACTCATGCTTAATTAATTGCTTATGATTGGTGTGAGTAAGCCAGACTGTCCTCACGAGATATGTACCTCACTGATGTGGTTAGATTCTCCTAATAATTGTTGCACCATAAGTTGTTAACCACCCACTACCGACGATCGAAATTGAGTGTTGCTATTTGAGTTTTTGGATGGATTTGAGTCAGTCAATGGTTAAGGGTTGCAAAGACCTTGAGTGTGGGGTGAAAGATATGATCATTAAAGCACAACTCGTCCTTTAAGAAAGAAATTACTGATTACAACAAGAGTACAAGGATAAATTTTTTGTGTTATCGTTGTGTTTTGTGTGTCGTGGGTCTTGTGTTTTGAGAAAGGTTGTGTCTCCCTGGTCTGTGTTGTGTTTCCTCCAATTATCGTTCTCTTGTGTGAGTCGTTGCTTAGGGACAAGCAAGTATTGAGCGTGGGGTTGTGATAATTGTCGAAAATATATTGATTTTGCGTGCTTAATGTGATTATTTAATGATATGTTTGAGACCTATAATACTTGTTTGAGGTCCAACTAAGCCTGGAATGGTTATAAAACCATTACCATCAAGTGCCAAATGTTTTATATATTTCAGGTAAATGAAACGAGAAATTTGCATTGGTGGATAGAATAATTCAAGTGGACTGGATGTACATTGGACCGGAACTTATTGAGAAGTTGAACCGGGACTGGACTTTTGTGGGCTGGAACTCTCTTTGGATCTGGGCGGATGAAAGCACTTTTTGGGCCATGGGAATTATTTGGCCCAAAGAAAAGGACAAAGGAAGTCTTGGACGGAAGTCTTTTGGGAATTTGGCGAGAGAGAATTGGCGGCGAAAGTGGAGTCGAGCGAAGAAGAGAAAGGTCGCGGACGAAAATTCTTTGGAAAGAAAGAGAAGGCAGCAGCGCGAAGCATCGGTCGAGCAGCAATTGGCGATCGGTTTCTCCAAGGTTTGAGCTGAGTTCAACGAGAGCGATTAGTTGGTTGGATTCTCTGAACCGAACTAGTTGTGTATTGTTGATTTAGAACATGATGATCAAAACCCTAATGTTTTATCTTAATTTCGTCATGAACTAAACCCCAATTTCTGGGGGAAACACCATAGGATGTAGCTATTTCTTGATTTGATGGATTGATTCATGATTCTTTTCTTCCAATCTCTATTGCATGAAATTTCTTAATGCTTTGTGTTGACTGGCCACCAATACATTGATTTGTTGTTAATTAGGTTATTAGCGACAGTGAAACCCTAATAACTGAACATATTTCATGTGACATAGTAGCTTATCGAAGCGACAGTGGATTAAATAAGGTGCTATGCGGTCTTGAATAGGATATCGGGCATAAGGCTATATAATTAATTCATTGAGCTACGACAGTAGGATTTGAATTGATTATTTAGTACGTAGTAATTCCCGACAGGGATAGCTAGCACAGTAGTGATATCCTGGCTGTAGAGATATGGATTAAACTGATTGGAATATGTGAATTAATCTGGATAGGATAGGTGGTAAATCCCGGTGTTTCTCCCAGAGCGTTCTCCCATTGAATTTTTCCCGACCATTTTACTTTGCTTAATTTGTTTAGTTTATTTTGCTTTTAGATAATTAGTCTCATTACACCATTTCCACCTGTAGTTTGCTCTATAGAATCAATAAATCATTAGGTTGTACCAGTCCCTGAGAGACGATACCCGGACTTTCCGGTTTTGACTACAAGATAGGAATTGAAGCTATACGCTTTTGACCTATCACTCCTCATGGTGGAGGTGGGACTGGGTACCCTCAACTTCCGACGGCCCGTGTGCTGCCACAGGGTTCGCCCTCCAGGTCAGCGGCTGGTGGTGCTGGATCAGGTTCAGGCTCCGGAAACAGGGTTCCAATTGATGACGTGATTGACAAGGTGGCGACCATGGGGTTTTCGAGGGATCATGTTCGTGAAGCGGTTCGAAAACTCACAGAGAATGGGCAGTCGGTCGACTTGAACATCGTCCTGGATAAGTTGATGAATGACTCGGATTTCCAGCCGCCTAGTGGGTGGTTCGGCCGGTAGCTTTGCCTAATTGCCTCTTTGATTTGCATGTATAGAACTATCGTCTGTTTCCTGCCAGAAAAGTGCAACAGCGATTTGGTTTGTCTTCCAGTTTCGCCCTCCTCATAGACGATCTTAATCCTTTATTTGAGAGTGTTCTCATCCATGTTTGTCTTGTCTATAACTTCGAGCAGCTGCTGTTTCATTTGTCCATAAAATTCATCACATACTTTTTTCTCCATTCGTGACTGTGTCGGTTTCTATGAGATTCTTTTCTTGTAGACTGCAACCTTCATCACTTGAGTTGTGCGTCAATCTGAGATGTTAAATGATGGTTCGGACTTCAGACAAGATCTACTTTTGAAAGGCAAAAGGTTGCCTTTCAAGCTTTTGCTTCGTACAGGTTCCTTTGGCAAACCTTTGGCATGGTGTGCTGAACAGGATGGAAAATATAGAGAGAAAAAAAAAATGAAGATGAAAGTGTATTTGATTTGATTGACTTGGTTTGGTTTCGAATTCTGCATAGTTTTGCTAAAGAGGATGAGTTGAATCAGAGGGGAAAAAATCTTCAAATCGAGTTAACTTAATTATTCCTTTAATCTTGATATTAAGATTCATTCAATTATTTAACTTCCATCGAATTATGTATGCAATAGGCGAAAATCAATTCAGTACCGTTCTTTGTTCTTGTTATTATAGCACCTGTGTCGCTCAAGAGCATAGAATACAACAACTTCTATAGTTGCAGATCGTTGCAGCTAGTCAATAAGTGTTTGCTCTTTGCAGTACTTTATTTGACCATAAATCTATAACTAGATTTTAGAAAAATCATCTAAATCGATTGGAGCCAATAGAACATAAAAAAAGTATTAAAATTAAAAGAGATAATAGCATTTTCTGCCCCTGTACTATGACGATGTAACAAACGTGCCCCTGTACTATTTTTTTGCACAAAATTACCCTTCTACTATTACATCGTAACGGACCTGCCCTTCCGTTGGAATTTCTGTTTACTCGCCATTAAAAAGGGCTGGAAATTACCCAACTACCCCCAATCCCCATCGATTCCCATCGATTCTTCCCGACTACCCCCAGTCCCCATTCCTCAAAGAAATTACCCACCTCGTCGACGAGAGAGACTGCCGACGACCCGACCCTCGAGCTGCGACCCTCCGAGTCGGAACGACGGCGAGCGAACCGGCGAACCCTCTAGTCTTCCGACGACGGCGAGCGAACCCTCGAGCAAGCCTTCTCCTTCCTTCCGTCGGAACAGAAGCAAGCCCTCCTAGACAGCCGTCTCCCTCCGCTTGAGCAGATACCGAGTCAGCTAGACAATCTTTTCCGTGGACAACCTTCTCGTTCCAATCCAAATATCACTCTTGAGCCGTCTCCCTCCGCTGGACAGCCTTCTCGTTCCAATCGCTGCTCATTTTATCTGTCATCGACTCCAACAATCCAAGAGGTACATCTTCAAACCCTAAGAATACATGATAGGGTCTGATTGAATTGAATTGATGTTCTAATGCTTTTGCCGACTGATATATGGGTCAATGATGACTGATTTTCTGTAGAGATTGTATTTGCTTCGTAGTATTGATGGTTCTGCTTGTGTTATTGTTTCCTGATTGTAGATTTACTGAATTGGTGAAGATTCCCTGGCAGTCAAAATTCTTCTTTTGCCAAATCCTGTGAAGTTAAAAATTCTATCTGCCAAGCTACACTCAGCACGTCTTGGGATTCTAAATGGAACTCCGAGTTTCATCACTAAAGCGACTTGGACTTTCGACTTCTGATTGTGCTAGTGACCCAGAGGAAAAGGAAGTAAGTGATGAAGACGATGATGACCGCAACCATAAGCATCGTAGGAAGGAGTCACAATCTCAGTCTATGCAGAGAGATTTGTTAGAAACGGTTTCCAATAGGCCATTCAGGAAGAGAAACAGACTATTTGACAACGGCCATCCTTTCAGGGAAAATGAATCTCAAGACTACACCACAAAGTTCGAAAAAAGACGCCCTGGCCCAGGCTCTTTTCCCCAAAGGGTCAGGCCAAATCAATTATTTTCTGGGGATCCTGGTTCCATTCGGGGAAGAGGAAGGGACCCTCTTCCTTGGGGTCAGCATGATCCTAGATTCAATCAAGCCGATCTTGCCTCTGGTCTCTTTGCAGGGAGGGGTTTGCCTAATATATCAAATCCACAAAGTGGATCTTGGAACGGGTTTGGATTGATTCCAGGAATTCCTAATGGTGGCTTGGACACACTTCATACCATAGGATTGCAAGGAACATTGGCACCAGCAGTAAACTCTTCATTGAATATGCGCATTACGAGACAGCGTTGTAGAGATTTTGAGGAGCGTGGCTTTTGTCTCAGAGGGGACATGTGTCCTATGGAGCATGGTGTTAACCGTATTGTTGTTGAAGATGTCCAGGTATGTCAGGGGGATATTTATTCTTTTTGCTTCATTTGTGATTTTTTTTTATTGGATTCCTGTCAATTGCTGTGCTCAAACACTGCTTGCTAGATATTGTGCTATTGAAATTTGTTACGTTGATTGGTTCCTTTTTGCTCTTAAATGTTGGCATATTGGAAATGTTGTTTGTCGATTGGTTGCTAGATGATGATCTTGGTCATATTTGGCTGCTTCTCCACAATTAGAAGTGAGTCATTTTGTTGCACTGCTAGTTAATGATTTTAACAGAGAAAGTTTGTGGTGCTTTCTGCTTCTCAATTCTCTTAGCTAGGTGCAACCATTTGAATGATGAAGCTTTACTTTGTGTTCATTAATGTCATTGTGCAAGTAAGTGATTGTCTGAGTGATGGATTTGGACGGTTGAATTTAAGTCCCAACCCATCGCTTTCATCACTCATTTGGCTAGGCTAAGAATGGGGAAAAAGGGTTAGAGTTCGGGATGTCTCTTGGGACAATCGACTAGGTTAGAGGGATTCTAAATCCACCACTAACCATAGCAACATTTTCATTAACTGCTCATCTTTTCCCAGATCCAGTTAGGCACCCTATAAGCATTAATGTTACTTACACAAATCAATGGTTTTAAATAATAACATTTCTTTCAGTTTCACCTATCCAAAAGCACTTATCCAAATGGCATATCGACCTATTCTGTTAACTGGTGGATGGATATGAATTTGTGGAATTCCATTTCTTCCTGGCAAGTATTTTAATTCTATCGAGTCCCTATTTTCTATTGGTATCATGCCACTCCTTTCTTTGGGTAGATGCTGCAATGCTATTACTGTTCTGAGTATCAGCTTTTGTAATGTGAAGATGTGTTTTCATGCTGACACAGTATTATTATACCTTTTTACGTCTTGCAGAGCCTTTCTCAGTTTAACCTCCCCGTTTCACTCCCAAGTGCTCAACTGGTGGGACCTCCTTCTGTTCCGGGGGGCTTACAAGGGATTGGTAACCCTTCAACCATGTCTGCTAACAGCAAAGCTCTAACTGGAAATAGTACCAAATCTGGGCTGTATGATGACAATCCTGGACTGAATGGTGGATATTCTGGCTCGGTTTCTGCAAGCGGAGCTGACTTTTATGATCCAGATCAACCCTTGTGGAATAACAGTGGTCCTGAAACATCCAACTCACTCTTACACCTACATTCACCCAAAAATAATGGAACTGATTCTCTGATGAATGTTGATCCCTCTGATCAGGATCATGCCGGTCTAGTCACAGGCTCATCAGTTTGGGGCAGAATCAGTGGTATTAGAAACCGACGAGAAGGGAAAGAGAAAATGGATTCAACTCCAAGCAATGTCGGTCATTTGGAGAATGGAGCTAACAAGGAGGAACAGGATGCTTCAGCCAATCCTCGAGGTGCTTTTCGACGTGGGAAGCAACATGTCGTTACGTCCGAGGATATTGGTGGGCCAGCCTCAGACAACAAGCCCCTAGGTGGTCAGCCTATGCGTGTTATGCGAAAGCCATCTCAGAAGGCATTGCGTACATTATTTGTCGCAGGTATTCCACTCAAGAGCAACAGAAGGGAGACTCTCCTTTCTCATTTCCACAAATTTGGCGAGATAATCGATATTTATATACCTTCAAAAAGCGACCGGGCATTTATTCAGTTTTCAAAGAAGGAAGAGGCCGAAGCTGCTCTAATGGCTCCGGATGCTGTGATGGGGAATCGGTTTATCAAGTTGTGGTGGGCAAATCGTGATAGCATACCTGATGGTGGTGTGAGCAGTAGCAACAGTGGTGTGTCTTTACCTCCACGTGGTACGGGATCAATCCCAGTCCCACCTCATCCTTCTGTTGGTAACAAGGGAAAAGATATTGTTCAGTCAAGTGGAGCAAAGGTTGCCAGTGATATTCCCTCTGATGCTTCCACTGAGTACCAAAAGCTCCCCAATGCAAATAGTCCCATAGGTCCACCTCCTGTTCCGAAAAAGCTAGAACAATTGAAGGAAGAGCTCCGGAAAAAGCAGGAAATGCTAGACCAGAAGCGGAATGACTTCCGGCGCCAATTGGAAAAGCTTCAGAAACAAGTAAGTGAAAACTCTTCTTGAGTTGAGGATCTTCCTGTGAGTGATTCTCATCCATGTTTGTTGACTTTTTTACATCTTGCCCAATACTTTAGCAAGGCTTCTAGTGTCATTATAATATCCCATGAAATTGCATACAATAAGACCTGACTCAAAGGGTGTGTTCGTTACTGAAGTAAAAAGGTGTGACTGGTAAGGTTTTAGTAAAAGTAGATATGGTTGGGACATGAGATAATTTGTGAATAATTTTTTTATGAGAATGATAGATAGTTTGTTTATTAATAAGAATGATTCTGGTTTGAGGAATGACTATGGATATAACTTCTAGAGCATATTCTTATTTAAGTTGATAATAAATCTTTTTCTGTGAGATGGCTTTTACATTTTTTCTAGAAAGTTGGATTGAAGAAATGTGTTAGTCTCAGTGTCTCACTGTCTAGGCAAACAAACACCCAAAGTTAACTGCAAGCAGCAGGCTTAATTCTTGAATATTGTGCACCCAAGGCTGTATTTTGCATGGTGTTTATAAAGTGATCTTCATCCGTATAGAGTCGTGTTGCGAACCTATACGAAATAAAACTAAATGGGTACTTTGTTGTCTTGTTTGCAGACAACAGTAACCAAGAGTGAGGTATCGACTGAGACTCCAAAGAAATCTAAAGTCGCAGCTGATGCTGCAAAAACTACTACCGAAACAATGCTGTCTGTTCCCTCTCCGTCACCCTGTCGGGAGATGAAGATGGCCAATAAGAACAAATCAACAGAAACGGCGTCACCCACTTCTAAGATTATTGCTGGAGGGACAGTGCCAGAGGAATCTTCAGACTCAAAGTGGCTGCCACCAGTGCGGCCTGTAGTACCTATTGTTGGCTCTCCTTGTCTGGCGAATAGATACAAGTTGGACAATCGCCCGACTACGTTTAAGATCATTCCCCCCTTGCCTGCTGGTTTGGCAAATGTATGTCTCTCTCTCTCTCTCTCTCTCTCTCTCTCTCTCTCTCTCTCTCTCATTCCAATCTCTTCATGCTTGTAGTTCTATGCGCACTAGTGTATTGGTTTGCGCACAAAATTTTTCTTCCGCTGCATGCATGAAAAGCTCATCCATGGAATTTCAAATGAGTGGGATGTGACAAGGGTTGGACTTTGGAAATCCCATCCATTGGTTAGATGCACTTTTAGCGAGATGGAGTGCTGTTGATGGGATTTAATAGGGGAGGAAACTAGAATGTTGTCCTTGTTGCTAATTTTGATTTATCCTCCCTCCTACTCATGGAATGTAAATTCCAACAAGTGCTGGAATCCAATTCCATCGACGTTAAAATGTCAAGCTAGCCAAACGATAGAAGGACTAGTGTTCCATAGTTTCCATGAAGTAGACCATTCCATGGCCAAATTCCCCCCTCCAAGCCAACCAGACTATTCTTTTTCCGTTGGTATATTTTGAGCTCCAAGACAACTTGTCTCCTTTGTCCATTGTCTTTTAAGCTGTGTCTAAAGTGTTTTAGGGTTGGTCGTGTTCTGTTTAGGCATTGATGAAAACTGAACTGACATCTTGTCATTCATCTAGGTTGATGTTTTGAAGGAGCACTTCTCCACTTTTGGCAATCTCACTTCAGTGGAACTGGAAAGTGCCGAACCATGTCAAAGTGATGGCGGTGATGATGATGATGATGATACATCCAAGACAACAGCCACTAAACTTTGCTCCTGCGCTCATGCAACTTTCGCAACTCGTCGCTCAGCCGAGACAGCATTCGTAAATGGTAAAACCTGGCAAGGCCATGATTTACGATTTACCTGGATGGCATCAAGTTCCACTTCCACCAACAACCCTCGGAGCAAAGCAACCACACCGTTACCTCTTCCCGACGACAAGTCAAAAAAGCCTGATCCTCAAGAAGCTCAGCACTCGGAAACAAATGGCGGTGTAGAAAAGAGTGAGTTAAGTGAACCTCCCCAGCCACATCCAACTGAAGACGAATCAGTCCAAATCAAACCTGCCCTCACGAAGATCTCCACCGAGAAAGAGGCTAGTTCGGGCAAGGAAGAACCAGTTGAATGCGAAGATGGTTGCTGATGATGATGTCAGTCGGGAATTGTACAGCAAGGTAAGGTGTTAAAAGAAAATTCCTATTCTGAAACTAATTTACAGGAGCCTTCTCCGGTTAGCAATTTTCTGAAACTAGCCCCCGATCTTGTTTTCTTTTTTGTTCTTTCTTGTATCTCGGATGTGTAGAAAGGGGATTTTTCTGATTTTTCACAGCCACCGTAATTGGGTTACGGGGATATGATACTGAGATAGTTAAGTGGCAGACTTGAACATGTTTCGTCTTTTGACGTTTGAGCATAGATTACTGGTCTCTGAACTGATTTGAAAAAAGTTATAAAAAAAAAAGAAAAAACTGGAAGAAGAAAAGAAAAAGTTGTACTGAGATCAGTTTTACGGCCAGTAAAAAAAATGAAATATGGGATGTATTTTTTTTGTCCCATTTTTGTTTTCTACAGTCAGAAGTTTTGTATTCGTAGAGGAAGGAATGTTTACGTATGTAGGTGTAAATTTATGGCAGGTAAATTCAAAATTCAGAATGCCCAAATTTTGTGGCTTTATTACTGTGAAGGTGAAGAAGGGGAATGAATGTCCAATGATGTTCTATTTACTATGCATGTGAGATTGTGAGTTACCCTATATCCTTTAAACATGCAAAGGAGGACGGGTTTTCATGTCCTTTGGTCGTCTGATCGAGAACTCAATGTCATTCATGTGGAATCGAGACAGGTGGATTCATAATTCGTTATAACCTGATTAGCCTGATGCGATTAACTAAGCTATACTCCAAATGTGTTATTAATAGTTGGATCACATGTTTGATGTTTCACTTTCGTCTGGTTGCACCGGCTTAGGGGTGGGCATTGGGTGGGTCGGGTGGATTTTGACCATAAAATACACCCACCCGCGCTTAAACGGATTGATAATTTTTAACCCACCACCCACCCACATTTAGTATCGGGTTGGGTCGGGCGGATGGTGGATGATGCGGGTGGGTTTGTGGGTTCAACCATATCACAATGTATATAATATAAAGGAGTCAACTTGACATGATAATAGGTGCAGAGAGTTATCTGGGGGAAACAAGAAGATGAAATAGGGGGGAAAATGTCGAATTAGTTCTTAAGTTGGATAGATATTCTATCATGAAAGAGTTTTCTACAAATTGAGATGATTATCAGGTGCAAGGAACTAAGGAAAATAATTCCACAAAGGAAAGAGCGGTGATCTAGGCACAATAATTAGAGGAAAAAATAAAAGGAAGAAGAGGGGATCGCTATTTGGAAGGGTTGGCTTTGAGGTTCAAACTCCAGGAGCAGTCCTAGTTTATGTCTAACGTCTCCACTCTCCCCTCTCTAGCGCCAACGACTTTGATCTTTTTGCTGTTGGGTTAAATGGGTCACCCGCGCATCCACCCACAACCCACCCACCACCCGGCGGATGGCTCTCAGCGCAACCCGTCACCCAACCACAGACCCACCCACTTAATGAAATTCGGGTCAAATGCAGGTGGGTCGGCCCAAACCCGCGGATGATCCGCCCGCATGCCCAGCCCTACGCCGGCTGATCCCCGCCGATTTATCCTTGTGCTGCCGTCGAACCATCAATGGCTCCTTTATTAAAGAGCGGACAGCTGAAAGCGGCGCCGCGGTGGTGGTCCCATGGCCCAATATGTGGCCCGGATTCGGCCCAGGGCCCACCTGTTAGCCAGGCCCCAGGAGAATAGATTAAGTATTAACCTTTCTTAACTGGGCGGTTACGTACGGGTTATCCAACCGAGCACGCGCTATTATTGGCTACGCTCCGCTCTCGCCGTCGCAAACCATCTTTGTGTGGAATTCTGTGATACAAGTAGCACGTGGCACTGGATCCGGGCGAGTGTGCTACACTCTACTACGCTGGCTCACAAAGGGACTAACCTGAAGAATATCTGACAAAACGGTTCAATTTGTACGATATAAAACGCGCCACCGATATAGACAACAAAACGAAAATCAGATCCAAGCGGTAAAAGTTTCACCGCCGCGGGAAACCGATATCGCGCGTGAGATTCCTCTTCTCGCCCAGCGATATTTTAGCGAGTCATATTCTGGTCACCGGGAGAAATTGAATATCTTTTCATAGAGAGAGAGAGAGAGCTCGACACTTCGGTTTCATTTCAATTCACGCTCTTTTCCCATTTTCTCTTTTTTTCCCCCATTTTACTACACACTACTGCTCGTCTGAAAGGGGCAGCAAAACTCAGAGCTTCAAAACCCTAATTCTGTCGCCTTCTTCTGCAAATTCGTCCTGGGTTTCTGCATCTTGATTGGAAAGGTAAGAGCTTTGCGGTTCGTTTGATTGTATGAGAGTTCTTGAATAGTCAATTTGGTTATCGTTATCTGCTGGATGGAAATCCATGGCCTGCTGTCTTCACTGGCTAGCTCATGCGCGCTCCCCTATCGGATTAGAGATTCCGTTCCCATTTCAAGACAAATTTTGGGGTTTCCTTTTCTATTTTGTTGTGGATTTTGTATTATTTTTTGTTGCTAGGGTTTAATATATTTGTTTTTTATTTTGGGAGGGGGAGCTAAAGACTAAACTTCTGAGTCATTGTTGATTCTAGTCTCTTCTCTATTTTTGCAGTGGTGGGTGGAATTTTGTTTGGTCGTAAGCTGGCTTTCTTCTAGAGTATTTTTGGTGGGGGAAAAATGAAGGTTACTCGAAAGACTGTAGCGGAAAGTCCTTCCTCCCTTGCCGGTGAAGAATCGCAAGGCCCACACGGAAGAGGGTCGACCATCAGTCGGATGGAGAATGGAATTAGGTCTTGTGAGAAAGGTGGGTTTATTAGTGAAGGATTGGACGGTGGTGGAGTTTCTGTTGTGAATAACAACTCGAGTGGGAAAATTGTTTCTCTATTCGATGGAAATAGAGATAGTCTTGAAGACTCTGAGATGAATGGGATTTCTTCTCTGCTTGAAATGCAGCAGAGTGGGAGGTACCCTGGATTGGACTCCGTGTTGGAGGTGATTGATAAGAATGAGAGAAAAGAGTTCGGCAATGGCGGTGATGATAGTAAGAAGCAAGGAGAAGTGAGGCTCATGGGTGGTAGGGAAACTGAAGGAAAGTATGAGGGCAAGGAAGAAACTGAGGTTGAGGGAAGCTTGGAGGAGGAGGATGAAACGGAAGAGCTTGATTACGATGTTGGCGATTTTGTATGGGGAAAGATCAAGAGCCATCCATGGTGGCCAGGGCGGATTTATGATCCCTTGGATGCATCCGAGCAAGCAAAGAAAGTCAAACATGGACAAGACAGGATTCTTGTTGCTTATTTTGGGGATGGCACTTTCGCTTGGTGCAATCCATCTCAATTGAAGCCTTTCAACGAGAATTTTGTTGAGATGGCGAATCAAAGCACGTCCAAGAACTTTGTCAATGCTGTGGAGAAGGCTCTGGAAGAGGTCGGTAGGTCGATTGACTTGAGTTTGACTTGCTCTTGTGTGCCAAGAGACAATCTGTTTGGCTTTGGGAGGTCCTTGGCAGCAAATGCTGGAGTTAGAGATGGACTTCTTGTGCCAGAAGGTGGAGACTTCTCTGATAATACTCTGTTTAAACCGGAAAATGTATTCCATTCGATCAAATATATGTCAAAAGGTGTCAGATTTGGTAATGCGTTGGAGCTTGCTATAGTGAAGAGCTCCTTGTCAGCTTTCTACAGAGCAAAATGCGGGAGCAAATTGCAGGCTTTTTCTGAGCCTACGGAAATTCCCGGACTTGAAGATGACTCTCCTAAGTGGATGCTTGGTGATCCGAATAATCAAAAGGATACTTTAGCGGAAGGTATATTTCCTGGGCCAGTTGAAGAAGACTGGGTTTCTTCTTCACTTGGCCAAGACTCTCAGAACTCATTGCAGACACCACAGGTGTTTCCAGAACGCTTTGCACCTCGGAGAAGGAAGCAGAAAAGCATTGCTGAAATTATTAGTGGTAGTCCTAATGCTGAGACTGAAGCAGAAGCAAGTGGAAGCAAAACTGTATCTGGAAGGAAGAAGAGGACGAGCAAAAGTGAAGTTGCAGGAGATGAGGTAATTGAAAACCCAGAACCATCTGGAAGTAAAAAGAGGAAAGTTCGAAGCAGTCCTAAGGTAACTGAGGTGGCCAAAACTGAAGCTAGCTGGGGTGATATTTCTGCCTCTAGCTTACATAAGAGTAAAGGTAGCAATGAAATTGCTTCCTCTGGACAGCAAAAGAGCGAAAACACAGAAGTCCCCTATGGGTCGAGAAGGAGTAAACGTGGCAAGGAAGCTAATGTGGAAGCCCCCAGTGAGTCAGTTCCTGGGCTAAGGAAGAGGAAAGGCAGAGAAGTTCCTGGATCTCCAGTGACTGCAGCCGATCATGACACATTGGCCATCAACGTAAAAACTCCCGTGCCGAGGAGAAGAAAGAAACAGGAAGATAACAGTGTCGTAAATGATGACAGCTTAGGAAAAACCGAAGAAGCGACAGAAAAGAAAATGGCTGGTGGCTCAAATATTGAAAATGATGGCAACAAGGGCTACCAAACAAGCGAGAATGTTGCTTTGTCTAGGGAAAGGAAGAAAAGCAGGTACCTTTCCCCTCCCTACACTAATATTACTATAGGGCAGAGGCCGAAAATGAAGGCGTCGGGTGAATCCCAATTAGCCGAGGATAAGACTGAAGCTGCTGGTCGTCATGGTAATGATGTGAAGTCTCAGGAAGAACTCTCTAAAGAGCAAGCTGTTGTGGATGGGAAACCTGATGATTTGATTCCCGAGACAACAAAAGGTCAGACCAGCACAATCGAAGCTCGGACAGCTGCGAGTGAAATGCTGTGTCATATCCGCTCTGTAGCTCTCGACCCACTCCATGTCGAGGAAAGCAAACATCTTGATCAGGTCTTGGGTTTTGTTTCCGAGCTTAGAAGCTCAGGGCATAATGAGGAGGGATCGAACAACGAGCAGAACATCAAGCCTAAACGAGGAAGAAAGAAGAAGAAACTTCAGGAAGGATCTGAGTCGGACCCAACTTCACCTAATGATCTTAAATCGCATCAGAACAAGGAGTTCCAGAAAACAGATAAGCCTATAGCTGCTACCCTTCATGTAACTTTTGGCCCGGGATCATCTCTACCTTCCAAGGATGATCTTCTAAGAATATACGGCCCCTTTGGTGCATTGAACAAAGATGAAACCGACATGCTCTACAACAATCGTTGTGCTAAGATTGCATTCTCCAGTAAATCCGATGCCGAGGAAGCACTCAGCCACAGCCAACGTTCGAGCCCCTTTGGCACAAGCCACGTGAACTTTCGGCTTCGTTATCCCCCTTCAACGCCCAAAGTTTCGGTCCATTCAGAGCTGCATCACGTAATAGAGAAGCTTGAGACTGTGGACTCGATGCTGAAGAGTAGTTCGTCAGAGATGTCTGCCAACTTGAAATCCAGGGTGGGAGGTGAAATCAGAGGCGTGATTGAGAAGTTAAACACAATGGTCAGGCCTCCGGGAGTTTCTAGCTAGAAGAGTGGTTACTGAAAGGAAAACAAAAGGTTGTTGCTTTGTCTGTGTTGTTGTTATAGGCTCAGATCTCTTCAGTTTCTTATTAATTTGTCTACAGATTACAGTTAATGATCTTGAGGTTATGTGCACAACAAGTAAGGGTTAGCGGGGAAGGGGGGTTAGATGGTTTCTTGCCACCTTTTACTGAATTAATTGGCAGCCTAGAGAGGGGTAACAGAAATCGTATTTTGATTTTGCCATTTCTATGTGTGGCTCTGTGGTAACTGGTAAGTTTAATGCATGGATAAACTTGTTAACCATGTTGCTTTCGGATAAGCTCGCTTGTTCATCTCAACTTTTACTCATGGCAACACCACACACGGTCATGGCATCATTTTTTGCTTTCTCTCAAGCAGTGAATGTAGTTTCCACCTGGAGTACTATCTCAGTGTAGTAGTTTTAGCACTATAATGGGGCAATTGCTTTATAAAAGACTGGAAGCAGAGAAAATTACGAGCCGAATTTCAGGATTACAGTTCCACCAAAAGAACAAAAGAATTGCACGTTATACCAATATTTCGTCGTTCATCTTCCATACCACTTAACACTCGGTTCATCCCCTTCACAGAACTCTGAACCCTTCACCAACACTCAGTCCATCCACTTCATATGCTCTTAATCTTTCTGTTCGCACCCTGAAACCCACAATCTAACAGTTCCGCAATTGATCACACGCCAAGAAGAAACATTGTGCGTGAACATCAGTCATCAACTGGATCCCGAGGGGTCTCATCAGCTCTGCGTTTGATACAGATCACGGGGCACTCAGCATGTTTCTGGGCAAACTCACTCACAGTCCCAACAAACACCCTACAAAAGTGTTACCATCAAGCAACGAAAGATTTACTCAGTTGGTACCAAGAGGTGTAGAATTCATAAGTTTCAGTTCAATATCTACAGATGGGCTATATACTAGTTCAGTAGGTTGCTAGTGTTTGTGACACAACAGATCACCATACCTCTGGAAAGGGCCGAGACCCCTGCTTCCAACGACCAGGAAATCCGGGTGAACCCGATCCACTTCGCGACAGATCACCTCCTTCGGATCACCCTTCTTAATCCAGGCCTCACAGGCAACCTACAAGCCATTTAAAATCAGAATCAGGGACAAATTTCCCAAGGAACCACCTACGGAATCTTGAATGAAGCATATTTACCCCAAGCTCATGGCACCTATCCACGAAATACTCCAGCAGATGAAGACCCCTAGCCTTGTCCCTACGAGCCATTTGCTTGAAATCATCAGGAGATGCGAATATGCTGTCCACGTCATCAAAACCTAGCCATGGAAAATGTTTTGAGAAACTTCAATCAAGCATCCATCCCAGTCTCTCAACAGTCAACACCACATCTTAGCAAACAGAAACAGTTCAACATTAATGGCATTATAATTTACCCTACGAACGCAAACAAAATCTAACAACCTTCCACTAGTCAATCATTTCCCCCCATCTTCTTCTTCTCCTTCACCAATTCGATTTCTGAATACCAGCAAATGACACCGGATAGAACTCCGAAACAATCAAACTGATGGATAAATGGAAGGGACGGGAGGATCAAGAACCAATTGATAACGGCGAGTTGTTCAAGCTAATGTTAACTATAATCTCTTTCTGGTGCTTTCCATTCTAAAGCAATCAAAGCTCTCTTGAAATCAATTCTTGATAAACATCCACACCTTAATCTCTCTCTAACCAATTCAAGCGACTTGTTAACGATGACAAGGACGCTACAGTTACAGAGAGCCCTAAGATCAACGCCACTTCTCGAAACCCTAAGATCACACTTCAAGAACGCGATCAATCAAGCTCAACCAAGCAAAGAAATGAGCAAGAGACCAGCGAAAGAGAAAAGCAAGCTAAGAAACTCTACTCTATGTCTCTCTATCACATCAACAGTGCTAAAAGAGCGAAGAGAGAGGAAAGAGAGAGCAGCGAACCATCCTCGTCGGGGATTTGGACGTGGAGGAAGAGGAGCTTGAATCCAGAAGTGTTGGAGCGGACGATCTTCTCCAGAGTCCACTCGAAAGCTCCCCTGCAGCTGATGGACGGGTGCGGATACTTCTTGATTGATGACTCGTTCACCGCGATCATTATCCGAGTCGGCTCGCCCTCCATTTTTGCTCCTCAAACCTCAATTCTTCCTTTTCCCTTCCTTCACTTTTCCCAACTAGCTTCTTCCAGAACTCACTCACTCTCTCCCTCTCTTTCTTACTTTCAGCAGCGCGGGTGTTTTCTGTCTCTATTATTGTCATTTCGTTTCCCCCAATAAATATGACTGCGTAGGAAACCTTTTCTTTTGCTTGCGGAAGGTGACAGGTGTCCACTGTACACGTGTCGCAAAAGCTCGTGACAGGTTTATCTTCCAGAGCTGTCGGCTCGCTAACCAGCGGTTTCGTCGTTGTATCGCCGTGGAAGATTTGCTGCGGAGGATGAGCGGTGGGCGGCGATATTTTCGTCGTCTCCGTGAGCTTGCCCCGTTCGGGTCATGAGGAGCGGTAGAAACGATACCGTTTGGTCGAGTCTGCAGTTCAATCAGGACTTGACTTGAGATTAGACAAAATGGGCCGGACGACTATTGGACTTGTGGGCTTAGTAAAGCATAATTGTCCTATTAAAACTAATAGTTTTGGGCCCAAACGAGAGTTCAAGTATTCAACGCATATAAATTACAAGCGTCAAATCGTTTTCCCCGCCGGCGGCTGATCAATAACAAAGCAAGCAGCGAAAAGTTAATCTCGAACAAACGAAGAAAAAGAAAAGCTTAACCGTACCGCAACCGGGAGCTATGGAAGGTGGAAATAGCGGAGGTGGAGGTATTGAATTCGCCGGCGGAATAGGAAGTACGAGCTTCGACGACCTACCAGAGGGATGCATCGTCAATATCCTTTCGTTGGCTAGCCCGGTCGACGCTTTGCGATTGTCCAGGGTATCGTCGTTGTTCAGATCCTCGGCCAACTCCGATGCCTTGTGGGACAGGTTTCTGCCCTCTGATTACGACTCGATCATTCCCAATTCCGCCGAACTTCCGTCATTCTCTTCGAAGAAAGAACTGTTCCGCGCGCTTTGCAGTCGCCCGATTTTCTTCGACGACTGCAAGAAGGTAAAAATTAGGGTTAGGTTGATTTCGGCTTCACCCGCGTTGATTGCTTCCAACTGTTAGTTTATCAACTTTCGATCGCTATACTTCTGATTAGGTTCTATGAAATTCGGCAAGTTCCGATTGCCGGGCATTCGCATTTACGGGAGATTTAGGTGTAGATTGTGCTTGAGAACTTTGAAATTTTGAACATGAGTTGTGAAGCAAACTGATCCATTCATCTGACCATGACAAGTGAAAAGTATGGGAATAGTATTGTACTATTATGTTGTCGAGAGACATGTAAGAGAATGATATAATATCTCTTCGTGGTTTGTCTGAACAAATTGCGGAGTTATTGAGATAAATTGGTTTTGTTTTGGCCTTAAATTTTGATCTCGGAGATCTTACTTTCGTTTCTCTGAATTGATTGTGTAGAGCCTTTGGTTGGACAAAGAGAGTGGCAAGAAATGTTACATGCTTGGTGCTAGAGGTCTCTCCATTGAATCAAGTGACAGTCCTCACCATTGGGCTTGGATCAAAGACAAAGATTCCAGGTTTTTTGCTGTTCTCTTTGCTTTCTCACAACCCTCTTTCCCTTCCATTGTGTTTTTCCCCATCCCCATTTCATTAACCATCGCTTCGTATACTTATTCATGTGCTGCTTCCACGACGATCTCACAGATTTCCCGAGGTTGCTGAGCTCAAATCCGTCCCTGCCCTCGACATTCGCGGTGAAATTACTAGTTCCATGATGTCTCCTGGATCAAGATATGCTGCATATCTTGTGTACAAGCTCCAGAGAAATGCGTTTGACTGCCTTTTGGTGGAGACCTCTGTTGGCGTTGCTGGAGCCGATTCCACAATTTGTCTGAATATTGATGTGGAACCCTTCTGGCATCATCATCGAAACAGTAATGCAGTGCTGGGATTGAAACGCCCGAAGAAGAGGAGAGATAAATGGTTGGAGATCGAGTTGGGGGAGTATTTCAACGAGGCTGCTAAGAGCGGGGGATTGGAGCCGGTTGCCATCCAAGTGAAGGCTGGAGGAGAAACTTGGGGGTGCGTCGTCATTGAAGGAATCGAAATTAGGCCTGCAATTGGTCAGTGATTTTATTACAGTCGTCGAAGTTCAATTGTACATGAAAGATAAGAATAAGGTCTAATTTTCATTAGATTCAGCATCTTAGTAAGAAAATAGCCAAATAACAGCACATAATAGTTGTCTTTTGATCAGATTTTCAAGTGGATTCATCTTAAATGAATGATTAGAAAGCTAAGTTTTATCTAAAATTCATAAGGTCTCATATCCAAAATAAAAAATTATCTAACCATTTGCCCATAAAAATCTCTTCACTCTTCCTTCCCATGTATGATCTATGGATCTGCAATCTTTAATGTGCCTCTCTTAGGGAATGAACATATTAATCTTGTTATCTAATTCTAAACAAAATTCTCTTACTCGATAAAAATTATACATAACAATTGAATTGTCAAGAAATGAACATATAAATCTCCTTATCTAGTTCTAAACAAAATTCTTGTACTTTGAGGTGGCAATTAGGATCCATATCTACGAACCCAATCCATCCACCTAATTCAATCCATTTGATCTAAATCTAATTGGATTAGTGGATCCATGGAACCAAATGGCAAACTATGGGGTTTTTTTATCCAAGATAAGCCCACAGGGCATGGCTGCACAACAATAATAGAAACTGATAAAAATAAAGAACGATTGTCCGTATGCAACCGGACTCCCGAAGAAAGAGCTTGTTATGCCTTGAGGTGGGCAGCTCTAGGAAAACTCCAATGAGCAAGCTATGGTTTAGTACCTATACTTTTTATAATTTACATTTTGGTATCTAAAGTTTATCATTTATACGAAAAATATCATTGAAAAATTATTTGGTGCCTAAAATATTTCCATTATGACATTTTAATACCTAATTTTTTCAAATTTTACATAATGGTCCAAGATTTTGAATGTCATTTGAATTCATAGATCAATTCGCCTATCCATTTAATCCATGAATTTACTAATCCAATCCACCAATCTAGAAATCCAATTCATTTACGTCCAGAACTATCAAACACTCACAAAACTCAAACCTCAAATTGCCCAATAGTGCTAACCCTGCTGGACACCACATTGCCTCGTTCCCATTGGGTCCTTTCCAAGTTTCCTTATTCTCGTCACTTGTCAAAACAAAAACTTGCCCCCTATTTTCATATAACAAAGGACTGTGGCTCTTTCTCTTGGGAAATTTCCTTGGCCACATTACATTTCCTTTACTGCGCTGTAGCAGCACAGCACACGCATGCCCGCTCTCACTTTCCTCTCTATTGCCATTTTCCTGTTCTCTTGGTGGTGTTCATATGCATATACCATCACCTTCAATATTATGGCCTATGGTTGGTTAACATTTTGATGAAAGTTCATATGGGCGACAAGTTGCCTGGCCTCTGTGCGTGCAAATCTTGCCATTCTCAGCTAAAACGACACATCAATATTACGTGGGCCCAAATGGGATGGCCCATATATATAGGCTCTCATGGCCCAAAGTGGGGGGACAACAATCAATCACAGTGCAATTGAAGGCTTGTGATTTCTTGAAGACGAGAAAATTAGATTGCGACTTGTAAGGTTACGAATTAAAGATTATAGGATCTTAGACTCGGTAGTCAGTTTTTCAGGTTGATATGGCTTGATGGGATACTCAGTGATAAATCCTTGTGTGTAGATCTAACTGTCGAAAGTATAGCGAGAATTAACGATGAGACATTAGCATTAATCCATGCATACAAACGTCCATTTTATATCAATACGATTGACATATTGACTAGTCTTTTACGCATTTGTGATCATCATTTTGTTATGCGAGTTTGAACCGATATTTTTTGTAACATTTACATGTAGATCTAACTGTTAAAAGCATGAGGATAGACGATGAGACGGAATCAATAAACTTATGCGTATATGCCTCTATCAACATATAGAGTCTAATTGCTTAATATTAAGTTTTTGTGATCATTAGCTAGTTATGTGAATTTTCTATAATGCTTACAAATAACACTTATGTGAGAATTTGGCAGCTTAAAGTGCAAGAATAGAAATTCATATGGTACATCAATTCATGCATATGTCCATCCTTTCATCAGGGCAGTTGAATTATTATGTCCATGCTTAGTATTATTACACTTTTGTGATCAACATGAAGGTCATGAAGAGAACCACTTGCATGCACTAATCAATTCCCCGATGGTAAAGTAAAAATTACTAATACGAACCATCATTCATTCATTAATTAGGCGATTTTCCTCTTACTTACCGCATTTTCTTCAATCAACCACAATTACCATCTACCAACGTCGTTAGGAGCCCATTTCACATTCTGAGATGAGCCCAAAAAACGAAGATTTACAAAGGGTGGGAAAATATAATGGTAATTTAATTAGCGTTAATCCATATAATTATTGTAAGTGGAAGTAATCAAGAGAGGGTTGTGGAGATTCCAGTGAAAGAGACCCTACCAAAGCCCAAATGACCAACCTGGTAGAGCTCCAACCAAACCTTCTCCGCCTCATACTTCGCGCTCCTCCGCCGCCCCCCGCCACCGCCGCCGGCGACATCTTCCTCGTCAATATCCCCGACCATCCTCAAGCTCCGGCTGCCGTCCGACCTCTCCACCACGTATATCACATCCCCATCCTCCCCATTTCCACCACTCCCACTACTCCCTTCTTCTTCCAAGTCACCCCGCCCGACGCCGCCGGCTGACGTCACCATTTCCATCATCAGCGCACCTTTCCTCTTCTTCTTCTTCTTCTTCTTCTTCCTGTTCCGCCGGATCGTCCCAATGCAGCGCCGCCCCACCGTCCAGGGGATCCTGACGAATGCGAGGGCCAGGAAGTTGACGACGGCGAGGGGGCAGCAGCAGAGCGCCACGCAGTCGGCTATCGCCCCCGCCGTGCACGACGGGCTGCAGCAGCATTCCGATACGTCGTCGTTCCGCGGAGACGCCCCTCTAGCTCTATGATTGTCGTCATGATGGTCGCCGCCGCTGCATCCGTTCTTCCGCCTAGTGGCCGGCGGCGGCGCCGACCAGCTTTGTAGTTCCATTTTTATTTTTATGGGTGACTAATTGCTCTGATCACCGGCCGGCTAGGTAGCTGCTGCGGGAGGAAAGAAATGTGTCAGCTTTATATAAAATGTCTCTCTTTCGCCATGGGAGTGACAATATGACATGCAAGTAAGCAAGTTTTATGGTAGGGGCCGGGATGGGAAAAAGGAAGGGGAGAGTGATGGAATGGAGGTTCATTTATTTACTATGGATGGGGTAAAAAGTTAAAAATTTGAGAAAATTACTGTTGTTTGGAATGGAAGCCCACGGCTCTGATGAATGTTGTTTTTTACTTTTTATAAAAAGATCTCGACTTTCACGGTCCAATGGTGGTGTTGGGAATTGGGGCTGCCTAGTTTAATTAAATGTTGTTCTGGGTACTTGCAATTTTACTTAAATTACAATTAATGGCTTTGTATTTACTTAGGGTGGTTTCTCTCTGGCTTTGGAATTTGGGTTTTAGAAAATGGGTAATATTTTAATCCTAGTTTTTGTATTTGACCTTCAATTTTATGTAAGATAACCGGTTCGTATTTGAATTGAGTGATTGTGATGTCGAATTTTGAATCAAAAAATTATGATTTCAAACACTGTAGTATGCAATTCTAATACGATATCCAATGAGTTTCATCCGGATAGGAAGAGCCATCTTATCAACTTACAAGCAAATTGTGTATTACTGTAGGAAACTCCTCATGTGAAATACATTGATTTCTACAAATCCATCACATATATATTGATCAATCACAATCAATTCACTTAATGAGAGGAAGCCTAATGGTGAAACTCGGAAATGGAATGTGAAGGAGACTAGTCAGTCAAACAGAAATCGAAATAATGTTGGAAAGGGAGAGAAATAGCCATTGCTCAGTTGGCCTTTCAAAGGGGAAAGGAAAAGGAACAGAGGAAAAGAGAGAGGATTGCCCACAAAGTGATTTTGCGTGAAATGAAACACAAGTACATAACTTCATGTCCAATGCCTAATTCAGCTTTGAAACAAAAATCCCAGCACTGTCCCATGAAAATTGAAACCCACCCCCACCACCCACACAGAAAGTAAACCTAACAAAATAAGGGGGTGGAGTTTAGGGTGCAATGCTCTTTCTTTTTTGTATTTGGTATGAGGATATAATATGTGTATGTACATGCTACATGAACATTGGAAATAAAATAAAAAATAGTGAAGTAATTTGTAATAGTTAGTGACTAATAGCGAAGTAGCATGGTGAGAGATAAAGTGAAAAGAAATTTATTGATGAAGTGAAACAGAACATAAAATTCTCAAATATTGGAAGGAGTCGGAGCTATGATTGCTAGTTCCTCCTCTTCCAAAACGAGTATTATTGACCCGTAAAATTCTAGTTACTCTTTACTCTAAATATTGGTTTAACAACTATATGTATATATGACTTTTTTTTTACAAACATTGCTAGACAAAACCTAAACAGTATTATAATGAGTTTAGTGAAATTACTATTTTTCCCTTTTTTCAAATTTGGTGGGGGAAAAAAACTTTTACCTATTTTGAGCTTTGGTACTTTGCCTATAGCATTTACATTGCTTCAAATATGACATGAATCTTTTTTTTTATATGGGAACAAATATGACATGAATTTATCTTCAAATGTTTATGGTAACTTTACCTAAATGGCCCACCTTCGGGGCTACTGGAAATGTGATACCTAGGAACATAAATATTTGTCGTCGAATAATTGGTTTGGTATGCAGCATCACAAGTATTTATTTACTACATACCAAGAAAAATTGCTACTATATTTGAATGTGACTTCTTTGTAATATATAGTTCTCGAGTTGGCTTCAATCCGATATGTAATGGTTTATTCATGGGTCATAATAAAAATTATTATGTTGTTTTCACAAATATGTCTATCTAGCTAGATATAAAATAGAAGTGTAATTTATTATATTAAGTGGAAACAATCCATACTTAATCAGTTTATTTGTTATGATCCATTTGTCGTTGCTAGGTTTGTTGTATTTTTATTGTTTTGCCTTTTAAGTTGACTCTCAGGTTCTCCATCTTCATTAGAAGTTTAAACTTTATATGACACTGATTAGAAGATTTCTACATAAATGGTATATGAGTTATGACTCTTGAATTATGCAGTTTTGCAAAGCATTGTTTGATGGTTTCAATAAGATGACAGAACAAACTTTTTAATTGAAAGATCAATGGAGAAAGAACATACTACATGAACTTATTATTAGTAACAAACCATAATATACAGACGTATTTGTTGAAACAACATAATAAATGGATTGAAAATGCTATTTGCCCTTTTCTTTTTCTTTTTTTCATTCACTCTTTTTGCTTTTGTTATTATTATCATTCATATTTTTTTGTAATATCATATTTTACCATTCATATATAAGTAGTGAAATGTTTGAATATTAGCTTGAATCACACCATGTCACATGCTAACAAAGAATGGATCTGAATCCCTTATTAAACTATCATTATTTTGCAGTAAAATGCATGTGGAAGGAATACAACTTTGTATAGCAACAAAGCATCTCTCATCAGAATACCACTACCCAGGCAGGACTGCTGTTTTCCCTTGTGCCGGTGATGAAGGCTAATTAAGCTTTTCTGAAGTGTTTGTTTGACTGGTTTTCTTGGACATAACAAAGGTGGGGAATCGGCAGCAAGCAAAACAAATTAAAGTAATTGGTGATCAGCTAGAACAACTATAGTTCGACTAAAACATGATAAATTACCTGTTGGTTTCGAAGTTTGTAAAGAAACAAAATCGATAAGAAAGTGATGATATATGTGATTTAGATGTCTATGTTTTTGAATCGTCCATATTATTTAGACCTAAACCAATGGCTAGCTTACTAGAAGAGAAGTATTTTCATGAGAAGTAGAGTACTAATTTTGGTAATGCCATTCCCATGACTCTCTACCCCTCAAGTTCTTGCATAAGCAAATGACAAAGAAGGTGGGGGGAAAAGGAGTAGACAACAGTAATATAGACCAACAACCCCCACAAAATAGTTCCAAAACAACACCAGAGACTTTAGCCTTCCAACTGGGCCAGGCCCCTGGCCCATTTGCAATAGCATCATCAAAGCCTAAACCCAGAAAAACAAACCCAGAAACTGGTAAATATGCAGAGCAGCTCTCTTGTCAATCAAATGCAGAGCAGTTTAACTCACCAGGGAGTGATTGAGGATTAGCAGTAGGATTAGTGGATGATGATCTGAAGAAATAATCTTGAGCTAGCTTTCCCCTGCTGCATCTGCTATTCCCCGCCATATTGATTCATCTCTCCTCACATAGCGGCCATTTCCGTGTCCAGCTGGAAATTTTATGAGGATGCAGCTCTCTAAGAAACCCAGGAAGAAGCCAAAAAATGGAGCTACCCAATATTCTCTCACCAGATAGATTTATACATCTGATTTAGTTTTTGATTGTTTTGGCGGGATGAGCTGCTCCAATGGCGGATAGCAGAAGAATATTTTAGGAGGAAGAAGAGGAGGAGATTGGAAGCACGTAGCTGGTTGCTTATGCTTCGAATTGACTTGATAAATCTCATGTGATCTTGATCTAATGTGTAAATTCAGATATGATATATAATAACGGGAATTGGGAGCAGTTGGGAGCAGAAGGAATCACTCACTCACTCCCCCATGTCATCATCAATACTCTGTCTCACGATCTGCCTTTTCTTTATGGATTGCAACAATGTGTATTATAATATTCAGAGTACAGCACTATGATTATATAATATACGGGTTGAAATCCTTCATTTAAAATTATTCGTTTCTTTCGAAGCATTCTAACAGTAAATCATGAAGCTTGCCCGACTCATTTCATGCCTCAAAGATACAAAATCTCTTGATCAAAATCTATAATACGAGATCGAAATGTACTGGTTCATTCAAATAACTCTGGAAGCGATGAGATTGGCGGTGTAGTTTATCATCTACACTTGCATGTTGGCAGAATTTACTAGTGACTTGCTTTTTTTGCTCTGCTGTGCTTTCTGTAGGTCTGTACATGAAAGGAGAGGCTTGCATTTTAAGGTTTCAGAGGAGTATGATCTGATGTGAAAAAGATGGCTGGTGGTAACTGGTAAACGAGTTCCAATGACAGCGAATATAGGAAAAACTGTCTCTAGAGAAATAAGCTCTGTTTTAACTCGGACCCCCATGACTCGTGCACGTGAGGAACGGGGCTGCCACGTCCACCGCCGACCGATTTTCCTCTTGTATTTCCCCCCCTTTTTTTTACTATGGGATATTAATCTGAAAATTTATTTAGGTTGCTAATTTTGGTGAAATAAAAAACAGATTAAGTTTCAAAGTTCAAACTTTCACCTACGTATAAGTTATCTCAAAACCTTATAATTGCATCTTAAATTAAATCTTATTTCTATTTTAAAATTCATATATAATAAAATGCTTCATCCAATGTGAATGTAAATTCACAAAAATTAATTAAAGATACCATTTTTCATACTCAGACTTCTCATTTCATATTAGAGGTCAATATCTGCCAGCACCAGTTTCAAACAAGTACATGTTACATTTTCTTCCCCTATATTTAATTAGGTGGTTCAGTTTTCTGAAATATTTATATATAAAAACAATATGGATATTTGATTGATTAGAATAGTTTGCAAGATTCGAAGTTTCTTACAACGTAGGAGTGACCACATCTCGAAGCCATGAGTCAGCTGGAGACAATACATATAGTTAATTAGGGCATTACTTAAGCTTGGGGTTTTGCCATATTGCTTTTTATTAATCCACTATTAGAATTTACAGATGATGATGACTCGACTAACCTAATTCCCATGCTAATCCCAAATTGATCACGGTTTGTATGTTAAACAATTCATTAAGTTTGAATATGGGCTCAACTTACGTGTCAATTAAAATATGAGTATCACTATGTAATTTGTCACAAAGTCCCATTCCCTATTAGTTTAGATTTCCATGTTAGAATCGTAGGAAGTTATGTATTTTCCTTAATAGTCACATTAATTAGAAGAACCGGTTACCATACTATATATAAATTCCGCAAGCCAATAATTGTGATAAGGTAAAATTATGTGAGATCGGAAGATCAACATGGCTGAAGCCTGCAAGGTACACTAAGGAAATCGCTGAACTGTATGCACATGCAGAATAAGCAAACATAGAGAAGTCTATCGAGTTTTATGAAAGAGTTGCTGATATTTTCCAATGTGAGGATCAAGCACCAATATCTGCCGACGGCACAAGCTGAAAGTAGCTCAGTTTGTTGCGGAGTTGGGACAGTACACGAAGGCGATTGAGATATAAAACAGTTTGTCCGCTGCTTTGCGAGGAATGATGACTCGCTTTGCAGGTATTGAGCTAAAGGTCATCTTATGAGCACTGGGGTTTTCCATCTTTGTAGGGATGGCGGTGGTGAGGCTGTTATCGTAGTGAGCAATGCACTGGAGGGATATTAGGATTTGAATCCTACTTTTGCTGGGACTCGTGAGTGTTATGTATGTTGCTAGTGGGTCTTGCTCGTGCCATTGATGAGGAGGACATTGCGAGGTTCAGTTAGGTAGTTAGGGAATTCAATGGCATGGTCCGACTAGATTCTTGGAAAATGATCATGCTGTTGAGGTTAAACCCGATAAACCAACCAAATCATCAGCCATCCGCCCGGCCAAACTCGATGATAAGTGTGGATGAGTGACGGCTTGAAAATTGTCAATATGTTCATAAGTGAGTTGAAATAATTTTATAGTCAAAATCCACCCGATTTACCCGTTGCTTACCCTCTAGTTCAGCCCATGGACGCCACCGACACACAGCATTAACATCATGGGCCATTTGTTTGGCCCAAAAATGGTGGCCCGTCAATGACACCTGCAAATGGACCAACAACAAATGGTAAACGGCCTCTCAAAACAGCGGGATCGCTGGCGCTGCTGACGGCTGGGCTGCCCTATCTCTCAGAAGCCCAGTATCATAACCTACAAATAACCGCGTCAGCTCTTTCATCTCTTCCATCGTTTCGCCGCTTATTGCAATGTTGCAATTAGGGTTTTCCTTTCCGCCGAAATCTGTTGATGGATAATCCTAATAGCAGCAGAGCATCTTCAATCGAGGGCCGCCCTCTGGTTGCTCATAGTTTTTTTGTTCTTCCTCTCTTTCGTTTTTAATATCTTCTTGTTTTCTGATTCAAATTGGCCGGCAAAGATGAAGAGTGCTTTATTTCTGACACCTCTTGTATGAGAGGAGCTCCTTCACGGGAGCTCTTCCTTGAGCACAGTTAGCAACTCTCTGAGCCTTTCACCATTTTTTCTCCTCTTGTTTTTGAACTAGCTTTCTCTGATCGAGTCAGAATTTCTACTGGCGTTTGAAATTTTGTTTTTGACAATTCTGGATCTGAAATTTGTATTTCGTTTTGCTTTGCCCTCTGTTCCCTGTCGTGATGGAGCTACACATACAAAGAATCGGAGTAAAAATTATAGCTAGAGTGGTTTTACCTTGCTTTGAGCGATTCATTCATTACCCGAGTTATTAACTCGGACAGTATGTTAATGGTTTGGATCGCCTAAACCAAGGAAGACCAACCTAACTATGTCTTTTACCAATGATCTGATTCATCTCTGCTATCTCGGTTCTCGCTCGTGAAATTGCTTTGCGGTAAAATCAACTGGTATGGTGTATCTTTTTTTTTTTTAATGTTCTTTCTATTATTTAACTACTCTCATTTGATATCGAACACGTCTGTATTGGATTGACACCTCGATATGTTGAAAAACCATCGGTTTCGAGGATGTTGTTGAACCAAGTATTTGAAGCTCCAGTTTTAGGTCACCGAAATTACTCCTAATTGTTCAAAATCCTTATTGACAGAGTGTATCCTCTCTCTTTATCTTCCGCAACCACCTAATTGCTGGTGATTAAATAAGATTAAGATGTTATTAAGATAAATGGACAGTCATTAGAGCCACATGAGGATTTATTTGAATGTATAGATTGATGGTGGTTAAATGTAGCGGTGTTTGGAGTCGACCAAATTTATCAGAATTGAACTCCAATAAGTATTCCAATTGTATTCTGTCTCATTTGTCCACACAGATGTAAATTCATTTCATTTTTTAGTATTTGTAAATTTAATGGGATCAAAGACCTGATTGTCATTGACATTATATTCAATTCGATGATCCGGTTTATCATCAATTTCATTCTGTTTATCAATACTCGATAGTTTTATGTGCAAATTGGAAGCAAATATTGGTGTATAATGCTTGTATTGGTGCATAGTATAATACACAAATTGATGTTAAATGCATTGTTGAAGATTAATATATTCAAATTACAAAATTTCTCACATTCCGTTAGTTTGTAACTAGTGACAGTTTACCCACGCTGACTTGCACCGAATCAGGATGGTGGTCTAGATTGGTTACTGAAGATTGATATGAAAGGAAGCTACTCATTTGCTCTTACGAATTGGAACACTTCACTAGCGCTCTCATCATAGAACAATTTTGTACGTATAACCATAATAACCCTTTTAGCCAGCTAGAAACCCTTCCTACCAACGACTCATTTTCCTTTTAATGATTCAGCGTTGATTGTAGCAACTGCGAAGAGTTCTGGACATGAGGTTAGAAAGCTTCCTGTTAGATAACTGGAATGGCGCCGGAATGTAAGCACCTCTGTTCCCGCATATCCTCTCCGCCGACATCCCAACTTCTTCTGCTAGCTTCTCTGCTGTCTCCTCGCTCTCGATCACGTTGTCATAGCAAATGTATCTCCCGCCGGCTGTCTTCTTCATTCCTTCGAACACGCAGGCTTGTGCCTCCGCCAGCTTCATCACGTCCACCGTCGCCAGCAGCCCGTCTGCAAACATCTCTTGAGCTCCTGCCAATATTTTGTTCATAAGTTAAGGGCTCAATATCCGTTTCTAATCCTAGTTATCGATGATTTTGACCAATTTGTCACTAACTGGATTTGTTCCATAGATAACTGAGGTAAGTGGTGGCTGGTGGGTGATATTGGATCGTGGTTACCTTTTAAGTAGGCAACGGTTGATGTTGGGTTCCTGTCGAAGAATTCAGGGCCTGTAATAAGACCTGGGCAGATGGTGGCTAATTTCACACCTCTCTCTTTAGCTATTCTCCATGCTGCCTTCTCTGCTCTCAGCTTGCCCAAAGCATACCACAGCTGTTCATACAAAAGCTTGAAGTTAAGAGCTGACGAGAAGAAACTGAGAAATGATCAATGGAGGTGGAGGTGGAGGTGGAGTTTGGACTTTTACCCGTTTATCTCTGCAAAATGTTTCTTCGCTCCAGGACTCGTGGTTGATGACGCAGGGGTAATCCTGCAAGGTGCTGTCTCGCCAAATGCAGGCCAGGAGCGATGAAGTGAGCACGCAGCTTCTTACCGACGGGGTCCTCGAGCATGCCTCCACCACATTCTCAGCAGCCTTCACTTCAATTTCGCCCATCGATTTCTGACATGAATCAAAAGTTGGAGGGTTTAGATTAAAAGCTATAATCAGAAACAGAGAACATGGTAAAAGCGGTACGAAAGATGCAGTACGCTCCCTAACGCCAACCGGAATGTCAGATGTTGGGTTCAGTTGGGGCAGCTATCAAAGAGCAACAGAGTAATAGAGCTAGACAAATAAGGAGTATGTAATGTACTGTTGTATGAATTTTGATATATTTCCCGGTGTTAGTTTTGGATTTGTAATTACGAATTAAGGTTGGTGATACTATGGAAAACTAAAAAGTAAAACCCTTTTCTACATTAGAAATAACCTACTTCCTCATCCCCATTATTTCCATCCTTCCTTTCGGGTGAATGTAAGCACACTGTCAAACAATATTTCAGCATCCTGGTGGGTTTTCCGGTGGGTAGATGAGTGAAAGGGTGTCAAAGTCTTTATAGAAATCTAATGAATGACACTTGGCTAGTGAGGTCTAGATGCCTCTTTGTCATTTGTCAAGGCATCAGGAAAAGGACACAACTCAAGTGAGGTTTGGAAAATGGCAAGTGAGGAAGGTTAGGTGAGTATCAGAGTATGGCAAGTTTTCTTCTCCCACCAGGATGGAGGTTGGTTTGCATTTATTAAGTGAACCAAGCTTGAGCTACTCTCTAAGAAGAATGGACCTACCAATTTCTTCTAGAATCTAAGGGGCGTGGACCTCAAATCTCAAAAGCAGCTACCTTTTGAGCAAATACAAGGATTAGGACATCCCAACTACTGGAATTGCGTGTACCATTTGTGGGTACTTTTGGCTCAGCTAAAATACACCCCTTTAGAAATTGTATTTCCAAACAGGCGACTCTTCCATTTTTTTGGTCCAGCCAATGGGTGGACTCTCACTCTCCTATTCACTTGGCAATACACTGAACAGCAATGCTCGTCACGAATCCTAGAATCACATAAAGCATTTCACACCACACAGCTTAGCCTAGTACGACTCACGTCCAAACCTAACCTATTCTTGGTGACTCATTTCCATTAAAATGTTTCTAATTCTATTAGATTCAGTGGTGCATTTGGCGAATGCGAGATCTAGGACAACATTTTTTTTTTTTAATGTCAATATTAATACACTGACCTTCCATTTCCACTTGATTTCACTAGCTTCTAGAAGATTAGAACAGTCAAAACATGAATATTATTAATTATCATGATTTAACAAATAGCAATTAGGGGCTAGAATGAATAATTGAGGGTGGAAGAGCCCTAACAGTGAAAAAAGTAAGAAAAAGGTTGGGGGCTGCGTGGGAATGGAGACTGACCGTGTAACCGGAGAGTCCAGCTGGATCCGCGAAAGCCGCAGTGTGGAAAACGCCTCGGCAGCCGTTGAACGCCTCCGCCAAAGTCTCCACTTGGAACAAACTCGCCACCACTGCTTCCACCACGCCGTTGTTGTTGCTTCCCAATCGCCGCCTCCCCTCCTCCCCCGCCGCCGCTTCTTCCATCTCCCTCAACTTCTCCACATCCTCTGCCACCGCCACCACAAATCCAAATCAGTAAAAATCAATCTAAAAATAGCTGAAGAAATTGTTCCCCCTAATCAGATTAACACACACAACGAATCGGGACTAATCTCGCTGGACATTTCCGATAATTGAATTCAATTTCTGGCGGCCGTTCATTTCTATCTTTCAAATTCCGATTCAGTTTGATTTGCAGGAAAGCAGAGAGGAGGAAGGACAAAGCAGTTCAATCTCTCGGTTCTGCGTTCGGTTACCTTGGTTATCGACGAGGATTCGGACGGAGTAACCGCGGACGAGGAGGCGGTTGACGACGGCGAGGCCTAAGAAGGAAACGCCGCTGGTAACGCAGACGATCTTCTCCTCACCTACGTCGTCGTCAATTTCAGGGGAGTGGAGGCGGAATCCGAGCTGCTCCTCTTCGTCTTTCCTCCGGCTGAGTCCGGCGCAGGCGACTACCATCCGCTTGAACTCCTCGATCTCCTGCCTCCGGCTCTCTTCCGTCGGAATAAACCCCATCTTTCCACCTCAAGAAAGAGAGGAGATAATAAAAAAAAAAAGCTTAAGCTCTGTTGCGGTAAGCAAAGTTCCTGAGAGCAAACGAGGCGATTTAAAGCAGTGAGGAGAACGATGCTGTCATTGTTATGGAGGGGAGAGAGAAATGGACAGTACTTATTGGAGTTTAGAAGAAATGAGGAAGGAAGGAGCAGACAGAGTCTTGTGGAAATGGACCTCTGTCTATAAATCGCTACTTCTATTTCTCTTGCTCCAAGGGAAAAATAGGAAAGTCCAAATTCTGTTTTCATGAGTCGCGGCTTGCATCCAGCTGGGGTGTCAGCCGTCGGTTTGGGCTTTGTCGTCGTATGTTTGTTCGGCTTTTAAACAAAACAAAAAATATTCACAGCTTGGGCCTGGGCGGTTTCAGATATTTGTTAATCTTTTTTTATTATTACGCTTCCAAAAATCTTGAATAATAATTAAATAATTAAGTGTTTCTTTTCAATTGGGAGAAAATAGTACTTGAAAAATTAAAATAAACCCGGTTTATAGTAATGGTTGGTGGTTCAAGGGTTAATTGCACCGGTTGCCACTTAAGTTTGCCATTTGTTGCACGGTGACCACCTAAGTACGATTTGTTGCACCTAAACCATTTATATACAATAATTGTTGCAACGTCACCATTTCCGTCAATAATACTAACGGCAGGTACCTAAAGATAATTTTCCCTGCTATGTCACCAGTCCACGTCAGCTATTGGAGACTATTATATTTGTCTAAAAATTACTCTTAGAGCCAATTTCGTTATATTTTCTGGCCATTTGAAAACAATATATTTTGTCAATTTCTTTACTACTAGCACAAACAAAATAAACGTAACCACATTAGAGGATCTAATTTCAGGAAAACGCCGGATATGGGGAAACAAAGAACATAAAATGAAGCAAAAATAAACAACTGCCCATGTTTATCCTTTACTGTTCAATCCACGTTGGCTAGTACAGGAAGTAACATGGAAGCTTCTAGTCTGGTGAACAACTAAACAATTGAACTTGAGAGTTTCTTTTCTTCCTAAAACCAATAGTAAAAAAACTAAAGACATTATTTCAAGAAAAAGCAAAAACAAGTACGTGGGTGCCCATCTCCCCAGTTCGCAACACTATCTAAGAACTATTATCAGAGGCTAGAAAGTTATGGCTCTCGGTACATATTAAAGCTATCATCTTTACCAAGTTCAAAGTGTAAGCAGCCTCAAAAAATCAAATGTTGCGAGATGAAGAACAAGATAAAATCGAAACCTAACCTTCTGAAACAAATTCTCCAAAAGAAAGAGAAAGCTAAGGCTTCCGATTTGGGGTAGAGAGAAAGCTGAAAAGCCGCCGGGAAGGTCATAGATGTTTTGCCCGTAGCTTACCTAGCAAGTAAAAGGCCCATTTTATTAAGTGGGCCAGATATGACTCAACATCCAATAGCTGACGTGGACTGGTGACATGGCGTAGAAAATTATTTTTAGGTACCTGCCGTTAGTATTATTGACGGAAATGGTGACGTTGCAACAATTATCGTATGTAAATGGTTTAGGTGCAACAAATCGAACTTAGGTGGTCACCGTGCAACAAATGGCAAACTTAAGTGGCAACCGGTACAATTAACCCGTGATTCAAGGAACATATTATTTTTAAATTGGTGATAGGGAAATTAAAATATGTTGTGGACATGCACTTTGATCAACCATGTATTGAACACATCAGGAGAACAACGTATATGTCAAGAGTAAACTCTTTGTATGAACTTGTTTTGAAGGTGGATTTCGGTAGTAAATGATGTTAAATAGTAAAAACTAACAGTACTCTTCAATATATGAAAGATTTAACTATAAAACTTATTTGGTTTACTGATGTTGATAACATATTCAAAAAACTCTCGTAACATTTTCCTTTTTTTCTGGCGTTCATTATGAGTTCACGATCACCAGGCCGATTATCTTTAACTCCTCCAATCTCAATTTTTTTTTTTAGCAACGATTAAAATAGCATATATCATACTGACGGTTCAGCCATGAGTCCACGGACTACTATTTTGTTCATGATTAGAATTTAGAAGGTTACTAATAGACCCATACAATAATTAATGTCCACGGTTCACTCTCTTTCAAGATCGTTTTCATCAACTTGTTAGCTGCCTACTGATAGCCACCCCACTTCTCTATTCCATTTTAGATGCATCTAATAACAAATTGCCTCACCCAAAGTTGTCACCAAAAAGAAAATGCAATGGAGATATATGTGGCAATGGATCAGTTTGGTTTTCCAGCACTTATATTTGGGAATGTTCTAAAAGCTTTCGGGATCTACTCATCCTCTACTCAAGATCTCTGGTTCCTTTTCCATATTTTAAAATATTTAAAGTCAAAGATGAATTCACCGGAGCATGATTCATGAATGTGTATGTGTTGGTAGATCTTCCCTTCGATTGAGAATTGGGATGAATATAAACGTTTATAGATTCATTTTTAGGATAAAATAGGCATGGAAATGGAAGGATTAAAATATATTTTCCAGTATTCATATTGTTCTGTAATTGGTGTGATTCGGTTGTATAGTACTTGTAGAGGTATGGATTGCGGTAGGTTGACCTACTCTTTCATATACTTTTAAGAAAATCTATACAAAACGCTTTTATTTTCGTATGAGAATATAAAAGAGAAATGACATCATAAACAGGAAAAAGATATGACCACCAAACTAATAAACCTATAATGTCTAAAATTTGCGCCGATAAATCATACCTAGATTAGTTTATGAATAAATTAAAATATCACTATATATGAGCAAATATCAGTTAGAATTTAGATACGTTCAAGAGTATGGCGGGACGATTTAGGAATTTGCGGAAGTAAGACCAATACCTTACTTCATACTGCTTACAAATTTGGATAATATAATACCCACTTATAACGAAATGTGACAGATTGAATCATACGATTATGAGGATCTAGTCGAATTTAACATCACTAAGATAAGGGAAACGAGAAAGCATTGAGCTTTGAGTGAAGCCAGAAAGCATAAAGCATTGAGCTTTGATTCTTATCATATTTAATTCAATCAACTCTATTACAAAAAGCACACCCCGAAAATGTAAGTGATAGACTGCAGAAGGAATTTTATAAGCATTCAACAAGATACTTGTGTTTTCGACTATGACATTCATTCGCATATCTCCTTCATTTATAGATAAATGTAACAAGAAAGCCAAAAGGAAAGGGGAAAGGTATGGTGAATGGTGATGACGGAGGAAGATCCCAGTGAAGCATATAGAAACATGTACAAAACCCAATGGACGTTGCCTTCACAACTATCTTTCTGTGTTTGTCCCATATATGATGTCAATTTATGAACAAATGATATCCTATTCTTTCTTATTATTTGTTGGATAAGCTGTGGCCGAATATACTTGAATAATACCCTCCAGTTTGGAAATGGAACATTTAAGTTTCACGGAATAAATTAAATTATGCTCTACAAAGTAAAACTTAAAAAGAAATTAACGGATGAAAAATAGTTTGAAGTTTATAATAATAGATATTCAGGTATGAACAATTCAAGAAGTGTTAATTAAAATATGTTTATCGAGGCATATTTATCATGGGTGTGTACAATTTAGGGGTCAAATAAGCATATATATTAGAGTGTGTGAGTATGTTGATTGTGTCCTTGCAATGACGGTGTACTCGAAATTTCAATTGATGATAATAAATCATGTTGTTACTATGGAATGGAAAAAAAAACAGGTATAAAAAAATTGCACTTTTGTTGCCTCTACAATCCGATTAAATTAGTTTCGTTGGAATGAACCGGCACGAATCACCTCCAACCCCCCCATTCAAACGCTTTTGTTTCCGTCACTCTCAGATTTAGCGTTAATGAAAAATAATCGAATGAGATATGTTGGCCTCGCTCTTTCAAGGTCTATATTGAATTACGAGAATCTACTGTTAATTCATATTTTTAATCCATCGATCAGTTTAAATTCTGGTTTCATCACCGGGCTTCCAAAAAAAAAAAGGATAAAAAAAAGAAGAACTTACAGCTCTATAACAGTTTATATGAAAATTGCTTTACCTACCACATCCACATGTCCGTAGTTTAGGAAAATCATATATATCTTTCTTATTAAAAACATTTTCTAGATTCTTTCTTGTTATTATCATAGCGTTCCCAAACCAGTTAACCACAACCGATCTATATATACGTATATGCTTGTTCATTACATTCCAATAATTGACATTTGGTAAGCTAGAGTAGTTTGGGCTTTGGCCTTCAGGTAAATAGTATTACTAAAAAGTCTAATTACGGTGACCGGATCGGCTCAACTCGATCGGCTGGGACGAAAGCCGGCTCCGGCTAGAAAACAGCAGCCCCTAAAAACCCGGTAGGAAGTTTTGTTAATTTGCCCGTTTGCACGTGACGGCCTACCAGTACAGACTACAGAGATTCAGTGGCTTGGAGGAAAGAAGGAAAGGAGAGGTTGGTTGGTTGGAGAAATGCTGTTCCGATGACGGGACCGTGAGGTAGAGTTATGTGAACGACCGATCCTGATTTGTGCAGCTGTATCACTCACACTACCATGACTGACGGGTGACGGTTGCGGTGATGGACATTTATGAATGCACAATGGGGTGGTGTCGGCGCCGTATAGGCTTGGCGTATGAATACGGATACAAAATACGTAGATGCCTTGGTGTCCGCACAATGCTTCTATTCTATGCACATTAATCAGTCACTTGGCACTTGGCAGCCCTTAATCTTATCCGCCTTTCACTGAATTTTGTATTTAATATTGTACTTGAGGCTGGCCTACCGCGGGCTTCTAATTAGGCCAAAGGCCCAATTTCAAAAGAAACCTCACAGACAGGCCCATATTATAATGGTTCCTCGTCTCTTAGCATCAGACGTCTGAACTAGGCCAAAGGCCCAATTTCAAAAGAAACCTCACAGACAGGCCCATATTATAATGGTTCCTCGATTCGCAGAAAGCATGACGTGTACGACGTCGATTGGGCTAAAACTCGATGGGATCCTCGATCCGTTGTTTTATCTTTGTTGGTGAAACAAGCATGAATAGATCAGGGCCTCAGGGGTGAGATTTTGTAGTACGCAACTAAAGTGGGCTTAGAGTCTTATGATTGGGCTTGAGTTAATTTTCCAAACGGACAAATGTCTTCTTTCTGAGGGGAGCCCAAGTTGAAGCTCAGCAGAAGCCCAATTCTCTGTTTAGTTGACTACGAATCGGTCCCCTCCTCAATTCTCGTCGGAGAATCCACCGGGAGCGAAAGGCAATGGGCAGCGTAGAGCAACACTTCCCAGTTCCTCACAGAAGTTTCTCAGTCGAAATTAAGGTAACGCCGATCAAAACCCCAATTTCCTGTTTCTAGTATTAGTCTTCCCTGTTCCGTGGAGTCCTTCCTGAATCCTTTTTATTTTTTGCGTGTTGTTTGGCCTCTGAAACCTTCTGGGTTAACCCCAATTCTTTAGGTGGGTCCCTTTGATGAACTAGATCCAAAGGGACTGGCTTTTTGTACTTTCCATGGCTTATTCCGCTTTCTGAGTAATGGGTTTCGGGCAGTTCATGATATCGTGATGTAGAGTAAACCCGGTTTCTAGCATTGGGAATTTGTGTGGAGATTCTATTGCAGTTGCAGAGTTCAGTATTGAGTGACAAAAAGTGAAATTTCGGCCTTGTCGGGCAATTCGCTTGTATTGAAGCTCACACTACGTCAATGTTCTGGCTGTTTCATGTTTTAGCTTATGGCATGTGGTTTATGCAATCTGAAATTTCAAATGTTGTGGTGGAAACTTAGATGATCCTTGTTTCTTTTTTGACAGGGGAACAAGACTGATGTAGTCATTTCCGGATACAATGACCATATTCTTGTGAGTGTTCACGTTGTTTAAGGCCGTTCCTCAATCCTCAGTACTTGGTTAAGTTTTGAAGACATGCTTCATGGTTAATTCATATCTTGAGGTTTATACGTACTTCCCTTTTTTCAGGTGATTGCAACTCAAATAGGAACCATGGGGACAATGCTACAAGCCAGGTATGCAGCGGGTTTCTTTACGCTTAGGTATTTATTAGTATCTTCGATCTTTCTCTAGATGCAAGTAAATCCATTTGGAAAGTAAAGATCATGGGTTGAGATGCTCTTGCTCCTAGTGCGCAAGTGCTGATAATTTGGCAGGGTTAGCTAACTTCACAGTGATCCTTCATTTTGCCTTAGTGGGACCTAATATGATTTGCTACCCTGCTCAGGAAGGAAGAGGGAATGACAAGTGAGCCAACTTTCCACGTATCGGTGATATTTGGGAAACGAGACGAGGTGAATCGAGCTAGAAGCGACAAAACTTTTATTTTTTTTATCTAATCATGAATATTGTTATCCCTGACTCGAGAGTGGTTATATCTGCAGCCGATGCTAACAGCATGTGCTCGGCAACTGATTGAACACATGAGGTCCAAATCCAACTCTCAATCCTTGATCAATAATCTGTTCCTTATGCTTTGTGATGGACATTGTTAACTGAGATAAACTATTTTGTGTGTGCAGTAGTTCCGGGTCAGCTAGGCCGTTGGTTCTCTCTCTCGGTCTTAAAGACCACTCAATGGTAAGAAGATGCAGCAAATGGTTTTCTTCTTCAGTAGACTATTAGTGGCAAGACTGGTCAATTTATTTTGTGCGTGAATCATGTCATGCAGGAGACACTGAAAGGAGTTGTATCTTATGTACTGGAAAATCGAATTTGGTAACAGTTGGAGCGATCAACGTATATCTCACTGTTCCAAACTTGCAGCATTCGGTTCGACTGAGATCCTGCACTGTGATTGTTTCTTCAAGGTTTGGGACACGAACTTTTTGATGTTGTAATGGTTGTAGTGGTATGTAGCATGGTCATTTGTGAACATCCAGTCAAAGCATTTATCAATATATTTTTCCTCTGTGAATTTTGGTACCCAATGCTGAAACAAAATCTCATCGCCAAACAAGCCCTTAATTTGTGCGGCTTCTTAAGCTAACACCGCAGAGTTCCAGAAAGAGATTGGGATTGATACAATGGGGATGCTCTCGGCTGGATGAGCACTTCTCTTCTCTTAGAAGACAAGCTGCAACATATGGGGCAGAGGTCATAGTGACTGCTAAGAGACATTCCTCAGCAGGATTGTAGTTGAATCCAAATCGTGGGATGTGTCGAATGTTCGATCAGCTGCCTCGGATCATTAGACGTGCAGAACACACAATTTGGGGTCGTTGGGCGGTGAGTGCATCTCACGAATATCTGGAATTGAGTCACAAGACTCACATCCAACAACACTGCCCGTAGCATCATGCTTGCCTTGCCTAGGTGGATGTTCTTATCTCACCAGATTATTTGATCATCAGAATTGAACCGTTGTTCTATTGTCTCTTGCGAACTATATGGCACACGGAATTGTCTTCTTTAGATTTGCGACTCCATGCTTTAACTTCTGATGATCCAAAAATATGGTACCGACAGGGGACTTCAACCCCTTAATGTGGTAATATGAAAGTATTTTGCGTTCTTTCCGGATATATAGAAAAATTAGAAAGCCTGAGAATAATGTCATCAAAGAATAAGGAAAGAGAGAGGAAGACGGGACAGATGGCCAACCATGGCTGGCTGGCACTTGGATAGTAATCTCCAATAGATGATTTACCCGCCAGCAAATGATGCATGTGGGAGACAAGGCACGACTTAACAGCTAAACAACCAAAACCAAAGCAGAGTGAACCTTTACTTGCATTATCTTGAGAGTTGGGACACAATTTAAGTTACAAATATGGCATCTCAAAATTTTCTTTGGGTGTCCATCTCATCACTACCATCTTTTCTGTTCCATTTCCAATCTTACATAATTCATATATATGTATATGATACACTAGACAATGTAGACATACAATATCATTCCATTCACTCTTTCTTTTTGTACCTTTCCGCCCTCTTCCGATGATACCTCCCAAGCGAACTCAGCCGATCTCGCTACTGGAGGAGGAAAGGCACTGACGATGCCAAAGAGCTATAAACATCACCACCACCACCATCAACAGTCGTTATCGTCTTTCCTTGTTAGTTGAACAACTCAATTGTCGTTCCAGCTGCAGAATATGGTAAATAAGAGGACCGTAATAAGATGGCATGAATCAAGAACATAAAGCTTCAGAAGGCACGCAGATAACATAAGCTGAGAGTAAACATTATAGTTGGCATCCTAACTCGAGACCGAACACTGTTCTCACTTGTTCAAGACTCTAGCTGGAGAAAAAGTACCTGATTGTTCATCATCTTTTGCTTCTGCAATTCGTCGAAGAGGCTTGCGATCCTGACACGAGAATGGAGACAGCTAAATAAGAAATCTGACTAGGGGAAGTGAAAAAACATACTTCAGTTGTCATACCCTAATTACGTACCTCTGTTGCAGGCCAAACACCTGGGCCTGTAGCTCCCTCTCCCTTGGAGATAACTGCGAAAGGTCATTTGAGGCAGCCTCAACGGACTCACCATGCTTGGCTGCTGCAAGTTAAAGACAAGTCAAACCCCGATAATGTCGACTATACATAGAGAAAAAAAGAAGATATATACAAAGGCGAGTTTATTACCGGAGGAGTGCTCCACACACTTGATCAGTTTCATGATTTCGTCCTGTTATCATTAAAGAACAAAATCAAGAAGTTTAGTTTAGGCATAATATGATCACAAACATCAGGCGACATCTAAAGGAGTATGATACCCTTTGCATGGCATTCTGCTGCAAGATGCACTGCAGTGTAGGGAGAACTGAGGCAGCTGTTAGGTTGGATGATGGTGGACTAGTTGAACCTTGAGAACCAGCTGGATTGAAATAACAATTTGTGGGACCCTTAGGACTGAGATCAGCAGAAGTAACCTTAAACCGTCCCTTACGCTGGACAATGGCTCCATCTGCTGCATCCTCTACTGGCATTGTAAAGTAAATTAATCATGCAATGAAGATAGGTAAACCATTCAGAAACAATATCAGAAGGGTACCCAAACCATGCATTCAAAGAGACACATACCAGATGACATATTGTTGGTATCTCTCTTCTGCCGGTATAGTAAAGTGCCACTATAGTTTCGGTCAGATTGGTACCTTGGCTTTTGGACATCCCTACATGATGTTTGAAAACATATAATTTAAACAGCTCTAAGCAGATAGAGAGAAATTGACAGGGGAAGTATTCCAACTTCCAGAACATTGTGTTACACAAGACATTGAATCGACATGTCAAGAAGTAAATGTAAACTGAAGACGGACACATTACACATCCAGACTTTTAAACAGATCCTTCACGCCTAAGATCACATAGCTTTGACATTTCAAAATCAAGTGACAAACTCTTTAAGATCACGAGAGAAAGAATTGGAAGAAGTATTAAATCATCAGTCCCAAGAGTATACTTGAAAGACCTAACCACTTGTATCAGTCCTCTGTCACCAGAGTACATGTTACGTGAAAGACCTAAACACTTGTGTGAGACCTCCGTCACAAGAACACACATTATTGGAAGACCTAAAACATTTGGGAGTGGTCAAGCCATTCATTGACAAAGCAGTTTGCAACTCTGCATAGCTTGTTTCTCGTGTCCTTGCCAGAAACAGCACAATAGCACATTGTAGGATTGGCGAGCACTAACATATATGACAAAGGAAATAAAACACTGCTTACCTGTTTTCCTCACTTGTAGACCTCGCCTCGGCAGGGCTATTATCTGCTAAAATTGGCCCACTCAAAAACTTTTTGTTCTCATTGCTGACATGGCGTGGTAAGGAGCTAGTCCGTCCATATTTCTGAACTCCATTGCTTTCAAAGTCTTTTTCTGTTGTAGTTGGCCTCGTAAACACATGCTCCTGCTGCTCATACTCTGCTTCACCATTACATTTAAGAGTAGGTGTGGTGGCATCCTCATCATCCTCACCAACATCAAAACAACCCCTGCATCAGATAACATAACATGATTGAAACTTCCAAGTAAGCAGTAATAATATAATAATGGAAGCTGGTAAACATACACAAAAGTGCAATAATTGAAAGCACACTGAAGTCATGGACATTCATTCATTGAGAGTAATCAAACTTTTATTAATAGCAGTACAACCAAATACAAATGGGGGGAGAGAGAGAGAGAGAGAGAGGTACTTTAGAGCTTGCAGAGGCTTCATGGGAAACACATCCAGTGAACTTTCCAAATCAGGAAGATCATCAATTCCATCCTGCAATAAATGACACGTGGATTAGAAACATATTCAACACAAAATCCGGGGTAGAAAATTGTGAAAGAGGCAGGTGTGTGAACCAATGAACAAATCTACACCTCATTAATTGTAGGTGTCATGTGGTCAGCTGCATTTGTAGATGGCTTGTCATCTAGAAACTCGTTTTCCTGCCTGTCTGTTTGTTTTCCAATAATACCTTTCTCTTCGATGCTACCATCATCATCCTGTATCTGTAGATACCAGATCCACGTAAATAAGGTTGCCAATGATTATGATATGCATCTGGTAGAGAACAAGTGCAACTTAGAACTCATTTAAAACAAAACAAAAAAAAAATTAACTTACAAGAGCAGCCTGGTTTTTCAAATCCTCAAGGTTGAAATTCCAGGCACTGATCCCTCTTATGTACTCTTGCTGCAAATCAAACAAACAGAGTGATCATATTATCCAATTTTGAAATATGAACCATCAGCAGTTAGAGTAGAAAGGAAATTTGTCCCAACAATAACATAACACAAAGAGATGCATATATGCATTGAAAGGATGGCATGATATTTTCAACATGACCCGTCTAACCTGAGATAAATGTTCTTTATCCTCATATAGTGGCTTGTTCACCAGAAGATCAGCCTCTTTGGCCTGAAATAGGGAAGAGTACTTTAAAGCATTTTAAAGGAATTACACATCAGCTCATTTCTAAGCTCCCTCCGGAAAGATAATCATAAAGAATATGTAGAACAGGAACCTTCAGTATCCTGAAACGTTCTCCTAATGGTGAAAGTCCGTCAAGAATGGAACGGGCAAGATAGTCAACTGAACGTGCATGTTTGAAAAAATGGTGTTTCAAGAGCTTTTCCGAGGTGGGGCGTTTCTTTGGATCCTTCACTAAGCAAGCAGCGACCAACTCTTTAAAGGACTGCAAAAAACAACAATTTCAACGTATAATCAATGAGTAAAACAGTGAAAATGATTCGCCCATAAGACACAAACCTTTGAAAATCTTTTGTCTCTTTCATAGTCCAGACCTGGAGGAGCATTCTGTAAGGTCATCAGCAAAACCTGCAAATATGGTTGGAAAAGACCATTATAAAGAAAACAAGCTGACATGGCAGCTTACGGATCAATTAATTAGTATTGTAATCAAGAAGTTTACTTTCATCGGTGGGTACTTGGAGAAAGGTGCATGGCCATGAGCAAGTTCAAGAGCTGTAATTCCAAATGACCAAATGTCTGCTCTGTTCTCACAACCAACGTTTCAAGAATTTTCAGCACATCATTCCGTAAATTGGGAAGAAACCTCACAGATACAAAACATAAAAAGAAGAGAGAGAAGGACATCAGCAACTCACTTAAAATCATAGCCATGCAACTGCTGCATAACTTCAGGAGCCATCCTGAGAGAGCCAGCATGTAAAATCTTATTAAATCTCCCACGGGAAAAGAATAGTAAGGCAGATGCTGGAGAGGAGAGATGTAGAATGCAACATTACCAGCATGGAGTTCCTACAAAAGTATTTCTCGAGCGCTGCCTATCTCCAGTATCAAACATGCATGCTGAAACTCCAAAGTCGGCTAGCTTAACCGAACCATTAGAATCAATTAAAATGTTGCCAGCCTAAAAAGATAAGCCGTGGAACCATTAGTCAAGCTGTAAGAATATCATTTACAAAACATCTAGACCGGAAACAATGGGATGATTGCATAAGGGTCAGACAATGAAAAGCATATCTATAATGCCCCAGGCAAAAGAAAATTAAGTCGCTTCAAATGTCTAAATCACTCTTTTAGTTTTATCCCTCCCAGGGCTAACCTTATCATGTTATCCAGGATAACTATGAATATGACATATTCAACACAAATCATTCAGGTCACTCCTCCAGAAGGAAGAACCACCATCACAGAGAGTAAAATTATATGAATATGAACTGGGATGAGAGTGGATGGGGTACCTTAACATCTCGATGTATGAACCCATGGGAATGAAGATAGACAAGAGCTCTGAGAGTCTCCCGCAATAATGTGGCAATAACAGGCTCTTCAAAACCTTCTGGATAAGAAGATTTCATTATATGAAGGCACGAACCTCCAGCCATGTACGGCATCACAACCCAAAGGCTATGGCCAGCAGTAAACGAGCAATGCGAACGTAGCACATTTGGATGATCAATCAAACTCATTGTCTGTACCTCCCGTCGAATGCCATCCTATGTCAACAACCAAATTATAACAGTAATGACAAGATTCAGTAACATAGCAAAGAAAGAAGGAACGGAAAGAGACAACGGATCAATGGCTTTCTGATGTTGGAGATCTTGATTTAGAGTCATGACACGGATTGAATATAACAAACTCATAAAACAAAAAACAAAACCTTGCGACATGATAATATTTAGTGATTCCATGTGCATGAGAAGAAGATTTTCCTATGGGATATTCAATCTCCAAAATGTCAATAGACGTTAAAGAATATCAAATGGTAATGCAGTAAACTTACCAGGTCATTGTTGCACTTCTCCAAATCAAGGACCTTAATTGCTACAATCTCATTGAGAGGAACACAGAGGGCCCTATGTACAGTGGCACTGACCCCTTCCCCAACCTCTTCATACAACTTGTAATCTTTAGCACACAAAGGATATTTTTTCTCCATAACTTGCTCCATAGCTGCCGCTTACAGCAAACCCATCAACTAACCTTCCGCAGCCTTAGATGCCCCGAAAATGGTAAATGAAATTCAGGTCGATATGGGGTTTCTTCCAATTCCTGAGCATTTTCCTCCCTCCACCAGACTAGGTATACCATGCACCAACAGGATTCACGAAGCTCTTACAGGGAACCATCAAAAGCACACGACTTTTCCTCTGCAAAACCTGTTTATCAGTATTGCAAATTTGCAATGCCATGTTAAATGAATGCCTGATCGAACATAGTGAAGGGAAGACGAGATGGAGCTGCCTCTGCACAACAACTCGTATCAAATCTCCAGAGGCTAGGAGAGGTAAGCAGCAGGTAGGAAGTAGTTTAATTGCACACAGATCTTCCTGAAGTCAGAAGTAGCCGAAATTCATGAACCAAAAAAAGAAAGGAAATTTGGACCCTCCCAATGGAGACTAGCGCACCCTATTTGCAATCCGATTTACAAGGCCAAGCTAGCCAACTTCTCCACAGTCCACACCAAACTTCGACGAATTCAATAATTCAAAAACAAAATCATCAAATCTCCCCCCTCCGATTCACGCTCAATCAAAATCGAACTTCACGAGGAAAAAGCACAATCGAGATCACCATGGAAGTCCAACAACAAGGAGATGGCGCAGATTCACAAGCTAAGAAACTCCATTATACGAATTAAGAATTCCCGAATAGAATACTGGAATCTCACCTGCTTTCGCAGGGGAACTTGATGGAATTTCTTCAGCTGAAGGATACCCAAAAGAAAACAGCGAACGGCGTATTCAGCTGACTCCGGGGAAAATCAGCTCTCCGCCAAACTACGATTCCGACGGCTGGGATAGAATCGGCCCCTAAAACTTATCCTTCCGCCGTCGCTCCCCCTCCGGCGACCTTGTGGTCACTGTTAATCGGGATGAGGGAAGGAGAAACAACCAGCGAACGAGCGAGCGAATATAACGATAGAAGGAAAGGAAGAGGAGAGAGAGTGGAGAGGACTCGCGGGCCAAAAGCCAGACGGCGATTGCTTGCTGTCGAGAGAGATAGAGAGAGAAAGTGAAACGCCGGTGGGGGCCGCCAACGAGATTTTGAGATTCAGTTCTCCTCTCTCTCTCTCTTCCTATGGTAGTTAACTAGTAGGTGAAAATCTCGCGGGACGCGCGGGATAATAAACACTGCAAATCGGTAACAGTTAAACGGGGCCGGATTCTCTTCGGGTTGGTGATTCGTATCGCGCTAAATTATCGGGTTACCATATTTGGCGGGGCGGGCGGGAAAACGCACGACGGGTCGCCCGCCAGTGACTTATCAGTCAATCACGATTCACATCTACAACGGAGCTCCGTGATTCTTGTTTCTCTATAGCTGGATTTTTTTTTAAGGTGCTGGATTTTTTTTTTTTGGGAGGAATGATTAATTAATGAAATAAAGGATATAAATGCCTTAGTAGCATTACCTGTCATAGTATCATGCGAGGATTATGTGTGTTTCTTTTTTCTTATTTCCTAGTGGGTGTTGTGTGGGATCAATAAATCATGCAAAATTCAGCCATGAGTGGAAGGATAAGGTTGATCAAACAATGATTTGCGTGAGAATAATCAGTTTTTTTTTTCGTTTAATATTGTGTTTACTCTATTGGTTTAAAAATTTATCTTTTAAAAATGAATGAAAAATTGATCATTTTAAAGCATTGTCATCTTATTTTCCTCTTTTATATATATATATATATATATATATATATGAACATTTACTATCAAACATTAGTTCTCCAATTCTTTTCTTGGGTTCTTCTTCTCTACATAGGTAATTCTCACCCTCACGAATTCCAATTACTTATGTCTAGACTTTGTATGATAATCAGTATCGTACTCTCTTCTCCGATTCGCACCACGAACCGGTTTGTGTCACAAAACTAGATAACAAAACAACTCAAATTGTCATAATTAAGTGTCTAATATCGACCACTCGAATTATGGGATCGTTTGGTAAGCATGTAATCTACCCACGGATTTCAAGATTACATGATATCTGAGATTCCACTGCTTTTCTTGTTTCACTTTTGGCAAAAATCATGATATTGGTGCACCATGTAATTCTATAATTCATGTGACCATGATATCTCAAATGCTTTGGGTTTGCCCAAAGTATTTGAGATTTCATGCCAAATTATGTGGGTTCTACCATAAACTCATGCAAGCCAAACAATGCATTCTAATATTGCACAAGTTCTCATAACTCAACCTACAATATACATGAATTCTTCAAATACATGAATTCTACATTACGTCGTATATATTGGCGTCTTGATAATTGCAGTTGGATTACGTTGTTCCTATCATGATCCTTTGTAATCTGTTTTCAATTCTAACGATACAATCATAACTTTTTTGCACGAAAATGAAAAGAGGACGTTATCCGATAAAGTAAAGAGAATCGAGACTCTCTATTGGCAGTTGGAATTCAGCCATCACTGTGAAAGTCACAACTCACACGTGTAGAGAAAAAAAAAGGCCAAAATTAAAAGTTGCGGGAGGCTTTTTATTGGGCCTTTACGCTTGCGTTGTAGGAATTTGTTTGAAGGGGGCAAAGCCCAACCCGATGGGCTTTTCTTGGGCCATTACGCTTGCATTGTAGGGATGCCAGACTTGTCATTGTTATTATGGGTATGCGGCCACTTCATTGAAATCATCAGGGCTACACAAAAGGGGCCAAAATGCTAATGGGCCCGACCAGGTTAGCAGCCCTCACATAATCATCATAATTTCATAAATTTAATACTTAGCTCGTTTCCGATAATACTCATGGGAGGATTATTAACTCACGTAAGTTTCATACTGACGTACCAGTAGATCAAATTTTCATTTTTATAATTAACGATACTAATAACGAACCGATAGCATAAAATTTTCAATTTCTATAATTTCAAAAGTCTCGAGATATATTTTTAGACAAATTACCAATAGATTTGAGAGAATGTAATATGATGGAAGCAACTCATCGAGAGAGCATCACTGGTGACCAATAACATCATTCTCTACCCCACGAAATTGACCATTCTCTACCCCCCGATAATACTCATGGGAGGATTATTAACTCATGTAAGTTTCATACTGTTGTACCAGTAAATCAAGTTCTTATTTATAATTAACGATACTAATAACGAACCAATACCATAAAATTTTCAATTTCTATAATTTCAAAAGTCTCGAGATATGTTTTCAGACAAATTACCAATAGGTTTGAGAATTGAGCGAATGTATTATGATTGAAGCAACTCATTGAGAGCATCACTGGTGACCAAAACACATCATTCTCTACCCCACGAAATTGACCATTGAATAAGATTGTATCTTTTGACTAAAACACACACAAAATTTAAAAAGTTAAATATTTAATTTTGTGTAATGCTTGTTGTGTGTTTTCAAGTTCTGCAGAAAAAAAGAAGGGGGAACAGAATTACAAAAGGTCTATATGGTAGTTGGCTATCATTTGAGAGACAATACTATAGCCCACACCCATGCTTGCTATAATGCAATGGGAAGTAGGACCAAACCTCACTTTCAGATTTGGCTTTCATTAATTGGCTTTATCTACCTACCTACTAATTATGTGATAGATGTATGTTTAGGGTGCAAGTACTTTGTCTCATTGTTTCAACCTACCAACTAAATCCGATCAAATCGATAAAAAAGATATGATGTTAATTCTAGTTTTGCTTTTCAATGTTTTTCGGTGGAACATTTGTGAAGAGTCGGAGAAGAATGCTAATTTGTATTTTGGTGGTAGATAGGTCATGGTAAAATGCATGATCTAGGTAACACATGCTTATTACTTAATTGTGAATGTTGTGATTGAGTGATTATGGTACATATGAAACATGAGACAGAAATGCACTAAGAGCATATTTTTTTTAATCGTTTGCGAATTGGAACCCACATACACCAAAATCTTCTAATCCGTAATTATATGACTTAGTGAACATAAACACATTGTTTATGCCTATATACGGATAGTCAAATTATGTAACCTGCGAAAACTTTTTATAACATGAAATTTAATATGCCACCTACCTACCCTATTATAGGATCTCAGGTCAGTATTTTTACCACAAGTAAAGGCTACTTTCGAATCCACATGAATAATTGTCTAAACAAAGTAAAAAAGAGAAACCCTACTGACCGACCAAAGAGATCATGGAACGGAAGGACGTACATTCTTGACAACCTAGCTATTTAGGGCAAATGGCCAACAGTCTATGGAGCATTGGCCACGTGGAGCAACCTGAATCCAAATCTTAATCTACCAGGATTAATGACAGAAATATTATTTTTTTTTTAATTTACCACGAATATGGCCAATTAAAAACTATTGACAAAAATATTGTGTTTTTTAGTAAGGATTGGGGCGGGACCACCTGAGACTCAGGCGGGACTAAATTTTTACCCAGTCCTGGGCGCTGGCGCCCCAGTCTCAAGCGGCCCCGCCTCAGTCAAATTTTTTTAATTAGTCTGAGGCGCTGGCGCCCGAGACTCAGGCGGGAGCGCCCCGGACTATTTTTTTTTAAAATTCGGACGGCCCCTCCCACCTTATCCCCTCCCCACACCACACATTCCTCCCTTCTTCTTCCTCCCCCCAACCCCGAACCAGACCTGTCCTCCTCCTCCCTTCTTCTTCTTCCTCCACCCCAACCCCGAACAGAGACCCGCCGCCCGCCACAACCGCACCGCCTCAGACTTAGGCGCCGCCGCCGCAGACAGGAGCGCCGCCTCCTTTTACTGAACCGCCGCCACCCGAGATGTCCTCCGACGAAGAACCAGTCGCCGCCGGCAGAGGCAGAGGTAGAGGTCGGCGAGGTCGTGGTGGAGTCGGTGGCCGTTTGCGCGGTGAGACTCTCGTCGGCAGCTTGATTTTTTTTTAATGTTTTGTGTTTTTTTTAATGTTTTGTTGCTTTGTTTTTGCAGTTCCTAGACTTATGGATCCTTATTCGATGAGATTACCGCCGACGACAATTGATCCAAGTCCGGTCGATCCGACACTTCTTTGGGGACATGGCCAACATCGTATCGACTCTGTTTGGACAAACGAGGTAAGTATTTGATAATTATTCATGTAAAGTTAATTAGCTAATTAGATTATTTTAGGTTGTGAACTTGAACTGTTAGGTGAAATTAGTATAATTTCAAATTAGTATAATTTTATGTTAGATAAGACAGATTAGAATTTATTAGGTGAAATTAGAATTATTACGAATGAAAATGAATTAATATAAGTTTTGTGCACTATAGGCTGGTGATCGATCTTACCATGTTCGAGGTACGACCATTTTAGTACCTTACCATGAGCTTTATCGGCCATATCTCGAAGCGGCAGGATTGTTAAGTGTCGTGCCCCTAGTCCCTATGAACCCCGATGCTAGTTTGATTACTGCGCTCGTAGAGCGGTGGCGCCCCGAGACGTCGACCTTCCATCTACCGTGTGGTGAGATTACTACGCTCATAGAGTCTTGCATGTCTATCTGAGATGATGCATACATCATTTCGATCAGTCAAACCCTGAACCTTCCTCATGAACCATGGCCAACTCTCAGTATTCTCGCTCTCCACTATGGCAAATGCAATTGGAAAAATCTTCCTCCGGCCATCAAATGAGCTCGCCATGAGTAGCACTCCTTTATACTTCCCAGTAAGAAATGTTCCATCCACAACCATGACGCCTGGACAATTCTTGAATCCATCTATACAAGGTCCATAAGCCCAGAATACTCGCTGAAATATTGAATGACCTGGTTGAGCCGAAGGAACTCTTACCCAATCAATCACCGATGTTGGCATTTTTCTCTTGACCACCCGCAAGAATGTTTGCAAAAAATCGTAGGATTCTTCCCAATTTCCATGCAACTTCTCCAATGCTCTTTGTTTCCCATACCAAGCCTTCTTGTAAGTAACTTGCATATTAAACTTATCTTTCAACTCGGCTTGAACAGTTAGAACACTCAGATTTGGTTGGGCACGTACCAAATGTTTGACGGCCTCAGATATCATGTCGACATCAAGATGGAGATGATCCGTCGGTTGAGTCGTACTGCTACAAGAATGCACCAACTCAGCTTTTCTCACAGTCCATTCGCCCCCAACATCTCGACATCCAAACCGCAACATCCAAGGACAATTGTCATCCTTGTGCCTGAAGCATCTGACCTTCCATATTGAAGGTGACGACTCCACCACGCCATATTGAAAGTTGCGTTGTAGTGCGTGGTGTTTAATCGCCATCTGTGCAGCTTGTTTCGAGTGAAATATCTGCCCCTTGTAGAATTCTCCTTCAAAACTATCAACAATAGGCATTGGAATTACGCTATATGAATCAGCAAGTGCAAATTCTTCGTCCTCTTCATTACCCTGCAAGTAAAAATATGGAGGATAATTAAGCTGCTCTCCTTCCTCCTCCTCCTCCTCCTCCTCCTCATCTTCCTCCTCTCCGTCATCACCGTGATCATAGTCATGATCGGATGGCACGCTCCATGTATCATCTTCTTCCTCTCCACCCTGATCCTCACTGAGCTCAACATGTATCTCAGCACCCAAACAATAAGGATTTTGTGCCATAAAATTCCAAAGCACATCCAATCTATCATCATCCACAATAGGTAACGCATAATGAAATAAAACATCATTCTGCCATTCTGGAAGACGGTAAGTGAAACCTGTGATCACATCACTATCTTTTACTGCTTCGTCTCTGCGCCGTATTCTCGGAATTAGAGTCTCACAAAGTTTGTGATATGTGACTCTGGATGGAACCGTCAACTGAAAACTACTACCACCAACGAATTTGACGCCCAAATTATCCTCTACTTTCTCCGATTTCCACCGAACAGCTAGTTCAAATCTTCTAAAATCACTACAAAAAAAAAACTCACTAATTAAAAACTAAACACAATCATAATAGCATTTGAATAATATAATTACAAAAATAAATGTGTCTCTTACCTATTAGCCATTTTTGCAGCAGCAACTAGAGCTCTCTCCTCTATTTTGGACGATTTTTTTTGTGGTGTGAATCTGAAACGAAATAGTCTGGGTTTTATAGGGTGGGTGGCCAATCCACCTACTCGCCTGAGTCTCGGGCGCCACCGCCTGAGTCTTGATTTCCCACCTACTCGCTTCAGTCTCGGGCGCCACTGCCTGAGTCTTGAGCGCCGCCGCTGCCAACTAAATAAAACGGTCCAAAAACCAAGCTGAAGCGGCAGCGCCTGAGTCTCAGGTGTCCCCGCCGATTCTTATCCCTAAAACACAATATCTTTGTCAATAGTTTTTAACTGGCCTTATTCGTGATAAATTAAAAAAAAACAATATTTCTGTCATTAACACAATCTACCACTAGTTATCTAACTTATCACAATTGTACGGTTTAATAAAATTTCCCAATCCTATTATATAGCTACCCAAGGTTTCGTGCTACTAACTAATAATGCTTTGTTTGGACTATATAAGGAAGAAAGATGATTGATTTTATCCTAACTTTTGGTGTATATGATGTTTTGGATTTCCTTTGACTATTGAGTATAGACAAAACAAAAGCAAATAAGATAGAGTGAAAGTTGTATTCATTGAAATTCTTTCACAAGCGATCTTAACTTATTTAACATATTTTTTCAGTTATGTTTGTTTGGTTATCATGTATTATTCTCTTCAGTCTCGTAAATGAATGATTTCTCACTGTGCATTATTTTTGTTCGAGGAGAAAATAATGCATTTCAAGATTGATCCATTTAACAAAATTGCTACACGTTTTCCTCTTTAAAAACCACACATTCAAAGATGTACAAGTGTGTGTTGTCAAAATAAGTGTTTCGCTTTTTGTTATGATAATATAAGGTGAAGAAAGATTATATAAAGTAAACAATAATAATTTACTATAGCAATCACGAAAGTTGAAATTAGTAAGTTTTGATTGATACTAAATGACAAATAAAAAAGTTGGGAAAATTCACTGAAAGAGCCTTCTCGCCTTATAAGCTTCCATTTCATCACGTTCACAAATGGTAAATAGAGCCGGCATTCCACATGCATGCTTTCGGAGAACCCAATGCCATGATTAAACACAATGGACCCAATGTTCTTGTTTGTTTCAATAACAATTAATGACGGCGATAACAATAATATGTCGAAATAATTACTGTTTAATATAATAATAATAATGGTTAACCCACCAAATTAAAGCAGCATTGTGCACATCCCCTTTGACGCGGAAAGGAATTAAGCATGTTATTGTCCACACACAATGATCATTATGCCATGATCCATATTAATTTCACTGTCCCTTTGCTTTGCTGGCATGTCGTTATCATTAAAACTTCTTCTATATCTATCAAACTTCAGAATCGACCAACAAGCAACATACAGGAATGAAAAGGAATATGCTGCCACATCAATTCCAATTTGTTTCCTTTGTTTTCTAGTCGAGGCCTCATAATAAGCTTAAGAATCCATCCAAACATATTTTCGGTACTCGTTTGCTTGTTCACTTTGTGAATCCGAACCGTACTGGTAGATCTTGCAGTACACTAGCTAGTATCGTGGCACCGTTTTTGTTACACAAAAGGTGATACATCGTTTAGCTTGTTGATTCAAAACTAATCGATCTCGGTTATTTGGGTTATGAGGAGGAGAGGCTAAAAAATGAATATATAATACCATTTGTTATGTGCATTACAACATGTAAGTAGGGTTATCATTATTATATACCATTATTAAACCTTACGAAAGGTTGTACTTGTACAGAAAAAGTGAGTGGTAGGGTATTTTGTACTAAAATCGTGATTTAACCGTGATTACATCGTTTCCTACCTCTAACCGCCTACCATTTTGGTCCGGTATCTGGTATTTCCTGTCCAACCGGATGGTTCAATAGGGTTCAACTACTTAAGTAGTACCTAAACCATAAAAAGTAAACATATATCACCCTTATCTATAAAAAATCATTACTATACCATATATTTAAATCAATTCTTAATATCGAAAGACAGTGAAGAGCTATAGCTAGCCACAATTGTGTTTGTGCAAACCCTTAGCTAACTAGCGTTATAAAGTTTTGTTGTCACCGATGAACTCAAACACGAATAGAAACCTCTTAATCGAATATTTTAATACCATATTGAGAAATTACAAATTCGGCAATAGTAAATCAAAAATTGTTCAAAAAATGAAGAAGAAAAAACGTTATATTATTTACACGATTGAATATGTGGAGACACGTTGGGCCAGCATAGAGATCAAATCAAACCACGATGGCACGATCTGCTAAATTGGGCAAAAAAGCAAACCAAAATTAGCCTAGGGTTTGTTGAGTCGTTTCGTTTCTACTTTCTAGAGTGAAAGCAAAATAGAAAAAGAAACAAAAGAGTTGATAAATAGTAATTTGGGCCTCACCTCACCAGTCACCGCCCTGTCGCCCGCATCCCTCGCCACGAATCAAAGCCCTATAACCACGAATTTTGTTTGATTTTAATTGGTATTATTCCTAATTAATTACTTAGTCAATTTGTTATCATGAATTAATGAGTAGGTAATTGGTTTGGCCAAAAGTAGTTGTGATAGGTCATGCATGACTCCTGTTGTACACTTCCTAGCTAGTCAACTCTAGCAATTGGGACATCACAAGACATTTCTAAATCTTTCATTATCTCTAAGCTCTATTCCTTCCTAACAATAAAAATATTGTTCATAGTATTAACTTATGTTGAGCTTAACATCTTGGTCTTGATCCACACATGAAAATTGAGTTCAACATAATGTATATGGCGACATAATCAATAATACATTCCGAATTCACAAAAGAGCTATAGCAATAGCATTAATCTCAATTACTCCACTATCAACAACATCTATTAGTATGATGAGATAGAATTTCACATTTACCATCGCGAACATATTATTTTAAATTTTCAGCATTGAAAATCAGTTAACTCCTTACCTCAGATACTACCTACTATATCATAATCCACAAAATTAAATCATTGTTCCAGTAACATTTTAATGCATTAGAGTTGTGGGTTTTACCTTGATTATCAATTCATAATCAGTTAATCACCCAATAAATAGAAGGAAAACTGAAATTTTTGTGAAGCAAGATGGCGCCCTTGTATAACAAATTAACAACTCACAACACCAGATAAGACAGAAAAGACCAAAACCGAACCACCTGGGCCTGCCTCATTTCTTTCATATACTAAAACAAATGCTGCCGGCCGCTAGGGTCCAGCAAAGCTTCTTCCCCGTCGTTACATTATTATTGTAGCAGTAATCTCCTTTCTCCTACGTGTCTTTGGCCCTTCTCCCTCCGTTCTAATTTAACTATGATCAACTCTCTGCCTAAGACTATAATCATTAACCAGTGTCAGCTAAATAGCTAATCGTATCGAACATCCTTGATTCTGGGTTTGTGTAATACTTTCTAATCTAAAATGAATTTTATTCTTCAAATTTTAGAATTTTTAATCGCTTGACCGATATGAATATACGATATTAGATTATTTTGAGTAGGGGTGTTCAAATGGTTACTATGGTAATAACTAAACCAAATAAGTCTAAAATATATTAACCATGGAATACAATATTATAACCAAACCGTCCAAACTAATACAACAACCAAATTAACCAAACTAAAATTTATTCGGTTTGGTTAATTGGTTAACCAATATAACACCACATTATCATTAAGGGAGAAAAAATTTAAGTTAGTGCATCAATTTGCAATTTATATAATGAACAACACCTGACAATCCACATAATTGTAGTTAACCCTTAACGTAAATACATGTAACAAATACAATTATCTTACATTTGACTCTTATGCAAAGTATTAAGTATGTGTATATAATATATATTAGATATATGACAAATTACTTAACTGGTTAATTTGGTTTGATTGGTTAGAAGTGCCTGAAACCAAACCAAACAAGCTAAATTTTTTAACCAAACCAAACCAATTATCGAAATTAATTAAACCAAATTAGCCAAATACTACTGATTAAAATGGTTATCACGATAACCACACCGTTTGAACATCCCTAATTTTGAGACAAATTGAATGATGGAAATGATGGATTAAGATATGGAACCAAAGTCCATAATTTACCATAGAGGTACTTGCATTGCATGTATAATCTAGTATTATTTTATTTCCAGTTTCTGTTATTTGTATTTTTTTTTTCCCTCTTGCGTTCTAAAGCGGCAAGCAAGCAACTCTGCAACCTACTTCACTACAACAACAACAACAACAACTAACCTCTCCCTCTATTTTCTTTCCCCCGCGGACTTTTCCTCCTTCCTTCTTCGTTTTTTTCTTTAATGGTTTTTTTCCCCATTGCCCCTTCTTCTACTCTCCCCTGTCTTTGTCTGTCTCTATCCCTTCGCCATAAGCAAGAGATCTTCCGGGACCTCCCCGTCTCCAAGTAAGGAATTCTTCTCCCCCCTGCAAATCCACATTACCGATACCAGTATACCACCGCCTTTGATTCTGTCGGCGGGAGATTGCTTCCTCTTCTACAAAGTTCCGTGCTTGCTTGACTTGTTCAACTCCCCCAAATCTGGCGGTTGATTGATTCGCCAGCTAAAAACCTTCTCTGGGTCTGCAACTCTCTGCTATTTTGCGTACTGGGTTGAGTCCCCTTTTTTATTTCCAGTTAGTGCAGAGAAGGTGATCGGCGAAATGCTTGTCTGAGAAAAGGTGGGAGGAGGATTGTTGGTGTTTTTTTCCCCCCTTCCTCTTTCCTCTTTGATTTGTTTTGTCAGAGATAGGGGAGCAGGGGAAACAAAATGGGGAGGAGGAAGTTGAGGTTTAGCAACTTGTATTCTTTCTCATGCTTCAAATCACCAGCGACTGATGATCATGCTCAAATCGGGCGAAAGGGTTACTCCAGGGTGGTTTACTGCAACGACCCTGATAATCCAGACTCACTTCAGCTCAATTACAAGGGGAATTACGTCTCCACCACCAAATACACGGCGGCCAACTTTATTCCCAAGTCGTTGTTTGAGCAGTTTAGGCGGGTCGCCAACTTGTATTTCCTCGTTGTGGCTTTCGTCTCCTTCAGTCCACTGGCTCCTTACAAGGCTGTCACTGTTCTTGCGCCTCTGCTTATGGTGATTGGAGTTACCATGGTCAAGGAAGCCGTTGAAGATTGGCGGAGAAGGAAACAGGTAATTCCGGTTTTTGTCCTTTCCTCTTCTCATTTTTGAAAGCTCTCTGCTTGATTGTGTAAATTGCTCGAATTCTGGGTTACCGCATGAGGTAATTGCCTGAAGATTTTGATTGGTTTCAGGATGTAGAAGCTAACAATAGGAAGGTGAAAGTGTTTGGAAAGAGTTATACATTTACAGAAACTAGATGGAAGCATCTCAAAGTTGGGGATGTGGTTCAAGTTGATAAGGATGAGTATTTTCCTGCTGATCTTCTTCTGCTTTCTTCATCCTATGAAGATGGAGTATGTTATGTGGAGACGATGAATCTCGATGGAGAGACTAACTTAAAATTGAAGCATGCTCTGGAAGTCACTGCCTATCTACGTGACGAAGAATCTTTGAAGCGACTCAAGGCCATGATCAAATGTGAAGACCCGAATGAAAATCTCTACTCTTTCATCGGGACATTGCATTACAACGGGAGTCAGTATCCGCTCTCGCCGCAGCAGATTCTCTTGAGAGATTCGAAGCTCAAGAATACTGACTATATCTATGGTGTTGTGATTTTTACTGGCCATGACACGAAAGTGATGCAGAATTCCGTGGATCCTCCTTCAAAGAGGAGCAAAATCGAGAGGAGAATGGACAAGATTATTTATATCCTTTTCAGCACGCTAATCGCTATATCTGGTGTTGGTTCTGTGATTTTTGGGATTGAGACCAGGAGAGATTATGAAGATGGGAAGTATAGAAGGTGGTATCTTCGACCAGATCATACTACTTCGCTCTATGATCCTCAAAGGGCACCACTTGCTGCTTTCTTACATTTCTTGACAGGACTCATGTTGTATGGGTACTTGATACCAATATCGTTATATGTGTCGATTGAGATAGTGAAGGTCTTGCAGAGTGTTTTTATCAATCGAGATCAAGAAATGTATGACGAAGAATCGGACAGGCCAGCACGTGCTAGAACATCTAATTTGAATGAAGAACTTGGTCAGGTTGATACTGTGCTCTCTGACAAGACCGGTACTTTGACATGTAACTCAATGGAGTTTGTGAAATGCTCGATAGCTGGGAATGCCTATGGCCGGGGTATGACAGAAGTAGAAAGAGCTCTCTTGCAAAGGAAAAGTGGGAAGCCAGTAGTAGAAGCTGATGATTCATGTAATGATTCGAATGACTTGGGAAAGTCAGTGAAGGGGTTTAACTTCAGAGATGAACGCTTAATGAATGGGTGTTGGATTCACGAACAAGATTCTGATAGGATACGGATGTTCTTTCGAGCATTGGCACTTTGCAACACGGCAGTTCCGGAGGAAGACAAAGAGTCACATGGTGTGTTTTATGAAGCTGAATCACCAGATGAAGCGGCATTTGTTGTAGCTGCTAGGGAGATGGGGTTTGAGTTGTATGAAAGGACACAAATGACCATATCACTGCATGAGTTGGATCCCGCGTCTGGTAGACGTGTTGATAGGTAAGATGAATGTGAATTTTTTACCGTCTAAACCTCATTGCCCTTTGCAACCATGTCTAATCATATTTAGACTTCCTGTTTACAATATGCAGAGTATACAAGCTTCTTAATGTTTTGGAATTCAGCAGCTCACGGAAAAGAATGTCTGTGGTTGTAAGGAGTATGGAAAATCAGCTCTTACTCCTATCCAAGGGCGCAGACAGGTTAGAAAGCCTAATTCCAGGGAAAAGGTCTATGTATATTTCTTTTGTGGTAAGTTTTTCTCTTTCATTTTTAACTAAAATTGAACTATTTCAAACTGTTGCAGTGTAATGTTTGAGAGGCTCTCGGAACATGGGCGAGCTTTTGAAGCTGAGACCAAGGAGCACATAAAAAGATATGCTGAGGCAGGTCTCCGAACCCTGGTAGTTGCATATCGTGTGCTTGATGAAACTGATTATTGTAATTGGGAAGCAGAATTCACAAAAGCGAAAACAGCAGAAACTGCAGACCGTGATATGTTGGTGGATGAACTCGCTGATAAGATTGAAAATGGTTTAGTTCTGCTTGGTGCAACAGCTGTTGAGGACAAATTGCAGAAAGGGGTAGGCATCAAGTTCAAATCGCCAACCTGTTTTAATAATTTTGTTTAATTTGAGACTAATATTTTTTTGCTTGTTCACAGGTTCCAGAGTGCATTAACAAACTTTCACAGGCAGGGATTAATATATGGGTCCTAACTGGTGATAAGATGGAAACCGCGATAAATATTGGTTATGCTTGTAGTTTACTTAGACAAGGGATGAAACAGATAACCATCACATTAGACTTGCCGGATATTGATGCATTGGAGAAACGAGGGGACAAAGAGGGTGCTTCTAAGGTAGGGATTGTGAACTAAACTGATGACTTGTCAGATGTTCTCATGTTGTGAAAGGTCTGTAACAATCTCTGTATTGTGTCAGGCTTCTCTTGAAAGTGTATCGAAGCAAATCAACGAGGGAAAATTCCAAATGACTTCTGCTAAAGCAAGTTCAACGGAACTGAGTTTGGTTATTGATGGAAAGTCTTTGGGCTATGCCCTCGACAAGAAGCTGGAGATGTCCTTTTTGGAGCTTGCCCTCAGTTGCGCTTCTGTCATATGTTGTCGGTCTACTCCTAAACATAAGGCTCTTGTAAGTATCATGATTATGCACTTATTACTCTGGGGTTTCCGCGTAAATAGTTGCCATTTTCCTGCTGTAATGTCAAATGATCTGATAGAAGTATAGGAGACGTGCAGGTCACAAGATTGGTTAAAACAAGAACAGGTAAAATGACGTTAGCTATAGGCGATGGGGCAAATGATGTCGGCATGCTCCAGGAAGCTGACATTGGAGTCGGCATAAGTGGTGCTGAAGGAATGCAGGTTTGTGCTATACCAGTTTTAAACTTCCTCTTCTCTCAAGAGTAGTTTGCCGATTTAACTTGCCTTTACACTGAACTGCTGCAGGCTGTGATGGCAAGTGATTATGCAATAGCACAGTTCCGTTTTCTTGAACGTTTGTTGCTAGTTCATGGTCATTGGTGCTACAGGAGAATAGCCATGATGGTAGAATCTTTCTCCTGCATCCTGCTAACTTCTTGGTCCAAGTGAATTTTCTCATATTTCCTTTCTCTTGTTTCAGATCTGTTACTTCTTCTACAAGAACATTGCATTCGGGTTTACATTGTTCTGGTACGAGGCGTATACATCTTTCTCTGGCCAGCCTGCCTACAACGATTGGTACATGTCATTCTACAATGTCTTCTTCACTTCACTTCCGGTAATCGCCCTTGGAGTTTTCGACCAGGATGTCTCAGCCAGGCTCTGCCTTAAGGTACAAGCAATTATCAAGTTCCCTCTATCAATTAATCCGTTGGCATCCACCTCCAGTCTCTGCCATCATTGCGAGTTAAATGCACTTAATACTTGAATAATACTCATGCATGTATCTGTTTAAACCTCCCTGTCCAGTATCCAGTACTATACCAAGAAGGCGTCCAGAACATCCTCTTCCGTTGGTCCCGAATCCTTGGCTGGATGTGCAACGGAGTCCTAACCTCCATAATCATATTCATCTTCACCACAAACTCCATGATCAAGCAGGCACTCCGTGAAGACGGGCAAGTGACCGACTACGCAATCCTCGGTGCAACCATGTACACGTGTGTGGTATGGGCCGTGAACTGCCAGATGGCGCTCTCGATCAACTACTTCACCTGGATCCAACACTTCTTCATCTGGGGGAGCATCGGCTTCTGGTACATATTCCTCATCATGTACGGCTACGTCTCCCCAACCCTCTCCACGACGGCTTACATGGTCCTTGTGGAGGCTTGCGTCCCAAGTCCTCTCTACTGGCTAGTCACGGTGCTCGTCGTGGTGTCAGCACTGGTGCCTTGCTTCGCGTACAGGGCGTTCCAGTCCAGGTTCCGTCCCATGTACCACGACATCATACAGATACGGCGAGCTGAAGGGTCGGAGGAGATCGAATCAGGTTCTTCTGTTTCGGGAGAGTTGCCTAGAGATGTGAAGTTGAGAGTGCAGCATTTGACAGAGGGGTTGATAACTAGGAAGTCGTAGCTTTTGGTGGAATCCCAGTTGTTGTTTTAGAATTCTTTTGTCTGTTTGTTCAAGTTTTTCTAAAGGGTTACACAGAGAGTAGCTAGGTTTGTTAAAGTTTCAACCTTAAGTTGAATTCGTGGATTAGCAGTAGGAGGAAAGGGAAGAGAGTAGATTGTAAGTGTGCCCGTGTGGGAGGAGTGACAGGTTATAGTGTTATCCTCTGCAGCTTGTAGATATGCGAGTGAGAGTTGTAAAGTTTCTATCTGTATATATGTCCAATTCAGGCTTTACTTGGGTTATAAGTTATAACATTGGAGCATCCTCAATTGTGAATTGCAGCAGATTGGTCATTTGAAAGAACTTGAATGGCAGGTTCGTGATTTGACTGAATTACCGAAATGAAAAACAATTACCGAACTCAAACCCTAGCCTTTGCCGCCGTCGCCCCTCCAACTCCATTCTCGCCGGTAAATGTGGACTCTACTTAGCTTGCGTTGTCGCTTTGGAGTAGGCATCGATCAATGCGCTCTCAGGTAGGGCTGCAAACGAGCCGAGTCGAGTCAAGTTTTTGCTTAGCTTGAGCTCGGCTCGTTTATAAATTTTTTAGCTCGAGCTCGGCTCGAACTCGAATTTTGATTATCCAGCTCAAGCTCGAGCTCGACTCGATTAAAAATAATCCAGCTCGAGCTCGGCTCGATAGAGCTCGGTAAATGCTCATTAACACAGCTTGTCAAGCTGAGTACAAGCTCGGCTCAAGATAAGCTCGATTTGAAACCATTCTTGCTGAAAATGTGTACAAATAAGAACATTAGAAATTAAAAATAATAAAAAGAACACTAAAAACTAAAAATAACATCTAACTTCCATACGCATACTTATTAAAAAGATAATTTTCATGTTCAGAAAGAGTAATTAATCCTTCCACAAGCTTTAAACAAGCCAGCTCACGAGCTTAGCTCAACAAGCCACCGAGTCAAGCTAGCTCACGAGCTTATCAAGCCGAGCATGGCCTAGCTCAAGCTTGGCTCGTTTACTAACGAGCCGGCTCGCGAGCTGGCTTGTTAAACAACGAATCGAGTGTCGAACGAGTTTTTTTCGATTCGAACACCGAATTGCTCGCGAACAGTTTGGCTCATTTGCAGCCCTACTCCCAGGCCGCTGTGGGTACTCGGCTGAAGCTCCGTAACATTGACGACGATCCTAGTTCTGGGCAAGAATGGAGTTTGGCAAATCTCTCCTCAATCATCAATGCCCTTATCTTGAAGGAGGTGCTATGTTTTTCTAGAGCAAATCTTCTCTCTGTCGATCGCTTGGACGACGAATCAAACAGAGTTGATGTTGATGATGGTGAAGATGATTCGGATAAGCAGATAATTAGCGCCATTTCAGATGGGTTCGGAGAAGAAAGAAATGGCGCAAGAGCTTGCTTGTTTGTTCTCACTAAAGCCCGCGCAATTCGTCCCTCGTCCAGATGATGGACTGAGTTTTCTGTACTCCAAAGTCCAAACTCTTCTTTCTCAACGTAGGCTTGGCCCGAAGGTTCTGGTTTGGTTACTTGGCTGATTATGATGGGCCGAACGTGGGATTTGGACCACAAAATATCAAAGCCCAACGGGTAATCTAGGAGTAGGAGACCAATGGACTGGATGTTGACTGGTGGTGGCACCGCTAACGGCTTGGCCTGGCCATAGTCCTTCTAGTTGCATAGATGAAGGCAATGAAGCTATCCATCCTTCTTGTAAATCTCTTATACGCTCGTCTTGACCAGCGGCGTATTCAGAACATAGAACACTATACTGTATTTAAATATAATATTAGATACTATAAATAAAAATAGTCACCATTCCAAAATTTAAGTATTTCAAATAAGAAATTAGTTACTAAATTACCAACAGTAACAGACAAATGATGATATTTTGAAGCATTACAAAAGATCTAGCTAATATTTTATATTTCGAAAGGTTTGGCTAATAATTTGGAAAGTCTGAAAGGTTTGGTTAATAAATTGTGTTTCATTAATTCCAATTGTAATTGAAGGTTTTTTAATTTGGCAAATCCCATCATTAATATAATCTCCATCCATATCAATAGCATACTCTCTCTCAAATAAAATAACTATGCAATCAATGAAAAATTCATCGCCCATTTTGTTGCGCAAATTAGTTTTCACATATTTCATTACTTAAAATGTTCTCTCCATGGTAGCCGCTATAAACGAGCAAGGTCAACACTGGACGAATCAACCAAAAAATCACTTTGTTTAGAGAGTTTTCTTATTTCAATGAAACTTTATAAGGTCTTTTACGTTTTAGACATTTAGGTTTTATTGTTTTTCTTTTCAAATGAAAATCATTCGGGCTGGAATTTTTAGGCTAAATTGGGAGTAGTTGTTTGCATATGTTTATCTAGACCACTTTTCTAGCTACACAAAATTCTATTATCAAATAACACTCGGCCGACTTTTAAATAGTACTGTGCCGAATACCTAAATCGAAAATCTTGTAAGCACTATACTAGCTCTGGATCCGACGGAGGGCTGGGCCGTGGCCCGGGTTGGTCCAGCCCTAGATCTGATGTTGGTCCTGACAAACTGTCAAAATCAAGGATTAAAATACCGTACCATATCGGTGGTTCGACCTAAAAAACCTCCTACTTGAAGTAAAATCGGTAAGCAGTATTTAGCGGTATAATACGGTTGAACCATGATTAAACCACGATTTTAGCTTAAAATATCCTACCACTAACTTTTCTGATAGGACATTCAAATACGTTATCCAATCTTTCGTCAAAACTAAATGCTTTGGCAATTGTTGTTGAGATTAATTTGAGAATACTTCTAGACGACCCATTTGGCTCAAATTGTAATGTGTCCTTATAAAATAAAATAAAAAATTGTAATATGTCCACTTGGACATCATAAAATAATTGACGACTGGGCAGCCGGTCCATGGAACAAGAAAACGAGAACAAGAAAATCGACTTGCTTTTGTCGCTAATAAATAAGTATTAGTTACAACAAATATTAAATGGTACCGTTGGGGGTTGTTCTGTTTTCTTTTGGCAACGGTTAATTCTCATGTTTGTTTCATGACGAGGGCAAGTGGCATGTACACTAACCACCAGGGGGTCGTCACTGATTGTGTCACGGTCTAAGCTAACGAGCTTCATGGCTGTTGACAAATAACATTAGCAACAATTATTCTTAGTTTTGGTTGGGTTGATTGATAATAACTTTTTTTTCTTCTTCAAAGTTCAATTAACTAACCTGGTTAGATCTCGAGAATATAGTCGTGCACGTTTAATAGATTAATATTTTATCATATTCGAGAGATCAGTCGACGGGGTACTCTATGTAATGATTTGAAGTCGTATTAAGAAGTATAATAACGAGATAATATATCAGAATTAGATATGACAAACACTTAAAGGTTGGGTGTAATAACTCAGGATGAATTGGTGATAAAGCAAATACATATGAATTATTATGTCATATTAATGGCTCGGTACCTAGCTGTCTTTGTAAGAACCTCCTTTTTTTTTATAAATTATTATTGCAAAGTCCAGACAATACTTGGATGTACATATTTATAAGCCTATAGTAAGTTATTGTATATTTTCTTTGTACGATAATGCGGGAAGGTAGCCCATGATCATAATTAACTGAGCCAAGTAGATACTACGCATGTGGAGTTCTAGAAAGCAATAAGTTTTCTACAAATTAATTAAAGAGCTTGGATTAATATATATTTGTATAAAATGAAATTATATATATACGTGATTGCATTGAAAGTACTATGAACATACGTGCGCAACAAGCCCGGGCATATATGGCAATATACGTATTATATGATATGCAGTTTGTTTGTTTATTTAATTGCTATCGTCCATTTGTTCTCGCACGAGAACTGTGGAGGCGGCCGATCTCAATTTCATGATCATAATTCATGAATCTACTTGTCTTTTAATTCTCAGTTCTCACCATAATTCAATTGGTATCATAATGATAGAATACGATTGTTAAGTAAATTCTAAAAAATAAGATAATATATTCAACTTGAAAAACACTGGAATGATTCAACTAATGTGATAGAAGCTTGTACAACGGATGACAACTTGATCAAAATGTAACGATGAGAGCAAACTTTCCTTATAGTTGTGTAATGATATATTCGCCAATAATTTGATGATATGCGGTATTTTATAGTTCGACTATTAGTAGTGGAGCCAGAAATCTGAATGAGGGGGACTAAAATTTTACGTTCGAGATGTTTGAACCGGGGAGGGGGGCTAAAGCCTTACAACCTGATCTATTTTCCAAGTTTGTTACATAATTTACACGTAACTTTACACGATTTTTAGAGTTGAGAGGGGGATATAGCACCTCATGGTTATAAGGTGGCTCCGCCACCGTCCAATATGATACGATAATTTTTTATTTCCTTTTAAAAAGGTAATTATCACAAATCTCATTTATTTTAATTAATTAAACGTTACATGTATTTGATAAAAATAAAAACGTAACATGGGGGGTTAAGTTGACCATCAATTAATATATATGCAACTGTGCAATTGGGCATTGTGGTTGGTGACCGCGCCACGGTTTTTCAGTTTCTTCTCGTGCATCAGGCATTAATTCTTTGCTATCCAGATCCCTTGATTTCGGTATACATAATACATCTAGGCACAAACGGAGTAAGAAATGAGATAAGGTGACACTAGCTAAGATTTGTTTCTTGAGCATCAGACTTAAAAGTAGGGAGGACATGCGCCATCATGATCGAGCAATGAAACAAGATAACATGATTATAAGCAGGAGGTAAAATTAACAATCAAATTACACACCAAAAATATGAAAACACTGTAGATTTTTCGATGTAGAAAAGTTATAATTAAAAGATTTGTCACTTTTATAACACCATCAGATATCTTCTGTACTTAGAGTCCATCATTTAACAACCTAATGATAGAGACGATAACAAATAACAATGCCCAAATGTTGTCAACCCATACCAAATACCAATCAATCCAGTGGGAAATTGATTAGGCGTCAGATCCTTTTTACTTTTTGTTATCTTGAAGGTTTACTCAAAATATTTTTTATGATGAGAAGTAGAATTAATTATATTATTTTCAACAAAAACATTTGAAAACATTTGAAGTACTCAATAAACTTGAAGTCAACAAAATAATGCCAGGTTTGGCTTTTAAAAACATTTGAAGTACTCAATAAACTTGAAGTCAACAAAATAATGCCAAATAACACAACTGTTAATTTATTTTATGCGCTTATTATTAACGTTAAATTTTTTTTATAGTTGGTGATCATTAAATAAAATCGAAGAAAGCAAAACACACCAAATGAAACACTATAAAAACAAAAGCGAAAGCACTTGTCATTAATTCCTTAAACTATTGCTATCATGATAGTTTAAGGGAACTAACTGAAGGATTAACGTATAGCCATACGTAATCAGGAGCTGAAAATAGGATCTTCTAAGACCGCTCGAGTATAAAGGAAAAAAGGATCCTTTAAATTCCCCAATCGAGCTGGATTTGGTGTAGCTGTTTAGGTAGGGGAGAGATGCATTAATTCGTTAATAATTAATTAATTAAACGGGGGATTAAGAGCGAAACTGAACAGATGCATGGAAAAAACGTCATTGCAAACGCCGGCCCTCTTACGTTTCAGTCTCCTCGGCCGATCACCTTTTCTAGAAGAAAGTTTTTTCCTTTACGGCGGCGACTATTCCCGGTTAAACGGAACGGATGGGTCTACTAGTTCGGTTTCTTGTTTCTTCTTCGTATGTACGACTCGCAATATCCATATATATCCATCCATATTTTCATGGATTAGGAGGAGAAACCGAACTTTCCATATAAGAAGCGTCCTTTTTGACTCACAATGGAAGATAGTTTCAAACTATGGTGACCTATATGGACCTATTATATAGTTAATCATATATAATCTACTAGGGCTGGCAATTTGGTCCAGAACTGTTTGATTTTACTCGAAACCGGACCGTATAGTCCAGACCGGGACCGGACTGAGACCGGATAGCAAACAATCCAATCTCATATTCGGACTTAGATTTGAGGTAAAAAAACCCTGGATAAAGACCGAATAAGAGACCCCAACACTCAAATACACACAAGCTCAATCTAAAATCAACATCAAATTGGGACCGGACCGGGTCAAGACCGGACCGGATCAAGACCGGAGTGTATTCAATCCAATCTTTGGTCCTTATATTCCCGAAAAAATCGGACTAAGACCGGATCAATTTGGTCCAATTTAACCGGACCGGACCGTATAGCCACCCCTATAATCTACGATTCTACGTTGAACTTAGCTATGCAGGAAGAGGAACTACTGCTTGCACATGGCTATTATCGATCATTCAATGGTTCTCAATTGTATTTTTTTTTTTACAATTTTAGCTGGTATTCAATATATATGACTTTGTCGTCGGTTTAAATTTTAAAATTCTAGACCGTCCCCTCGATTTGATTCACATTTTCTTGTATAATTCAAATTTCAAGTGTGTGGCAAGCAAGAAAAAGTATTTTCCAGAGTCATTATATCCATTGCTGCCGTAGAGTTAATGTCAGGTGATAGCTCGGTTTGGTTTCCTGCTAGTGGCTTACCATAGACGTACGCACTTTTATCAGCATTAGACTGCATCTTCTAGTACATATGTTTTTTATTGGTTCCTCTTCATTTGATTCCTTAAAATTGAGATTTCATGATATAATCCTTATATTGGTACATAAAGAGTTATTAAGACACATTGGGATAATTCATTAGAGAAATTTGGTATATATATATATATATATGTTCATATATAAAAATAATTTGAAAACGGCTCGAATAGAATATATCACTCTTTTTTATCTGCTGTTTTGATTAATTTTGAGCATTATTCTGCATTTGAGATTTAGGTAAGAATGAAAAAGTTTAATCATGAAGAATTCTTACTGCAAAGAAGCAATTTAAATCCAACAAAAACTCCAATTAATTGGAGGTACACGTAAGAATATTCCCCTCTGCGCACGCGCTACACCGAGGCTGATGCTGAGGCTGCTAATGACTATTCGTCAACTAGTTACAATGGTCACCGGCCGGCTGCGCAACAACACCAATTGAAAGAAACCGACAAGTTCCAGAAGAGTTTAAGTTCCCCACCAACGAAGCTGCCAAATGCAAATCTGCCTGCTTTCTCTCTCTCTGTCTCAAACAGCCCACTCCCACAGTCAAGGTGGTTGGGCTGGGCTCCGCTGGCGGGCTGCATCCGACACCAAGTGTCCGGTGTCCCGCTCCCAAAACGGCTCACAATAACGATGAAAACGACAACCATCCCTCCCCCTAATGAAATTATCAAGCATTTAACTAAAGACTCCTCCCTGTAATCTTATGTTACTGCAAGCCGACTCAACCCTTCCATCACTCCTGAGTCCTGAGTCCTGACAATAATACCCATAATATAATTATGTTCGAAATGACCAAATCACACCCATCCAAACCATTGAACCAAATGGAGAAAGAAACCATATATGCGGTTCTTATTCAAACAAAGCAAGAATAACTTTCGTATAAATCATACACGATTTCAAATTGATATGACCGTTTCACTAACTTCTTCAATCCAATTACACTTTAATATTGGCATTTTTCACATTTCTGTTTGTTTCATAATAAAAACAAGACAAATATTCTATTGTACTAGAATATCCATTTTCTTTTGAGTACTAATACTATAACTTCAATTTAGACTCAAATTAAAAAATTGAGTGTGATTTTTCTCCAAAAGCAAAATTATTCAAGTATGATTTGATTCGTACTAAAATGGATATGGTATAATAACTACATATTGAGTTTTTCTTATTGGGGACTACACATTGTGCACCGCACCTAGAGGTGGCAATTAGGATCCATATCCATATCCATGAATCCAATCCAATCCAATCCAATCCATTCACTAAATTATTCATCTAATCCAATTGATTTAAATCCAACCCACTTGATCCAATGCATCAATCAATCCATTTGATCCAATCCACTAGTCCATCGATCCAATACATTTGTCATCTCAAACCGCACCTATCAAACCGCACCTTACTAACATCATAGGTTGAGATGATTCACTCTGGAGTCTGGATCATAGTTAGTAAATACTGCGTTTAATACAAGTACATTTACCCATACGTATTTTATACGTTTAAAACTTCCGTATCTATATTGTTGTCAAGTCGTTTCATTTTTTCATTCATTTGATAACTTCCATACTAAACACGTATAAAATTCGTATTTTATGTTTAATATACTATTAAACGTAACATTAGCTTATAGAGAAAATAAAATATATACATAACTTTCTCGTACAATATTTTACTAACTATAGTTTGGATAAAAGAATTACTTACTGGTTTTAACTCTAGCCAAAATGGGCAAACCGTGTCCGTAAACACTAATATACTATGGCTTTCAATTGAAACCTATAATTGATGGAGGAAATTATGGAAGCAATGACGAATGCGGGAAAAAATGGGAAAGGGAAAGAGACACATCCCCCTCCTTACAATCTTGCCACGTGCGACCCCTTCTCCACCTCAGCGCGTGAAACAGCGTCACGTTACCAAATATCTCAGGCGCTATTCTAGAAATCCCATTAATTTTCCCAGTGAGTGTCAAAATCAATTTTTGCGTCTTTTATTAAAGCATATTAATTATTGATTTTTTTACTTGGGCACTAAGTCCTCCACCTCGCGTAACCTCACGCGCCACCTCACCTATCCCTTCCGCATCATCCCCGTGTATATATATATAAATCTGAGTCACGCCAAACGCCATTGAATCCTCACCTCATTCTCAATCATCTTTTTGACGAAATAGAAGAAGAAAAAAAAAAAAAAAAATCACTTTCTCCTCTGCTACGCTTTCTTTTCTCCCCTTCATCACAAAATGCTGGATGAAACTTCCGCCACAGCCGCCGACGTGGCGTTTTGCCCCAGCTTCAGTAGCTACTCTTGCGACCGCCTCGCCGACGTCGCCGCGGCGGCAGCGGCAGAAGCAACAGTGAATTCATCGGAAAACGACGAAGAATTCGAGTTCGTCTCCTTCAGCTGCGCGGATCCCGATGCGATCGAATTAGGAGACCACCAGCAATTGGTTTCCCCTGTTCTTTTCCCTGTGTTCAACCGAGATCGATTTTCCAGCGACACTGAGGGATGGAGCAGCGATGCTCCAGCAGCGGCCGAAACGATACCGCGTCCGCTGAGCGAGTTGTTCATGAACGATCGAGATCAGCACTCGTCGTACTCTTCTTCCTCGTCGGAAGCCGACGAATTGGAAGGCGCGCCGGAAGGGAGCTACTGCTTCTGGACGCCGAAAATGATTTCTCCGTCGTCGGTTACCGGAGCGTCGCCTTCGCCCGGTAGATGCGAGAAGAGCAATTCCACCGGATCCTCGGCCTCGACGACGAAGCGGCGGTGGAGGCTGCGAGATTTGCTGCGTAGATCTAGCAGCGACGGGAAGGTGTGCTACTTGATGGTCCAGCCAAACAGCGCTGGCGCCAGCAGTAGCAGCAGTAATAATCATCACAGCGGCAATAATGAAGTCAATTTGGGGAAAAGGATAGAGGAGAAATCGGCAGCCGATCGGAATGCGAAACCGTCGCCGGCGAGAGCTGCGAAAACGGCGGCGTCGGCGCACGAGTTGTTTTATACGAAGAGCAGGGCGTTGAAAGATGGGGATCGGCGGCGGTCGTATCTGCCGTACCGTCAGGAGCTTCTCGTCGGATTCTTCTCTAATGTGAACGGTTTCAGCAGGACGTTGACTCCATTTTAGGGATTTTTTTGTCGTTTTGGTTTCGAATTACAAGGGAGAAAATCCTAACAGATGGATTCAAGTTTGGATCATGAGGACGGCTGGAAAATCTTACCGTTTCCTTTTGGTTTCTGTTTCATTTTTTTTTGGATATTAATCTCGTTCATGTAAATTATTAATTTTTTCTGTTAGTAGATGAATAAAAGAGTAGTTGAGCAAAAGTTGCACTTGCATGTGACATTTGTGTTCCCACAAAATTTACGGCGACTATGATATAGTATCACTAAATTTGCAATAATAAATAATTTTTTCCCCTTCTCTCAAGGAAAATCTATTAGCTATTAATTAATTAATTAGGAATTGCGGTTACATTATCCAGCAAGAGCGTAGCAACTAAGTATATAGGAGGCCTATCAAGCCAAACAATCGTCTCATTCCATTCATCCTCATTTCTAAGTGCGCTATTATTTGAGTTGCTTTGTTCACATCCCTGGACACATGTTTCCACTTCCTTCCACCTAAATTGTCCAGTATTCGTCGTAAACTTATGCATATAGCATTCGCCTCCATCTGAACTTCAAATGCCTCGCTAAGCTTTTGAACTAGTGTGTTGCAATCGGACTCCAAATTTACGCTTTGTAACGGGAATTGACAAGCCAACTGAACACCTAGTTCAGCTACTAAAGCTTCAGCTTCTTCCACTGTTACAATGTCGGGGATTTTCTTTGCTGACGCAAGCACAAATATAACACCAGTTCCTTTTACGACAACTCTTAGCCCTCTGGTGTCATCCGTCAAAGTCCCTCCTACATCCGTATTGATTTTCAACTCGCCATCTTCCAGAGCCCTCCATTGATTGAGAATTGGGACACTCGTATGTCTCACCCCATAGTCTTAAAAAGTTGAATAAAATTAGACTCTTCCTAATATACTTAAAAAAACTCGAATTATAGTTTTTTTCTTCCACATTGTGTATTTCCACTATTCCAATCACTTATTTTGTGTTGTTTGACTTGTTTTTATGTAAAAACATATCATTAATGCCAACAAAATCAAGTAGCTTATATACTTGCATATCCCATGCTTTAACAAATTGAGTCACTATTCTCGATTTTTCAATTTCAACATTCAAGTAGCAATGAGCGGGTTATTCTTTTTTTTTTTAATGGTTGAACGGTTTATTCTTCAATTCATGAAATGAATTTTATCAATCCTAAATCATGTGAGGTTTCTCCCCTTTGTTTTCTAATGTGGGTGAATTGTCTTTGTCTTCGATCGTCTACCATATGCGCTTTGCCTCTCGGTTTGATAAAAAAAAAAATCATTGGAAGCAAGAAATTTAATAAGAAACAAACGAAGGAGTTTTTATCCCCATAAACGTAAACAAAAGGAAAGGAGAAGCAAAAGGAAGAAGACTTGAATAGGGAATTGAGTGATGAGTGGTTGTGATTAATGTTAGTGACCGGGAGTTGGGAAGAGTTGGTAGATCATGATGTACAAAGAAGCAGATGTTACACTGTTTTGGTAAGTGTTCATGATGAGCGTGACAATGGACATCCAACCTCCACCAAATAATGACTCTTTGTTTGTTTATGGTGGTGTGTTTGTTTCTTGTGAAAGTTATTGTCGGGTGTGAATATTAATATGTGGGTTCGTTACTTCATATACATTACAATTTTAGAGAATTTGTTTGGGTTCGAACACATTTTATTGAAACAATCATGAAATTTTTAAAGAATTTGAAATTGATAAAGCAGGTTTTTGAATATCCTATTTTCTTAAAATATTTTTTTTAACTTTTTAAAGAGAATAGACGAACATACTCTCGTTCTTTCTCATTTTCTCATATGAATGTTTTCTCTAAATACTCTATATGACGGGCTTCATATGTATTGATTTTCTATAAGAGTGACATAGTTTTGTTTTTATTGTTAAGTGTTGCTTAAGGGATTAAACCTGACGTTTTTAGATAAATCAAAGATTAGTGGTACTATCAGTAGATCAAACCCTTGTTCGTTTCATATGTATTGATTTGTTCTGAGTGTTATTTATTGATCGTCCCTAAATTTCTCAAAACGTTGAAAGTCAATAGAACCTGAACTGGGTGACCTGAATCACATTCTCGACTGAATTCAAAGTTATTTGAATTTGCACATATTCAACTTTTTTACTACCCGCTAAATGAAAATATTAATTCCTTGTGTATTGGTTTGCACATATCACCTCTTTCTCAAGGAAACCCAGCCAAGGACCCCAAAGAGAAATGATAACCATGGTTGATGGTTGGATCGGATTTGAGTGATGCCTAATTGGGTCTGTGGACGAACGAGAACTAGTCCAACTAGTGAAGTCGACGTACTTTCCTTCGTGAGATTGTGTGTTCGATTCCAGCTTTGGCGCACTCCCCTTCTCCTCTAGTAGCACACTATAACATGTTTCCATAAAAATAAAAAAAAATTGGGTCCATAGAGTTAATTAGTTAAATGTAAGAAAAGAGAGAGTTAAGCACCTAAAACTAGGTCGGCAATCCCATATGTGGCGGCAGTAAACAAGGGAGAGAGATGTGGGAAGATTTCTTATGATTTTCATCATTCTAGTTTGTTTGTTTTTTAAGAACTTGACCAATCTTTTTTTCCGTGGGGATCAATGAGATACGGCGAGCAATCTCTCGATCCAGCTTCTAGAGGAATGGAGCTTCCCACCTTACAACAAGTAAACATCATCTGTACGTGTTTCAACGCAGCAATAGATGGGCTGTTGTGATTAATAATTATTTTGTCTTCCTCTCTTCCACACGGTGCATTGGGATTAATCTGCACCAAACCCCTGGGCTTTGGTTACTATTAAGTGTCTATTGATGTTGGGTGATGGTAAGAAATAATATACAAAATAGATCATATCAAGATGTCTGGGTTTATTATCTCCTTCAAATTCTTTTTTTAGATAGAGATTGAAAAGTTATGTACGGTCATTCGTGATCGTGAGCATGGTGTACCAGGCTGCTCCTCCATGCTTTGTGATGGTGTGTGTGGCTGGAAAGGAATTCTAGAATTTTTAGCAATGAGTCCCAAACCTCAAACTTAGTGTGCTACCGTATTGGGAGATTGATAGCAAGCTGGTTAATGTCCTCAAATAGGGTGGAATTAATGATTACAGAGAGTTGGCTTGCAACCCTGAGAAGGGACCTGCTGCCCAGGAGAGGTGAGAGCAGGTGATGATCCTGATTTGGCTGCCATGCTGTCCTTTGATCAGGCTTCAGTCTCTTGTTGTCCTCCCCTTGTTGTTGTTTGTTCTGCTTAGTTTTGTCTCCGTAACTTCTTTAATTATCTAATTGAGGTCACCATTTTTAAAAATAAAAAAAACCAAAGTCTAGCTCAACTAGTATTTGTGACAATACCAACAGCTTTCCCCTTTAGACCAATAGATCCGATCCAGAATGATGAGGCTTCATCATTTTGGGCCTCGTCCTATAAGCACCATAGTAGTTATCAAAACCCGAACCCAACCCGACCCAGTTGACAAAACCAAATTGGCGAAGCAAGTGCCTGCTTTTGTGGATCTGGGATTCTGAAACAATGATAAACAAAAGCTTTTGCATGAGTTCTTGCTTTCCGTGTTAAACAAACTTCCTTCACCACGTGCCATCCACATTAAACAACAGCACAAGGACTAAAGAAATCGGGGCTTGTGATGTCAACTTCACTCGATAAATCACTTTTTGGGAAAAGTCGAGCTTTCGCTTAGCGAGTCTCCAATCCACCAAGCCGTACCCCATGAGATTACACGTGGCTCCAAAAGCTTGCCGACGCGGCTTGTGAAAAGCGGGCCCCACACTCCAAATTTCGTTTCTGTTCGTTCATTAGCGCCCTTAATTGATCGTCATCACATCATCCCCACCCAAACTGTGGCACTACACTACACTCTACAGCCAATCGCAATTCCCCTTCCACTTCCCCCCGTCGTCTCGATTCCGCCGCAAAAGATGCCGGCGACTCTGCAATTCGCCGGTTGCAGCTCCATCTCCGGCGCTATTGCCGATGCCCGACTCAATCTCCCCTCCTCTTCGTTTATCTGCGGAGATCTGTGCTCCTCGCCCTTCCGCGGAGTTCGCTTGAGTGATGAGATGAACTGTAGTGATGCCCGGTTAGCTGCCGGGAGAGTGAGAATGAGAAGAGCCTCGATTCGCGTAATGTCGGCTGGAAATGGCGCTTCGTCTTCGCCAACGAGGCATCTGAATGAGTACATGGTGACGGTCGATCGGCCTCTCGGTGTTCGCTTCGCCTTGTCTCTCGATGGCAAAATTATCGTCCATTCTCTCAAGAGAGGCGTAAGTCGACGCTCTACATCGTTTTCCCGTCGACTCAGCGACTAATTGCTTCTCTAGAAATAGAATTTTTGAAAATTTGCGACTCGCGTGGTGTGATTTTCAGGGGAATGCGGAGAAGACGAGAATCGTAATGGTTGGCGATACTTTGAAGAAGGCCGGCGGTTCCGCCGACTCGCTCACGGTGATTGGTGATATCGGTGCAGCGCAGTAAGCACATTGCTTTGCATTTTCCATTGGCAATTGTATCTTTTTGGAACCGAGAGCGAGTTACTGGTTTATTGATTTGCTTAGGGTGTATTTGCGATAGCTCAGTGGTGCTGTTGTGCGATTTCTACGTGCAATTCATTCCGAAAGTTTGATTGATTGATTATTTCATTCGTTTCAATATTTGGTTGCTGTTAGGAAGGTGTTAACGGAGGATGTTGATCCCAATAAACCGATGACTTTAGTCCTGGAGAGACCATTCTTTCCTTTCCCAATTCATCTACTCGACTTTTCGAGTGATATTGGAAGCTTCAATAGAGGAAGAGTGGCTGTGGTGACTTGGAACAAATCTCTGCTAGCATTTGGTCTTCAAAGTAATGAGGAAAATGGGAATTCCGGATTTGCGTCATTTTCTTGGAATTTCCTATCACATCATGGGTGGAAGCTTCTGAATGATCGAACTGGGAGGATGGAGTCTCCAGAGTCGAGGTATAAGACTCAAGTTGTGAGCCTTTTGTCTGAAGAACAGTCTGGAGATGGAGAATGGGCTCATGGGAACTTCCCGCTGGAAGAGTATGTGGCTGCATTAGAACGTTCCAAAGATGAGTTGTACTATGACCATTCTCTTGGTATGCACTACACTAAGGTGAGCTGGTGTTCAAACTTTTCTTTAGCCACGTTGGCGTGTGCAAAGGTCTTCCTTGAGTTCTTGAGAGTTTTATGTTTATACGAACTGCTTTTGCTGTCAGGTTACGGAGCAAATATATGTTGGATCATGTCTACAGAATGAGGAGGATGTGAAAAGATTGTCGAGGGTGGTGAGTTCATATTTGCCAGTTGGTTGCTTCTGCAGAGTTTAAATTTTGATCTTGGACATGTTGAAGGTTCCATCTCCACTTTTTAACAAGTTCATGTGTATCAGGGTATCACTGCAGTAATAAATTTCCAGGGTCCTACTGAAGCTGAGAACTGGGGAATCAACTTGAATGCAGTAAATGAGGCGTGCCAAAGGTCTAATATCCTAATGATCAACTACCCAATAAGGTAAGTCAGAAGAGTTCCCTTCTGAATCAAGAAAGATGTCTATTACTGTCTGTCTTATACGCATAAGTTGCTGCCGTTATGTTTCCTGCAGGGATTTGGATTCATTTGAGTTGAGGAAGAAACTACCTTTTGCTGTTGGCCTCCTGTTCCGCTTATTGAGAAAAAACCATCATGTTTTGATAACTTGCACTACTGGTTTTGACCGATCTCCTGCTTGTGTGGTTGCATATCTGCACTGGATTACCGACACTTCCCTTCATGCAGCGTACAACTATGTCACTGGTTTCCACGTATGCAAGCCTGACAGGTTCTTGTTTCTTAATCTTGTTCTTAGTTCGTTTTCCTAGTCCTTGACGCATCCTCGTAGTGCATAGCAGAAGTAATGTTCTGTCATGAGTTGAATACAAGAACGGCTAGTTGCTAATGGTGTCACGTGCTCGTTTCTGTTGTGGAATATGATAGTAGACAACATTTTTTAGTGGCTAAATTTTTTGCCTTAGTTACTCTTGTTCTTTCTCTGTGGTACAGATCATTAGGAGGAATTTTGGCATTGTTTCCTTTGAAATAGAACGACGTGTCTAACAAAAAACTTAATGGCAGAGCTGCAATTGCTTGGGCAACATGGGATCTGGTTGGTATGGTGGAAAATGGGGTGCACGATGGACCACCAACACATGCTGTAACGTTTGTGTGGACAGGGCAAGAGGTACTTATGATGGGTTGCAAATTAGCACTAATGCTTAGCTTGGATCTATAAGAATATACTCTTCAACCCCGACATTGATATCAAAATGAAGAACCTGACAGAACACTTGTTCTATTACCTGTTGAAAGGGTGAGGATGTGTCCTTGGTTGGAAGCTTTACTGGAAACTGGAAAGAACCTGTCAGGGCAACTCACAAGGGTGGACCAAGATTTGAAGTTGAACTGAGGCTACCTCAAGGAAAGTAAGTGGTATATACATTCGGCAGTGGACTTGAACTAGTCTGTAAGGCCTCTGATTCAATTTTTGCACTTGCTTCCTTGACCAATTGCTTAATCGCTTTTAAGGTATTACTACAAGTACATTATTAACGGGGACTGGCGGCATTCAAATTACTCACCAACAGAAAGAGATGAAAGTGGTAATCTAAACAATATACTTGTGCTCAGTGAGCCTGCCAGCATAAAGCACACTGTTCATCAAAATCAGAAGGTCGGTGCACGAAATCTGTCATTTTCTCTCTTAACATTTCCTGCCATTCTGTGTTGATATTCATTTCCTTTATGCGATCCTTGCTAAATGGTTCCCTAGCTTTTAATTCGTCATCCTTTCGAGTTATCCTTTTCATGCTCTTACTATACATAGATTGAGGTCCTAATTCCAGAAATTCTTGCTTATGTTCTGGCTTTCCAGGATATCAACATTGTGAGAGTTATCGAGAGGGGGCTTACAGAGAGTGAGAGATTCACTCTTGCTAAAGCCGGTCGCTGCATAGCTTTCTCTGTCTGCCCGCAGAGACTGGCTCCCAAGTAAAACTATATTGCCTGGTAAACAAGGTTAAAATTCGACATGGTATGCTGTTCTCTTCCCTACCTGAGATGTCCCTATGCTACAACTTGGGGATGCTTACTTGGCATCATATTCTCCCCTTTTAAAACTGTTTAGTCTTACCTCCCAAGACCTCATTTAATACGCCGCTGTGGGTTACAATCACAACTCAGTGTATGGAGGTGGCAAAATACGTTGTGCCACAAAGAAGCATAAAGAACAGCTGAATCCTACATGCTGCTGCTGCTGCTGTTGGTGTCATTGGGCCATACATAAAAGTGATCAGACGAAGCAAGTTAGAAACTGCAAAGGATATGCAGCACGCAGGTGTTGCTGGTGTAGATATGCTACTGTTACTGCCATCGCAATACTTGGGCTGAGTCAATCAATAAACTTGCTATATGATTCTTCTAAAATGGGGGAAAAGACATTTTTTTTTATGCATCTTTGTGTTGAGTGAAGATCATAATGAGGAAGTTTTGCATTAGGGAATATAGGTGTTTACTTTGCTCTAATCAAGCTTAGGCCAAGTGTATTCTTATTTATCGACTACATGGGCTCTCCTGTTATGCAGTTGATGACAACAGTATAGGTAATATAATGGTAGAGTAGGTGTACCATTTCTTAAGCGCAACTGCAGAAAAGAAAACAAACAAGAAGACACAGAAGCCGACACCGGCTTATGTCGACACTTTGTGGGAGAAGTAGTGGTATGCTTGCAGCGTAGATGGCACAAGAATGTTGACACTATGGCACTTGGTTGGAAAAATGCATGAAGTATATATATATATATATATATATGCATTCAGACTATAACCAACCGGTGCAGCTGCCTAAAGACCCTTTTTTTTTTCCAGAGAAGAAATGTTGATTCATTCATCCACAGAAACACACAAAATGGTCGTCAGCCTGGGTAAGTTTTTCTGTGTGTTGCTTGCGGCCGTTACCCCAAGCAGTGTCAAGAGCACTGTCGATCAGGCATTATGTAAGACAGTTGTTTCTTTTAGCATGGTTACTAACGTTAGTGCTTAGTTTGTTTTGGGCAGATTACAAGAGGGGCTGGATTAAACTCTCGACGATCTTCATTAGGACGGCGATTCACCTCAATCGCATTCCTAGCTCTCGTTCTCATTCCCCACAGTAACACAAGAAGAATCCCATCATCCAGTACTATTTGTTAATGGAGATTTTGTGGGTAGTAGAAAAGTCCAAAGAAGGGAAAGAGATAAGGGCAGTGAGGTATATGGAACGCTGATCCCTGTGGAGTTGAAGCAGAGCCATGTTTTGGAGATCAGCCCAGATAGGGCCTTATCCCCTCTCCCTTCACGGCCATGAAGTTGTGTATCTGGCCCACTAGTGTAATTCTTCTCTACCTTACATTCTGGTTTCTACTATGTCTGGCCACCATCAACTTTGCCTTCGTGCACAAGCTAAAGAATATTTTAGTTATACATCATCCAAGCTGATATTTAAGAAATTGTAATCAATTTACACAATACGGTTGTAATCGAGATTATGAATTCACTCTCGAGATTATGAATTCACTCAACTCGAACTTTATAGTGTATCGTGGAGACATCTAATTCGGTCGAATTGTAGACATAGGTTTGAGACGTGGGAGGAGGAGGAATCCAATGACTTCCATTCAAAAGCTAGCCAAACGGTCCAGGGCAAAGGATGAAATGAAGGGGCAAGAAGCAGTGGTTGACACAGCTTTCGCTTTCATTATCCAATGGTCTCATTTTGCTGGTTGTGGTGTGGTGTGGCGTGGTGGCTCGACTCATTCACTCAATCATCCACGTCCACAACCTTCCCCATTTTATAATGAAGAAGAAGGATGTGCAATAAGTAGCTAGAAGAAAGAGCATTATAAATCCAGTGAAGCAAAGGGTCCGTTGAACCCACAATGTCGACCGCTTCCCTCAACGGCGCCTGCTCCCTTATACTCTCCTCCCCCAAAACCACCACCACCACTTCTTCCCCGCGAAGACTCGTCGTCGCCAAGCTCAACAACTCTCAACCTCCCTCTTTCTCTTCTTCTTCCTCCTCGAATCCCATCAACACACCTCCTAGGCTCATCAGGAACCAGCCTGTTTTCGCCGCTCCTGCCCCTCTTCTCAATCCTTCCTGGGTACGGATTACTAGTTGGCTTATTCTCCCCCCTTCATTTCACATTTGGCTCTCCACATGGCATTCTCAGTCTGGTGCATACTTGTGTTCTGTTTCTGGTTCAACTGCAATAATAATTGCATGGCTGGAGATTATAACATTTGTGCAATTTCAAGTGGCGGAGGAAGAGGAATGTTCATCAAATGTACCTTTCATGCAACGTATTTGACTGGCTGATAGGCTGCCCACGTGAATCCGTTTTCCCCATCGGCTAGTTACTTGCCACCATTAAAGTTTCCACGTAATTATGGGTAGAGCTAGTTCAACTGTATTGGTACCATATGCATATTTATCATTTATGCCCTACTAGCCATAATTAAGCAGTTGAGACACTCCAATACTGGAATGACACTTGGGTGGTAAATGATAGATTATTCCTTACATGACACTTAGTTTGGCCTGCTACTAACTGTATTTTACTCGGTGGTTAATGAATGGTTGAACTTGATGAACAGAGTGAGGAAGACATGTCGAAGGACTACCAGGAAGCCATCAAGGGTCTTGAGAAGCTCCTCAGGTAACATAATCCTCCATCTCTTTAAGTCATGAGTTATTTGGTCATATGTATGTGGAATTATTAAGGGGTGATGGTAATTAATGCAGTGAGAAAGGAGAGCTGAAGGCGGTGGCAGCAGCCAAAGTGGATCAGATCAAAGCTGAGCTCTCCACTGCTTCCTCTGGCACCAAGCCATTCGATGCTGTTGAGAGGATCAAAGAAGGCTTCATTACCTTCAAGAAGGAGAAATACGAGTCAGTTCACTCACTCTATACTTTGATCAACTACTTTAGTCACAAGAACCACAACTATGAATAATGATTCATGTTTTTTTTTTTTTTTTTTGGTGTCACTGCAACAGGACGAAACCTGCACTGTACGGCGAGCTTGCCAAAGGGCAGAGCCCCAAGGTAGTTTTTGAAGCACATAACTTGTATCCCAAGCATCAACTTTGCTATTAGCTTATTGGATTATACTCTTCCATAGCCTATTATTCAAACTTAATTTTCTGTTTCTTTTGTTGTGGGCGGCAGTACATGGTGTTTGCCTGCTCGGATTCGAGGGTTTGCCCATCCCACGTTCTGGATATGCAGCCCGGAGAGGCTTTCGTGGTCCGCAATGTTGCAAACATGGTTCCTCAATTCGACCAGGTCAGTCAATTATGTCATTTCTTCAACCTCTCGCAACAATTCACGTCTAATAAATATTTGTTACTGTCAGGATCTTTTTATTACGAACGAGTTATTCGAGAATATAGCGTAAAAATTGTGCTTAATCTTTCTCGCTAACTCGAGTTATGGTGGATAAACAATTATTTACAGGTGAAATATGCCGGTGTTGGAGCTGCGGTAGAGTACGCAGTGCTGCATCTCAAGGTGGAGAACATAGTGGTGATTGGACACAGTGCTTGTGGTGGAATCAAGGGTCTCATGTCCTTCCCATTCGATGGCACTACTTCCACGTAATTAAGTTTACTCTAATTATTCTCTTTTTTCCTAATCAATTCAAGAGTGTTTGATTTTAACCTAAACAGTTTGTTTTTTTTTGGGTCATTTGGGATGAATGGATGTGCAGTGATTTCATAGAAGACTGGGTATCAATTGGGATCCCTGCCAAGAAGAAGGTGTTGTCTGACAACGGCAGTGCTGCTTTTGGTGACCAATGCACTACCTGTGAGAAGGCAAGTGTACTAGTAGTTACAAGCTCCATTTTTTTCATGGTTCACTATGAGCAAATTTCTATGAGATCCTATCATTCGATTATGTATTGTTTATTTAGACATAAACATTTTGTTATCCGTCCATGTTATATTGTAGGAGGCCGTGAATGTATCGCTGGCGAATCTGCTGACATATCCATTTGTAAGAGACGGGCTTTCGAAGAAGACACTGAAGTTGTATGGAGGATACTATGACTTCGTCAATGGAGGGTTTGAGCTGTGGAGCCTTGAGTACGGCCTTTCTCCACCAATTTCAGTATGATCCCCCAACACAACCGCTCGCCTTTTTCTCCCTCTTTGATGGTTTCCCTAATTAATCATAAGCTATAACCCATCAACCCCTTCCCTTCATTTTTACTTTTCTTCTTTACCTTTTCATGTCAAAATCAATGTATGTATTTCATTTTGTTCCACGAAGGAGAGCTCTCTATATGCGCATTGAATAAAATCACATCTTATATATACTAGTTTTTTTTCTTCACCCGCTTGTTGTTCGGATGAGTTTTGTTTATGAGATGATAAAATGGACCCATGTGTTTTGGTAGGTAAAAGATGTGGCCACCATTCTCCACTGGAAGCTCTACTAGGGACTTTGGATGAAATTCCAATGTTGACATATGGGCTCTTTTATTAGATTTCCTGGCCTTCAATTTGACACCTTCAAGAAAGAGAGTGAGGTGGTTTCCTTGTTCAATAGAAAAATTATAACATACAAACATCTTTTGACATCATTCATTCGATGCTTGTAAAATAGTTTGTTGAGACCCAATTTTCAACTCACTCAAAAAATTCACTAAGAACTATTGGGTAAAGTTTATCAAGTTCAACAACTAGAGGTCACCAATGATCTTATGCATACATAGACAAGATAACCAAAAGCCAAATATCCTACATTATCGTCCTTTGTCCAAATGAAGGCTAATGACTTCAAATTTCTTGCATACAGAAAGAGCAACTCCTCACATAATTATTTTTTAAAATGAAGAATTACATTAGAATAGAAATTTCTTATACCGTCGCCTCATTCTATCTCACTCATTCCATTCCACTTAAATGATTAAATATAATATCCAGCCACATAGTTTGGGTATAAAATTTGGGTTTTTAATCCAATCATATCATTTTCAAACAATTATAATTTTATAAATAAGTTTGAGGTGTTTTGCAATTTAGTACCTTCATTTTTTGTGCACTTTCGTTTTTTTTATTTATTATCAAATAGTCCATAAAATTCTATGAAATTTACTCTTTTTTGTCGTCTTCAAAATTTACAAACAAGTTCAAGTGTTGATAGCTAATACAATACCACAAGAAATGGGCCAATCACAAGAAATGTACAATTTAAATGTGAAAGTAAAGACTCATAATCAATCTTACCGTACACAAAGAGTACCCAAATCCATGCATGGTTGACCTTATATGCTACTCGTAATAAAAAGGATTAAGTAGTTAACTAGCTTTGTACCCGGCCTGTTGGCCGGGAACTATTCTAGATGTTCTATTTCGTGGTTTGAATGTTATTTCTTAACCAAAATCGCAATCCCCCATTCAATAATTTCATATCTTTAATATAAACACCATATATTTCTTAGATAGAACTTTCTAACATGAATCCAGGAATAATGATTATTGGCTCAATTTGAATTCAAATAGGGATTTGCTTGATATGAAAATTTCTAATATTTATCACACCCACTTAAGATGTCATAATTCTAAAATGGTAACTCATGTTGTGGAAGGTTATGATGTCCGACATGTATGTTATGTTAACATTTTCAAAATAAGTCATCCAAATTTATCATCTCTATCTATGAATCCAAGATTCTCTGAGTTTGGACAAACTATCAGTTACTAATTGTTTTTCGAATTCCCACATCCTATAAATTCTTAGTGAAAATGCTTGATACTTGGAGAAATGTTGCTCATTCCAGTTGAAACTTTACAGACATCATACTCACTTATAGGGGTGTGCAACGGTTCGGTTCGGTCCGGATCGGGCCAAACTCATGAGAACCGCGGTCCATTAGTGAAATACATGTTAGGACCAAGGACCAGACCATTCTTACATTTGGTTCATTTGGTCCGGTTCGGTCCAAATATGAGCTCGGTCCACCATTTCTTCAGTAATTATAATATTCATGAGGACCAAGGACCGGACCGCATTTTACTCGGTTTGGTCCGGTCCGGTCTTTAACAACGGTTTGATCCTGTGTGGTCCGGTACAGACCGGACCATTGCACACCCCTACTCACTTGTGATAACTCAATAGTCAATTCTCTAATTTCAAGTTCATTCCATTTTGGATGTTCACGTAGTCTTGATGTATGAACTTTGTACCGCCTTCATTTTAAACCCAAATCATGATTTTTTTAAAACAGTGGATGTAAATTTGAGGAGTACGATTAATTTATTTTTTGTGTAAAAAAAATTAAATTCCAACGAAAAATATATAGTTTGCGAAATTAAATTGAAAAACAAAACAAAACTTAAAAGAAATGAATCCCGTTCCCCAAATAGAACAGTTTTTTTTAAGGGCCAAATATAACAGTTTAAAACAAAAAGGTTAGAAGCCATTCTCGGTTTGTAAAAAAAATATGTATGTAAATTTTAAAATGAATGAAAAGGTTGAAAATAAAGTTTAATGAAAAATTAAAAAAAGGCTATAAACATAGATGGCGGTTAGAAGTCGGGACTCGAGAGAAAAGGGAGAAAAAAATTAAAAGAGAGAAATTAGCGAAACTTGCGGAGAGCCTCTGAAGGCTTACGTGTCAATGGTCTTATTTAGAAAGTGTTTTAAGTATTTTATAGATAGATAGATAGATATAGATAGAAGATAGATAGATTATCACCCATATTGGTGAACTGTGCTTTTTAGAAGATAATAAGAGCAAATATCAAAATCATAAAACAATCGGAGCACACGTCCGGTCCGGTTCTGATAACAAGGGAACTTTTGCACTGCAAGTATCTCGAATCCAAAGCCCAATCACGAACACAGATAAAGCCCAGCTTGGAGTATTCATGACCGAAATGAACAGTATTCTGGCGACGATATCACAAGTCACAAGCAAGTATTCCAAATCCCAATTATGGAATTTCTGAAAAGGCAAGCTCGAGACTGCAGTGAAGTTAACATCACTGTAATAGGCCGAAATTGATAGTTAAGCCAGAGACGGATACAGAATATGTACAACAACAAAGCCCCGCCAGCTCAAATTCAGTGAAACAATTGCATTGCATGGCATGGCAGAAGGGCTGTCTATAGCCTAAACAACCAGAGAGCTGAAGAACTGACCAATTTCAGCCAAACCACATCTACGACTCGTCCGGCTTTGGTTCAAGAATTACGGGTATCTTCTCCTTGTGATCCCCACGGAGCACCTCTATCGTCACCTGCTCGTGTTAAGAACAAAACAGTACTTACAAAGCTGATTGCATAGTAGTAGGCCGACGCCAAAAAGATAAAAGAAGAGGCCATACCGTCTCGCCCACTTTACATTGATCAAGAATTCTGTACAAATCGCTTCCATTAGCGACTTTCTTGCCATTCAGGGATGTTATGATGTCACCCAATATGAGTCTACCGTATGCATCGCGTTTAGTTGGTAGCAGGCCCTGAAATAAGTTGAGATATATTAGCAGAGGGTTCAGGGATGTGAACCAAGAATAGTTGGCTCCGTGAGGTAAAGAAGTCAAGGCGAGAGTGAAAAGGGGCATACAGCTTTGCCTGCTGGGCCACTTGCAGGAGCATCTAAGACAAGCACCCCACTTACGCCCAACTGTTCCACTGATTGATCAGGTGCAAACTTAATTCCTAATATCGGTCTGGTGACTTTGCCGAACTTCACTATCTGGTCAACTATGCCATTCACCTGTATCCACACAATCAAACAAGTTTCAATACCGGCATGACATCATCAATTTGGCGAGGACTCTCCCTTCTGAAAAAGGACAAATAATTTAACTAATGTAGTCATTACTACTTACAGTGTCGACTGGAATTGAAAACCCAACACCAGAGGATGCACCAGATGGTGAATAGATGGCTGTGTTTATCCCAATCAGGTTTCCTGCACTATCAAGAAGTGGCCCTCCACTATTCCCTGGATTAATTGCTGCATCTGTCTGTATAACATCCTGAATTGGACGGCCTGTAGCAGCAGAGCTTATTTCTCTACGGAGTCCACTGCAACACATAAAGACTCTGTTAGTGAAACAGGCAAAAAGCAAACGCCTTGTGTTTCACAAAAAGAGACATTGTAATAGCGGAAGATTAGCCACCTTCAGTCTTACTTTTATGCTTTTGATTATATTCAGTTCTTTGAAATCATTTGGATGTAAGGGTTGGTTCAATACCCTACTGTATAGCACTTTATAAAGCTAGGAATGGTAATGCAAGCACAATACAGGCAATTCCGTAAGCAATAAGACACGAAAGGGTAGCAGCTAGCAAAATCGAGCAGAACAAGCCATTAAAGTCATAAGCACAATATATAACATACTTTCTATAACTTTGTACCTGATGACACCGGTAGTCAGAGTATGGTCAAGCCCAAACTGCAGAATAGAAACATCAATTTGAAAGTCGGTCAGCCATATAATACTAGACAAGTTAGAAACAAAGAAGGATTAGAGTTTGCATTTAAATTATATCTCAAGCCCTGATCCTCAAGCCGCATATAAAATGTAAATGCCCGAAAGCATCCGACTTTATTGATACAGTGCATACAATATCCGAAATTAAACATAAACCCATTCCAGACTTTTATGGTGAATGTCTTAAATATGTCATAGTTCACATTCTACATCGGAAAGAGAGTGAATCATACTCACAGGGTTACCAATAGCATAGACCTTCTGACCAACAAGCAAGTCAGCCGAAACACCAACAGGAATGGGTCTCAATTTGTCTAGCGGAGCTTCGACACTCAACACCGCAACATCCTTATCTTGGTCAAATCCAACAACCTTTGCATCATAAGATGTCTGGTCAGCTAGAGTCACTCTGCATAAAAATCCAGAACCATCTCAGAATGCCAATACTAATGAGTCTGTCTCATTCCTCTCTTTTTGTCAACAATTTAGATCACAGCAAGGACTCAAGTCCAATCAAGACCCTGAAAATAACTAGTCATCATGTAGAGGACACTAAAAAATTTCATAATCTGGCGAATGTTGTCATTTCCTACGTATGCTCCTTCTCACACAATCAGAGTATAGAAAGAAGCAGCAATGAAGCTCTCAAATTAGCCAACGAATCTGAAACGAAGGTCTCAAGCAGCAACCCCAGCAATCACAGTACAGAAAGAAGCAGCAATAAAGCTCTTAAACTAGCTAACTGAGTAACTGATCTGAAATGTCAAGCAATGAGATAAGAGGATTAGGGAAGGAATTGAACTAACTGACTTGAGATCAGAAGCGCCGCGAATGACGTGATAATTGGTGACAATGTGACCATTTTTGTCCCAAACGAACCCCGATCCTGATCCCTGCGGCACCTCCAACACGTCCAGAGTGAAAGCATCTTGTCTGCGGCAGCCATTATCATCAGGAAACAGGTGAAAAAATTAAACCGAAAGCAAAGAGCTAGATAGAAGGAAATTGCGATGCACATACTTGACAGCCAAATTGGTGATGTAGACAACGGAAGGAGTGTTCTCCTGGAAGAGGCGAACAGTAGCGAGCTCATCCGCCTGCAACTTCCGGGGAGTGGTGACGACGAACGCAGCGGCGGAGTCGACATCGGCGAGGAACAGAGACAAGGACAGCGCGACGGAGGCGCACACTACAAGAATTACATCGACCGCAGAAGCAGCCGAAGGCGACGAGTCTGTCAAGTCGTCGGAGCATTTCCGGGAAGGAAAGACTGCGGAGGGAGAAGGAAGAGAGCTGATTGAAGTCCTGCGGAGGAAAGAGAGGACGGCGCGAGGAGGAGCGGTGGCGCTAGTCCGGCCGTCACGGAGAGAAACGGATTTGGAAAGAGGGAGAAGGGAGGGAAGGGAGCGCGGTTGGAGGAGCAAGGAAGTGGTTGGTGAGCGAGGGAAGAAGGTGGAAGTTAGGAATGACGATGAAGAAGAAGAAGAGGCCGCCATCTGTATCCTCCTGGACTACGGAGGACTTTTCTCTTCTGTTAATTAGTGTTGCTTTTCGGCTTGAGCTCAGCCTGCTTGCGTTTGCTTGTTGTCTCTTTGCGAAGAGTTTCTGTGGTGAGCGAGCGAGAGAAGGCTCCAGTCCAGTTCTACTCACTGTACTGTGTCACTGTCAAAACTTAACAGTCAAAAATCAAAATACACATTTTTGTATTCATTTCTAGAAAAATGTTGTAAAAATACGGTATTCTAATGTAGCAGCGCAAACTGAAGTCGTCAAATTAGCTGTTCGAATCACGTAAAGCCATTATTTTCAAAATTTTCGCCTCTGAAAATGCGAGAGAGTGGTAATCCAAAGATGTCAAGCGTTACTCTTTAGGGTTTTCTAACTCGAATGCTACCTAATTCAGGAAAGGAAAAGGAAGAGGGAAATGAAGTTCTACACAACTTCATGAGATAAAAAGAAAAGGGAGGTGGGGTGGGGAAGATCTTTCTCTCTATCTCTCTATAGAATCTTGCCATAAGGTCTCATTTCTCTGGGCAGGCCCTCGTAGTTACCAGAGTTGACATCAGCTTGCAACATGGGTCGATTTCCGTTCTTAAGGATGCCTTCTGCTAAGTGCTCTTTGCTTGGTGTCAGCATTACGAAATTTGGATCCGCCCGTTGGTAGCTGAATGCATAGGGAGAGGTGATAAGAACACAGGCATTCAACAACCTGTAGCTATGTTAAGAAGTACGATCGTAGAAAGCAAGTTAACAGACCTGGCTTCTCGAAGATTTTCCACACGGATGCCAAACCCGTATCCTGTTTTCCCAGTCATTCGATCTCTGGTAGCTGCAAGAACATGGGAACAAGAAGTTATGCAATCTCCACAGAGTTTCCTAAAACAGTACATAATGTCAATATGGCATCAATAGCATATCACTGATGCTTCAGACCACTGAATCGACGAGAGCAATATCGCCAAAATATAACCTCTAATCACATTCAGAAATAAGCTAGCTTTCAGCAATCCAACTTCGGACATAAACAAGGAAGTAAACGCGAAGAAAGGTAGAACAGTTGTGCAATACATGACCTGTCAGGATGATTTACAAATTACAACAGAGGAAGCAACTAAGAAGTAAATCAAGTAAATAAGATGGCAAGGCACCTGTAATGTTGAAGGTAAATGAAGGTTTCCACCATGATTTGAATGCCAATGCAACAGATGAGGCCAAGGGACCAATCTTTGCCTGCAAAAATTAGATCAAGGATATGACAATGTGCACTCCTATAATATGAAGTTATTTGAGGGTGAGACTGCATCTAAGTAGTACCTTAAGAAGGAAATTCTTATTGGCCTGCCAGGATGCAGCAACATTGAAGGTGGAGTCTTGTAGATCCTTCGACACTTTCGCCTCATCAATCCTTTCAATAACATGATATATGAATATGTTAGAACTAAACATGCAACTTGAATATGACAGTTGTAACCTAAATTACCTTGTCTTCAACTCGAATCCGAAGTCGATATAATTTGTGATTCCAACTACTTCATTTCCTTCAAATGGATTCTTCACCTGTGCAGGTGGTGGTGAAACAGTCAACACTTGTACAAGATAAATCGAACTTTGTGAAAACAGTAAGTACTTAAGCCTATCAATCTGTATAAGTTATAACTTATAACATTTCGATATTAATGCAATAACTATTTCTAAAAGAAGCATATAGTCATCAGACAAGATACTTTCACCAGTTTGATGACCCAACGACATTCTAGTCCAGTAACAGAAAACTAAAACCTCGAATCCAGAGCTCTCAAACAACAATTTTGGGATATAACACTGTACAACCCTATGCAAAGAGTCAATTTCCTAAGCCCTTAAAAATGCCAGAAAATATGATCATGAACTTTTAAATGCGTATGATCTAATGGTTCACCACTAAGTACTAACAACGTAAAATTTCCATCAGAGAATTAGTTGAAAAAATTAAGAAACAATTTCTGCACAGAGTGGCTAATTAGGGGGCGTTATTAACAATTAATAGCAAATGTAGGAGCAATGAATAGAGAGTAAGAGAAATTAAGAACATACACGTCTCTGAACCACCACATGTTGATAGAACGAGGCAATAAACTGCAATACAAAACAAGCATTTGATATTGGTCAGTTGAAATGCTTTTGCCGCAAATCACTAGCTAACGTCAAATAAAGGAACTTTTATGAAAATTTAAGCAAGTTCTAATACACTGCAGGTGAACAACAGTCAGAACTTCAAAATACTTAAGTCGACATACGTTACATGCAAATGTGAGCAAAGAATTAAATAATAATATGTATAACAAGGCCAAAGGCACAAACCTGGGAACTTTGAGCAAGTTCAAGACCAAAATTAAAGGAAGGACTTATGGGGCTCGCTGATCCTACTCCATATCCAAGTGCGGCACTCCAGTTCTTGGGATTCTTGTACTTGGCACCATTCACACTACCAACTAATAAGAAATAGCCAGCCAAACAATGACGTTTTGCAAATTGAAAGAAAAAATTGTTCTTTATCGACGGCTATCCATAAACTATTGCATAGTATAGCAGTGCCATGGAAAGAGTAGAAGCCCTATAACGATTGGCAACTATCTGAATGTAAGAGTTCACCAGAACTGGCCTAGAAATGTCCAATGAACTAGACCACTATTTCAGAGGACATTAAAACACAATCTTCTCCATTTTTCGACCAACAGTACCCTGTAAGTGCCTTTTCTCACGAGTCCTTTAACCAGAACCATCTTAATTAACAGAAAAATTGCTTCATTTTTTTTCATAAACGACAATAAATGCTGCTAGGTTCTGAATATCCTCATAGTTATTGGCCACCTCTCCTAGTTATTTCAACAAAATGTCATGATGGATGTTAACCAAATGCAACTACAATAGGAACTGACAGATAAACAAGAATTATGCACGGAAGGTAGAAAATGAATGAGAAACAGAAGAGAAAATGAATAGCATGCACTGTGTAGAACTGCCATTATTCACTTTAACACATGCATACAGCCGAACAGAAATAGAATGAAATACAAGTGGGACTAGACACTATATATAATGATCCAAAGATGCACAATCTCATAAAAACCAATCAAGGAGAAGTGCAACTTACACTGAGGCTCATACTGTACTCCTAGAGACAACCTTCCGATCTTGCTTACTAACCATGCATTCTTTGGCAACTCCTCTTGCACTGAAATTTAAAAGCAACAAGATCCAAATAATGAGGTAAGTTTGTGGCGACTGCAGGCTTTGCACAGACAATGTTACATCTGAGAAATGAAACAAGGGGAAATACGGCTTGTCCAGTTAGTCCTACAATAAGCTAGGACATTCATTATATCTACATAGTTTTACTACACCTACGAGCAAAAGGCAACACGGTGGCTCCAATTGATAAGCACTCGGAGCCATATCTCAGTCCCATGACTCCATAATCTTCAGAAGCAACTCTGAAATAACGACCTCCATCGTAAGAACACATTTGAGAAGCAGGCTTATAAACTATCAAAACCTAAAATGCTAAAGGGACAAAGCAGTACCTCTTCCTCAATAATAAGGGCAATATACCGAACGCTCCCACTCCAAATCTCGGATAGAAAGCACATGATCTCAGTCGTAGAATACTGAAGGAAGTAAAGCAATATGCCTAAGCAATTTCACATTTTGACATACTTAGAAACGAAATTGCGGATTGGAAGGTGGGGAGTTAGCTTACGGATCAGAGTTTGATGCATAGATGTCCATGAATGTATGAGGATCATGCACATCACTGCTGCCATGAAGAAACGTAAAACTATCACATCTAACTAACATAAGGCCAGAACCAGAGAGCAAATATTCGAACGACAACAACACCTTTGCCAGCGGAAAAATGCACTTCCGTCAACATTCTCCTCAGGCTTGTGGTCCAATGGCCCTGAAACCTAATGAGCAAATCAAGTTAAGGTCACAACGAATACTTCCAATTTTCCAAATCACTAGATTCAGAATTGAAGACTCAAAAGTACGAGAAAAGAGAATTAGGATTCACAGTTGCAATCAAATCCACATGAGGATCATCAATTGGCTTCAGCATGATCATGGTGGTGAAATGCTTGGCTTCCTCGAAATAATCCTCGAACAGGCATTTCAATGCCAGCTTCCCAAACAACAAGTTGTACGACGACTCCAGCATCCTGCCATCCATAACACCCACGATTTCAAAATTCCGCCACCAACACCACCGCCGCCGTCACTGCTACCTCGCGGCGGACACTGAAAAGAGAGAATAAAGGAACGATATGCAAACAAAATAGCAGAGGAATCGAGAATTCGGAAACCTGTTGCGGGCGGCGAGAGGCGGGAAATCGAAGAGCGGAGGGACGAGCACCATCGGCGGTGGCGGTGCCGAGGAGGTGACGACGTTCCCCATTGTTTTATTTGTTCGGAACGAGTCTGCGGTGGGCGGTGGGCGGTGGTTGGACGCAAGGAATTGGCGGAAGAGGAGAAGAAGAGTGGGGAGGACGGGATTGATGATGATGATGGTGAGTGTCGTCCGTGACACGCCGGTTACATGAGCAGACCTGCTAAGTTCTGAAAATGGCGGTCGCGCCCAACGAAGTAATAGGATCTCGTTAATAAAATTCTCCCAAAGATAATTATGAATGATTTTGATTTCAAATCTAGATTAAAATAATAATAAAAGCGCCCAAGATACTGTAATGGCCAAAAGCCCACCTTATAAGCCTAGCATGCAGACCAACTCACTAAAAAGGCTTCAGCCCGATAGAGGGTGGCTAGAGTTTTGACATATGGGAGGGAGTCCAATGAGCCGAGACAGCAGAAGTGATACTGGGCCGCCAAAGCCTATGGGCTTTGGACGTATTTTAAGCTCATTCTTTCTTTCCACCAGCCATCCAGTCCACCACATAAGCCGCCGTCAGCATCATCATGGCCATGGATCAGATTCAGAGAATTGATTGAGCATGGAGGGAGTTGGGAATATGGAACAGAATCATAAAAGGCCTTGGAGTCTCTTATCTTATTGCATGGTTGAGAGTTGAAACTTGAGAGTCATGCATAAAAGAACCAAACTAACTTCTACCCAAAAAAAGAACAAAATTAGTGATTGATCACAAAGAAAAAGAACCAAACTAGCAGTGGAGACATTTCAGTTAACGATGCTTCCGATAAAATAGTCGTGGGCATTTAATGGTTGAGATTTGGTGGAAAGACTAAAGAGAATGTCACAAACTCATCCTGATTGAAAGTTTATTTCACTTTAAGAATGTTGTCTCAGAAAGAACATGTAAGGGGTTAATGAGCATGATCGAATCCACACATCAAGATGTATATCGTTTTCGAATAACAGTGTATATGAGAAGTCATCCGATCTCAAATATCATTATTGATGAACTTCATAACTGAAAATGCTCCTTCAGAACTTGAAGTTGCAATATGTAAAGTCAATACTAACATTAACCTTAAGTAGACTAAATTTAAGCCCAAACAGTATCTTAAAATGAGTTTAATGGAGTTAAACAGCGGGTGACCATCGATGAAATGAAGTGCAAAGTTCGTGAATCGTGACTAATAAGGGGGGGGGGGGGAAATTGAGTGAAAATTTTGATAAATTGTCTAATTTAGCCAATTAGTATTAGACAAGGACAACTAGATTCGGGTAACTAAACAACAAATATGGATATGTACTAGGAAATTGAAAAAGAACATTTGTGGACGTGGGGAGTAATTCATCCAATAAAAATATGGCGGGGGAGTGGACTTGTGGGGCGGCGGGTACTCGATCAAGCCCTCGGCCCACACCCCAGAAAGAGAAACTGATGGCGCCAATTTCTGCGATGGTTCTGATTCTCAAGGACCAAAACCTCAAACAAGAGGCCAACTAGAAACCATCCTCCACATTCTCTTCTTGAGTTCTTTCCCCGACCTTTGCGTGCTTGTTGCTACCGGGTGGCGCCTCGAAATTTCTCTTTCTCCCCTCTCCTTCGCTCTGTTTTTTGTAACGTTGGGTAAATTGCCCTTTCGTTGCACAACACATTCGCGCTCCGGATTCGGGAATCGGGTCTGGTTTTATGCACTGAGCCGGAAGGACGACCAGCTTCATTCATCCTCGGCTTAAGCAGCGTCTCGCCCTGGTCGTGTGTTGATTACTGACTAATCTTCCTACTAGCAGAAGTCGCGTTTTTGTTTCTGGTCGGTTTGCCAATGGTGATGATTTGAGGATTAGAAGAAACCCAGATTCGGGATTGTGCTTCTTCAGAATTTTGGTGAAGAAACATCCTCGGTGAGTTTTCCCCCCTCCTTTAACCTTTCAGGTTGCCCTTTTGGATTTGCATTTTTGGGTCTTGTGTTTGGGTTTTGAATTCGGAGTTGGACAGTCCAGGAAAAGCCTGGAAATTTTGTTAAATGCTATTTGGATCCATCAAATGCCCGCTTTCCTCTTCTTTCTTGTTCCCGGATATGGTGTTCTTTGGGGCTTCTGTAGGGGGAAGCAGAAAGTTCTTCTCTTTTGCATGTTTGTGCTGGTTTCGAGCTGGTTACAACCACCAGAAGTCTTGTAAAACCCTCTCTGTACCAAGTGAAATTCTGCAATATAAGGCCCTGAAAGTTAGAGACAACCCCTTATTTATTTATTTATTTATTTATTTATAATGATGAGGAATAAGTTCGAGAGAACCCTCTTAATTCTTGATTCTGGCTGATGAGATATAGAAAGATAAGTTGAAATGACTTGTTAAATGGAATAAGAGGAGCATAGAAACAGGGGAGGGATGCCGATTGCATGATGAATTAGCTATCCTTCAACTTTGCTGCTCTTTCTTTGGTGGGTAATCTCAAATGTAATGTTGAACAGGTAAAGAATTTCAGATTTCGAAACAAAGTTTCTGCTCTCAATGGCTGCGAGTGTAGCAACAGGAAGCAGCAACCTCCATTCTGGATTCAATATCAGCAGACGTCTTCAGGGTGGTAGACAAACAGCCTGCGCCAACTCCCCAACGGTTTCCTTCAATGGATGGTTGCACAAGGATCTTTCATGGTAAATTTACATGGGGATCTTTAATTTTCTTAAACAGTTCTTTCACACTCATTTTGATTGTGTAGACTTTTGGTTTAATTTGGAGTTCAAGCTGTTGCTCTACTTAGACCTCTTGTCATTGAGGGCCTTGTTTATGATACCATATGTCTTTGGCATTTTTGGTCTTCATTCAGGTCTCAAGGGGCATTCAAGGTCTTGGAGATGCCAAAAAACTGCAATCTTTCTCAATCAGCTGTGACAAGGAGGCTCAGTGTGTCATCCTGCTTTGGAGATGGTGTTTCCACAAAGTATTTTGATTTTGCAGTCATTGGAAGTGGGGTTGCCGGCCTCCGGTATGCTCTTGAAGTCGCAAAGCATGGAACTGTTGCAGTCATTACCAAGGCCGAGCCTCATGAGAGCAATACAAATTATGCTCAAGGTGGTGTTAGTGCCGTTCTGTGTCCTAAAGACTCTGTGGAGAGCCACATGCAGGACACAATCATAGCTGGAGCTTATCTGTGTGACGAGGAGACTGTGAGGGTAAGATAGACAAAAACCATCACCTAGATTTCTAATTATGATGAGTTGGCTGTTTATACATGTTAAGCTTGTTTACCTTCCATTAGGTTGTGTGCACAGAAGGCCCCGAGAGGATTAGAGAGCTTATAGCCATGGGAGCAATGTTTGACCATGGAGAAGATGGGAATTTGCATCTAGCAAGGGAAGGAGGGCACTCTCATCGAAGAATTGTTCATGCTGCTGATATGACTGGTAGGGAGATCGAGAGAGCTTTGCTGCAGGCAGTCATCAATGACCCTAATATCTCTGTTTTCCAACACCACTTTGCCATAGATCTCCTAACCTCACAGGTTATTCATCTGGTGTTTTGAGTATTCTGTTATGATCTATTTCAGAGAGAGCATTTCTTGTCACAAAATTAGTATTTAGAGATTCCTGTGGAAGTTTTCTAACTGATGAAGTTCTGTTGCTGGAATTGTAGGATGGCCCTGACACAATTTGCCGTGGTGTTGATACTTTGAATACTGAAACACATGAGGTGATTGTTGAGTTTATTGAAGGCATCAGTTGACTGTATATAAAATTGTTGCCTTAGTGTCTTACTGATATGACCATTCTTTATTTTCCCTCATCAGGTGGTTCGATTTATTTCAAGGGTCACATTACTTGCATCTGGCGGAGCTGGGCATATCTATCCTTGCACAACAAATCCCCTGGTACATTTCTTTCTCTAATGCTGTTTTCCGCTATTTATACCAATATTTGATTTTCTAATCTTTCGCAAATCTGTTGCGATATTCTATTGTTAACAAAACAGAACAGTGGAACTGTTTTATAGCAGTTTCATGTGCCCATTTTAGTTGCATTTAGAGCTTTTCATGTATACGATATCTGACCATCATCCAGTTGTGGTTCCTCTGTATATTTGTGACATGTTATTTCGGTTAATCATATAGGTGGCTACTGGAGATGGGATGGCCATGGCTCACAGAGCTCAAGCTGTTATTTCGAATATGGAGTAAGTAACCACTCTTTTAAAACGTACCCATTTTGTACTCCTGGCCGAATATTATATGGGTCCACTTTCACATCTAAATGGCTATGCTGCTTCTGCTCACTCTCAGGTTTGTGCAATTCCATCCAACTGCTTTGGCCGATGAGGGGCTTCCGATCAAACCCAAAAAAGCTCGAGAGAATGCGTTTCTCATTACTGAAGCTGTCAGAGGTGATGGAGGCATCCTGTACAATTTAAGCATGGAAAGGTTCATGCCCCAATATGATGAGAGAGCTGAGCTAGCTCCCCGTGATGTGGTAGCTAGAGGAATCGATGATCAGCTTAAAAAACGTAATGAGAAGTATGTGTTGCTTGACATTAGCCATAAGCCAAGAGACAAGATCTTAGCCCACTTCCCCAACATTGCTGCTGAGTGTCTCCGGCATGGACTGGACATAACTCAGCAGCCTATTCCCGTCGTTCCAGCTGCACATTACATGTGCGGTGGAGTGCGTGCTGGGCTTGAGGGCGAGACGAATGTGCGAGGTCTTTATGTGGCAGGTGAGGTTGCTTGCACTGGACTGCATGGAGCTAATAGACTTGCTAGCAACTCGTTGCTTGAGGCGCTGGTTTTCGCTAGAAGAGCTGTCCAACCCTCTATCAATCACAAGAAAAGTTCTAGCCTTGATCTCAGTGCTTCAAGTTGTTGGACTTGCCCTGTAGTCCCCAATGCTCTTGGAAGCGATACAATGAATACCATATTGGGTAAAACCAAGGAAGTGAGGAGAGAACTGCAATCAATCATGTGGAGGTATGTTGGGATTGTTCGCTCAACGACAATGCTAGAAACTGCCTTAGAACGAGTTGGTGAGTTGGAACTACAGTGGGAGAAGTTATTATTCGAGCAAGGCTGGAAGCAGACCATGGTGGCTCTCGAGGCTTGTGAAATGAGGAACCTCTTCTGTTGTGCGAAACTAGTGGTGAGCAGCGCGATGGCTAGGCAGGAAAGTCGAGGGCTTCACTACACCATTGATTTCCCACATCTCGAGGAAAGTATGAGGCTGCCTACGGTGATTTTCCCTTCTCCTGCTGTGAATGGTACATGGAGCTCTCGGCAGCTACACAAAGAGGTGGCCTGTTAGGGATGTAACAGGTTCTGTTCATGATATTTTTTCAACCTGAAAGCTGTATTCTTTTGGCATACCCTTGTTTATTTTTACATGAAAATTTGTGCTGAACCATTGTTTGGCAATCAATGAAAGTGAATCTCCTGGTTCTCTGCAAATTGTAGCTCAGATCTGGGTTAACCCTAGAGAAAGGAATCAATTATCTATATCATTGTCAATCAGAAGCATCATGTCATATGAACCTTTTGAGAACCAGTGGTTCTCTAGAATGAGCACGATCTTCCTCAGTCGGTTAAACTAATGTTGCCTATAATTGTTGCTGTACTAAGATAAATATATGGTCTCTTTACAGTACGATGTTCTTTTTTGACAAAACAAGATGCAAGTGCTGACATGTTTTCCTTTGTCTCTTACCATAAATCTTATCCCCGTGAAGAGCAAATTTGGCAGCACGTTCTAAAGTCTCTTTTTTGTTGTTGTTTCTTCTTACTTTAGTGATGTCTTTGTCATTCAATCTTACATGTGAACTTATGAAGTACAAGAGATCTGATCACTTGCCTTCAAGGTTGGAACTCTTAAAACAGCTAAGTTGCTTCTTTCTTTTTTCTGTTTGTCTTTCTGTACTTCCTTGGCCCAGAAATGGACTTGATGAAGCTGCTGCTCGGAGTGTTTGGGATTCTAGTACTGAAAATGGTGACAGATGCGACAATGGTGGGATCTCATGCTGACGTCTGGAACTGCAAGTTCCCGGCTATATACAACTTTGGGGACTCTAATTCTGATACTGGAGGAATATCTGCAGCGCTAGGAGAGATCCCTCCACCGAATGGTGAAACCTTCTTCGGACATCCTTCAGGAAGATCCTGTGATGGCCGACTCATCGTCGATTTCATTGGTAAGAAGGAAACCAAAACCAAGTCCTCCATGTTGTAGAAATACCAAGCTTGAGAATTCCAGCAGTCATGTCTTTTTCTTGTGGTTTTGATGAACAGCTGAGAGACTGAAGTTGCCATATCTTAGCGCATACCTGGACTCAGTCGGTACAGACTTCAGACATGGTGCGAATTTTGCAACCGGAGGCTCATCGATTCGTCCAGGTGGCTATAGTCCATTTCATTTGGGTGTGCAGATTTCACAGTTCAAGCAGTTCAAAGCTCGGACGAACAGACTTGGTAACCAGAGGAATCTTCCAAGGGCAGTGGAATTCTCAAAAGCTCTCTATACATTCGACATTGGACAGAATGACCTCGCCTATGGCTTCCAACACTCTTCAGAGGAAGATGTCTGGAAGTCGATACCAGATATTCTGAGCCAGCTTGCAGTGGCAGTTAAGGTAAGTAAAGCGGAAAAAAAACAGTTTAAAATAATGTTGACACTTGAATGTGTCTTACTGCTGGGTCAATCACATAAACAACATCAAACTTCAGCAATACATCCAATAAATAAATTAAACTTGAGCAACTGATTTGTCATTGATGCCAAAATCTCAGCAACTTTACAAGGAAGGTGCAAGGTTCTTCTGGGTGCACAACACAGGACCCCTTGGTTGCTTGCCATATTCCGTTATATACAACTCCGACCCTAACAACTTGGACGGAAATGGCTGTGTGAAGTCTCGCAACGATGCTGCTCTGGAGTTCAACAGACAACTCGAGCACAAACTCTCCCAACTGAAGGAGCAGCTACCCTATTCGTCTTTCACATATGTTGATGTGTACTCAGCCAAGTATCGACTGATTAGTACGGCCGAAAATCAAGGTAACACCTCTAAACGTTGTGAATCAAGTTCTTCCATGCCAATGTGGACTGATCAAGCTGACGACAGAGGATATGTGAACTTCAGGTTTTGTTGATCCGATGGAGTTCTGTTGCGGGAGCTACTACGGCTATCACATCGATTGTGGGAAGAAAGCTGTGGTGAACGGGACGGTGTATGGTAATCCATGCAAGGATCCTTCGAGGCATGTGAGCTGGGATGGAGTACACTACTCTGAGGCTGCTAACTTGTGGGTGGCTCGTAGGATACTCAACGGCAGCCTTTCTCGCCCGCCTGTTTCAGTTCAAGATGCTTGTAAGCATGTCTAGGATCAGAACACTTCTTTAGCTAGTGCCTTATTTTGCTAGTTTCTGCACCCTCCCTTTCTCGACCACCTTAGCTTCAGGTAATCCATTTTGAATCGAGTAAACTCGAAATCTATTATGTGACATTGTTGGTGGTCTTGAATAAGCATGTATGCTGAAAATTTATTTTTTTGGTTAAATGTATGCTGCAAAATTTGCTAATATTCTTATAGATAAAGATACAAGTAGTTTCTGTCATAACACTATATTATGACAACAGAAGTCAAGTACAGGCCTATAGTGCAGTGGAATGAAGACTATGAAACTGAGACAAAACTAGCAGTAGTTGTTGGAAGGCCATTCTGTTGGTAAACATGTTAAGACTTACTAAGACTGAAGTACTTGGGTTCTGTATTCTCCCAATGCCCAAATTGGGAAAATGTCTCTGTAGGCTGCACAGGTAATCATAAAATTCCTCCCATGATTTCCTGCATAAGTTCAGACCAGATGCTCGATCATGGTCCAGGACATTGTTGCTTTCAAGTATAGGACGCAACCAGCATACAAAAGTTAAGGATACAACAAAAGTATTACCTCCTGTGGGAAATCTCCGTTCTCCATTTCAGAATTTATAAAGAATCTGGCTGCACGGTGGAGTTGGTGTTGGGTCTCTCTGAGCCTGTTCAAAGAATCCGAAAAATGAGCGAGGGGATAAAACTCGACTCGACTCGACTCATTTGCAGCCCTAAGGAGAGGGGCAAGGGAATCGGAAACCCCACCCATAACTCGGCTCACATAGGTGACAAGTTCATCCTCACCAAATCTAGTCTAAAACCAACTCTACTAAAGAAAGAGAAGGAATACGGAACAAAAAGAGAATTGTTAGTTGCCCCGCCCACATATTTACTATTTGCCGCCCAAAATTTTGACGAAAATGTCATTTTTACCCTTTGTTCAATTTTGTATTCCACCACAATACCACCGTCGCTGGCGCTAGACCACCACTACGCCAGCATCAAACCAACGCTGCCAGCACCAGACTCCCACCGTTGCTTTTAAGTATTACTAAACGCTACTAAATCTCCCGCGACGTAGCCGTGGGTATTAATACTAATTTCGATTAAAGGTTCTGATATTGCGTCAAGATTCAAGAATTAGTTGGTCCGAATCTCAATAACTTCATGAGTTCCAAAAGTATATCTTGTGTCATTTCCTTATGACTCGATTGTTACTGATTGGTGCACCCATTTGAAAAGATGACATTCACATTAATAAATTTCAAACTAGTGTAAGTTTAAGACGCACAACAAAATCACTCTGTAACAAGAGTTTGCACAGGCAAGTTAGTTATCAGTAGAAAATAATGCTAAAGTGAGAATTAGACTAATCCATTAACACTACACTTTGAACCTCTCGAAACCAAGACATTGTTCTGGTAACACGAACCAAAGAGTAAATGCTGAACTACAGCGAACCACGTTTTGTTTGTTTTTCTTTCTGAAGAAGACTACTGAAAAATGGAAATGACTGATGCCCGTTATAACACACTGCAAATCCATCAAGGAGGATAAGCCGCAGAATTAAAGTGCAAGTCGATGATGGCCAAGACTCGGGACCAAGAAACTAGCAGTTGTTGGAAATGGTATTTCGATTTGTTGGAAGACAACGATCAATCTTACGACGCATGAAGGACTCGGGTTCTGTATTCTCCCAACGCCCAAATCGGGAAAATGTCTCTGTAAGCTGAGTAGCTAATCATACAGTTCCTATTGAAAACTCCCATGATTTCCTGCATTTTCCAAGCACCGCGGTATGGTTAGGACTATGAAATATGTGTTGTCCATAGTCAACCTTAGCAAAGTTGAGAATGTGACAGCATTACCTCCTGCGGGAAATCTCCATTCTCCATTTGGGAATTTATCAAGAATCTGGCTGCACGGTGCAGTGGCGCTGGGTCTCTCTCAGCCTGCTCAACCAAACAAAAATTGAAAAAAGGGAATTTGGCAACTTGGAAAGAAATAAACAGCGCATCGAGTTGGCATAAGTTCATCTTAAAGAACTGAAACTTGTGTGCGCCTACCTGGCCAGCAGCAATCAGAGCCAACATCGCCCATCCGGTATTTACCACGTGGCCTCTGTCACCTTCAAGATTACTATATACCTGTATATAAAGAGATCAAGGACAATGTTTTACAAATCTTTCAAAGAAACAGTCAATCACTAAATGCTCCAGGTTACATCGTTGTAAGTTCTGTCAACTTTTGGTAAATCTGTAACCTAACAGTAAAAGCGAGTAGAAAATACAACCAACCTTGTTTACACATGAAAGGTAGCTCTCTCCCCAGCCACCAGAAGAACACTGCTTGGACAACAAAAAGTTACATGCTTTCCTGATGCAAGAGCTATTGTCGAAGTTCTTTCCAGCAGCAACCAATCCTTTTATGCCAAACCATGTAGCATACGTAAAGCAAACGGCCCAGGAACCATACCTTTTAAACAACTTCAGGTTTTCAGAATAAGCACCTCAATGCTCTCTACTATAGGTATTGAATAGAAACTTTTCTGTGACAAGGTCACATACCATGAGCCATCTGTAGCCTGAATGGATTCAATGAATGCAACAGCCTTCTTGATACAACCATCAACTTCTGCTATCCGATGTCCAGGATAAAGTTTCTTGAATGGTACTAAAGCTTGAATCGCAGCTGAAGTACATTCAACATAACTAAAGAGACGTTACAGCTAGCACCAGAGTTTTAAGAATAACAATATAGAAAAGATGGCACTGATATTTTTGAAATGGTAACTTACGGGTAATCAATAACAATGTCACCAAATGTTTCAGCTGGGTTGATCAACTAACAATGCAAAAGAGGAACAAAGTCAAAAATCGGAAACAGTGATGACCATGAGATACTGGGAATTAAAATCTACCATGAGCTGCTAAATGGTCTACTAGAACTGGAAGATGTTAAGGTACAATATTTGTGCAAGCCAAAGAGATTAAGAGACTACCTACCTCCAACCAACTATAGGATCTTGTGAGCTCATATGTAGCGAAGCTACCATCAGCATTCTAACAAGGACGAAGCAACAATTAGATTACATACATTAATGAGTGAAAACACAAAAACAGTCATAAATTTTGGTTTTATTTGTTCTTGAACCACCAACCAAGGTTCCAAGAAACTCTGCGTATTTTTAACAAACAGACCACAATTTATTATGAGGTTAAATTAAAAGTTACCTGTAATGATAAAATCACATTTGCAGCATCATAAAATCTCTGTGCTTTCAATGGTTCCCCAACAAGCTCTGATGGCATTTGTGATAGTAAAAGAGCAGCCTAGATGGGGCAGCTGTATTAGTCGAGGCAATCAACGCAAGAAAAAAGGAACAACTTCGAATTCATTTGACGTTACTTTTAATCCCTCTGCTGTGCAGTCTGAGATAGGCCAGCCATGGTCAGCAGTTGAGAAAGGCCATGCCCCTTTAGAAATGTGTCTGTACCAATAATCAAGGTCACCAGGGCAATTGTCCAAAACCTTGTATGAATAGATACCGTGAATCAGGTGACAATTCAATATTATAAGCTCTAACATACACTTTATTTGACAATTAAGTATAAAAAAAGCACAATCTCTGCCAATAAAAGGAATCTTTTCGACTTCAGATGGCAAGGGAATACCTGTGAGTTTTTCACATATGTGTGTGCTTTTTTAAGAGCTGAACCATACTCTTCAACAAGACTGGTTGATATAATTGCTTGAACAGCAAAAGAAGTGTCCCATAACTGACTTCCATTATACCCCTGTGATATATCATGTTGAACATCAAACAATTTAGATGCAGGTAACCATAACCATGGTCTCTGAGATCCCAAAAGTTACCAAAATAACTAGTGACTATCAAATATCAATATAGCACGTATTGGGAAAAGAAAGTTGAGATAAATAGTCCAAGGGCTGGACCTGCATTTTCATTCCATCCTCAGCAACCCAAAGGTAATCAGGTATTCTTGGAAGATGCAGCTTAAAAGCTTCTGAGTTTGGATCCTCCACCCAACAACATAGCATATTTAACACCTGTATATTGAAGGGATCAAAGTCAAATGGAGGAATTGAAGAAACAACCATGCAATTGACCACCCTACTGTGGATCCCATATATCAAGTCAATACTTGCCTAGTAACAAATCAAACGGAAGTACAAAATCAAGGATAAAATGCGGCATTTGTGAATACATTCCGTATAGTTGCCATTTAAGTAGACATGACTAAGAAACGGATAATTTAAGATGCACACCTTATTTACAGGTCCTATGCAAATGTAACGGGTATTTTCATCTTCATAGTGTATGTGCTCCATTGTAGTCTGAAGTGCCTTTTCTCTCAACTTCTTTCCAGGCCAGGTCATTAGAATAGGCTCAACGAACTTGTGAAGGAACCCCCAGAGAATATCTTGAATGAGAGGGTGTGGGTAGTAGAGATCTTCCTGCCACCATAATTGAAGAAATAAGCACTTGCAATTCAAAAAAATTGCTGCCTCTATTCAAATATGCTCATACAAATGAGTACAATAATCAACAGAAAACAGTTAGAATTTTCCTAACTCCAGAATTCTTCCAATCAAGAGTGAAGCATTCAAGATTTACTGACCTTTGCACATTCATTGCGGGCAAGATTCCAGTCAACTTCATGGAATGGTACATTGAAAAGTTCCTTTCTCAATGATAAAACTGTTGGGGTGATGGGACCAACAAACCTTTTCCCATACAAATAGGACATAGGCAAATAGACCATCCGGCAATGACACCACATCCTTCCTGCACAAAGAGGGAAATGGTGTTTCTATTTAATATGTGACAGAAAGCTACATGAAGTATTATGCCTTTAAGTTATGGCAAAAAATGAATGGAACTCAAAAAAGCATGTTACATATCCATTGTAACACAGGTTCCTCCGAGATGAGAATCGCAAGTCAATCTCAACTATCATAGTGTAGAACAATGGGCTTAAAACTTCCCAGTAGAAATAATGCACATTCTAACTCAGGTACTCAACCATCATAAAAACAAAAAAGTAGCTAACCTGGATGGATTGGGAGAATATAAGGAAGAAGCCATATCTCTGGGGGCAGGGGATTATTGCCAGACCAGTCAAAGACTCCAAGTACCTGTTCAATCAAACAGCAACACATGATATTCCATAAAGTAATAACTAAACACCACAAACAAAATGAACAAGCTCAAGTTAGTTACAAAACTGAAAGCCACATTTTCCCCCATGAGGTTATAGCAGTAGCTCCACCATGGTTCAAGATCCAGTCACGCCCTTTCTCCATCGCTCCTTCTCCGTCATTAGCTCCCTCACCAAGCAAGCGCAACGTTACATAAGTGAGAACGCTTCCAAACATGGTGCTAGGTCCCTCGATGTGTAAGCCCCACCCACCATCTTCATTCTGCAACATTTAAAATCTCGTAGTCCTAAGAACTGAGAAGATCCGGAAAGGGCATATAAACTGCAAATTACAATATGCTCATCATAAATCTCACACACCTGATGATTATAGAGGTACCGGCGCATCTCCCGCTTGTGTTCATCTGACAAAACTGCATTCAATGCCCCTGTCACGGACAGAGTAATTACCTGATTCATTGCATAAGCAGCAGAAGAAAAATTCAGTTCTTGATATCACAAAGCTAGTTTACTCAGACAGTATTTCGAATTAAACATAGCAGAAGAAGCAGTATACCAAACCGGGCATGAGAAACATAGGCCCTCCATAATCCCCTGGCCAGTGTCCATCATGAGCCTGGATCGTCGAGTAATAATCCAAAGCCCTTCTTAAAGTTCTTGTCACTGCCTCCTCTGTAACATCTTCTTTCTCTTTCACCGTCACTTGAGGCAACACATTAACCAGCGGATTCTCCTTTGCAAACTGCCAGGGCAAAGTAAAATCAACTATTTGACAACTGAGTGACCAATCAAAACACAGCAGAAGAAAAAGAAATGGCGGCAGAAACAAAGCAAATTCAAAAAAACTACTAGAACAGCCGTTGTGCAGCACCTGTTTGCGCATGAGGAGATCGGAGCTGTGCTTCTTGTGGAACCGATTCTTGTAGAAATCTTGACGAACTTGCTCAATCTCGGCGAGCTCCTCGGGAGATCCGAGCTTCGGATCGAACTCCCAGACTTGCCTTCCTACATGATCGTTCGTAGTCCTCAGCCATGGATTACTCCCTCCATCGGCTATCTTCAGCTTCCACATTCTGCTTCCACTTGATTATTCCCCCTCTCTCTCACACTCACCCAAAGATTCGCCGGCTGAAACGAAAACCGCAACCGGCGGAAGAATCGAAATCTACAGAATCCAAATTCCGATCGGCATTGCAGGAAATACAAATACAAGAAAGGAAAGGTGTCACTGTCAGCGAGAGAGTGTGAAACAGGATTGGGGGAAAACGGAAACTGCAGTTCACAGCAGGGAGATTAAATGCAGAAGGAAGGAAGGAAGGAAGAGAAATGCGAGGAGCACCTGGGTGATGGAGAGGGAAGCCCGCCTGGCTCAGCTTCACTGTTGGCACTTAGCAGTCGGTACTGAGTTGGAGTAGCCGCCGAGTTACGATAAGATACTGAGAGTTGTTTTTTTGACGTAACTATAAAAGAACGAATCGTGACTCGTGAGGTATGACTCGTGAGTTGATGGCGTGTGTGGATGAGATTTCAATTAATTTTTTTTATTTCAACAGATCTTTGTTCCTCGCCTCTTCCTTCTGTGTTCTCGAAATTTGCAACTCCTCCATGTGATCATGTCTCAATTAAATCATATCAAATTGTTATTTGGATCAGACCACATATTATGCATTTTGCTATTCATTTTCATGAACTAAACAAGATTAAATATGACATTGTTTCGTCTAATTCATGAATCTTCCAAATATAAAAAGAACAATGACAATTTTATTTAGTGTTGTACCTCAAATTTCCTTTACTTTTAGACTTGGTTTAATCTGATTCCTGTTGACACCCTTCCTTTCTTAAGAGGAAGATAACAATATGGTACGTCAAATTAGATCATACTAAAGAGATTATTCACATAAATAGATCTAATCAAATAAAATTGATTAGATTTTAATTTCATGAGTTAATTCGATTTTATCAACAACCCTTCTTATTGTTGTAAATATAAATGGGAAAATATATATGGTTGTGCCCTTCAATCCTTAAATAAGGACCATAAAAGTGGCCAAATTGTAATAAAGAGAATGTGGAATTGTATTCTCTAATACATGGATTTATGGAGGAATGATGAGTGATGATGGGATTTGATTATTGCCCCTAGTGCAGAAAGGCTTGGAATGATGAAAATGACACACAAAAGGGCTTTCCATTTGTAAGTTCTAAAGGCATCTCTTAGAAAGTGTTCTGCAAACTCATTTTAGATTGTGTTGAGAATTGAGAATGTGGAATAGAAAAGTTGGTCTTGTTTTTAGTTACTCAGTATTTTGAGTGTTTATATCTTCATTTAAGTGATGATTTTGTAAAACATTTTAGGTTATATCTTCATCTAATTGATAATTCTGTAAAACATTATCGGGCGTTCCTGCAAATTAATTGTAGCATGTGTTGAAATTTGATAGAACGTTATCAATTTGAAAGTTATCCTTCCGTAAATGATCCTAGGTCAACCATTACTATAGAAAAAATGTCAATAACTATTAATCACTATATATGTCTCGTTTCTTAAGAGGAATAACTGATCAAGTTTTTCTAAAGAAATCAATTAAGAAGGAGCCCCATAAGCAATTGCATAAAAAATAAGAGAGGGAACAATCATGATCAGTCAATTGGACCAAATCAAATCTAGCAACTGATGTATTAATGAACGATTAGATTGCAAATTAGGACGTCTATCCCCTGCCCACACCAAGTCACCAACCAAATCAACGACCCATGGGCCACGACTCCAAAAACAATAATAATAAATCAACGAACCGCAAATGAGATCAACATACATAGATCAAACCAAATTTGATTTTACATTGTAAAATATATTAAAACAGTTTGATAAAAAACACTCATCCACGTTAGCTTTGAACACTTTTTTCGAATTTTATTCATTTACTCTTTTTATTAAATTTTTGTGTTACTTTTTCCGTAACATTCTAAATCATTTTTCAACAAGATATAGTTCGCTTTGAGTCTAAATGTTCATGAATTTTGCCTTGGAGTGCATACCAACGTGACCTCCCATAAGATCCCCACCATTGTAGTGTTCTACAGTTAGCACGTTTAACTTAAGAATTCTTATAAGGGCTCTTCCATTTTCACCAAAATATGTATTATCGGTTAAGACCGGTTTCTTACTTATGAATATGAATCATGGATCATTTTTGTACTTTGTTGATATATGATTTGTGTTACATTTTATCCCTTTCTATTTGTACGGGTAGTAATATTACCTTTTTTATAAGTGTTGTTTCTTTTGAATTGTTATGTGTAGTATTTTTGTAAATGTGATTGATTTTTTCTTTCATTATTTATCATATTTTTTTAATACCAAAATTTCTTTCCAACATTTAAATTTAAGAAAAAAATCTTTAATCGAAATGCTGGAAAAAATTGGTATGATAAAAAATATGTTAAATAATGAAATGAAAATACATCCCATTTATAAAAAATAAAAAAAAACTTTACATAACAATTAGTCTCAATTCTCAATTGGATCTGATTTTCGACCGGATTCCCCACCCTTTCTTCCTCCATTTAATGGGCTATTTATTAATTGATGGGAAGGATTGTTGGGGCTACGACGTCCCATAGCCAATTTATTTCTTTTGGGACCTCCACAAGACCATTTTATGGTTTTTGTTTCGCCATTTTTGTCAATTATTTGTGTTCCTAGACTGGTAAGTGGTAAGCAGCATTCTAGTTACCCTTTCTCTAGACCAATCAGTTAATCTAGGTAGTCCTCGATTTCCCTCTTGGAGTAGCTGTGGTTTTTCTTCTTCTTCAGAAAGAAAGAAAGTAAGCCAATCCAGATTCAGAAAGGATGGTATCAGATCAATTGTCAATATACGCTTTACCTGGAGGAAGGAGCAGCTAGAGCAATGAAGGAGGAGTATGCTCAGTTCTGGTGCAGGGTAATACACCTACAATTCCTGCATCCCATACGAACAAAAATAGTCGATGCCAACACCAATTAACGAAAAAATTTCTGCAACAGATACGGTTTTTAGAAGATATCAACACAGTTATATCCACAACGTAACATACTTAATGCAAAGCACCACCACCTCCACTAATTTGATAACATTTCAGACTACTCAAACTTGGACAAGAATTTCCCTCTCCAGCCAACTACAACAACGGAAACTCAGATAAACATGCATCATGCATGGGAAATACAGCTTGCACCATTTCTGCACTTAACTTCCTCTCTTTTGCTCAACTTCCAACTGTTTCTTTCTTTATTTCCAGTCCCCCACACGTCTAAGATGTGGCCAAAGATGGGTTGTCTCAATTTCCATTGACAAGGAAAGTTCAAGACTACACAAAACTTGTAAGGTTCACCATAAAGTTGCATATAAAGGCTGCAGAAATTTTACCACTAGTCTGTACAAGCAAAGACTACTTCCAACCAACTTGCATCCACATCCGGCTTTACCTCGGGTTCAACATTACACAGGGGGGATGAAAGAATTCACACGGTAATAGTATGTAAAACGTAAAGGTGAAAGCTTGGCATGTGTAAACAACAATTTTACAGAGACTGGCCTTTGGAGCAGTTAGGGCAGTGGAAGTGGCCCTTGGCTCTGCATTTACTACATTTCACCCGGTTCACTTCTGTCTCGCCACCAACCGACTGATACAAGTCATCCAAGAAAGTAAATGGCGCGCCACCTGCTTTGGCCAATCCAGTTCCTTTGCAGGTTGAGCATGCTACCATCTTTAAGTCCCCACATTTTCTGCACATCCCCAGAGAACTGCAAAAGGCAGAGATCAGTACAAAAGTTCACCGATTTGCTAGGCACCATGAAACACAGCTTCTGCATTGCACATCTTTGTGAATCATCTGATTTTGCAATGCAGCCGAAATGAAGTGGTTACTAAGGAGACTGACTGACTATAGCTTCATTTCTACTTTTGGGTTATATATTGTCTGTGACTTGAATAAGATTGATCCGAATCATAATGGACTAAGGTCCTAGTTCAGTCACGAGTCCAAATACTATGCTCATTGTAGATTAACAGCTGGAATCCTAGCCTTGACTGATATCTCCTATTGACAATTGGTTTGGAACTTTGGATGATGGAGAAATGTGGAAAGATCGAACATTCTTATTGTTGATGCGCTAATTTCAAGTGAAATAAAAGTGAAGGTTTCTCTAAAATGTCTCAACACATCGTACAAAATTTGCAACCAACCAATGGAATATCTGAAATTCACTTCTTTCACATTCCAAGAAATCTACTATCCCTAAGAATTGTACACATATTATATGGATCGTCATTCCGCAAACCAGACAACCAGTTGCTCTAGGAAGACTGGAAGAGTAAGCAGAGGAAGTTGGGAAATGTCAGGAATGACTTCAATAGAAGCTTGAATATGAAACAATGCAGGGGAAAAGAGGCGACCTTTGGATAGAACAGAAGAGTGAGGGAGTTTGGGGTCTTTCACAAACCTTCTCTGGGAAGAAGAGATGAGGGAGTCGATTTTCGGAGCAGCGACGGTGGCGAGTACAAGGAATGCTCCGACCCCAAGTCCGGCCACTTCGCTTGCCGTTATGTTCTCCATCTCCTCCACCACTTCTCTGTTACCTCTAGTCGCCGCCGACGATGAATGATTAATCAGCTTATCCCTTTAGCCATGGATATTACTGGGTGGAGAGAGCTTGAATTTCAGATTCCACAAATGGGCCCAGGAGCCCAACAGAGAAAGGCCCAACCATTTCCCCTTCTCCAAGGATCCAAATCCCACTTTCAACTCGTCACTCGCTCTCGGCCCCTGGCTCTTCCCCGTCCGCCGTAGCTCTCCACAATCTCCGCCGCCGTAGCAGCAGCGACTGAACGAAGGCCGAAGATCTCGTCACTTGCTCTCGGCTTATCTTCCCCGTCTGCCGCAGCTCTCCCAATCTCCACCGCTGCAGTATCAGCAGCGACTGAACGAAGGCTGAAGATCGACGCAGCCTCGCCACCTCCGCCTGATTCAACAATCAAGTAACGCCCTTTTCCTCTTCTAGGTTTTCTTTTTAAGATTTGACTGAGGATAACGTGATCTGGTTAGTTGCTTGAACTTACATATACATGATCCGACTTCAGTACATCAACAGCTGGTAGGATTGGGGGTTTTGGTTTGGAGTTCAATTGGGGCTTTTTTGAAGTTCTAGTAATGGCTTGCTTTCTTGTAATTGTTGTGATGGAAGTCCAATACAAAGGCAGAACACTCGTTCTAGGGTCTACTACTCTTTCTTTAACTTCATTCTTAAAGCAGAAGAAGCTCTGCTGGTCTGAAGTTACAACCCAAAAAAGACTCGATCTTTAATTTCCTTTCTCCATAGAATTGCTCCTGGATGAACTAAAACATTGTGTTAAGCTATAGAAAACATCCCTTGTTTGAGTTTGAGGTGTGACTAAGGTACTAACTAATAGGGAATTCCCCATTCCTTTGTTTCCTTCCCTAGAAAGAGAAGTTGAAGCAGGCAATTAGAGGGAACGAGATGGCTACTGAACAGAAAGGAGTTGATGATGAGCAGCAGGCTCAGGCCGTGGTGACGAATGGCGCTTCCTCTGGTGGTTTTCAAGGGAGAGTGTTGGATCAGTATCGAAAGCTAAAAGAGCATGCAGAAGCTTACCCTTATGTGTGGGGTTCCTACATTGTTGTGTACGGTGGGTTTGGCCTCTATCTCACCTACAGATGGAGGAAGCTCCGGCAGACCGAGGACAGAGTTCGGGGTCTTCAGGAAAGGCTTCGCAAGCTCGCTCAAACTCAAGACTCTGCTACTGCTGCATCATCTTCCTCTGCAACATCGTCGTCATCATCGTCAGCCACCACTAAAGCCACTTCCAAATAGCTAGCCAACCTATCCAGAGAACTACTTGGTTTTGGTGAAGTGGAGCCAACTTCCACAAGGTAAACAACTCCTTAATCGGAATTAGTTATAGTCTTTTCTTTAGTTAGGAGGATTCAGTCCATTCAGGAGGGGCTTGGCCTTCTTTTCGGTTCAAAGTAACCATACCATGTATACAACATGCAATTGGAGAGATGAATGAAAGTTTAAAGCTTATTGGTTCTTCTGTTCCAGGCTTCCTGGCTCCAGCCCATTTCTATGTTATACTTTCTTCAAATTTATCTAGTAGCTAACTGTATTGTGACGTTTCATTGCTGGTGGTGAAACGTTGACCTCATTGTACATAATTCAGCAGAGCTTAAACTCTTTGCTTCAGGAGCTGGGCATCCTTTTTTTTCTTTTATATATGGTTTTTACTTTTTGCTTTGGATCTGGGGAAAAGGGACCAAGAAACTAATCAAAATAGCAACCCAGATTTTCAGGGAATCCTTACTTGATTTGGACTCCTCAGAAAGCTAAGTGAAAACCAAAGTGATAACTTTTGACTCTTCAACTTACTGCTCCGTGACTTGGATTACAAGGCAACAACTATAGGAACCTTGCAAATTCAGGTACCACAAGTTTCAATGTCTTACTTTTCGGTACCTGGTATTTTACTTTTTTTCTTCTTTTGTGAACCCCAAGGAGATTGTATTTTCTAGTTCAGGCCTCTTACCTATCCTTCCAAGCAAAACCGCAGTGCATTGGGAAGTACAAAATTCAGATCCTAAGTTGCATTCAGAACAGTTTTGTTATAGACTAAAAGAAAGCTTCAAGTATCAACTAAAATTCAGCTGTAATGGCTGCAGTTTGGTGTTCACCATCAAACTGAAAATGATCTCCCAACGTTAATAAATGCTTCATCCTTTATTCAACAAAAGAATTACAATTAACCAATGGGCCAAAAATCAGCACACCACCAAACAGCACTAGAACCAAGGCTGTAATTCCAATTAGCTCTCTTTCTCTCTCTTTACAAAGAAAATATGTTACACATAACAGGAACCATTTTGTATTTGTATACATATATACACATTTCTCCATACATTTTTCTTTTAAGCTACCTCAATGCCTTCATTCTTCTTACTCTGAACTTCAGTGTCAAGGAAGCTTAACAGAGCTATTGACTTCCTATTCCTTGCCCTTCCTGCTTCCTTCAGCAGCTCAGCCAGCCGTCGCTTCTCGTCCACCACTTCTGGATTAGCTGTTCCAAGCTTCTGCTCCCTCATTCTAACAACTTGGTCTAGAATCTCAATTGCATCATCCAACCTGTGAACCAAAATCTGAAAACTTTAGAATGCTTTTGTATTGAATGTTGTTAGAACCGCTATTTAAATCATAAAGACACTCACCTTCCCATAGCATCATAAGTTCCAGCCAGATTGCTGTAGACAGCCAAAGTGTCAGCATGATAAGCACCATACTCCTTCTCCAAAACTCCCCTCGCCTCCTCGAACAGCTCAGCTGCCTCGTTGATCGCATAACGTTGTACACAAGCCAACCCCATCTGGTTCAAAGCAATCCCAAACATGGCAGACTTCTTCTCCCCGCTCGCCCTCATCTTCGAAACAGCGCTTTTGAACGAGTTATACGACTCAGAGAACTCCCCCATCATGTAATGCATAACACCAATCTGAGCTTCGATCCCAGCCACAGTACTCTGCTGTCCCGGCACATCATCTCCATACACCTTCAGTGCCTTTCTGAGCAGCCTAATTGCCTGATCAAGCTCGTCCATCGACTGGTAAATGGCTGCAATGTCGATGAAACCACTCGCCACCTCCTCCACTTGATGGTAGTTAGGCCTAATCTCGTAAATCTTGAGAGCATTCTGACATTGAGTCTTCGACTCCTTAAACTTACCTATCTTGTTGTACAAGTTACCCAGCTTCACCAGAACGGATGCCACTGAGGTGCTGCTCTCTCCTTTCTTCAATTTGAACGTGGCGAGCGCCTTCTGATATGCGAACACAGCCTCGTCGTAGCGCGACAGCGACAAGTACGCGTCACCAATGCTGCAATCCACTGAAGCTACTTCCACTTCCCGTCCATTCGCAGCCATAGACATGCTTGCTAGAACATAATGCTCGAGGGCAGATTCATAATCTCCCCTCGCCTCGCAGATCAGCCCCATCAACTTCCTATCCGCTGCTTCCTCCTCTGGCCCTCTGTGAATGTCGAGCGCCATCTGGCATACGTTGGCAGCCTCATCGAACTGCAATGCTTGAACGTGAGCCTCGGCGAGATACCTACACGTCTCACCAACACGTGGATCCTTGTCCCCCAAGGATTGCTTCTGAATCTCCAATCCAGCAGTGTAGCAGAGGATCGAGTTCTCTACCTGGCCCAGCATTGCATAGGTGTCACCCAACTGCATGCAGCCGGCAAACTTGGCCAGAGCGTGGTCCAGCCCCAAATCAATGGCCGGGATTTGGATTGACTTCTCCAGAACCGGGATTCCCTCGTTGTAGTTCCCCAAGCTGCAGTGGATGGCTGCTAGAACGTGGAGCGACATGACATGTTCCAAATTTGGTGTCTCGTTTGAAGATGATTCGAACGACTTTGCTGCTTTCAGGGCATACACGAGAGCCCGCCTCGGGTTCTCGCCTGAGGAAATCATGTCTCTTGCTTGTTTGAGCAACAAAGGCCCATTATTAGCTGCAACATTTTCAGCAACAGATGTAGCAAGTCTCCTTGGGCTGCGAAAAGGACTAGTTCCATTTGGAGGTGGCTTTCTAAGGAAAGCTCTTTTCTTCCTGGAAGATTCTGTTTGCTGATTATAGATTCTCCTCTCCTTGCCTGAATTGTGATTCTCGTCAACAGCCACATTGTTGACTTTTCTGATGATCTCTTCTCGTTCTTGTTCTTCTTCTGTGTTCTTCTCTGTCACAACAACGACCTCTTTTGTGATCTCCTTCATGTTTGGAATCCCGATGAGGTGGCAGAGTTCTGAATCGATCCTCGATTCTTCGCCATAGGACAAGAAGCTCCCTCTTGAAGGGGAAGGGTCAGAGCACTGCATCTCGCAGACATTGTGATACAGCTGCTCTATTGAAGTGTCGATCACCCCGTCCATGGCTAGGTCAATAGAGTCGCTGCTGCGTTGGCTCAACGTGCTCCTTGGCGACTTCTGCTGCTGGCTGAAGCCGAGAATTGCCTTGTTTGGAGAGAAGTCGCCATTGTTGTTGTTGTTGCTGCTGTGGCCACCATTTGGTACTTCTTCTGAACCACCCATGATGGCTAGCCCTGGCATTTCTGTCAAGGTTTCGAACTTTCTGAAACATCAGCAGAAATTATCAAATCGGTTTATGAATTGAGACACAATTTAGTAAGGTATGCAGAGAAATGACACGTAAAGAAGAACCCAGAACAGAATTGCAGTTCAAGAACAAACAACTCATACCTTTTCTTCCCCCTTTCTGGTTTTCTTAGATGTATGAATCTCCTTTTTGTGATTCTGTGTGAAATTGTTACATGTATGTACAGAAGGTATATGAGGAGAGGGGGGACGAAGATGGAGGTGGGTGAATGGGCAAGTTATGTGCGTGTGTTGTGGGGGTGTTGTTGTTGAGGTTTGGAGTTACTTATATATAAGCTAACAGAACACATGGAAGGAAGATGAAGGAAAGTGGCATTAAGTTAATACAAGAAAAGAAAGTTGTTCTTGGAAGGATTTTATACATATAGGTTTGGGCAGATTATAAAATGGGAATATATTTATGATGTATATGTGTATGTAATGGATGTATTGGATGAATAAGGTGTGGGGTTGCATAAAGGTGGAGTATTGAAGCAATGAGAGGAAGGCGACTTCTCTCCAACTTACTTCCTTCCTTCGTCTCTTTCTTTCTCTCTCTCCTCGTCTCCCCAGGTCTTTATCTTCATATTTCTAAATACATCAATTGATGAAAACTTCAACTATAATAATACCAAAGTCAAGTGGGGTTTAGTGTGGGTTTATAGAACATTTGAATTATGAGTGAACGATCTAGTCTTAGTAAAAGTTAGTTTATGATGGTATGCAATAGCAAAACGTGAGAGTTCTTGGATCTTAGCAGTGCTCTAGCTTAGCTCCTACAGCTAGCATAGCAAAACGTGAAGTTCCAAATCTATGCTTACAGTTATGAAGCTAGCTAGACAGGAACACGATCCATCTCTTCACGGTAAAGAAAGGAATGGAATGATAGATGAAACAAAAGTTTTCGGTTCGATTAACCTGTCCGTCGGGATTCATGACAAGAGAGAAAGCCATTCCGAGGGGGAAATCGGCGCGATTAACGGCTTTTTAACTGAAAAGAAACAGAATATAGGCAAACGTGACAGTGGACAACAAAGTACACAACGTGAAGGCTTAATGACAGCCGTACACGTGGACCGTGAATTTTATTTTGTCTCGTCATTTTCACGGAGTCCGTTCCTACGGCTCGTCTGAACTTTCCCGATAAGCGGGGTCCACGTGGACCACAAGAACTTATGCCAGCTGTCTGCGGCTGCACATTACTCAGCATTTGTTCCCATACCCTCCTTAGTTGTGGTCCATGGTGGGACGGCGGCCGCCGGCGCTAATGTGCGTACTAGTTATGGGGCGCCGGCCGTCCAATATGGAGATCGACGGCGGTTTCTGTAGTAGGAAAATTCCTGCAACTTGAACGTTTTGTGGCGCTATGTACACGTGGCAAACCGCTCTCTCGAGTAATCACTAGTTGGGTGATGGAGGATGAACTTGAAGTATAACTTAATCAGTAATATTAGCAGCGTAGCTATTAGTGGTTTTCAGCGTCATTATATATTGATTAAGGTTAAGATGTTTGATAATCTCGATCTCATTTCTCTATTCTCCTTCTTCCCTGTGTTTGTTATTCATCATCACTCGAGGTTGAACAACTATTAATGATCGATTAAAATACATGTTGAACTTAACTTTTCTTTGTTAGCAACATCAATTATTCTTACTCGAATATGCTATTGCGCTTTGTATGTTGTAAATCGTTATTCAATGGTTAACTAAACAAGTTGTGGGGGAAATCTTTTTCCGTATATGCATATCAAGTGAGTTTATAAGAACTGATTGTATCCATGAGCGAATCTCAAGTTGTAATGGTTTTGAATGAAATTTAACATGGAACACAAAAAAATCTTCTCAACTCGTATTCTTAAACCTTTCTTTTATATATATAAGAAGGAGTTGAAACTGAGATGATAGCTAGTCGTAACCTTCATTTATGTTTGTCTTAGGGCGGTGTTGAAGCAAAACCTTCGAACTGACCTAAAACTCTTAACGATCTTAAGAATTTTATTGTCAAATAAATATCAAAGTTCATCACTTTCTTATTGTGAACTCCTACGCAAATTAAAAATCTAGTCAACTCTAATTTGCAATTTGTATTTGTGAATTAGAATTGATTCCATCCAAACACGAAATTGACAATTCAAACATTTTTTCTCCTATTTTGGTTGCTAGAATTGATAGCTCATGGACATACATATATGTGATCCAAATTGAATTCATCCCGAATCATGCAAGGTTGGCCGATAAAAATTGATGATTGCCATCAAACTTAACATGACTACTCCCATTACCTCTCTTTATCATTCCCCTCCGGCAGTTGCTACTAATATTTCAGACCAATTATGACATAGTATTAATGGAGGAGGAACAAACTTCTTGTATTCTCATGACTGACCTGAGTTGATATCAAATAGGTACAAATTAAATTAGAGATATATATCAAATAAGAAGGAATAGTGAAAAGGAAGAAGAAGAAAATAATGAGATAGAGACATTATTAGCAAAATGTTTGAATAAATATTCTTTGCTTCTGTTTTGTCCCCATATATATAAAAAATCAAATCACAAATCCGCCTAGGGTCAGGAAATCAACTAGAAAGAAAACCCACACGAGCACAAAACTCAATTGGTTGACAAGACCCAAAGGACGAATATTGTTGGACGATGTCAATAATTTCCTCATTATTATCTCCATGAAACTATTCTTTGTGGTTCTGATAACAATATATAATAGATAATATTAGTGCATGCATACAGCATTTATAAATCAATAAGACAGTATTATTGTTAATTATTGATGAATTATGATTGATTGATCTCGACCAAAAGCATATATTCCGACGGTGCAAATGCAAATGCAAATGCAAATGCAAATGCAAATGCAAATGCAAATACAGCTCTTTTATATATGTCCTTGGAGCTTGGTGGTTAGTCGACTTAATTCAGGGCTTAATGTATCAGGGCCCGGTTTCAATGTTAGGTATAGGAATTTAATTAGGGCTTAATAAACTTTGCAACGCCGAACTCAACCTACTAATTAATTATCATCCATTGCCGGAGGACATGCTTAAGATAACTGGATTATAGTAGTTGGGTGGTGGTGCCCTTTGAGCTGACAAGAAACGGAAATGATTAAGACAAGACAAAACTTCCAATAATTAGCATTAGCTAGGGATATGTAATGATATATATGTTCTAAACAAAAAAGGTATAGTTGAAAAGGCAAGTGTAAATGATAAAAGATACCGCGTATCGTAATGGTGAGTATTGACTTTATTAGAGACATAGAATTGTATCGCATTGTTTGATTTAGAGACATGCTGCATGGGTAGAGTTCAACTTGTTGACACCTACTATGCAATTTAACGACTTTAGAGCAGAGGTGGGAGCGACCGCCAACATGCAACATTCATTCACAAATTCAAGGATTTGCTCAAACACGATTAGAATGTGATTATTCTCATATTATTGAGAGGGAAAGAAGTATACATGTACCTTATTAGTTAAGATAATTCATGTCATTGTATTGTGTTAGTCAATCTTTTACTTGATCATGAAATGTCTTACGACTCAAAAATTCAGTTATATATACTAATAATAATAATAATAATAATAATAATAATAATAATAATAATAATAAAGAAGGTAGGATTGGTCTTGAAAATTATGTTCCTTAACATATCCTTAAGAATTGAAGAGAAAGAAGAAAATGATTGAGAGGGTGACTAAGCATTCTCGAAGGTGAAAGAATCTGGAGTTGATAAAGCAAGGGTGAAGGGACTAAGGTTGATTAGAAGAAGGGTAGGTGTTCCAGCAATTCAATGATGGAGAATCCATACCCAACAAATCAACACATAAAATATATATTTGTTGTTTGTATGTGTATCAATGCCTCATCACAACAGCAAGAACAATGACAGTCCAATTTCACACCCCTCAAACCAATAATGTGCCCTAAATTTTAGGGTAAGGAACCATCCCAAATTTGGTACATCTTTATGCGGGGTATTATTTGGACGCAACACTGGTATGTCTTGTGGGTTTCCACTTCTTTTTGCGTGTCATCGTCGGTGGTCAAATACGGCCATCTATTTCATGGCAAAATAAGTTTTCCAAATGATAACGTTGACTGATCATAAGACTGTATTTTGGGTGTGGTGCTAAAATCGTTATTGTAGGTTTTCGGAATAATTTTCTAGTATAACATATTTTTACTTGGAGAGTTATGAACGGCTTAGGATGATTTTCTCGTAGTTTTAAATCTTTTCTTCAAGTAGTGACCCTCAGAAGTGACTATGAATTTGTGATTAATCAGCTCGTTTGTGAAATGAAATTAGAGATGTGGCTGACTATGAGCTGTGTTTGGTCGATTGGTTTTGTGAGGGCTTTCAGGCTTCATACTCCCTTAAATTGCTGACCTTTCTTGATCAATTGGGGAGTTGGGGTAAAAGAAAAGAAAAGGCTTGAACTTGCGCTCCACAGTCCATAATAGGCGGCTTTTTCCTACCCCAACTGGGCCGGACATATAGCGAGGGCATGAGCCTAGACATTTCAGTTTCCCAGCTCAGGCTTAAAGCGATTAAAGCACCGTGGCCCATATTTAGAGATCAGTGTGGCATGATATTCCGTCATAACCACTGGAGGAACATATTTAGAGATCAACGAAAGTTGCAGTTATTTCAGTACTGTGTTTTTTTTTAAAAATTTTCATAGATATCATTATTTATGTAAATATAAAATGAGTAACATAAATAAATATGTCCAATTCTTTTCGTAGTACGTTATTTCATTAGACATTTACTCTGGTGCAATATGAAAGCATAATTGCAACACTTCTCAAAAGATTTTTGTATATCTCTTGTGGAGCAAAGCACGTACGTACGTATATATGGCAAAATGGGGTGGAGGAGGATTTGAAGCCTTGGCGTTCTTGGTCACAATTCAAAGGACTGCACATGATGAGTTTTGTCTCCTTTCTTTCAATCCTTTTTCCCTCTTTGTATATCTTTCGATAAAAGGTGTAAGGTTCGCACTTCTCTGACTTTTCCTTTTTGCTTGTTCATTCACTTTGCATCATTGGTGTACAACGGCTTTGACTTTGGAATAGTTGGATTCCTTCTCAAAATCGCAGTGAAGATCGGGGAGGAATTACGTGGATAACCCTTCCTCTACATAATTATACTATGAATGTAATGTATCCTAGATTCCTAGTGTGCCAACATCATAAAATATCGTGTCATCAGTGGCGTAGCAAAAAATATTGCTAAGATGGGTAAAAATAAAAAATACTTGAGAAGAGAAGGAGAAGGCATATTGAAAGTTTTTTTTTGTTTATAAATGATTTTTTGTTTAAAAATTAATTAAATATTTGTAAGTGAAATACTTGTGAATCTATACTTGATATGGTACTAGAGCCGATTTGATCAATTTTTAGTTTGTTCAAATCTCCGCAACTCTTAATATTAACTGTTGATTTTAAACACAAGGTATGGTGGCCGGCCATGTCATATATGCGAATTTCAAGCTCGATAGCGGAATTCCGTTTTGAGGAGATTTGTAAAAGACTAAGAGAGTGATATAAGATCTATGATTGACCTTCTCCCAGAAATTTGAGTTATTAGAACCCAACGATTTATGATAGAACGAGATTAAAGCATATAATGACTATTGACTGCTATTAGTAAATTACAGATTGATACACCATTAGGTACGATATAATATGTACAGACTACAAAATAACTCAAATGTAAATGGGTTGTATCTAAACCATCCCAAAATTTTAATGTCCACACAAGTCTTACAAGTCCTTCTCCAACAGTCCAAAGAATAAATGCCACAGTACAGAGACTTTGGTCTTCCGTGGCCTTGTAGTACCCAAAAAGACACAAGAAACTACTATGAACAGCATGCACCACACACCACTTTGACCAGAAAGAAAGAAAAATCACGACAACTGCCAATCATTGGGACAATTTTGGACGTGTTACGTGCACTCTGGAATTAGTATCAAAGCTAGCTATATAAGATCGGGCGCTACAACATCCTCGACTCAAATACAACACTACGGTTGTGTAAATGGCTCGTATCAAGATAAAGATGATTTACAAATGCAGAGTATCTGATATTTTTTCTTTTTTCCATATGGGTGTATGTTGTTCTTCGTAATAGGGTTACTTAGCCCTGTAAAATTATGTATTGATTAACTATCTTGTAAATTGAATTGAATATTATAAGATTGTTATTTGTACATCTTTTAATAACTCGAACTATTACAAACAATTGAATGAAAACAAACCATAACCAAAACCTGCAACCGTGTGGGAAAAAGGAGTCATGGGTATCAAAAGGAACATCCCATTCATTGATTGGTGTGGATTATTCCTCCAGGGATGATGCTATTGGACCTCAAGATGTCCCTTCTTCAATAATGGCAGTCAAACGTTCAACATGGAAAGAAAAGGGAGGAATCTAGCCAAAACGGCCCACTCCGTATAAACAACAAAGTAAAGAGGTCCTTTTTCTGAAAGGAGGTGGGAAAAAGTCAGCCTTCCACTCCCTCCTCATCCGAGATTCTCCAAACAGTGCCTACAACTCATACTGGGCCAAGGGAACGAAAGAAAAACAAGGAAAGGGGAGATGACGATGATAAGCTGCCTGCTACTTCTTGTCTGCAGCTATGTTTCTTTTTTTCCGCCTTTACCAAAAGCATATGGTTCGATTAAAGCCAAGAGCCCATCCAAACTATTTATGCTGCAGCTCCACTACCACTAGCATGCCATTTCCACGTTAGTGTTGTAACCTCACCAGTCACCAGACAGTTGCTAACTACTTACTGAACCATGTTGTGTTGTTTATGTTTTACTGGGGTTAGGGCGTTTTTACTATTTACACGCTAATGATTGTTGGATTTCATGTTTTACGATCCACAACCATCGTGGAGTACGCATGGTGGAGCAATCCAACAATCATGAATTGCAAAAATAAGCAATCCAATGGTGTTGTGGATCACACTAGAACATCATAACCTCAATGAACATTAGATGTTTTCTACTATGCATAATGTTTCACAAGCTTCTCCTACACAAAAAAGTATCTAAAACAGGGCTTTATTCTTCTATCTCTACGCAAATCCTGATCGAAGTGCCAAGTTTAAGTGTTGGTTCTTGGGAGCATCTAGGATATAGGACTGCACTGCAAGAATATCAGCCTCCACACACTCAAAGGGAGAAGAAGAGAAAAAAAGCAAGGATATAGCATCACCATTAACCGAAAGAATTAAAGAACGTGTGGAAAGCATAAAGAAAACTTATAATCATGCAAGTGGCTGTTATTTAGGGGGAAAAACCCACTTACAGGATATGCACTGCCTCTCTGCTTTAGGAAGATTGTCATATATCGTTCCCTTATCAGCAAAGCCCCATGTAAAATAATTAGATTCCTTCCACTTTTCACCTATATCCTCTGCCCTGCTACATGTAGCTTTTTTCCTCCCTAGTCTTCCTTTCCTTCAAGGATATGCAAGAAAAGGGCGGGGAATCGACTTGGGTGGAAATGGAATACCTTTCATTCTGCATATTCCACCTTTTGCTACCTAGAAAACAAAAAGAAAGTCAAAACAGTATATGGAAGAGGATCATTCTGGCTTGAGTAGTGGGCCCAAAGAAGATTGAGATCACCATGAATGTTAAAGGCATTGTAGGATGATGATGTAATAAACAGTGATGTTTCGACGGAAAGAGGCCTCTTCCTCCCAAGTTCAGCAAAATGCACTTTTATCACGTAGCAGATAGATACAAAAAAGAGAGAATATCGCACAAGAATGCATGCATGATAATGGCCACAAGAGGAATCATCTCTATGTTGTACTTGGAAGAAACCCTTTTTTCCCTGCCAATATAAATATCCTTCTTGCTCCTGACTATTTCCCACAAGCTCTCTCCACTCTCAAACCAGCATTTATAATATTGAAAAGTTAATAAACCAGTTTCTTCACCAATCAAAACAATCCCTATGGACTACAGATATGAGTCATCTGAGAACTCGAGGTTCCCGTCTTTCCTTTTTCACTCTGTAAATGCACATGCACATTTACAATCACATAGTTGTTTGAATTCATGATCTCATAATGAATCGATTTGTGTATTTCCAACAGTGGCAGGAACAAGTGTGCGGCATGCTTTAGGCAGTTCAACAAAATGGAGCACCTGGTGGATCACATGAGGACCTCCTTCCACTCTGTGCATGAATCCAAGTGTGGGATCTGTAGGAAGCACTGCAGATCCTTTGAGTCCCTCAGGGAACATCTTATCGGTAAATTTCGGAAGGACCCTCTAAACATGGTATACAACTCCCTCTATGGTATGGTTTCCTTGGATGAGGTATTTACATGCCAGACTGGGTTTTCCAGGACCATTGCCTAAACAAGAATGCAAGAACATCTTCAATGTCAGAGGATGCAGATATTGCTTAACCATTCTCGAAAGCTCAAATGCCCGCAGGGTTCACCAAGAAAGATGCCAATTCTCTAATGTTAATGTGGTAATGTGAAAAGCTTTCACGAAACTTAATTAGTTTATCCCCCTCTTCAATTTCATCTTCTTCTTATTACGTATTCTATAGTTAGTGAAGTTTTTTCCGGATGATATCTCATGCTACAGCTCTTTCCTCAGGGACTAGTTGCTCGAATGTCTACTCTAGGCATGCGAGACAGCTTGAATATTGACAATGGCTACTCCAGAGGAACACAAGTAGTTTCACTGGCCTGCAAGATGGTTGGAGGAGGAAGTGATGGCTCCCTCGACCTTTGCGGGAGGGTTTGTCTCATTGATGAAAATGAGAATATCCTTTTCCATTGTTATGTCAAACCACTGATTCCAGTCACTAATTACAGGTATGATCAAATCATCTAGTGACTTTCTTAACTATTATATGGTGAATATTCTGGTCAAAAGCTGCATCTATGAGCTTTCTAGTGTTCAAAAAGCAGCACTAACAATCATGATTCTTGCAAAAAACTTTCTAGGTATGACACCACAGGGATAAGGCCAGAATACCTGAGGGACGCAATGCCACTACGCCAAGTCCAAAAGAAGATTCAAGATTTCCTCTGCAATGGAGAGCCTATGTGGAAAGTCAAACCTAGAGGGGGAAGGGCTAGGATTCTTGTGGGTCATGGCTTGGACCACGACCTTAACCGTCTGCAAGTGGAATATCCAGCTGCGATGATCAGGTATAAAGCTTTACATTCAAACATGACTTTTCCTAGCTAGCTAGATGCTTGAATTATATCTCAGTGTTCCTCCTACAAAGTGGGATTGGCTGACCATGAAATATCCTGTCTGGAATAAATTAATGGATGGAATGATGTAACTACACAGGGATACATCAAAGTACCCTCCATTAATGAAGACAAGCAAGCTCAGCAACTCACTTAAGTACCTAACACAAGCCTATCTTGGGTAAGTATTTGATTGATGCCTTTAACATATCCTAAGTTGTTTGCTATGATGAAACCTTGTTCTTAGCTGGTCTAACATGTCCATTTGTAGGTATGATATTCAAACCGGGATCCAGGAGCCATTTGAAGATTGTGTGGCAACAATGAGACTGTATACTAGAATGAGATCCCAGCGACATGGCGCAGAAGATTACCCACTTGCCTCAGACCCACAGAACCGAAACAACCTCGCCGCATGGAGGCAAAGTGAGCTGGAGAGGATGAGCCCAGAAGGTCTACTGGCATTGTCCAGATCAGACTTCTACTGTTGGTGCTTGGATTCCTGAGCTATTTCAAACACCGCTAAAATCGATTAAGAACCTAAGCAGAGACGTATTCGTGGAAAAAGAACACGAGTTCTTTTTTCTCCTCCACCCCCTTTCTGACAAAAGTGTGGCAACCTAAGAATATATTATTCATGAGTATGTCCTCCCAATAGGAGATACATTTATGTTCTTGTGTTCTGTATGCATTCTATGTTAGTATGTAAGCTATTTCAATAAATCGAGACTTATTGAAGTTGTTCCATCTATTCCTAAACTGAATCAGCAAAAGTGCAACTGAGTGAAGCTCCTCACACAAACAATAACACAAACACACGACAGGTATGCTTCCACATGATGCTCGACCTTCTCAGAAAAAACACTAACGCCGAAGCAAATGAGGCGAATAATCACGCTATAGAAACCGATTCAAATCCAACAGATTCTAGTGAGCTAAACATTTGATGCATATAGCATCAGAACTTAGAATCTCGATTCTTTCAAGCAAGCAAACAAACAGACAGCAAAATTGATCAAGCTAGGATGAAAATGATTGACCTCTGTGTACCTTTTTCATCAGGGGATCGAGGCGATACTGCTATTCGATTTCGCTGCAGCAAGACGTTCTCACCAATCAATTCGCCGCCGACCGCAATCCAACGAATTCATTGATTCCTGAAGTGATGAAGCAGTTGAATCAACCCATACATACATGATAGTTTGTAAGCAAGACATATACGTTGTGAATATCTCGATCTGGTTCGTCGGACTTTGTGGAATCGAGAAGCTTTACCTGGCTGGATTATATGGTTGTGATAAGCTGACTGCTGTAGGTCCGACGTTCGGTTGATCGTCGATGAAATAGCCGTCGTTAGCTGTGAGGGTGAGAAAGAGGAGGAGAAGCCGATTGGAAATGAGAAATTAGGGAAATGGGAATTAGGGAAAGCTCTCATTGAACGTACAGTTCTTTTCTTTCAAATTTGCTCTTAAACTTCCGAAGTTGCATTAGAGAGTTGTCATCGCTCAGGAGTCAGTCAGGACTACTAAGTTGTAGGCGGATTAGAGTGACGCTTTTAGTCTCCTAATCCTAGGGTGGACCCTACAACTTCTTTTTTAGGCTAATCAAGGAATGTCTTTCATTTTGTTAGGCATAAGAGTTGTGTTTTTTAAGAAATAGGGTACTTAAATGGTGTCCAACCATTATTCAGACAAATCGAAAGCCATCATATATATAGGTTGAATTTTGTACAGATGTTAGTATTATGTGTTTAACAAATTTAGATCGTTAGAATTCGAACAAAAAATCTTTCGATCATAAAAGACTTTGAAATCATATAAAAAATCAATTAGTCCCAATATTCGAGTTGTTGAAAAAGGTCCATGTTAATCTAATTTAGGGTAAAAAGAGCCGATTATGAAAACTAGGGAAAATAAAATGCTTTAATTGACAACCCTTAAATCTGACTTTTCTGGGCTCACTTAATCTAAAGATCCAAATTTAGTTATTTATAGGTCAGTAACTATTAGTTACTGACTCTATTCTAAACCAGTTTTTTGCGACATGCGTCATACCGTGGCTTACAGAATAGTAAAATAACCATTTAGAAGGTTAGATTGAGAAATTACCAAACAAAACTCTCTGCACAACATGGAAACTAAACAGCTGCCTTGCCGCTGGTCGGGGGGAAAGTGAAAAAGTTAAATAGAACATGCACGAGGAAGTTGCGCGCGCTGGCGCTGCCATGCCACCAAGATTATGAGAGTGAAATAGTTGGGCTTATAAATTTGAGCTCCAATCCAACCTTGTCTTTTGGGCTCAAAATAGATTTGGATCAAGAGAGGAAACAAGGGCTTGGACCTGTAGGATTCATGCGTGTTGGGCTTGTTGGACCGTTGCCATTGGTCATCGGATGTAGGAAAATAGTTAGCAACTTATTCTAACATAGGACAACCCTTTTCAGCACGCCCAAAACGAGCCGAATATTTCACTACTTTATGGTAAAATAATGATAACTAAAAAATATTATAATTCTGAGCTTCCCAACGTTGAATATCATCCCACTCATATATTAATAATTAGGTCCATATATATATATATATATATATATACCGCCCATCTTGGGTACTCAAATTAAGAATGGATCATACTAGTTATAAGGTGACGGGAAGCATAAGAATGGTGCTGGCTTACCTGAAATGGGGATGTGATTTGTTGTTCCATTTGTCCTTCTTCCACCATCGCTACCACGACTACTACTATTACCATCACCAAGACCACCGCCGAGTCCAAGAATACTACGACTCTGACGACGTCGTAGTAGCGCCAGCAGGGTCATCGGAGGACTCGCCGGAGTGCTCGGTGTGCTTGTCCAAGGTCAAGGAAGGCGACCAAGTCAGGGAGCTGGCATGTCGCCACGTGTTCCATAGAGTTTGTCTCGACAGATGGTGTCAGTCGTCGTTCACAAGGAGGCGCCCCACGTGTCCACTCTGCCGCCGTTCCTTGACCTGCAGGGGGAGCTCAGCGGCGGCGGAACCGCCGGAAGTGTTGCTCTTCGATTTCGCTAGCTTCGTGTCCTCCGATCGTGACACCCGCGACACTTGGTGGCTCCGCTAGCTATAGCTTGATACGTTGACCCGCGTAACTTGCAATGGAAAGATAGTGATCGATCTGGATCACCACCTATTTCAGTTTTTTGTGTTTCCTTTTTAATAGATTGTATACTTACAGGACGACTTCAAGTTCCCAATGAATGATTTTGTGAACTTAATTATCCCTCTCCTTTCTCTTAATTAATTAATTAATTACGCGAATTATTGGGACGAATTACTTATATAGTGCTCGACATGGTATTTGACTTTGTATAAAGAATTTTCATGCTCGAATCCTTATGACAACCAACCCCAAACATTAGTAGTTGATTGAAGCGCTTTGTTTGATGGTCTCACATAAATTTGAGGTCACATGAGTTAATTGTCATTTGATTGGATATGTAAATAAGTATAATATTCACTTTTTAGTCTATTCCAACAATTCAAATTGTTGGGTGCAACTCATTTTCGAAAGACTTGATCATAATCACTATCATGATCGCACTTATTTTTTGCCACTTCATTATAATGTATTCACCATGGGCATTGGCTGAGTCAACCTTGTTAGGAGTCTACCAAAATTTGGGGGGAAATGCATTACCACCTGAGTACCAGTATGGGAGGTTCAAATCTAAAACCGCACGAGTATTATTCACTCCACTACGAGACATTTTATGTTACAGTTATAATTTAATATTCGGTAAACAAAAGTAATTAAAGTGTAATCCAAACTACTAATACTTACTTTGATCCTTACGCTAATATCATGCCTCTTGATATGTTGTAAGTGTTGAAAGAACATTTTCAGTTTTGTACTAATAAAGAATCGGTTTTGTACTAATCAGACTCTCAATTCATGAATGACGGACTATTCACAGTGCAATATATTGAAAAATATTTGCTAATTATAGTAGAGGCAATGTTTGGATTTCACATTCTTTACAAAAGATGAAAACACGTTACGTTAAATTCACCTAGCATATAAATCGAACATTTATTGTCGGACAACGTGTGTGACACAGTGACAGTAGTCGGATATTAAATTTTATAAACACTAGCATAAACATCTTTAGCACACCGCAATAAGCTTATTGAATCTAGATTGTATTCCTTTCTTTCTATATATGTAACCCTAGTTACTTGAGTACTTGATTTTGGACCTTAGAAGCTCACTCAACTTGATCATAACAATCACAGTTATTATAATAATAAGCTGGGTGCTCCTGACTGCAGGGTGGTGGGCGTTTATTGAATAGTGTCGTATTTTATGCATTGCTCTTCACATGCTTGACTGCTGGCGTTTATTGAATATGGGCGCTGATAACAATATTATTTTAATTAAGAAAGGGTCCATTAATATTTGTAAACGTGATCATTTTGTCATAGTTTACTAATTTAATAATCAAAGCTAAGGGTGTTTCCGTAGAACTACTGCTTGAAACCTTTGTGGCCAGATAGCTATATATAGCAACAGTTTTTCGAGCTTTCATTCACAACGACATCAATCCCACAGCTTCAGCTTGCAAATCATCAAATACTCATCCACAAAGAAACCTTTCCCACATATATACTAACCTTCGACGGACAAACTACCAGTTCATCAAACATATCCAGATCGTTCGACTTCATCATGTCAACTCATGTTGTATTGGATCGGGACTCGGCAAGCTTCCCTCTAACACTCTGGGGCGGCGGCGATGACTTCCTCGAACAAGACGACCAGGAGGAGCGCCCGCTTGTGTGGGAGAATGAGTACGACTTTCTCAAGGAAGAGGTCTTCAGGAAGATGCTGGTAGCTGATGTTGGTGATAGCGAGGCTGCAGCGGTTGCCGACAAGCTCCGACTGATAGATGCCATCCAACGATTAGGTGTTGGGTATCACTACGAGACTGAGATCGAAGAAGCACTCGAGAAAGTGCATGCTCTTGGAGGAGACCTATTCGTTATCAATGATCATAGTGATGGTAATTGTACAACGACTGATGATCTCTACAATGTTTCTCTTCGGTTTCGACTCCTCAGACAACAAGGTCTTCATGTTTCCTCAGGTATGTATATAATATACTGTATATATATAGCACTATATATAGACTCAATTGTTTCATCTTTGAACTGGTTGTTCGAATACAATCATCATATAACTCCAATTTGATGGATCTTAGTTAATTTGCGCAGATGGGTTTAGAAACTTGAAGGACAGTGAAGGTAAGTTCAAAGAATGGTTGGCTTCGGATGGACAAGGGCTTCTGAGCTTGTACGAGGCGGCTCATGTGGCGGTTCATGGAGAAGACATATTGGATGAAGCATTGAGCTTTGCTACCAAGACTCTCAAGACCATTCTCCCCCAACTCGGCCCTTCCTTTCAAAAACAAGTTAAGTTTGCCCTGGGTCTTCCTTCTTGGAAATGTGTCCCTAGGTCACTTGCTAGGAACTACATCGATTTCTATTCCGAAGATGCCTCCCACGATTATAAGCTCCTCAGATTTGCAAAGTTGGACTTCAACATGCTGCAGAAATTACATCAGCAGGAGCTTCGTCGAATTTCTGAGTGAGTTTTGAGAAATTAATTTTTATTTACCTACTGTTTGTTTGATATAATATCACTATATACTTAATCAATTGGTTTCCAATCAGGTGGTGGAAGAGTCTCAAAGTTACGACCAATTTCCCACATGCAAGAGACAGACTTGTGGAATGCTATTATTGGATCTATGCCGTGTACTTCGAGCCCAAGTATGAGTTGGCAAGAATTATGTGCACGAAGATCATTTCAATGCTTTCACTTTTGGATGACACTTGTGATAACTTTGCTACATACCAAGAAGTTAAGATGCTCACAAAAGCTATTGAAAGGTACATTTCTTCCTCGAAATATCAACTCTTAGTTCACTAATTATATTGAAGAAGCCAATTAAGTCCTAACTATTGGCTAAATTTAATATACATTCAATTAGTTAGGTGAGTTAGCACTTTGTCTTAATCAATCATGCATTGTATGCTTATTTCAGTTTCCATGAGAGCGCTCTTGAAGAACTACCTGAAACGATGAAGAATTTGTATCGTATCATCATTGACCTATACGACGAAATTGAGGTGGAACTTGCCAAAACCGGACCTACTTTTGCTGTCAACTATGCAAAGGAAGAGGTAATTACTAGCAATTAATGATAAATGGAGACCTTCTAAGTTTCAAAACGAGCAATGTTATAAATACTAAATTTTCACTATTACTCATTTATGCAGCTCAAGAAAATATGTCGAGCTCACTTGGCTGAGATCCAGTGGCGTACTGTAGATCATGTTCCAACATTGGAGGAGTACAAGATCGATGCTTATGCTACTAGTGGTTTTCCAATCCTTTGTACATCTGCTTTCGTCGGGATGGGAGCAGAAATAGCCAGTAGAGAGGCCTTCGAATGGGTGACCAACGAACCCAAGATGGTTAGAGCTGCATCTGTCATTTCTAGGATCCAAAATGATATTGTCTCTCATAAGGTATGTTATAGTTAAATATTCACATAGAAATTGCCTTTTGTTGATGAATGATATCTGATTCCATTTGAAATGGAAAATAATTGTTGAATGGTTTTTTTTCCTTAGTGGGAGCGAGAGAGAAGTCATGCAGCTTCAGCAATAGAATGCTACATGAATGAGCATGGGGTATCGGAGGTGGAAGCAGTCAAATTTTGTTGGGAGGAGATTTCTAGAACTTGGAAAGACATTGCAGAAGAGTGCCAGAAACCAACTCCATTACCAGTAACCTTGACAGAACGTGTTCTTAACTTTGCACGTTCAATCAGTGTGATTTATGAGAATGGTGATGGCTACACTCATTCTCACCTTTTGAAAGAACACATCGATTCATTGTTAGCTGATCCCGTTCCTCTCTAAAGAACTCGTGTGAAAAGAAATTTCTCTCTATAAGAATGTGGCTAGTTTTTTCGCTTGATAATGCTTTCTATTCTACATTCATTGTTTCTATTTCCCGGTTGTATTATATATCAGAATGTGTAAGTGGATTTTGATTTATAGCGATAAAATTCTCATTTGTATGTGGGAGCATGACCTTTCTAGTGTACGACCAACTACTAGTACTTGGGACTATTTAAATCTATGAATATCAGTCTAGTCGGCTAATTTACTACGAGTATTATTAATGTTCCAATTTATTAAGAATCACTTGTCTACTTGAGGATCATTCAGTTGTGATGCCCAATATCACGTACTTATCCAAATCCAATTAAGTTTTATACTTTTCTCTTGTATTTTATCCATTTGTTCTGAAATCACCTTCCAATACTATTGAAATTTTCAACTCTTTGAGTCCAAAACTGTCCATTGATAAGTTTTCTTATCATTTATCTTATTTACCCACACAATGTGTTATTCTTAGGAGCTATTTCAAGAGTTGAAACTAGCACCAACATCAACATGTACAAAATAAGTGAATTTGAAATAAAGTTACATATTCAAGATGGGGAAAAGCTTAAGAGTGAATTTGTAAAAGATGCTCATAAAAATGAGAAATCAGGAAGGACGAAAGGGGATGGTTTCTTTGTCAAGCACATAATAACTCTTTTAGTAGTTGAACCTGTTGTCGATCCACATGATCTTAGCAATACTCTAGCTTATGCATATTTTGACAGCTTTGTGCATTGTTTTGTATCATGTGTTGCTAATATCACAAAAAAATATGAAATTTCATTTTATACACATGCTTCAGAAAATGATACGAGACAAATATTCTAACACATTGGAGTAGCCACATATTTACGTTACTCCAAGCTTATGATTTATTTATTTATTTCTAAGGGTGAACTTCTTCTGTTAAATTGGAAAGATTATGAAATTACAAGAAACACTTGGGCTAGGAGTCCCTTGTTAAACTCTACTACCTAACAATCCTCTACCAAAAGCTCAGTGTCTTGGCCAAGCACGTAAATAACAAACAGGTTTCTTGGGTAATTGGTACTCCTGCAGTTGCCAAGCTTAGGGTTATCCCAATAGTACCTCAAATTATAAAATTCATAACGAATCACAAGCCATCATCAAATTTTTCATTTTCGAAATCCAAAAATTAAATAAAACCATTCCTTTTCGAGATCCAAAGCAACCCCAGCTAGCCCCTTAGTTTTTTTTTTTTTTTTGACAATGGAACATCTTCTATTATACCAAACCAGGCTAGCAGAAACAAAAGGTTACAAAAAGGGCGAAATCAAATTTGCAATGACAATCCAATCCTATGGTAAGAGATCAAGTCGGGCATTCCTAGCGACCCAATCCGCAAGAGAATTAAATCGCCGAGGAACGAAGGACAACTTGATCCAAGGAGCCCCCTGAAGAAGAGACACAATCCGGGCCAGGGTCGCACGACATTGCCAAGACCAATCGCAGGGGTCTTGAATAAGAGCCACAATCAAACGTTGGCAGTCGCTTTTGATACACGTCGGACAGGACTCTTGGACTGCCAACACCACATCACCTAGAATAACAAATGCTTCTGCCTGAATCAGGTAGAAACAATAGAACCTCTCAACCTTACCGTCAATCACCTGATCGTGTAGCCCCTTAGTTAATAGCAGTGCTATTTACCCCAAACAAAACGAAGTAGACAAAGTTCATCAAAAGGACAAAATAAAAGAGAACCGCAAAAAGAAAAGGTGGCATGCATGTGGGAATGGGCAGTACACTCTCCACACCGTTGCCGAGTACTTGGAACTTGGAGCAGAGAAGGGAATACTTTATTTTCTTTTAAGCACGACAGACTTCAATCTTTGTAGCTCATAAAAAACGAGCCCTAAATTTCAGTACTTTGTTTGTGGCAACTCTTCATAAAATAATAATACAGACCTAAAAATCATTTATGAGCATCCAAACGTTGAATTTTTGAAGCATAAACTCATTTTTACATTTCTTGAGTTTCTGCAACTAATTTCGAACTAGCCAGGTCAATGTATACCACCCGGCATCCATCTTACCAAGGCTTGTATATTATCACCACTTAAAATCGTTGAACTGGCAGTAAGTACTCTTCATTTCTTGTAGGTAAAAAAATAGTACTCTTCATTTCTATTTTAAAATTTTTTATAAACGGTGGTCACTAAACTATCAACTTTATAATTTGACAGTAAGTATTTGAAACTAAATTGGCAGAAACCTTTTCATTTTTTGTAACAAAATAGTTACACTTCTTTTCATGATGTAACTAAATGGTAATAAGAATGGTAAATAAAATAAGTATGGAATATTAGTTTGGCTCGGGTGGGTTGAGTTAGTTCGGTTGGTTATTTATGACCATTTATGCTAATCACCCAAGATTAACACCCTTGTTTGCCAAACACAAGTTCGTTAACATCTGTCAGATCTTTGGGTTTGCAAAGTGTTTTCCGTTTCAGCCAATGCAGTTTGGCTTCATCTTAACCAATTGTTGAACATACGGGTATAGTAAAAGTGTAAATCCAAGAAAAGAGAAAGACCAAATATGCAGGTGAGTGGGAAGTTGCAACCACGACAGATTACATATTTCTAGCTAGCTCGTCAAAAACGAGCCCTAACTTTCAGTACTTTGGTTGTAACCCTTGATAAAATAATAATACACACTATAAAATTATTTTCGAGCGCCCTAACGTTGAACTTATGAGCATACTCATATTATAATCCAGAGCTTCCGCACATCTAATATATATACCGCCTGCCTCGGCTGCCCTATTCCATCACCACCATTACTGTTTACACAGCTACTCTCAACTTCTTCTCTTCCCTAGCTCCCTTTCTTGGCTAACTACAGACCGAGAGAAGATTTATTCGAGAAAATGGATTCTGGGAAGGTGGTGGGAAGCATAAGATTGGTGTTGGCTTACCTGAAATGGGGATGGGAGTTGTTGTTTCACTTGTCCTTCTTCCACCACCGCCACCACAGCTACTCTTACTCCTACTATCCGCACGACAGCCACGAATCCAACGACGTCGTATCGGCAACCGCAGAAGATCTGCGGCAGTCCTCCGAATGCGCGGTGTGCTTGTCCAAGGTGGAACAAGGGGACGAGATCCGGGAGCTGACATGCCGCCACGTGTTCCACAAAGTCTGTCTCGACAGATGGTGTCAGTCGTCGTTTACACGGAGGCAACCCACGTGTCCACTCTGCCGCCGTTCCTTGACTACTACTCCGGCGACCAGCCGAGGGAGCTCCGGTGGGGCGGCGCCAGAAGTGCTTCTGTTCGACTTCGCTCGTTTTGTTTCCTCCGATCATTACACCCGGAACACTTGGTGCCTCCGTTAGCTCTAGGCTCTAGCTATAGGCTGATGCCTGACTTGCAAAAATGTAAACCACGAAATAATATGTGGTAAAAAATGACAGTATTTACCTCATATCTGCCCATCATTCTTATCACTTATTTATTTATTTATCGAAGTGTTACAATGATGAGGAAAGTTAATTAATGGCGGTTGCTAGACAAACCTAAAGGTTGTAGGAACTCCTCCCATCCAAATTGCAGATCTTCTTTAATCGTTTTAATTTTATCGAGTATCTTCGTAAAAACTATTTAAGTGGCAGATAAATAGCTAGTGTCGTGTGAAATAAGAAATGTAGTTGTGGAACTCCCCCAATCGAGGAAACTACCAGGTCTTAGAAATCGAATATGAGAATAGAGTAAGTAACACCAATTTGTGTTGCCTATTTTATTTGTTTTTCTTTTTAAAATTGCATATTCAATTATTATATAAGTCGTTAGAATGTCAATTAAATTGCACGGAGTTTATAATTATCTCCAATACGACTTATGAGATTTTCAAGTGATTTCTAATTCAGGGATCGATACTCGATATAAATTATGCACTCAAATAAAAATAAATAAGCATAGTCGAAGTAACACAAATACATGATATTGTCAATTTATTTCTATCCGTTGACCATTGAGATTGTGAGATTTGAGATCCATACGCATCACATCAACAAATAATTATAATTTTCACATGGTCATTGATGCATTAAATAAAGACCTTCCTTTGGGTCGATACGTGGGATAGAACACTATGACGATCTAGATCAAAAGTGTGCAGTTCCAAATAGCCATATTGAGTTTATATTAGAACTTTGCTATTTTGAGTCTGCTAGCTTGTGATTTAGCTAGCACCTTGATGATTAAGACAGAGTATTCATGCAATTGAATCATAACATTGAAAACCTTGTGTGTAGCTTGTTATTAACCCTAGCAACTTGGCATCAAACGGATCTATTTGTTAGATGCACTCACTGAATTTAACTTAAAACTATAATAATAATAATAATATAAACTATCTAAAGACGTTTTTATCAAACTTTGACACCTTCAACCGAGACAAAAAAACATATTACTACTATATATGTAACCCTAGCTACTTGGCATCAAACGAATCTATTTGTTAGATCCGCTCACTCAATTTGACTAAACATAATGAATGAATTAATGATTAAGGTGGTTGCTCATAACAGGGCGGTGGGCAGGGAGTTGTTTAATTATATATGGAACTTGAACATTTTCTTATTTAGGGTTCTTCAGAATCTTGGCTTGCTTATTGGCCGGGCCCATTCGATGTACTACTTATTCATAGAAAAACGGGGTGATATAATTATCACACTAATTATAAGCTGACCGTAATTGACTAAATTCGGCAATAATTAATAACAAGAAAACAGGGCGACAAATTTGGAAAGAGTTATTTTACTAGTTAAGTACAGATAAGGTAAGAGCAGGTAGCCCATTTTCGTGGAGTTTCCTGCAATGCACCTAAAAATTCGAGATATTCCACTGATAAACAAGTTTTAATTATGGAATCAAATCCATTCATTCGATCTCCTGTTGGGAGCTAGCTTGGCAGCCCTAGGATCGAGAACCCCATATGTAAAGCATGCGTACGTATGTATATTAATTGTTTTCCCATACTGCATGTGAATTTTTTTTTTTTTGTCAAAGCATACTGCATGTGATTAATTGATTATAAAAGTCATTTTCTTTCATTATTAGAGCATCTCCAACAATGCAATCCTTCTTCACTTTCAAGTGTGGTCCCTACTGCCACCTAAACAACTCTAGCAATTACTTCACTCATCAATTTCATACTAGCTACATCAATGCCATTCCAATGCAATTGCACTTCTGGGTCCCACTTACATTTTAATACCACACAAATGGTTGGGAAAAGAAGAAAGAAAAATAAAAACAAACAAAGGACCCACTTGCAATTGCATGTCAGATTTTCATGGTGTGCAAATTTTCATCCCTTGAAAGTGGTCTTGCATCAATGCCATCCACTTTTTCAATTGCACATGGCTGCCACCTCAGCTTGCAATTCCCTCCATTTGCACCATTGGAGATGCTCTTAGTTGTCAAGGTGCAGGAGGAAGGCAGGAGGTGGGCCGCTGATAATATTAAAGTAAGAAAGGGATAAACGTGATGATTTTGTCATATTCTATAAGAAATCAATTAACTAAGCAGGTCATTCCCAGAAACTGCTAGCGACCTCGTTGGCTATATAAGTAACAGATTCACGAGCTTTGATTCACAACATCCCACAATCAAGCTTACAAACAAACCAATTCCCATTATACTACTAACCTTTGCTTCAGAAATCCAGATCGAAAATGTCGACTACTACTACTGTTGTCGGAAACCAAAATGCTGCCGGCGGCATCGATCGGGACTCAGCAAGCTTCCCTCTCACACAGTGGGGGGATCGCTTTCTCGACCAAGTCGACCAGCAGATCAGATCCCCACTGCTGGTTGAGACCGAGTACGATGTTCTCAAGGAAGAGGTGCGGAAGATGGTCACAGCCGCCGAGGATGACAATCAGCTGCCGGCCATTGTCGAGAAGCTTCGGGTGATAGATGCAGTCCAACGACTAGGTGTTGGGTATCTCTTCGAAAAGGAGATTGAAGAAGCACTTGAAAAAGTGCATGCTCTTGGTGACGAACCATTCACCATCGAAGACAACACCACTGCACATCTCTACAATGCTGCTCTTCGGTTTCGACTACTCAGGCAACAAGGCCTTCCAGTGTCTTCAGATGGATTTAGAAAGTTGAAGGACAGTGAAGGAAGGTTCAAGGAATGGTTGGCTTCAGATGAGCAAGGGCTCTTGAGCTTGTATGAGGCAGCACATGTGGCTGTCCATGGAGAAGGCATATTGGATGAAGCTCTGAGCTTTGCAACCAAAACCCTCAAGTCCATTCTTCCCCAACTCGACACTTCATTCCAAAAACAAGTCAAATTTGCTCTTGGCCTTCCGTCTTGGAAATGTGTTCCTAGGTCACTTACAAGGAACTACATCGATTTCTACTCCGAGGATGCCTCCCATAATCATAAGCTCCTTCGATTTGCAAAGTTGGACTTCAACTTACTCCAAAAGTTACATCGCCAAGAGCTCCATGATATTTCTGAGTAAGTAGTACAACTTTAATTTTTGAAAATAGTGATCACATTTTTATTGGCTTACCAACGTTTCATATGATTATATCTACTCAGCCATTACTTACTCTTAATTAATTACTTTAATTAGGTGGTGGAAAAATCTGAATGTCACTACCAACTTCCCACATGCAAGAGATAGAGTTGTGGAATGCTATTACTGGATCTATGCTGTGTATTTTGAGCCCAAGTATCAACTAGCCAGAGTTATGTGCACCAAGATCATATCAATGCTTTCACTTTTAGATGATACTTGCGATAACTTTGCTACAGTCGAAGAGGTCAAGATGCTCACAGAAGCTATTGAAAGGTTTGTTTCTTCCTTAAAATATTAATTTTCAATTTAGTTATTCATCCATATCAAATAAGCTACTTAAGTTCTAAATATTAAACTGATTTAATTCCCTCGACTAATTAGATGCATTACATACATTTTTTTAATCAATCATTATTTGCTCATTTCAGTTTCCATGTACGCGCTCTCGAGACATTACCGGAAACAATGAAGAATTTGTTTCGTATCATCATTGATTTGTATGATGAAATTGAGATAGAACTTGCAAAAACAGGACCCACCTTTGCGGTCGACTATGCTAAGGATGAGGTAATTTTTTAGTCCCGATAATAATTTAATATGTATACACATGTTTTGCCTTATTAGGTTCAAAGTTTCACAATGGAGAACATTATAATTGAATGATTTTTCATATTATTTATCCAGCTCAAGAAAATATGTCGAGCCCACTTGGCTGAGGTTCAGTGGCGTACCAAAGACCATGTTCCAACACTGGAAGAGTATAAGATCGATGCATATGTCACTAGTGGTTTTCCCATTCTTTGCACATCTGCTTTAGTTGGGATGGGAGCAGATATAGCCACTATACAAGCCTTTGAATGGGTGACCAACGAACCGAAGATGGTTAGAGCTGCATCTGTCATATCTAGGATCCAAAACGACATTGTGTCTCACAAGGTAATCATCAAATACTCCTATATTTCAATAATTGCTTATCAATATTTGAAAGCATTTTAATTGAATTAATTCTTGATGGGGTGGTTTTCTCTCAGTGGGAGCGGGAGAGAAGTCATGCGGCTTCAGCAATAGAATGCTACATGAAGGAACACGAGTCGTCGTCGGAGGAAGCAGTTGAATTTTGTTGGGAGGAGATTTCTAGAGCTTGGAAAGACATAGCAGAAGAGTGTCAGAAACCAACCCCATTGCCAGTAGCCTTGACAGATCGTGTTCTGAACTTCGCACGCTCCATTAGTGTGATTTATGAGAATGGTGATGGCTATACTCATTCTCACCTTTTGAAGGCACACATCGCTTCATTGTTCGCTGACCCTGTGCCTCTTTGAAGAAACATCGTGCAAAATTTAATACCAATCTACAAGAATGTAATCTGTTTTGTGTTCCATTGTGCTTTCTTGATTTCGTGGTCCATGATCTCTATTTGTTTCTTATTTGTGATTGCTGGAATGAATCTGTATGGTTTTGATTAGTTACTTTTCCTTGGCATTTGGAAGATTGAGTTCCTAACGGATCACTTTTATGTGGGTGGAGATTGATGTTTTAAGAACCCAAATTGTATTGTTTTTTTTAATTGAAATGGTGGAGAATAGAATCATCAACCTTCCTACTGTTTGATTTATCAATATGCAAAAAGAATTCGACGAACTGCAGAATTTTTGCCACAATTAAGTACATAAATTCTTGATAAGGTGGCTCTGAAATTTAAAAAAATATATCTAGTAAGAAAATTTAATTATCAATTTTAATTATACATGACATAATCTCATATTGAGAAAATTATGTAAGCCACCGTTATCATTGAAAAAGCAAGCAACATATATATAGACCACCTTTCAATTCATGTATCTAGCAGCTCCCTGTGACCCCTAGTGACTTGACCGACTTCAAGGATTCTATTCTACGGATGGGGTCAGCGTGACGATTCAAAAGCTCATCCAATTTGACTACAACACCATCAATCGGGTCACTTGACTATTTTCTTATGTTGGTGGCTGCATAATTAACAGATAATTAAGCTGACTGTATTTGACTAAATTCAGTAGTACAGAAAAGCCAAAAAATTCTACAACGCATTTATCAAAAAGGACGAAAGAAAGGAGAAGGAAAAGGCCCAACGTTGAATCGTAAACCCGTAATATACTATTCAAACCTAGCTAGGTCTATATATACCGCCCGCCATGGCTGCCCTATTTCATCACCACTACTACTATCTAGCACTAATCCTAACTTCTCTTCATTAGCTACAGAGAAGATTAAGAATGGATACTATCAAGGTGGTGGGAAGCATAAGAATGACGTTGGCTTACCTGAAATGGGGATGGGATTTGCTGCTCCACCTCTCCTTCTTCCACCACCGCCACCACAACTACAGCTACAACGACGAATTCAACCACCAGCAGCCGGCCCACGACCAAGTCCAAGAGTACTACCACGAGTCCAACGACGTCGTATCGGCAACCGCCGAAGATCTACGGCAGTCCTCGGAATGTGCGGTGTGCTTGTCCAAGGTGGAACAAGGCGAAGAGATACGGAAGCTGACTTGTTGTCACGTGTTTCATAAAGTTTGTCTGGACAGATGGTCGATGCAATCCTTCACGAGGAGGTCCCCCACGTGTCCATTATGCCGTCGTGCCTTGAGCAGCACTCCGACCACCAGCCGGGGGAGCTCCGGCCGTGGGCCGGAAGTGCTGCTGCTCTTTGATTTCGCAAGTTTTGTTTCCTCCGATCATGACACCGGCCGCTACATGTGGTGGCTCCGCTAGTTGGCCATATATGTTGAAGCATAAACTTGTGAATGTATATATACCACAATATGCATGTAATTAAGAAATAAATGTAGTTGGAGACTCTTTCCCCAAGCAATGGGTGAAGAAATAGAATAAATAGATATTGGATCACAATTCCAATCATCAGTTGTTGTGCTCTTTTAAAATTGCATACTTGTCCATTTTCATCAGGTTGATTATCCAACTACAACATTAAAACTTGATATGACTTGCACATTTGGCATTTGGGTACAGAAGTTCATCCACTTTATAAACCATGATGTATTTGTTCTATATTTTGGAACTTGGATAGAAGACGTTTCCTTAGCCATAATATATATGGATACTGCTAGGGCTGAAAGTTCAGGTTCGGTTCAGTGGTTTAATCAAAACTACAATCGATTAGTGGTTTAATCAAAACTACAATCGATTTTGTTGATTAATGAGTAATCGAGAACAAAAAATTAAACGAATAGAACAGTCTTGATTGTAGATTTAGACTATCTCTAGGGTTTTAGTTTAATTGCAAAACGAACCCAATCATAAAAAGGCCAACCATAACCGGAAAATCTAATAGAATTTGGGCCTAGTCCACCATGTCATTCCATCTCAAAAGTCCAATCAGATTATGGACCAAGCCTAATGGGTTATTAGGTTTAATGTTGGTGCTCGCTACGGTTGCTTAAATGGATCCAATTTGAATTCGTGTAACCGGCCAATTCGATTAGGTTAACCAAACCGAACTCCAGTCCTAGATACGACCAACCATGAAACCCTATCATTGTTGTCATTGGGATCAAACATTGGAGAATATGTTCAAATGATCAACCTTACGTCGTATCTAATTCGAATCCTTGAAATACAACAAATAGAATGAATACACATATATCTTCCATGGAGATCTTTTAGCGCCTTTTGTCCCCTACATCTGTAAAATAATACATGTAATATCGTCGCTGATGACCACTCGAAATTTTAATAAAGATTGTGACCTCATTATCGTCACAAACTATTTCGGTCACGAATCCATTTTATATTTAAGTCAAATAGATATCGTCGGCCGCCCTGGAATGAATATTAACTACCAGCAATCAACAATTAATTTATGACTAATGACAATTAGTAACAAAGACAAATACGCAAGTCGGAGAAATTAAATATAATAAACAAATTTATCACTTTTCCTCACCACTTATAACAAGCTAACACATTTATCATGCATGCAGCCGTGTATGTGGAAAGTTATACATATTAGTATTTATGTGGACGATGATAATAATAGTCAACTAATATGAGTGGATATATATACGAATGAGCCATCGTCTCGAGCAGATCCATCCATCAAACAAACCAAAAACCCACCAATTTTACAAGAGAAGAAAATATCGATAAAGAGAGAAAAGTGATCGACATGGGTGAGAACGTAGTAGTAGCAGTCGGGGAGCTGATGACGAGTGATTATTTCATCATCCCAATAAGTGTCACAATCTTGGTCACCATTCTTTCCATGATCATAATGAAAAGGTCTCTGAGCTCCTCATCATCATCAAAAGCAGCTACACCTCCGGGGCCATGGAAGATGCCGATCATCGGGAACCTCCACCAGCTGGCAATCGGCTCGTCTCTTCCACACCGCCGGCTAGCGGAGCTGGCCCGACAGTACGGCCCTCTGATGCAACTTCAGCTCGGCGAAATCCCCACGGTAATCGTGTCGTCGGCGGAATGGGCCAAGGAGTTCATGCAGGCCCACGATCTCAACTTCGCCAGCAGGCCCTTCATCCCAGCCGCCAACATCATCTTCTACGGCGGCCGAGACATCGGGTTTTCCCCCCACGGACCCTACTGGACAAAGATGAGGAAAATTGTAGCCATGGAGCTTTTGGGCGCCAGACGTACCAAGATGCTGCGGCCCATCATGGAGGAAGAGATGGCTAAGCTCGTGGGCTTGATCAACACGAAGCCCACCATCAACCTCACCGAAATGATGCTCTCCTTCGGCAACTCCATCACTTGTCGTGCCGCCTTTGGCAAGATACAGAAGCAAGAGGAAGTCTTCTTGCCGTTTATCAAACATTTCATGAAGACGCTTGGAGGGTTCAACCTCGTCGACCTCTTCCCTTCCAGTAACTTGCTGCGTCTACTCGTCACTGCCGCAGCCGAGAGAAAGCTGAAGAAGGTTCACTCCGCGGCCGATGCTATCATGGAAACCATAATCAACGACCGTATAGCTAAGAGATCATCATCATCATCAGCAGCAGCAGCAGCTGGAAACGACGATGAAGATCTTCTAGGTGTTCTTCTGAATCTCAAGGACACCGACGACCTGGGCTTCACCGAGATTAAAGCTGTTATCCTCGTAAGCCACTCATTAATTGCGTATTGATTCATTGTTTTGATCCATTAATTGGTAGTTACTGATCTCATGATGATGGCATACAATATTGCAGGACATGTTCCTTGCTGGATCTGATACGTGGACAATCACCGTTGAATGGGCAATGTCTGAACTCATGAAGCACCCAAGAGTTATGGAGAAAGCACAACAAGAGGTGAGAAAAGTTTTTAATGGGAAAGGAGTTGTTGACGAGGCATCTATAGATCAACTACAATATCTCCAATTGGTTCTTAAAGAAACTTTGAGACTTCATCCTCCTGGCCCTTTGGCTATTCCAAGGGAGAGTAAGGAGACGGTTGTTGTCAATGGATATCTAATCCCGGCCAAAACGAGGGTTTTCGTCAACGTATGGGCTATTAATAGAGATCCATGTCACTGGACCGAACCCGAAGTTTTTGAACCCGAAAGATTCCTAAATAGTTCCGTTGATTTTAGAGGAGTAGATTTTCATTACCTCCCATTCGGAGCTGGTCGAAGAATATGTCCGGGAATGCATTACGGGTTGGCTTTGGTTCATCTTGCTCTAGCCAATTTAATCTATCATTTTGATTGGAAGCTCCCTCACCAAATGAAACCAGAAGATTTAGACATGTCTGAAAGATTTGGCATCGAAGTAAAGAGACAAAACAATCTGTTCCTCATCCCCACTCCATACAAACCCAAATAAACTAGCTAAGCCCTGCTTTCACATGGATTCTACAGGGGCTGTATTCTAATAGACTTCATGCTGAAGGCTGTATTCGAATAAATTTCCAGCTCCTCTTTATTGTTCGTTTTTTTTTACAACCTTTATTGTTCGTTTTCATTTCCGAATATTTTGATATGGGTGATTAATATATTTCTTCTGAAGGAAACAATGCATTAGTATAACTAATTTAGACAACGAAGAGACTAGAGAGCATAGAAGATATTATTGTATTTGCAAATGAATATGGAGTGTCAATATATAAAGCCAAGATGGCAAAAGTAAGAAACGAAGAAAACAATTAACTTAAAAAATTAACAGAAAGGGAGTGTTACTACAGCAAAAAGAATAAAAGCAAGCTGAGCAAAAAATAACACCACAAGTTTCTGAATATAGTGTTGTTTTGCCCAACCTAAAAATAGTCACTAAAGAATATAACATCTGTCACTTTTCCGTTGTCGTTAGTATTCATTTGGCGGGAAAGTTTAGCAACGCTTTAATCGCCATTAAATGTTTCACACTGTTTTGCTCGAGATTTAAACCTTGCTACCATAATCATGCCGTGGAACGAATCTTATAACTGAAATTTAGTACGAGCACCAGCGTAAATTGGTGGATCCTCTTGAAGTAGTACTAGTGGAAAAATAAGAGGCTCCATTACTCCTCTATCCAACTAAAAGGAAAAAAGTGAGAATATTCCACAGTTTACCGTAGCTATACCGCGTTTGAGACATGTACGTAATGATGTGATCAAGAATAATCAATCAAACTAACTAGAAAGCTATACTTAATATGATGTATAATGACACACTAAAGTATTGTTATAGTGATAACTCGAATATTATAGCTTTCAAAAGAATAGAAAGGTAGGGATTTATCTTATGATTTCAATTAATTTTGTATAACAAATTAGATTAACTATGATCTGCAATGAGTTTGACATTTTCTAGTATGCATACAAGCAATATATACTCAAATGTGTTTGGTATACTGATGGACCCAAAATTTCACCATCTATCAACCCTTATACATGAATAAAAAGGATGCAAACAAATCCCTACGTGAAAAAGATTAAGGATGTTTAATTACCTTCTTAACCAATTAATTTTTTAATTGGTGGTTCCTTTTCTCCCATTGAAGCCACCAATCCACTTCCCCAAAACAAATCTACAAGGAAGAGACAAATAATGCACCAAATGACCACCTCATGGCCACGTGTTCAAAGGTGAAACTTGAAGGGTTTGAGTTTAACTCCTCTTAACAACCCACCATTCCATTTTAATAGGCTGATAAATATTTGACACCTCATCAATTTCACTCTCCTCCATGAGTAAAAGCTATTAATTGGTGGATGGCTTGTAGCAAAATCCCATTAAGCTACACGTGGACCTGAGCCTGAGCTGGATTTGGATAATAAAAAAATGCCTAACTCTTCTTACCACCTCACATATATGGAGAAGAAGTATAAGCTCTCAGGCAATCAAACATTATGATAGTTTGTAGTGCTCATCTCTTTTATCCACCCAAGCCACCAAAACACACGTCCCTTTTTGCCTAGGTACTACACGTGGACAGGGTGAAGAGGAAGGTAAGTGGACAAAGTGGTTTGGTTCATATGTTCCTTTTGGCCATCAAATAAGTTAATTGAGGTAATAAGTTTGTTTGCAATGTGTTTGTGTTACTCACGCCAACCATTGCACATTAGGTTGGTGGTAAGATAAAAGTATTTTCTATATTATTTTATTTATCACACGCCATCCACGTTAGAAGCATGAGACACCTATAAATAGGACGCTCATTTATGCTTTCTCGACAGTTCATTTTGGAGTTGAACTTCTAAATCTCTCTCAAGAGCCGGCTCAATATGCCGCTCCCGGTTACTCTCCTCTCAATACTGACATTGAGCTTTGGAGCAGGTCCCCGCCGACACACCGCCGGCGGGTCCTCTTGTTTTGCAGGTGTCCATCTCGGAGGCTGGTGGCGGACGTTGGCCAGGAAGATCGGCGCTCACCGGACCTCAAACACATTGAAGCAGGCTCCTCGGAGCTTGGCATCAACATATACGACACTCCTAGTGATCCTCACAATCACCCGGCCAGGTCTCAGCCTACGAGTGAGATGGCTCTATCAGTGCGGATTATGAATTAATCAAAATTTGAATTTGATACTATATCCTGAATCTAATTAATGGTTGAACCTCTAACCCTAATTCTCTAAGCTAAACGTACACCAAGATGAATTTAATAGGAACAATTTGATTGTTCAAAGTCTACCAAAGTACATCAAATGCCCAAATCACTTGGAACATACATACTCCCAAGAGTACGCTAATATTTACTCTCATATTTAAACTAGCTTTGTACCGACTCGTCAGTCTGGTGAATTTTATTTAATTACATTAATCAAGTTGATTCATAAGTTCAAACTATTTTATTTATTTGAAATTTATGATTTTTCTATCACATTTGGGAAAAATATTGAATATAGGGTAATTCTATCGTAGAAAAATGTTAAAAATATCATTATTTATCATAGTTATTCACGTTAATTCAACTCTATAACATTGACTCATACTTTTGATGGAGGTTGATTAAACCTTTTCAGAAAACAATTGCGATCGTGGTATATAAAGTCTTAGTATATGTATTATATTTATCCACCAAAAGATTGAAGCATCTATCATATACAACAATCAATTATTCTATGTATTTGGATCACTGCCAATCAATACATTCAAATTGATTATCCTATATAACATATCTTGTGATCAATTTCAAGAGGATATAAACTTATGGCCGCTTGAATAACAAATTCACAATGTCCAAAAAAAATTCAAATTCTTAATTGAGAAATTTTTTATTCATTTGAAATCCATGGTACATGTTCTAGTTACTTTTAGTAATATTGTCTAAGCCATTATGACAAAAAGTCGCTTTGCTACATTTAAGATTGGGGTTATTCCGGTTCAAAAGCTTTAAGAGGCTTTAATTAATCTAAGTCACAAGTATTAAATCTTTTTTTATGAAGGTGAAATTTTATTGCTGGAAAAGTACACAAGAGGAGTATGAGAAAATACAAAAGAAGAAAGAAGAAAAGGGTCCAAGAAAGAATAAAAGACATAGGGGGACTAATCAAAAGTATTACAGTGACTTAAAAAAATGCCAAAAAGACTTTCAGCAGTGATGGGGTGAGTGAGGAAGAACCTTTATTAATCCTTAAAAAGTGTCAAATACTAACTACTACGTGGCCTTCAATTTCTTTGAAAATATTTAATTGACAAACTAATCACGTTTAGAATATGGATGGTTTCTTAATGTAGATAATTAACAAACTAATCACGTACCTCTCTTCCTCCTGCAAATTACATATAATTAGTTAATTTTTTTGTATTGTTTCGTTCTTCGATAATTTCAACAAAGGACTACTCCTCACTTAGACTAGTAAACTAGTATGATGAGTATGAACGACATTTGTGTCAGGTGCCACTCTGTGGATCGGAATCTCTTCTCTAGTCTTGTGTTCTTTCCCTTTTTAATATTATTATAAATATATGTATTGGGTTTTAGTCAAATACCGTCTGCTTATAATTTTTATTTTTTAGTCATTACATTGCATGTAGCAAATTTAACCCCTCCAGTGACTTCATTGGGCCGGGTATAAGTTGGTGCTCCTGCTCCTGACAAGTCACAAGCGGATGAGGTGGCTTGAATTTTTTTTTTACGACCATAAATAAGCTGACCGTACTAACTTCTCTACTTCAGTCATAAAAACTGAAGAAACAAAATAAATTTTCCTATTAAAAAAAAATTACGTAGGCTAAGATATTTGACTAATTTCCAATATACAGAAAAGACAATTGAATAGTTCAATTTAGTAAATAGGATGACAAGAATGTAGCTTATTGGAGTCTCATACACCTAAAGAATGTATTTAAGACACTAGTCAAGAAAGCAAAAGCTCGTCGAAATTGGATAATATCATTAATGAATTTGAAACCCCCAACAATTTTTAAAAAAATTATAGAGATATAGTAATTACCCTTATTTTTCTAGATCTTTGATATGAAAATATAACTCTAATAAATTACATCATAACACTCTCTAATACAATATTACTATAGTACCACTCATATTCTAATAATATGTTAATTTTCTTATATATGATTATAAAGTTCTTTTTTCCTTAAATATAGTGGTCAGAGAAAGACAGTAGGTGGGCGCTAATAGTGTTATTTAATCAAGAAATCGTACACGTACATAGTCAATATTGTAAACGTGATCATATTCTTATACTTTTTTTTTGTAAGAAATCAAGTAATCAACTAAGGGTGGTTTCCTAGAACTTTGATTGACGTTCTTGTTGGCTAGCTATTTAAGCAACAGACTCACCAGCTTTGATTCACAACACACAGCATACAAGCTTTCCTACAAAAATAAACAAAAAAAAACTCCCTTAATTATATATCAACCTTCGGTTTCACAAATTAAGTAGCAATTCCGCAAAACCCAGATCGAGATCATCATCATGTCGACTACTGTTGTTGTCGGAAACCAAAATGCTGCCGGCATCGATCGGGACTCAGCTAGCTTCCCTCTCACACAGTGGGGCGGCCGCTTTCTCGACGACGAAGAACACCAGCAGCAGGGGCCACTGCCAGTGCTTGAAAGCGAGTACGAGGTGCTCAAGGAAGAGGTGCGGAAGATGGTTACTGCTGAGGATGATGGCAAGCCGTCCGCCATTGCCCAGAAGCTGCGGGTGATAGATGCAGTCCAACGATTGGGCATTGGCTATCACTTCGAGAAGGAGATTGAAGAAGCACTTGAAAAAGTGCATGCTCTTGGAGACGAACTATTCGTCATTATTCATGATCATGACGATAACACTACTACCGATGATCTCTACAACGTCTCTCTTCGATTTCGACTTCTCAGACAACAAGGTCTTCGAGTTTCTCCAGGTATATATAGTACTGTCCATGATTAAATAATCGGTTTCGTCATTGAATTGGTAGTTTAAAATTAAAAGTTCATAACTTCCAACTTGCATGGTGGACTTTAATTAGCAGATGGGTTTAGAAACTTGAAGGACGGAGAAGGAAATTTTAAGGGATGGTTGGCCTCGGATGAGCAAGGGCTCTTGAGCTTGTATGAAGCAGCACATGTGGCAATCCATGGAGAAGGTATATTGGATGAAGCACTGAGCTTTGCTACCAAGACCCTCAAGTCCATTCTTCCCAAACTCAGCCCTTCATTCCACAAACAAGTAAAGTTCGCTCTCGGTCTCCCTTCGTGGAAATGTGTCCCTAGGTCACTTACTAGGAACTACATCGATTTTTACTCCGAAGATGTCTCCCACAATCACAAACTCCTTCGATTTGCAAAGTTGGATTTCAACTTGCTCCAAAAGTTGCATCGACAAGAGCTCCACGAAATTTCTGAGTGAGTAGTGCAACTTCAATTTCTGAACAATCAATTTTTTTTGGGTGTGTTTGGTATATATTTAAATCTATCTACTTAGTCATTACATAGCTTTTAATTGATTGATGATTTGCTAATTAGGTGGTGGAAGAGTTTGAATGTGACTACGAACTTCCCACATGCAAGAGACAGAGTTGTGGAATGTTATTACTGGATTTATGCGGTATACTTTGAACCCAAGTATCAGTTGGCCAGAGTTATGTGCACCAAGATCATATCAATGCTTTCACTCTTAGATGACACTTGCGATAATTTTGCTACGTTTGAAGAGGTCAAGATGCTCACAGAAGCTATTGAAAGGTTAATTTCTTTCTTCAAATATCAATTTTAAAATTTGTAATTTATCCAAATTCAATAAGCTAATTAACTCCTAGTTCTGCTAAACCAATCTAGTTTACCTATGATAATTAGATTAGCCAACCTTTTTCCTTAATAAATTATTCTATGCTCATTTCAGCTTCCATGTAAGCGCTCTGGAAGCACTACCAGAGACGATGAAAAATTTGTACCGTATCATCATCGATCTGTACGACGAAATTGAAATGGAACTTGCAAAAACAGGACCCACTTTTGCGGTCGACTATGCTAAAGAAGAGGTAATGAACTAGTCATGATTAGTCTTATATGTACATATATAGTAAGTTTCCTTTTATCACTTTCTAAATTTCAAGATGGACAACATTATTAATTAGTTGGTTTGCATATTATTTATCAGCTCAAGAAAATATGCAGAGCCCACTTGGCAGAGGTTCAGTGGCGTACCAAAGACCATGTTCCAACACTAGAGGAGTATAAGATTGATGCATATGTAACAAGTGGGTTTCCCATCCTTTGCACATCGGCTTTCGTTGGAATGGGAGTTGAAATAGCCACCAGGGAGGCCTTTGAATGGGTCACCAACGAGCCTAAGATGGTCAGAGCTGCTTCAGTCATTTCTAGGATTCAAAACGATATCGTCTCTCACAAGGTAACCATTAATTATTCAACTATTGATTAATTTTTGTTAACCAATATTTGACACTATCAAATGATAATTGTTGATGGTTGATGTATTGCCTCAGTGGGAGCGAGAGAGAAGTCATGCTGCTTCAGCAATAGAATGCTACATGAAGGAGCACGGGGCATCGGAGGAGGAAGCCATTGAATTTTGTTGGGAGGAGATCTCTAGAGCTTGGAAGGACATTGCAGAAGAGTGTCAGAAACCAACACCATTGCCAGTAGCCTTAACAGATCGTGTCCTTAACTTTGCACGCTCCATTAGTGTGATATATGAGAATGGTGATGGCTACACTCATTCTCACCTTTTGAAAGCACACATTGCTTCACTGTTCGCCGATCCTGTACCTCTATGAATAACCTCATGAATAAAGGAATTATGATCCACAAGAATCATATGTATTATTGTACTAGTCATTCCTATTGAGTTTGGTTGTCCCAAAAAATAGCGATTTGGAGAACAAATGTATTTGTGGGTTTGGATCTCAATAAGAATTACATTTTCCTTTCATATGGGCAACCTCATATTTTCTAATATTTTTAATACTTTTTTGTCATAGAGTTGAAAGGGTCGAGAACTGAATCATTGATCTTTTTGTTTAAGTATGACTTGATGCTATAATTCTTACGCTGGTTCTAATTTTTTAAAGGCACACATCACTTCGTTGTTCACTTATCCTGTAGCTCTTATAGAACATTAGTCATGAAAAAAATAATTCCAATCCACAAAATGTATTCAGTCTTATCATAATTTCTTCAATCCACATGTGACAACTAAAACAAATGTGTATGCTACTTTTATCTTGAACAATTACATTGTTCTTTGCACATAGGGAGTCTAATCTTCTCAACAATTAATTGCTCACTTTTATTTATTGCACGGGTGGAGATCAAACCTCTTAATTTTCCATAACTCAAGAAATAGCGATATCCCATAAAAATCACAGGTTAGAAAGAAAACTATATATGTTGTCGATGTGCATTAATCTTGGTTGTTGAGCTTCCTGACCCTCATCCGCAAGCATCATCAAGGGAAGTATTTAGGTTATCATTTAGATATTTCCTTTGCCCTGACTAGAAGCCTTCCACGACTATGTCAGAAAATCAATCTATAGAACATAAATGAAGTGCGCCTATTACCATTCTCACTCGCTGTTCACCAATCAATTTTGGACAACCTGCAGTTTGATGGTCTTTTGAAGAAGGTATCGTTATATAAAAAAAAATATATAGAACCAATTGATTTTTAACATGGAGCATTTGATGGAGAGATTTTGTGTTAGGATTCTAACGATCCCAAATATAAATTGTTGATTTGAAGAAATTGCATGGTTGGACTGTGTAAATTCAAATTCCTAATTACTCGTAAACTTCATTTAAGAAAGCATATAAAGATGTGGTATAAAATTCATACTTTTGGATTTCTCTCAGCTTCAAGTTTGTGGCAACCATTCTAACAAAAACCCATTCAATTTTCTGAATTTTCTTTTTGTTTGAAAATAACACATATAATCAGAATTCAAACGTGACAATGCATCGGTATCGAGACAAAAACCTTTCAATTCATGTAGGCAGTAACCCCCAATGACTTGACTAACTTGAGCGAATAATCAATGGATCGTCACCATGCATGCATGCACGGCGATGTAAAAGCTCACCCAATTTGACTAAACACACAGTCAATCAATGGAGTCACCCGATGACCATTTTCTTGCGTTGCTGATTGATGCGCCGGATGTATTTGACGCTTTTGAGAATTGATTTCTAAGCTATGTATTGATTATTGCTACAAGCCTGTCCCTGTATTAATTGTACGTAGTCTTGCCGATCAGATTTGTCAACTTGGAACTGCATGCGGCTGGTTTTGTTCCGTTGCTTCTTCAAGAAATACATAATTTACCAATAGTATAACGAAATATGCTGATTGATTGTATATAAATACCAACGAGCCATCGTCCCAGATCCATCCATCCATCCATCCATCCATCAAACAAACAAAAACTACTAAGTTAGAAGAGAATATGATGATGATGATGATGATGGCGAGTGACTATTATTTCATCATCCCAATTAGTGTAACAATCTTGATCATCACCATTCTTTCCATCATCATAATGAAAAGGACATTAAGTTCCTCATCGTCTAAAGCAGCTGCCAGCGGTGAGAGAACTCCACCAGGGCCATGGAAGATGCCGATCATCGGAAACCTCCACCAGCTGGCAACCGGCTCGTCCCTCCCACACCGCCGGCTAGCTGAGCTGGCCCGACAGTACGGTCCTCTGATGCATCTCCAGCTCGGCGAAATCCCCACGGTAATCGTGTCGTCGGCCGAATGGGCCAAAGAATTCACGCAAACCCACGACCTCAGCTTCGCCAGCAGGCCCTTCATCCCGGCCGCTAACATCATCTTCTACGGCGGCCGAGACATCGGGTTTTCCCCTCACGGGCCCTACTGGACAAAGATGAGAAAGATTGTCGCCATGGAGCTTCTCAGCGCCAAACGTACCAAGATGTTGCGGCCAATCATGGAGGAAGAGATCGCTAAGCTGGTGGGATCGATTGCCACGGAGTCAAGTGTCAACCTCAGCGAAATGATGCTCTCTCTTGGCTACTCCATCACTTGCCGTGCCGCCTTCGGCAAGGTACATAAGCAAGCGGGAGTTTTCTTGCCTCTTATGGAAGAGTTCATGAAGATTTTGGGTGGTTTCAGCCTTGCCGACCTCTTCCCTTCGAGCAACTTGTTGCGCCTACTCGTTACCAACGCGGCCGAGAGAAAGTTGAAGAAGGTTCACTCCGAGGCTGATGCTATCATGGAAACTATAATCAAAGACCGTGTAGCTAAGAGATCAGCTGGAAACAACGATGATGATGATGATCAAGATCTTCTTGGCGTACTTCTGGACCTTAAAGACAACAACGCTCTTGGCTTCACTGAGATTAAAGCTGTCATCCTCGTAAGTCGCCACTCATTACTTAGATTTACTGTGTATTTATTAACTGATGATAGTTACTGATGATGACGTGTAATACTGCAGGACATGTTCCTTGCTGGATCCGAGACGGCGACTATAAGTGTCGAATGGGCGATGTCTGAACTCATGAAGAACCCAAGATTAATGGAGAAAGCACAAAGAGAGGTGAGGAAAGTGTTTAAGGGAAGAGGCTTGGTTGATGAGGCATCTATTGATCAGCTACCATACCTAAAATTAATCCTGAAGGAGACTTTGAGGCTTCACCCTCCTGGTCCTTTGGCCATGCCAAGAGAAAATAAAGAGACGACTGTCGTCAATGGATATACGATTCCGGCCAGGACAAGGGTCTTTGTCAATCTGTGGGCCATCAGTAGAGATTCGCGTCATTGGACGCAACCCGAAGTCTTTGATCCTGAGAGGTTTCTCGATAACTCAGTCGATTTCAGGGGAGTTGATTTTCACTACCTTCCATTTGGAGCTGGACGACGCATATGTCCGGGGATACATTATGGGATCACTTTGGTTCATATTGCCCTCGCCAATTTAATCTATCATTTTGATTGGAAGCTTCCTCACCAAATGAAACCCGAGGACCTGGACATGTCTGAAAGATATGGCATTGAAGTGAAGAGACTACACAATTTAATCCTCATTCCCACCCCATATATACCGGCCCAAATAAACTAGCTCAGCCTGCCTTCATGTATCCTAGCTACTTGAGGCAAATGGTGTGTACTATTTTCTTTGTGGTTGAAATAAGCTAACACATACAGTAGTCTGTGTGGGAAATAAGCTGTCATATTTGGACAGGCAGTACACACTAGGTGATATGAAATGTGACAGAACTTATATTGTTTTACGGAATTTGTCACCAAATAAAACTCAAAAGATTGAAATGTGTCTTAAAGGTTTGACATGGAAATGAAGAGGCAAAACAATTTGTTCCGCAATTCCACTGCATGGCTACCCAAAAATACTAGCTAAGCCCAGCCTCATATGATCCTACACTCATTACCAAAGAAATATGCATCAACGGTGTAAAGAAAAGAAAAGAAGATACAAAGAAAAGAAGGGAAAGAGAAGGCCAAAAACACATGGCCATACAAGAGGCCAATACAGATGACACAAACCAGCACAACGTCTTAAGGAGGAAATATCCAACAAATAGGGGCGGTGCCAGGATTTGAAAGTAGAAGAGGCTAAATTTTTCGCAAGTATTGCAAATAAGAAAACAAGAATAAAATTAATTAGTAAAAATTAATTAATAATATCTCTGATTATAAACACACAATATATTTGAGATAATTAGAATAAATCAAAAATAGAATTCAAACTCAACTTTCTACTACGTTATGTTCAATAGTCAAGTTAATTACATAAAAAAAAGTTAAATAGGCATTTGAATGTGTAGCATATTCTTCAATATACTTATAACTAAAAATATGAATGTTCACTTCATTAGTAATGTTTGGAAAAATTTAAACAATTATATCCGTGACCATGAACTTAGTTTACTTAGAACTCCATTTGTCGTAATTTGAACCTATTGCAATTAGACACAAAGGTGAATGATTAATGATTACGAAAGCAGATGTGCATATGTGATGGGGAAACCACTAATGAGTAATGACACATGCGTCGATCTTATACTGCTCTAGTGTTGGAACATGGTCTTCCTTCGCAAATATGATTTTAACAACACCATGTGAATTTAGCAATTTAGTTTGTGGAGTCGTATTTTGCTTAATTAATTAGCTTACCAGCCATCTAAGAAAATAAGGACGAGCATGTGTTATATTTCTTAGATTATGACGATAAGAACTTAAATTAAAGAACCATAAAGAGTCAATATACAAACTCAAAAAAGACACAAGGAAAAGGGGAAAAGTTAATATGCTAACTTGAAAATTCGTAAGCAGATACTAACTGATATCCAAAATACATGAGCTAGTATCCATGTACTAAAATATCTAGAGAGCACAAACTAGTATTCAAAGTTTGCTAACTGATATCCACCATGAATCAACTATTATCCCAAAGTTACAAACTAATATCTAGACAACACAGAATAGTATCCATATAACACATAATTAGTATCCATATAGCACATAATTAGTATCCAGATAACACATAAGAGTATCCATATTGAATACTAGTTGGTTGTTTGTGGATATTAGTTGGTATATGCTATTTGGATACTAGTTTGTGATGTTTTGAATACTAGTCTGTGCTATCTAGATACTCAGCAGACTCGCATATTAGTTCATACATTTTGAATATTAGTTAGTATATACTAACGAATCTTCTAGTTAACAGAATAACTAGGCTGAAGGAAAAGAGCTTATTTTCATTATTTATGAAAATAAGGATCCTTGGTCAAAGAGAAAAACTAAACAAAGAAAAGGGAAAGAGACAGCCCCAACAAAAGGTCAAAACATCGACCAGTAGAACCACACAAAATTATTGAAACATACACACATGGGGAAAAACTACTCAGCCAAAACCATATGAGCAAAGTAAGTAAACAACCCTTCAGCTTGGGTTCCCTCAATCTTCCAGGTTGCTTGTAGCCACTGAACCATGCAGTAATAATGTTGAGATTAATTGCTTTACTCGTCTGATCTCTTCCTTAAAATATTCTGAAATTTCTTTCTTTCCACAAGAACCAACAAATTGCATGTAGAGTATTGAAACTAAACCAGGTTTTTATTATATGTCATTGATTTCATGTGGTGGGATGGATATATATATATATATATCATATATGGGGGGCAACATTTCAAGTTTCAAATTTTATTAAATAAAATACTGTGTTCCGTGTAGACCGGGTTTAGCTAGTTTATCTGGGATGGTATGGTGTGGGGATGAGTATTAAATTGTTTTGTCTCTTCACTTCGATGCCAAATCTTTCGCCCATGTCTAGTTCTTCGGGTTTCATTTGGTGAGGAAGCTTCCAGTTGAAAT